AAAAATTTCTCACTTCTAAAGCTAATTTCTCATCACTTTTAACATTTTTTTTCGGATTAACTTTTTTTTTACTGGCATTTACTTTTTCGCCGCTGCCCACTTCCTCGCCACCTTAAATATAAACTTTAATGATGTGAATGAAAATCCCACAAATATACACTTATATGTTTCTAAATCGATTCTTTTTTGTAAATTTCAAGTCATGTTAAACAAAACATAACGTGTATTATTGTATAGAATTTTTTAATATTCAGAAAAAACATTATACATAAATGAAGTGAAAATGGTGGGGCTTTGCGTTAAGATTTAAGACCCACCAGCCGACCTGACCATGTCCTACTCAGCTTACACATGTTTCCATGTGACCTCACCACTTCTTCTAATCCCAATTTTACAATTCCCTGTCTTATAAAATTACACTCTCCTACAAAAGAACGAGTTAATTTAACTTTTATAACATCTAAGTTGTAATTTTCTTTTTCTATACCAAAGATAGTACTATGCTTTCATCATCTGAACACAATCTCTCTCTTTTCGATACTCATGTTACATTGTTTATTAATTGACACGTAATATATTGTAAGTAAAAAAAAATCCATTGGCTAAACCATTACCACTTACGTCAAGTCCCATTCAACACTATGATTTTGTTTTTTTTTGCAAACACTTCAAACTAGAAAGCTTTGTCATGTCGTGTTTCAATATGTTTTTGAAACTTGTATTTCGTATTTAAAGAAGTTTCTTCGACATTGAAAGATTACTAATAAAACACAAAACATTATAACAGTGATTGTATAATACTTTAGACATAAAGATGGATTAGAAGGTATCGTGCAACGGATCTGAAGATAACATGTGAGGTTTATTTTGACTTTTAACTGTGCACAAACGTTTGACCTATCATTAGAATTTCACATTGGTCAAAGAATCTCTTTATCTCTCAACTCTCAAAGTCTCTCTGCCAGTAAATATTATCAATAACAAAAAAAAAAAATAGTTCTAAAGTAAATTATTTTCTGTGCCACTTTCTTTTTTAGTAATTTAAGGACAAACTCACATGACCTTTTTTCTATGTAACACAAACTTATTTAAGTATTTGATTCTATTTTACTTTTGCGACATGTCTAATCAAACCGATGATACTAGTAAAAGGTGATAAAAACCAAAAATATATCGAACGAATTATAAAACTTTGAACGTTCCATTGATACTCCGTTAAACAAAAACAGCTAAATGCACATTTTTGTGGCTCTGTTTAATATTTAACTTAGACTTTGATTAATGATTTGATTAAAATAACATATGGTGGTCATTATGTGGATCCAAGAGGGAATCTAAGTTCCAAGATGGAAGTTGAGCTTTGCCTCACAGAGGAGAAACAAATATCTAATAGATAAAATGAGGTAAACACAAAGTTCACATTCTAAACTTAATTATAACAATTTTTAAGAAAAGTGGCTGAATTAAATTGATTATTTTTGGTGATACTTTAAATTTCCAATATTAGATTATTACATGAAAAAATAGCATATATCTTTTATAGCCTTGTTTTGTTTGTGGCCTTAGAGTATTTTATAATTATTTTTGTAATAAAAATAGTAACTTTGGATACTCGTTATTATTAACCAAATTTCTAAAAATTGTTTTTCAAAATAATAGATTACAAAATATAATTTATTTATAATCAATTTATAAAAACTTAACATTGATTAATTAGAAACAGAAAAAATAATCGTTAAATGTTAATATTAATATGACCTGTAATAATAATGGTCAAAGCAAAGGTAAAGTTCCTGACAAAATTACATTAAAATTAAATTAATTGAGAATGTGAAATGTTTGACCAGTCAAATTACAGAAAAACATTAAGCTACAGTCTAACATAATGGAGACACAAGTGACCAGTGTGTGCGTAATTAACGTACATATTTGTGCATTGATATTGTTGTTTTTGTTTTGTTTTGACAACAAACTTACTTAACAACAAATTTATAAGCATCCAACAAATTATTTCTATATTTGGGTTTACGGAAACCACATGGCATTGTGAATCAGTGAGATGCTGTTTCTGCCTCTCTTAACATTGTACACTTGTTTTTTTTTTTCTTTTTAAAAATCCATTGCTTGTTTGAACATGACTTAACATAAATCTCTTGTACTTCATGACATTTTAACTAAGTTAATTATAAACTATGAGAAAATGCACTTTTTACTGTTATTGTTAATATAGCTAGGGCTTTATGAATTTCAAGTATGTAATGTATAACAAACCTAAATTTCCCGTTTGGGTTTAAGTTACTATTAGCGAAGAAAAAAAAAATTAATTGTTGAGTTTTACTTTTGTTACTCTAATGTTGTTGTTATATGTAAAGTGTCAGATTTCGCAAAACGATGTATATATGTGTGTAGAGTATTAATTATAGTTTTGTTTCGTTCACACGAGTTTGAACATAAGTCAAAATGAATGAACAAGAGTTGAAGTGATAAATCAAATTACAATTAAAGATAGAAAATACAAAACAAGAACTAGGGACAATGTAATGTGGGTTCTTTCTTTGTTGCGTAAATCCAGGCTGGTTTGAAGACATAAGTGAAAAAAAACAGGTAGAATAACTTTAGACCAAACCTGTCTACTCTTCCTATCTTTTAAAATGATCATTATCATATTAAGCAACAACACCTATCTTTCCATCCCCCTTTGCCTCTTCTCTCCAACCTCCCACACACAATAATACCTTATTTTGTTTCTTGCTGAATATATAAGAATGAGTACTTTCCAATATTTAAAAATAATGGTCTTACAATTATTGGTTCGATATGAATGTACATTTTTAATTTCAAGATTTCAAGTTTTTTGAAATGTAATACTACTTTTTCTCAATTCACAACAATTTCAGTTTTACAAAACCGATTAGTTGTATATAATGCATGTTTAAAAAATATAACTAATGTTTGCCCAAAAAAATATATATAACTAACGTAAATTATCTAATAAAAATGAATTATTTGAAAACAATAAATTATCGTGCGCAAGAAAAAAAAAACTTAATTTTTAGCATTGCATAATTATAGAAATTTGTTTATCTCAAGTGAAATATAAATTTAGAGGAAACAAAGATATCACCAAAGTGTAAAGCTCAGTGAAAGAAAGAGTAAAGACACACAAAATACATCAAAACACACATAAAATGTAAGAAGACTTACTCGGACACTAAATATAACAAACAGAAAACCATATCAATAAAATATGGTAAAAAGGAATATTAAAAACCTAAGCATAGATTTATTTTCTTTCAAAATGAATTAGAGTAATAGTTTTACTAGAAGGGCACTGTCATGCCAAAGGGAATAGCCAAAGCTCTACCCGGAATATTCTCTCCATTGGGTCTTCTTCTATACTCGTTTGTATGATTCTTCTTATTCATTTCGATGACTTTTTTTTAACTCTACTACTACTAGACCATTAATTTTATACAAAATTATTATATTCATCCTCCACATTATTTTCTTGTGATTCCTGTCCCACTATGCCAATAATATATAGAGGATCCCTATTTATATTATTATTTTCAATCATATATAAATTAATAGAAAGAAACATATGCGTACATATACACACTCACTGATACGAAAAAAAGCAATACCGATAAATTTTCTCGTGCTCCATGTTGAGATCTCTCTCTCTTTCTCTCTCTCATGTGACTGACTTTAAATGAAGATTATGATTGTGCATATATATCTATACTATTTATAGAGATAGAGATGTGTATGTCTTACTGACTAATACTATTTGTAATGCATGCAATGCATATATAAAACGTACGACATTGGTTCCTCCAACATTCATTAATGGCAGATCTCAAGAAGTGGATTTCGACAATGTGTAGATCTTGTGGTAAGAATAAGACCTTGAGTTCTAAAAGATCTAACCAATCCGACTTTGCCACGTTAGATATGGAATAATTCACTTTATAATGTACATATATATACGTCGTAATCTAATGATCTAAGTAATACAATTTCCATTAATCAAAGCATTAACTATATCGTCAACGTTAAGTAAGAAAAGCCCACATCCCCAAACCTTGTGGATTCTGTTTCTTTATACTCCCCAAAAACACTCATTGCAATTGGCCATTTTTAAAAAGAAAATGGTATGGTATTCATATTTTCATTTTTATATAAACCAATATCTTTCCTATTGTAACTGGGATTTTTTTTTTTCACAGAAAAACTATTTTTAGTAAAATTTTACGAATATACCATTTTATTAAAATAATTTTAGATTTATCATTTTAAATTCTTAAATTATCTATATTTATGAATTTTATTTACTTAAAAAATACATACTTTATAAAAATTAAACTTTAAAAACAAATGAAACCGACTAAATAACACAAAAAATAATAAATCCATAAAATTTTATTAAAAATGAAAAATCCACAATCGCCACTCCGAAAATTCCCTCTTTAGTTAATTACTCGTTAAAAGATGCTGCCACAACAAAATAAATGTAACAAAATTATTACTCCACCTTTTGTTACCGTAAATAGTTTAAAAAGTTGTTAAGTACACCACCTTTTGAGATTAAATTTTCTAGGATAGAGATCTTTTTGGAAACCACTAATTTTACTTTTTTGGAAACCACTTAATTTGTACAACGTTTCAATATATCTATAGTAGACGTGGTATACTAATCTACAAGCTATTACTAATTCTACGTATCTTTATCATAGCTAAAGCAAATTAGTACTAAGTTAATTTATAGTATACATAAGAAACTTAGATGATTAAATACAAGTTGACACTAAATAGTTCCTAACTCGATGGAAAAAAGTTCATAAACCTCATGACGAGCTAATTAAAATACTAATACCAAAATTTTATTTTTCCATTGATTATTTTAGCCATTTGCCATTGATTAGAAGTATTATTACTAAAGAAGCACCATATATAATAAGCAAAGAGACACTCTCACTTCCTCTGCTTCTATCTCTCTCTCTCTCTCTCTTTCTCTGAATCACTATCTCTTCTTCGAGTTCAATCACCACAAACTTACAATCAAATACACAAAAGAAAACAGTTAAGACCCATTCATCTGAATCTGAATCCAAAATCTCTTTCAGTCTTGTAGAAGCACACATTATATTATATATTGATGGAGGAGAAGTGGAAGCTGTCGAAGAAAGAGACAACAGCTTCTTCTTCTTCTTCTTCCTCTAAGTCAATGTTTTCTAGAAGCTTCTCAACAAGTGCTTCATCCACAAAGTCACCAATATTCGTAAGGAGTTCATCTACTAAATGCTCTATCCCTTCTTCCTCCTCTTCATCTTCTTCTTCAATCTCAAGAAGCTTCTCAAGAAAAGAGAGAAGATCTTCTTCTTCATCATCTTCTTCCATCACTCAGAAATACAGCAGCTTGGCTAAAGAACAGAAGGCAAGGTTTTACATCATGAGAAGGTGTGTGGCTATGCTTGTTTGTTGGCATAAACATGGAGATTCTTAACTAGATCTTCTTCTTCTTCTTCTTCTTCTTTCTTCTTTTTTTTTTTGTTTCCTTGTAATTAGATCAGTTTGGTTATTAAGGTTATTGTTCTATACAAGTACATTGTAAGAAGAGATTTTGTTCAAGTATTAGGGTTTCTATATATGCTTTCAATTATATGACTTGCATATGCTACATATATATTACACAAATCATAGACATGTGTGTATATATGTATCATTGATGCAAGTATTTATATGTATTAAGATAGGAATTATTGATATGTTTTTGTTTAGATTCAAACTATACAATATATCATGAAGTACAGTGTTTTTGTTAGGATTTTACACTGAATAGTCATTTTCAAAGGTCTCTTAGCTTGAAACAATTTAACAAAAACTCAATCTCCAAATCTAATGTTTATTTATAAAACAATATTCAAAACTATCTGATGCCATCCTTAATCATTTTATATAATGGATTCATGATTCATATCATCTAGTCAAAGATCTGAAACTTTTCTTTTAGTAACTTTTTTTAATTTATTGATTACGAGACGATAATGGAGTCCAGAACTTAATGTCAAAAATGATGATAAGAATATATCAAAATAATAATAATAATAATGGTATATGATGCTGTAGATCTTGCAAACACCAATAATGTCTGGAACTCTACTCGAATTTTGTTTTTTCTTAGCTTTTTTAATTTTTATTTTTATATTCCTTTTTGCATTTTTATGGCAGTATTTGGTGGCAGTATTTTTTCTGTTTGCTTTCTGAGTTTTTGTCTCTTTGATAGAAGAAAGATTCCCTCTTGGCAAATGAAAAATTCGTTAATTTCAATATACATTATATTTTTGTACAAAACTTAGGATATAAATTACTCTAGTTACGTACTTTACAAACTTAGTCGGCATTATTGAATTATGAAATGAAATCTATCTTTTCACTTTATTAAGGGGAAAAAAAAGTTTGGAATAATATTATATTGAGAATCCAATGAAAAGTTTTTCAACGACTACTATACATCCATCTTTTGTCATTATCAATAGACAAAAACGTTTATGTTTAGTGATCACGAGCTTTGCAGATTTGTTGTGCTAATGTCTTTTATTACAAAACTTTACAATTCTTTTTCATGCGTCAAAATATCATTACATAGAAATTATTACCATATAGCTCTTCATGTCACTCTTCTTACAAGAAAAAAAGGAGGAAACAAAAATAAAATAAAACTCAGAACTCTCTCAGGTGATAACAATTGAAACACACAAAAAATACTAAACGAGTGGAACAAAATGAAAAAAAAGAGAAACACAAATTGCTTTCTTTAAAGGGAATATATATCATTAGAGATAGGAGAGAAAAATGTGACGTGGAGTTGGCAGAAGCATTGGATCGGTCAGAGTCAACATTTAGGGAAATCTGAGGGTGGAGGAAGGATCTTCTGATTTGGAAGGTCACCGTCCAAAACCACCCAAGCCATGGTCAGACCCCAACTCAAATGTATCTCGATGTGGCAATGCATCAGCCACACACCTGTCACCCACCATCAAAACAATTATAGTAACAAACATATCATTTGTGAATACTATTAGGGAACCATCAACACTAGTCTTTTTGTTGTGTTACCAATTATAATATATGTTGTTATTGACAAAAAATGAATTCATAAATTCTTACCGGGATTATCAGCTAGGAAACGGATGGCGACCCAACCACCGGAAGGAACATTGATGGTGTTCCGTTCGACCGGATCGACTAGGTTATACTGTTTTGGGTCAATGGCCGGGTTAAAATTGCCGAAGCCTTGACCCACCACAAAAAAGTTGAAGCCATGAAGATGAATAGGGTGGGCCTCAATACCCAAGATGCTAGTGCCCTGTAACACCAATTCAACAGTTGTATTGTACTTCAACACCACAACTTTGGTCCCTCTTGAGACCATTGTGTTGTTTGGTGGCGTACCCGTGTAATTAAATGGGAAAATAGGGGCAGTTGGGAAATCTGTCATGAAAACATTTTTGGACTTGCCAAGGAAGTATGATTGTAACAAAGAAGTCTTGTTTGGTAAGATGAAAGACACATTGTTGATAGATGCTGCAAACTTCGTTGTATTCGTTGGTCCTTGGCATGTTTGGTTTTTAGGACAAGGGTTGGTTCCTAAACCGACGGTAAAGAAAAATTTCTTGTCCACAGTTTTTGGCACGTTAGCCGGAAATGTAGAGCTTGCCAAACTTCTAAACATTTTTGTGAAGTTCGCCGCGTAGCTTGTACTATTGATGGGAGGGAGAGATGGTTTAATGATAGAAAGGTTCTTGGAAGATTTGGAATGATGCTGGTACTGGAGAATCCCCGCAACGGTTGTATTATCAATTGTTCCTTGTCCCGTGAAGTATGGTCTTGCCAACATGTAGAAGGTTGCGTTTGGATAACTAGGTTTCGTTTTGAGTAGGACGTTGGTGGTTTGGCCCGGGCCAAGAAGCACGATGCTGGTTTGGAATGGTTTAACGTAGCTAGCATCAGCTTCAACAACCGTTAATGTATGATTGGCTATGGTAAAGAAGAGTTCATCATCGAGTGCAGCATTGATCAGTCGTAGTAGATACGTCTTTCCAGGTTTCACCATCAGTTTGTATGTATCTAAAAAGTAAATATTTGAATTAAAAGTGTTACAAAACTTAAATAGGTGTTCTTGGTTATGGACACTGACATAAAAAAGAAGAAGATGATCATTACCTTTTGTCGAGCAATTGTATAATGGGCCTGGGAGTCCATTAAAAGTATGAGCATCAGAGGCATTTGGACCTCCACCCGTCTGAAGAGCTTGTTGTACCACTGCTTGAGGATCAGCATTAAACCATTCACCTATACACAAAAGTTTTGAAATTCATGTGTTTTAGTCCTTTAAATCTATTATAGATTTTATTTTCAAAAATATATATATATTTTTTTGGCAAGCAAAAACATATTAAACACGCAAATAGATATATTAAAAAAAGACATTTTAATTGTTGAGTTTTCTTTTATATGATTTATCTAGAACATTGAGCATTCTTTGGAACTCATATATATCATGTAAGGTAAAAAAGATATGGTAAGAAAGATAATTACCAAAGATTATAGGGACTTGTTTGTAAGGTTTGGGAAAAGGGTAAGGCTGATGGAGTTTAGGGAGAATGATCAAGGGACCGTACACGGTAGCTCTCATCCATTGGATGTGTGCATGCCACCATAAGGTTCCTCTTTGTCCGGTCACTGTGAAGTTGTAAACATAACTTTGTCCGGTCCGAATTGGACATTGTGTCACATACGATGGTCCATCCGCCCATCCGGTCCTCAGCTGCCGGATTCCATGCCTACATATATAGTATACATTAATTTATTCAATCACAAGGCTCAGTGAAATAAAACAAGAGTTGAAAATTTAATATCATGATAAGAATATTAGAAAATAGTAATTTACCAGTGGATAGAGATGTTATTGGATACATGATTAACAACTTTGATTTGTAGATTATCTCCTTCTCTTGCAGTAACCTTAGGTCCTGGAAATTTTCCATTGACCGTCACGATCGTTTTTGTCTTGCACAATCTTGTAATGTTTTTAAGTTGAATCTGTCCGGAGGAAAAAATTAGAATAAACGATCAAAATATATATTAATTGTATCAAAATAGAGTACATATTTATAAGACTCATATTGAGACTAATTTATATAATTATACATCGAACTGGTAGTGTCGCGTGATTCCTGCAGATGCTGCATCGATGTTGTAACTAATGGTAATCAGAAATGCCACACTAAGATAATGCAAAACCCACGTAGCCATGTTTAAGGAAAAAAAATTGTACTTGTTTTTTGTATATTCAATAGTTTTGTGGTCAAGCTCTTAAGTTGGTGTATTTGAAAATAGATGGACATGGTTGAGCATATATATAAGGGAGATGGAGCATATGGTAGGGTTAATGGTTGGTAACAAAATTTAATGAAGAGAAAAAAATAAGATTATAGTAAATATGAATAAGTGATGAAGAAGATCATCATTTGTATTGATGATGTTATAGTTGGTCCAATTGTTGGACGATCCGAGTGAATTCAAAGTTAACTAATTGTGTGACTTTAACTATGATGATTATAGCTCTACATACAAGTTTTTTGTACCAATAAAATGATTAATTTACTTAAAATATTAGTTACGAACACTTAATCGAAAATTATATATATAAAATTTTAAATAAAAATGTAGAGAAAATTCCAAACTAAACATTTTCACTTTTTGCTTTTCCGGATATCAAAACTTGAAATGATATATATATATAATTTTATATTACGTTTATATATATAATTTTATATTACGTTTATGTGTTGTATATGATACCATAAACAAAGATAGAGTAATTATAGCGAGTACAGTAAACAAAGGATTATATATATGGAGGATGATGATGCGACGTGTACGTTGGTTGTCTGAAAACATATGTTCCAACAAAAAGAGAGTGTTGAGTGAAACTAAGCTTAAGGATCTTCACAGTCTCTTGGAAGACTCTCTCTTTCTTTTTGACACTTCACCCAATTCACCAATTCCTTTCAAGCAACATAAGACAACGATCGTTGGATTCAGCTTCACTTGGCAAATCTACTGTTTATCTGTCTAGCTCATCTCACTTTTTCTAGATATTTGGTAACTTTAGAATTAAGATGGTGCATCTCATTTGGTGAGATAACTCACTTCATTTCCTTTTATCCCATTTGACTATATGAAATCATCGAACTTATTTGGGAATGTTTGAGATGTAAGTTATGGTTTGGTGTTTTGCACATAGCAGGCAAACAAAAAATATTGAGGTAAAAATGATCTGCTAGCTAAAATATCTAATTAGTAGATGGCAAGAATTTGTGAACTTAACCAAGTCGCCTAAGTTCTGTGGTAAAGGGAGGTAAGTTCCGCCACCTGGATTCGAGTAGCATAGGCCACGAGGATTCGAAATTTAACATGGTTTTCCCCGGTCTCAAAAGATTAGTCTTTGGGCCTAGAAAACCTTTAGGAACACTCATGAGTTATCAAAAAAAAAAAATGAATTTGTGAACTTAATTTCGCGTAAATCATTAGACGATGCTCAAAATTAATTATTTGTACATAGTTTATGATAGCTAAAATGATAGAATAGATTTTTGTATTAGTAATGAAAAAAAACAATAGAAAAGCAAACACAAATATAAACGAGACACCAAAATTTTCATGAATTTTGATATCCTCAATTTATACTTCGAGATAAATCTCTATAAAAGCATTATTTTTGGAATTTTTGTCATGTCTAATGAATGTTTGCTATTTTCATAACTCATCCAAATTTAACATACTAGCTAGTTTAGCACAAAGTATCTAAAGAACGAGGAAAAATATTATTTGAGGCTAAGTTGATATTGGTAAATGATGAGGAATCAAAATCATGGTTTTACCAAAAGTAAGAAAGAACATAATAATGTTGGTCGTTAGTTGTAGCCTTGTAGGTTTACCAACTTCAACCCTTCTTCTTTACTGTTACATTCTTCAAAATTTCTATTTTTATCCAATAACATTATCTAGTTCTAACTACATACCTTTTTGGTTTTGAATGAATGAATTACTTTACTATGCTTTCTGTAAATCTTTTTATTTTGAGTATTTTCTTTTATAAAGTAAATTTATAATTACTTTATTCGGAAACATGATTAATAATTGAAAAAATACCATTACATATGTAAAAAGAATATCGGTCTATACTTTTATTTTCTGCATGAATTATTTTACGTTGTTATCCATATGTTTGGAGATTTATTTGAATTTCGGTTCGATATTTAATAGTTCGAAATTATTTTAATATTTCATATTATTCACCAAAAATACTCTTCATCCATTTGCATGCAAATGTATGTATTGGAATTATAAAGGCCTAGCTCTTTTTTTTTTTTTTTACGTCAACTCAAGAGCTTAGTTCATGTTCATTGGGCTTTAAATATATATTCAAAACCACAAACATAGAATTAAAAAATTCAAACTTTCTAAAATCAAAGCCCATATATGAAAGTGCATGTATGATGATGTTCTTCTAACAAATATTTCGTATTACTCGTCTGAGACCAACACCGATGACAGAGACGCAATCATGACCGAGCACGATCGAAGACCCAAAAGATACCTTTCTTAATTTAATCGCATTACTCTCATTTTAACCGTTACAGAAAGACAATTTTTCTTTTAATAATCAAAGAGGTTATGGTGGAAAAATATTAGAGAAGAAGATAATTAATAATGGGATCATTCAAGATTAATCCTTGAAACATTTCAGTATGTAGCATGTACGTTATATATATAACTTATAAGGGTAAAACTTATATATATATATATATATATATAATATTTTTTTATGAATATACAAATCGACTACATTACAGTTTTTCTACATATATTACTATTATTATTATTGAATGTTAATATTTCCTCTATCTAATATCTTATTTATTACTTAATCTCTAATATAGGTGACTAGAAAACAGAAAATGGAAAACCAAAAATATTAATTTGATAAAGAAAAAATATCCAATATTTATCAACATATATCTTTTAATTCAGTAGCTAATTATGACTGTATATGTTAATGTTTTTAATTAGGAGAAATTTGGAAAGAATGAATTTTCAGATGAGGTATAGTTGAATAGATTTTTAATAAATTAGCTACAAAAATTCATTATTCAACATCTAATATATTTATTTCCTAAGAGCTTTTATTGACTGAAGATATATCTTAACAACCATAATTCATCATTCATCCTATATATCTCCAGTCAACAAAAGCTCTTAGGAAATAAATAAAAGCTGTTAGGAAATAAAACTATTAGATGTTGAATGATGAACTTTGTGTGTGAATGTGTGTGTATGTGTTTGTGTGATTTGAAATATATATATATATATGTGTGTGTGTGATTTGATATTTCAAACTACAATACGATTATTACACTACTCATATATAATTTAAAAGCTTCTGATATTGAAAAATGACTAAATTCAATGTTTTCGCTGTCTTCATTATCCTTATCATAGGTTTGTTGTGTATTATTTTTCTAAATCTATAAATAAACCAATGTATATCAAATAACAGTGTATATCTTATATGTTCTTAAATGTAATTTTTTGTAGGGGTGATGGTAATAGAGACTCAAGGAGTACGAAGAACATCATGTGATAATGTAATTTTACATGAAGTTGACTGTGGTGTTGGCAATTGTTCTGCTATGTGCATGCAAAAATTGAGAGGCACTGGCCAATGCATCCGATCAGACGACAAAGACAAACTGGTTTGTCTTTGCGTTTATAATTGTAGGAGTTGAATGTTCTTTATGTTCTCTTCTGATAGCTTATAAGTTATCATCAAATCCTTAAGAAAATTGTATGAGATCTTTTTTTATATGCAATACATTTTTAATGTTTGAGAATATGCAAAATGTTATATGACATGATTAATCCCAATCGATCCAAATGAAATGCTATAATGGATGTTACAAGAAAACTTTGATAAATCAATTCGATCCAATGGTATATTCTTCAAATTATTTGAAATTCCCAATTAATCATAAATTTGTAAACACATAGAACAATAGAGGTTCTTCTTCACCAAAGTGGGAAACATGATACCTTATATTTGGGTAATGCTGGTGAATGAGTTTATTAGCTCTAACACCATTCCTTAACTTATAAACACCATCTTAGTCGACAACATATAATAACATCTTTGAACGCCATCATCAAAATTATTGGCATATTAGCTTTTGTAGCCGTGATTTGTGGGTTGAGAGAGACACATGAGCTAGATGAAAAAAAAATATTAGAGAAGAAGAAGATAATTAATAATGGGATCATCCAAGATCAATCCTTGAAACATATCAGGATATGTAGGTTACACTTTCTACATATATTATTATTGAATGTTATCATTTTCCATCTAATAATTTATTTATTACTTAATCTCTAATAATAAGACACATAATTTATCTTTATTTTATTTTTATTCAGTTACTAATTCTAACTGTATATGTTAATGTTTTTAATTATTATTTTTTTGGAAAGAGTTTATATTTAGATGAGATATAGTTGAATAGATATTTTAAAATAAACTAGCTACCAAAATTCATCATTCAATAACTAATAATTTTATATCCTAAGAGCTTTTATTGAATAAGGATCTATATATATGTGTGTGTGTGTGTGATTTGATATCACTATTCATATAATTTAAAAGCTTCTGATATTGAAAAAATGACTAAATTCACTGTTTTTGCTGTCTTCATCATCCTTATTACAGGTTTGTATTGTATTATTATTTCTCTATAATCTATAATTAAACAAATGTATGCCTTATGTTCTTAAATATAAATCTTTGTAGGAGTGATGGTAATAGAGACTCAAGGAGTACGAACATCATGTGATAATGAAATTTTACATGAAATTGACTGTGGTATTGGCAATTGTGCTGCTATGTGCCTGACAAAATTGAATGGAACTGGCCAATGCATCCGAACAGGCGAAGACAAATTGGTTTGTCTTTGCGTTTATAATTGTAGTGTTTGAATGTTATCTTTGTTCTCTTTCTATATCTTATAAATTATCATCAAGCAAAATCTTTTTTTATGCAATACATTTTTAATGTTTTGAGAATATGAAAAATGTTATCTGATATAATTAATCCCGATCGATTCAAATGAAATGCTATAGAAGGTGTTACAAGCAACCTTGGTAAATCGATTTGATCCAATTATATATTTTCATAACATTCAAAATTCCCAATTCATCATAAATTTGTAAACACACAGAACAATAGAGGTTCTTCTTCACCATAATGGTAAATAAGACATCAAAACATAAACACATGGAAATGTTTAATAAGACATCAAAACATAAACACATGGAAATGTTTAAAGGATATCATTTAAAGTTTTTATATATAGTCAAAAACATTCATAGAGATTGACTTGACTATTTGAAACTCTGAATGAAAAAAAAAAAAAAAAACTATATATCAAAACTTTAAATAACACCAAATGTATCATAATCTTACATAACTCAACTATAGTTTGATATATCGAAAGAACTGATAAAGAAAAACTCAGAAAACTTTAGGAATCATCAAACGAAAACAAACGGTTTAGCCCTGAGGCTTGTAAGAGAAACCATTAATAGTGAAACCTCCATCAACACAAATGGTTTGACCAGTTATATAAGAAGCTGCCGGAAAACAAAGAAATGCCACAAGCGATGAGACTTCGTTTGCTTTACCAACTCGTCCCATTGGTGTTTTCTTCTCCACTTCTTCTTTCAAGTCTTCATCATTGAGAAACTGAGTAAGAGATTTTAACATAACTTATTATTTTTCTTATTTTCATATCAATAGTATAAAGAAATATCTGATATTTGCATTTATTTCTGATTTGTTGCGTTACATTGTCAGCTAAAGGAGTTGCTATGAACCATGGACAGACAGAGTTAACCCTAATGTTGTCACTTGCCCACTCGCATGCTAAGTTTCTTCCTAGCTGATTCATTGCTCCTAATTTAAACAATGTAGATTTATGATGTTTTTGTTACTCTCATAACGTAGAAGATAATTAAAAGTTTAAGTATGTATATATATACCTTTAGTTGCTCCATAGATGGAACCAACATTGATATGCACAACCCCTGAAGCAGAGGACATGAGTACAATGCTCCCTGAACCAGAGGCTTTCAACAAAGGATGTGCAAGCTGTGAGAGATGAAAAGTTGACTCGAGATTTGTAGCCATCTGAAATGAGTAATCATGTGCTGTATACTCTGTGGTCGGCTTTGTTATACAAGTTCCCACGTTGCTTACCTATATATAGACCAAACCAAGCACAATAATACACAACAAAATCACTTGATCTTGCTCAAAATCTTATTGATCCTGCTGTAAAACAAAAACGTACAAGGATGTTGAGTTTTCCTTGGAAGAGAGAGGAAACGGTTTCCATGAGTTTCTCTCGTTGGTCATGAGATGAAACGTCGCAGACAGAAGTGGTGACATGAAACCCTTTTGCTTGCCATTCACGTAAGCGTTCTTCAAGCTGAGTTTCGTCTCTTGCACATGTGTGAACCCTTGCTCCCAACATGGCGAGTTCCTCCACCACAGCTTCCCTATTTATATAATACACATGGGGAATGAGTTTCACATCATCAAGATTTACTCTTTTCAGGGTTTAAACATTGAAATATAATCAAAAACCATATTTATAATTCCACTTTAGATATTGGGATAATAGGATACTATGTGAAGAGTGAGGAATTGGAACTGACCCGAGGCCTTTCGAGCCACCTGTGACGAGAGCGGTCATGCCTCCAAGGCTCCATCTAGTTTTGTCTCTCAAGTTTTCCTCTGTCTTAGCCATTTTTGGTGGTATCAGTTTCTTCAATAAAGGCCACATATATAACCAAGACGAGTTGTGATTGTGAAGATGGGCCATGAGAAATTACGTGATTGTTTTGAGTTTTTGTGGTATCAGTTTCTTCATCTCTTTCCCCATTGTGATAATGAATTTTGTTTTTTGTTTTTTTTTTTTAAATGAAACTTTCACATTATAATCATGCGAATTTCCTGTCATCAGTGCAAAATCTTACACAATTTTGACAATTTGTATTAGAATGATGACTTTGTTTCGTTATTGACTATCGTATAAAAAGTTTCACACTTTTATAAGACTTTTTATGTGGAAAACTTTAAACGTTAAAATGTATGAACACTATATAACGTTAAAGATTTTTTTTTTTTTCGAAATTTTGGATAAACACATTTCAGAATATTTGGACCTTGGCTTACAACAACCATATGCATAATTATTTTTATTTTTTTTAAACTTCAAGAATACCAAGAAGACAGACCCATAATAACCCGTACATAGTTTTATTTATTGAATATGATTTTATATATGTGTTTTAAGGCACAGGCTTGAAGGAGAAACCATTGATAGTGACACCTCCATCAACGCAGATGGATTGGCCTGTAATGTAAGAAGATGCAGGAAGACAAAGAAACGCCACAAGCGGTGAGACTTCATTTGCCTCTCCAATACGTCCTATCGCTGTCCTCTTCGCGGCTTCTTTTTTAAACTCTTCGTCATTGAGACACTAAGACATTTTCACAGTTTAGTTAGTATCATAAAGTAATATTTTCATTTTTACATTGACCAAAGGAGAAAGTTTTATTTTGGCCTTTACATCATAAGTTAAAGGAGTTGTGATGAACCATGGGCAAACAGCGTTAGTCCTTATGTTGTCGCTCGCCCATTCGCAAGCTAAGTTTCTAGCTAGTTGATTCATGGCTCCTGAAATGAGTTTATATACACTTATATATGTAAAATGTCACAATACAAAGGGAATATATTATTTTACGGATGTTCTTGTATATAGCGTACCTTTGGTTGCTCCATAAATGGATCCAACATTATTGATATGTACAACTCCAGCAGTGGACGACATGAGCACGATGCTCCCTGAACCAGATGCTTTCAACAAAGGGTGCGCGAGCTGCGAGAGATGGAAAGCTGACTCGAGATTTGTGGCCATTATAAACGAATATTCTTCTGCTGTATACTCTGTGGTCGGCTTGACTATGAACGTACCAGCGTTGTTGACCTATATATATATGTATAGACACAATAAACACATTACATGATTTGGTTCTTGTAGATCTCAATAAGCATATATATATGTATACTTACAATGATATTGAGTTTTCCTTGGAAGAGAGTGGAAACGGTCTCCATGAGTTTCTCTCGTTGATCACGTAAAGAAACGTTGCAGACAGAAGTGGTGACCTGAAACCCTTTTGCTTGCCACTCACGTAAGCGTTCTTGTAACTGAGTTTCGTCTCTGGCACATGTGTGGACTCTTGCTCCCATCATAGACAGTTCCTCCACCACAGCTTCCCTATTCATGACACACAGAAACATATACAATAGTAAAGTTCTTCGTATTTAAATATCATGATATGCAACCGATTATAGAAATATATGAAAACGAGGACTGACCCAATGCCTTTAGAGCCACCAGTGACAAGAGCTGTCATGCCTCCAAGACTCCATCTAGATTTGCCACTCATGTTTTGTTCTGTCTTAGCCATTTTTGGATATCATATTTCTTCAATGAAGGTCACGTATATATATATAACCAAGACTAGTTTTGAAATTAGATCATGAGAAAATTACGTGATTGTTTCTAACTTTGGAAACCTTTCATCTCTTTCCACATTTTTGATAATGATATTTTTTTTTTTTTTCTTTTAAATGAAACTTCCACAGTATAATTGACAATTTCCACATTAGGATAGTGACTTCTATGTTAAGTGACAATCATACTATTATTATAAGGACTTTTTATGTTCAATGAAAAACCATAACCATTTAAAACGAACATTATTAAGATATCTTTGTAACGTTTCACAAAATACAATAGTGAGCATTGTTAAAGTCCGATTGACAACGACTATGATTTTAGTAGCTGTAGATATTTTGGTTGTTTAAAATTTTTGGCTGGAAAACGTTTTACTGTTGCTGCAGAGACTTTAATTAATAAACTATTATAGAGAGTTTAATTATTTAATTTTCCTTCTTTATATATATTTTTTATACTACTATACAAATTTGATTATCAATAACTAAAAAGTATTTTTTTAATAACATCCCACGAATCATTTTTTTTTGCATCAAAATCTTGTTTTAAATTGATTTCCAAATCAGTTTTTTTCGTAGTACATTTTTATAATGAGATAAAATATTAATTTATATAGCTATGAAAATAGTTGTAGAAAAGGACGTAGTTTAATCAAACACTATATAGCACAGGTTTTAGGCTTCGAGACTGATGGAAAGATAAGACCCACGAAATAGATTATTGGGCCTTACTCCGCCCATTTATAATCTCACAATCTCAAGAAGACATGAACCGTTGGATGTAAAGAAAACACTAAAACTGGGATATGTCCAGCCAGAATCTGAAGAGATAGAGAATCTCGGAGTGGACGAACCATGTCAGGGACAACAACACCATCTCTAGCTCTTTCAAATTTCAGACCAAGATTTCAAAATCCAGTTAAAACCCACCATTTAAATCCACTCTCTTGGTCTGTTTCAAGAAGAAAGATCTTGCCTTCTAAGGTTCTTCGTCTTCACCAGGAAAAGAAAACACAACTATGGAGAGTCTCTGCAACTCCAGAGGAAATATCTAAAGAGATCGTTTCTTCTGATTCTTCTTCTTCTGAAGCAATTGTTTCAAGTGGTGATCCAGATGGTGTTGCTTTGATTATACAAGTACTTCTCTTTGTTGCATTTCTTGTTCTCACTGTTCTCACCATTGGTGTAAGTTTTATCCACAAAAACCAATCTTATCTATAACTTGTCGGATCAAAATTAGCATCCGGTTTGCGAGTTTCTAAACCGGTTTTGAGATCCTGTGGCAGGTTGTGTACATTGGGGTGACTGAGTTTCTTGGGAAGAAGGAGAGCGAGAAGTTTGAGAAAGAGGAGGCAGCAAAGAGGTCTAAGAAAGGTGGGAAGAAGAAGGCTATGAGAGCCAGAGCTGGACCAAGAGGTTTTGGTCAGAAGATTGAAGATGATGACATTGACATTGACATTGATCTTTAATGATTTTGTTCCATTGCTATTAGAGAGACCAATATTGATTTTGTTTGTGAGGTTGCTCTGTGATTGTCGCATTTATGATATGTCTTGTGTACCAAGCAACATGATCGATATAAACAGCAAGTTTGCAAAAATACAGAAACAAACGAGTTTATCGTGAAATAGGAAACAGGAGTTTTGATGAAACAAATTACATAGATGGAGAAAACTCTAAAAACTGGGATTGTCCTAAAACATGAACATATTCTCACTTCTACACATTTGGCAATGAAACGGCCATTCTTTTGTGTGAAGGAAACTCTAAAATCCTCAACCCATCTTTACACCATTCTCTGCATTGCCTCTCTCTCTCTCTCTCTCTCACTCATCAGCCTAAAGTGGGATGTTTGGTTCTATGTATAGAAAACCGTAAGCAGCTACACAATTTTACAGATTTTGCAGAGAAAACAAAACTCTCCTTCACAATTTTCCCGCAGATTATTTTCGGTTTAGATCTTACCTAATTCTTAAAACGCAATGGCAGAGCCATCCACCCTAGTTAAGCTGTACAACATTAGCGGCCTCACACCATCTGAGGCTGGGTTAGGGACTGCAAAGCCATTCTCCTCTCTGCATATAAGAAAAGAAAAAAGCACATAGAGACAGTTAATAGCCCACAGAAATGCTTGTTGTGTCTCACTTTCTCTTCAACAAGAAAGTAAAAATATAGAAATTAATGCAGTAACGACAATTTGGTAGGCTTGTAGCAGATAAAGGTCGAAACTTTGGACCCAAAGAACCTATTATACATACCTCCAGCAGCAACGAGTTTTTCAACACGAGCAACAATGTGCTTTCCATAAGTGTATTTCTTTAGAGCATTGAGATGCACTTTAATACGAGTAAGTATCAGCTCACGTTGTTGGTCATCACATGTCTCTAAAACTTTTTGCACTACATAGTTGGCAAACTGATCTTTCATCATCGCCTATATACAAAACATGAAGAAGATTATGAGCTAATACCTTTCTGTACACCAACAATCATCTGAAAGTATGTGTTTGACAAACCTGAAGAGGCTCGTTTTCATCAGTTGTGCCAAGCATCTCATTCACCAGCAATTCCCGTTGCTCTGGACCTCCAAAAGTCAAACATTTCTCAACGACATTCGAAGCAAACTTCTGCTGGCTCATCTGAACAATCTTTCCCGCTAATTCCTTGATTATTACAGTACGCTCATCAGGCTTTCCGTGCTCCAATACATGCTGTAAACAAAACCAGTATTAGTTTTGAGCAAACTGAATAAAATACCAAGTAATTTATATTTTTCACAAACCTGAATAACATAGTTTCCATACTGATCTTGAGCCAGCATACTAACAGTGGTCATGATTTCTTCCATAACCTTACTCTGTGTATCAGGTTCATGACAGTGTTCCAATACCCTCTGCAACATAAGACGAGAAGAGTTTTACTTGGAAGCATACAATCAACAAATGTGTAATTTCTCTTTATTACTAAGAGCAAGAACCTGAATAACACGGCACCCATATGGGTGAGTGGAGAGGGTCACAACATTGCCAAAGAAAGTGGAAATAATGAATTCTATGTTTTCTTCAGGCACACATTCGATGCACTTTTGAACAACATGGTTCCCATTCTGATCCCGTACACATCGCATTACATGTCCATCTAGTTCTTTCACCATTTTGATTTTCTGGTCTAGATCAACCACCTCAATTGCCTAAAAAGGAAAAAAACAGAAAAACTTATGAAACTCATAACTGTTATTGAAAAGCAAATATAGACTTATAGAGATCAGTAAAACCGGTGAGAACTAGACTTTACCTTCTGGATAACACGACAACCATACATCTGTAAGCTAAGAGGCAAAACATTGTCAAAGAGTTTATCCGCCAATTCTCTCCTCTGTGGCGGTAGTCCATGCTCAAAGAACTGTAGGAAGATAATCAAAAGTCAGTACTAACTTATGTTACAATATCTTAACTCCAAATTAAACAAAAGATGAAGACTAAATAAATCTACCTTCTGAATCACATAGTTTCCAAAAACATCTGTCATCAGGGCGAGAGCTTGTGGCATGATCTCCTCATAAACCATGTTTTTCTCATCAGTTGTTGCTGTCTCGAGTTTCTGCTGAATAAACCGGCTCCCATATTGATCCGCACTGATCGCCAAATTGACAAAAATCCCCCAAATAAGTGTTAGATTAGGACAAATATAGACGCAAAAAAAAGGGAAAATACAGTCCAGGAAATACCTGAACTCCACAACATGTCCAGCTATTTCAGAAAGTTCAAACCCTCTTGTTTTGTTACTTTTAAACTCTTCAAGCAATGAAGATCCAAAGCCTTCATCCAAACTAGCATCCATGTGCCAAGAACCCATAACCCCTCCAGAGTAGTTTCTTGTTGCAGAGGGATAGCGCATATTAACTTCACCTCGTCTCATAGGGCTACAAGGTGACATAAGAGAATTTTGCATAGCATGATGAGCCAATGGGCTACCAGGATATGACATGTTAGACCCAAATGTTGGACTCCCATAATAGCTATGGCTGTTAGGGCTCCCAGATTTGTAAGGAACACCATATTGTGATTTCTGAGCTCCGAGATAGGCCCTCTGGAGTTCAAGCATATTCATGTATGAATTACCCATAAAGCTCCTGTCCATTGCAGGATCATTAAGAAGATCAAGCGCATCAACATTCTCAGAGTACCTCCCGTACTGATGATACATTGGATCTGCCATATGTGACTGAAGACCTCCTCCTCCCATCATTCTATTGGATCTGCCAAGATTACGTGATTCAAAACCTCCTCCATGAAGTCTGGAGTCCATTCCAGAAAATCCCAAAGCAGATGCAGCAGAATAATTATCATACATTGGAGAAAAGTTACTGTTCCCAAGTTGGTTAGCCATCACAGAAGCTACAGCTGGATTTAATGCGTAATTGTTCAGACAATAGTTTGGGCTATCAAGATGCTGGTAAGGATTAGCTAATCCACCTCCATTATAGGCAGATCCTTGCGACCCTCTCATATGTAAGTTCCTTAAAGAACCAGTTGCCTTCTGTGCTTGATCAGATTTGTTTGGGAAAACATGTTGACTGACTTCGTTATGCCCACCTTGAAATCCAAACATATAGTTCCTGACCTTTTCAACATCCTGCTCAGCCTGACCACGATCATCTAACCCGCCACTGCCTGACAGGTTCATGCCAGATAAAGCATTGACAAGATCAGAAGACTCATTGAGACCGGATGTAACACCGTTGAACGGGCTTTGGTTACTTGTGTTCCTCTTGTCATTTGAACTCACTCTTCCACTCCCAATAGGAGTAAGGCAGGGACTAGGCACTCTAGCAACAGCCTGTGGATCTGGAGTTCCATTTCTAGACAAAGAAGAACCCAGAACAGCTGCATAACTGTATGGAGGTGGCGCACCAATGCCTTGTGAAGCAGATGGAGACTGATTATTCGTGGAGTCCACATTTTCATCAAAGGCATTACGACTAGCTGGACGTGAAGGCTGTTGTGAGACAGGATGCCCCATATCAGGCTGCACAAAAGCAATCTAAATAAGCAGGGGAAATATACACATACAATAATGATTTTGAATGAACACTATACATCCATTAAGGGGGAAAGGGCAAACATCAGACAAGATGACAAGGAAAAAAGGGCAAGCATCAAAGATGAAGAGTAAAGTATTACAAACCTGAAAGATATCAGCAAAACTCTTCTGCTTGCCTCCAAGCCCCAAACCCGGCAAACCAATCAATCCATTAGCATCCCACTCAGAAGAAGAAGCATTAGTTTTCTCAGCCTCAAACTCATTCATCTGATCAAAACCAGGTGGCATAGAGAACAAAGATCTACTCTCATTCACATTTCTCCTATCCCCAACACCACCTAACACGTTGCTACTCCCTTTAAGCCTCTGAGCAACCCTCAAATCCTCCCTAGACATCAAAGGCGGTGGCAACCTCGGATTCAACTTCATATTAGCATAGTAATAAGACAAGTAAGCCGGATCTTTCCTTAACTCATCATCATCACCACCAAACCCATTACCCTTATTACCTCCACCAAACTCCATAAAAGGACCCCTACCTCCGCCGTTAAAAAGCCCTCCAGCAGCGTTAACAGAGCCATCCACAGTCGGTGGTGCAGAGCCACTTCTATACAAGTTAAGCTCTTTCTCAATCTCATCAGCTTCTTCTTGGCGTCTCTGCTGCTCACCAAGCAATAAGCCAATCTCTTTCTCATAATCATCCCCAAAAGACAAATCCTCGTTACCTCTATGCATCGGTCTTCTCCCCAGTTCCGGTATCATTATCACCTATATAACAAAAAAAACCCAAAATCAATATATCAGATTTTACTCATATATACAAAACGCTTCCAAGATTAAAAGAACAAAAAAATACATAAAGATCAAACCTTTATACCTCTCAATATATACAATCTCCAAAATTCTCTGTTTTAGAAACTAAACGCAAAGATCAAAACTTTATCAAGCGATACTCAAATCCATTCCAGAGATTGTATCAATGATTTGATTTTTCATGTTACTGTTTGTTTTAAAATAAAGAACCCTAATCACAAAGACTTTAGATTTTGAGAGAGAAAAAAAAATAGTAGCTGAATTGGGGGAAAAAAAAGTGGTTTTTATAGTGTTGACGGAAAAATCCGGCGGCGATGCAAGAACCTTAGGGTTTTTGTTCCTCTTTTATGATTTTTAACAAAGAAATTAAAGTTACGGCGAATTGATATTTAGGGTTGGTTTGACTTAGCGAATGAAAAACGCATTTAACTAATTAATTTAAAAAAATGAGAATTTGGAAGATAACTACAAACCTTATTTTTCTCGTTGAAACTGTTGTTTTAAGATCCTTTTGAGTTTTGTCTTTATGTTTCAGTTTGGGTCTTAGAGCAAAAGCCTTTACAAAGTACACAACACTTCAAAGTCTAGGTGACTAGATTTTTAGGTTCAAAATTAGTAAAAAAACTACCTTAATTTTGTGTAACTCTGCTTTTTTCCCAAGAATATTGCAAGTTTTGGAAATTTTCTTGAAGTGTCATAAGTTTTAGGTTTATGAAAAGTTTCTAATTTTTTTAAGAAATGTTCTTAAATCAAATATGACGTGCCGTTTAAGTTTTGAGATTTTCTGGTTATCAAAAAGGATAGATTAGCTTAAAACACAAAAGTTTTTGTTAATCCTCCCGTTAATAATTACGTGCCGTTTAAGTTTTGATACGCATATAGAAAATAAATAAATTTTATGTTTCCTCTTTATTTAATTTTTCATTATATTATTGGCTTGTACATTTAATCAAAAAAATAGTAAAGTATAACGACACTTATATTGATCTTAATCCCTCCGTTGTTAATTACGTGCCGTTTAAGTTTTGACACGCATATAGAAAACAAATAAATTATATATAAAAATATATTGAAAATATTGGTCAATACATTTAATCAAAGAAATGAAACCGTAACTTTTATGCATCAAACTCGAATTATATTAGATAAGGGGAGAAATTCGAATGAACATCATTTGTGATTACAAGAGGAATAAAATCATAAGAAAAATAAAGAGCATTATTAGGAATCATATGTTTGGGGAAGACATCTGCAAGTTTGTTGCACTCTCTTTGAGCCCAAGCAAAACAATAGTCTATGAATTTTCATGAACCTCCTTATCCAATTGTAAGCAGCGAAGTTAAGCTTATGACCATTTAGAATATCCACTATTTCTTTGTTGTCACCTTTAAAGCAAACATTTGTATAACCTTTATTCCTACAATATTTCATCGAGAAAAGAAGAGCATGCCCTTCACTTTCTAAAGAACAACTTGTTTGCTTTCCTTGAGCTTGACCTGCCGCTAAGAAACTCCCTCTATCATTTCGAATTATCCAACCAACTTTTGATGATCGATCCCAAACAAAAGTACCATCATAACTGCATTTAACCCATCCAGAATATGGTGTTTTCCAGTGAAGAGCTTCTTGAGGCATATTAGAGATTAAAGTATTCTGAAACATTCCAGTGGGACTTCCCTCCTGATCATACCACTATTTAGCAGTAGAAGGAGCTTTTCTTATTACATTTTCTCTACATAATATTATTTTGTTGAAAGACAAATTTATTATGAGATATCCAAAAAGTCAAAGAATCCAAAAGAGAAGATTTTTTAAATGAAGAAAAACCAGGTAGACATATTGCATTTGAAAATTTATACATCTTAGTTTCCAGAAACTGTTGAATCGTAAAAAATTGCATTTGAAATGCCTGAACTACACCAAACAACTTTAGCATAAGTGCATTCAAGGAAAAGATGGCTTGTAATTTCTTCATGAGAGCAACATATTTTACATCCCGAGAACCGACTTATGTGTGTATAACGAAGATTTCCACTTGTAGCTAAAACCGTAGTTTTTATTAAAAATGTACAATATGATATTTAGTTTAATATGTAGGGAATGTAAATTAGGAGATGACATTGCATCTAAATCATGAATTTATGATAATTAGTTACTTACATTAGAACATTTTCATTTCAATCCATTGACGAATCTGATAAACCAATGAGACATCGCCTCAATTTTTTAATGTCATAATTCAAATCTATATTAACATTTTTTAAGTACCTTTTGTGTTCTACCCTTTTATTTTGTAATATTTACATAACTAAACCATGGCCATTTAATTAAATAACAAAAGTTTAGAGTAAATTTTGTAATTAAATCATAATAAAATTACAAAATTGGAAATTAGTATTTATTACATTTAACAAAATTTCCTAAAATATCTCCCTAAAAAACTGAAAATTTCTTAAATATCTTTAAATGATCTAAATTATTTTTAAATTTTATATTCTTACATATAACATCTATATTAACATTTTTGAAGTATTTTTTGTGTTCTACCCTTTTATTTTGTAATATTTACATAATTAAACCATGGCCATTTAATTAAATAACAAAAGTTTAGAGTAAATTTTGTAATTAAATCATAATAAAATTACAAAATTGGAAATTATTATTTATTACATTTAACAAAATTTCCTAAAATATCTCCCTAATAAACTGAAAATTTCTTAAATATCTTTAAATGATCTAATTTATTTTTAAATTTTATATTCTTACATATAACATATGTATCATAATAATACAAATTTCTTTCCGCAGATGTTGAAATATGAATTTTTGAAAACAAACGTATATTAATTGATACATTAAATGTATGTATTAAAATACTATTGGTAATTGTGTAGCACGAGTCATATGATGGAACAAGTTATAAATTACATAATTATGATTATAGATGTTTTTACGGGTTGTATACTATAGTATAACTAACAAAATATTTTTATATGAAACTATATTATTTAAACGAAAAATGTTATGTCAACATCATTTCATTATTTTAAATATTATACTTATTTAATTAAGATGATCAAATTACGATTATATAAAAGATAAATTATCATACAATATTTTACGGGTTAAATCAAAAAATTAATAATCAAAATATAGTAATACACTCTTATATATCAAACAAAATTAATAAAAAAAATACTGTTTATAATATCGGCTCCGGTGTACCGCGGGTTAAAATCTAGTATGTGTTGATTTTTGTAGAAACCACTTGTTTATGACTCTAAAAAAACAAAACAAACTCGAAAAAAACCTAGGACAAGATTGATTTTTTTTTTTCACTTTACTAACAAAGATTTGGCAAATGTCCCGTATAAAAGTGCTACAAAACCTATAATTTTGATGATGGCGACGACAGTGAGATCAATCTTCGTCGAAGTCATCACCAACACATCTCTAGCCACTATAATATTCTTGTTGTTTAACTCACCAAATCATCAAAGTCTCCTCCACCAAACTACATAAACAACATATCATCGTCTACCTCTCTACAAGAAACTCCAACCATGGTACTTCACCTCATTTCAAGAAATCATAAGCTTCTCTACTAAAGATGATGTTTTGGGCTAAATGGTACTAATATGCCCATTAAAAAAACCCAATAGGTTAGTGTATAAATTATGACGCTTATGGCCCATTAGTTACATACTTGTGGTAATAAAAGTGATTTTCATAAGAACTTGAGGGTACCAATGGAAAAATAAAATTAAGTATCTCTCATTCTCATCTCATATAGCTAGGGCTCGTAAAATCTCTTCAAAATCTTTTGTTTCACATCTAACACAAAAAGCACAAAATCTCTCTCAAGCTTCTTCGATCTTGCTTCCCCCAAACCCTTAAACATGTCCGGCGGATTCTTCCGGGTTAGTTCTCCGATCTTGTATACTGTGATTGATATAATCAGCTTTTAGATCCAGATCTTAAGCTTACTTTTCCCATGGCTTTGATTTGATTCTTCTCCATGGTATGTCTGAGAAGATGGGTTTGGATTACGTTTTCTGATTTGGGTTTGTTTTTTTTAGGGTACTTCTGCGGAGCAGGATACTCGGTTTTCTAACAAGCAAGCCAAATTGATGAAAAGTCAGAAATTTGCTCCGGAGTTGGAGAATCTGGTCAGTTTGTTTCCCATGTTCTTTGTGTGCTCTTCCAATTTTGAAGGATTTGTGGATTCTGTAATCGAACTGTTTTGTGTGTGAATTCGTAGCTTATTGAATCACTTTGTTGAGATTCACATTATTGTGTTATGTAGTTTTGGAGGGCTTTAATAGTGTTATCATTTGATTTAATTGTGGCTACTGACTGTTCCTATGCTTGGGTTGGTGTTTAGGTGGATGTGACCAAAGTGAAGATGGATGTTATGAAACCTTGGATTGCGACTAGAGTCACTGAGCTTCTTGGTTTTGAAGATGAAGTTCTGATCAACTTTATTTATGGTCTTCTTGATGGGAAGGTAGCTTAACTCTCGGCGTTTTCTTTTCCTATTCATTTGTCATGTTGAAAAATTGATTGGATATGTCTTCAGTGTTGTTGGTTGATGTTACATGTGATAAAAGAGGGGGTGATCTACTGATCTAGTTTTATCAAGTGAGCTTTGTCGTTACTGTCGGATTTTTTTGTTGGACTATTATGTAAATTGAATCGTGTTCCTAATGTAGGTAGTGAACGGTAAGGAGATTCAGATATCGCTAACTGGGTTCATGGAGAAAAATACTGGCAAGTTCATGAAAGAACTCTGGACACTTCTTCTAAGTGCACAGGGTAATTCAAGTGGTGTTCCACAGCAGTTTTTAGATGCCCGAGAAGCTGATACAAAGAAGAAACAGGTATTCTTGGGAAGTCATGTAGAAGTTAAGATTGATGATGAATGGCTTTTCTCTATCCTAATGTCTCATGATTATTTTACTTTTGTGACAGGAAGCAGCAATGCAAAAAGCAAATAGCGAGCATGATACAATGAGGAAAATAGTAAGACTAACTTATTCATGCTAGAGTTTCAGTCTTTATAGATGCTCTTTGTTTTAACATTCGCCTGTTCTTTTTATGTTATTCAGATAGCTTCTGCAATTATTAGGGTTCATGTGCTTTACCTCAAACTACTGTAGGACAGCAGCGTTGAACTCAAGGTGAAAAATGGGATGGAGAAAAATCCTTCAAGAGATCTTCCAGAGGATGTGAGAAGGGCTGACGAGAAGAATGGTGTAAAAGAAACGAGAAGGTAGAATTCTCTTGATACCTATGTTTTCATTATCTCTCTTGTAAATTATTAATGAAACTTGACTAGATAGAGAACCTCTGACCTCTGGTAATAACTGTATGCTCTTGTGTTCTTTATCATGTTGTATACATGGAGTCTGAGAATGTGTGATAATTCTTGATCGAGTCCATCCATGTGTTGTACTTGGATCATTTCTGTTAAATACTCGCCGTCACAGTTTTTTCAACTACTTCTATCAATGGCTGTTTTGTTATGCTACTGGGGCATTGCATTGCCTTTGCATATGATATGCTGGTTCTCTAGATATCTTTTTACAACTAAGATTATGATGTGAGGGGGTATTGATATTGCCTCCTTGATGCAGGGATCTGTTTTCTCCACGTCACAGAGAAGCATCCCGCTCACCCCTTAGGTAACTTCTCAATAATTTTGTTCTCTGATACCAATTTCTTATATATGTGAGCATATATTGATTGGTTGCTTTGCTTTGCAGAGGGCCACGTTCTAGGTCTATCAGCAAAACAAATTCAGGCTCTAGAAGTTATTCTGGGTATGCTGCCTTCCATAATTGTTTTTCTTAATCCAAATAAATTGTAGCCTGTGATGTCTAACTTGTCAATTCTGTATCTACTATTTCTTGCAAGTCATAGTGAGGTTTTTGCTAATGGCTGACTGCCTGATCTACTTTTACAGCAGTGAACGAAAATCCAGGAGCTTATCTCGGTCATCAGATGCCTCTATCTCACCCAGGAAGCGAAGATTGTCGAATTCAAGGCGTAGATCCAGATCACGTTCCTTGCGCAGGTCTCGGTCTCCTCGGCGACGTAGGATACATTCTCCTTACGGAAGCAGGTCTCGGTCACCTATTAGACGTTACAGGCGACCTACCCCACCCCCTTTAAGGCGTCGTCGGTCGCCATCACCCTTTAGGCGGCGCAGGTCACCATCACCACCAGCTAGGCGTCGCAGGTCACCATCACCACCCGCTAGGCGACGCAGATCCCCGTCTCCGCCTGCTAGGTCACGCAGGTCCCCTTCGCCGCCTGCTAGATCACGTAGGTCACCGTCACCGCCTGCTAGACGTCGTCGATCTCCAGTTCCCTTTAGAAGGCGTAGGTCTCCTTCACCGCCAGCTAGAAGACACAGGTCTCCATCTCCACTCTATAGACGCAACAGGTCACGGTCACCACTGGCTAAGCGGGGAAGGTCCGACTCACAAGAGAGGTCTTTATCACCGGTTGCTAGGCGCAGAGGGCCTACTGCGGCAAGATTGCCTTCACCACCCGTTGGCCAAAGGTTGCCTTCACCACCTCCTAGGCGTGCAGGATTACCTTCGCCAATGAGGATTGGAGGTTCTCATCCAGCCAACCACCTGGATTCACCATCACCCAGTTCACTGTCCCCACCCGGTGGGAAAAATAAGTTACCATCTCCACCTGTTAGAAGACGTAGTTCACTGACTCCTGCCAAAGAGCGAGGCTCCCTGTCACCAGCTGGACGCGGTGAAGGAAAATCCCCTTCATATGTCAAGCAGGGTGGATCTATATCACCTGTTAGAGCCCATGGTAGATCTTCTCCTTCATCTCATCTGAAAGCGCGCTCTCCTCGGCGCAGGTCACCAACACCTGTCACCCGACGAAGTCGAAGATTGCCGTCTGTTTCACGATCACCTGATGACAGACGTAGGAGACGGTCTCCATCCTCAAGCAGATCTCCTTCTAGGTCGCTCTCACCTCCTGCTCGCCGTAGATCCCCTTCTCCAAGTGGAAGAAGACAACCGAGGGACAGAAGATCTCCTAGACATCCATCTGAAGAGCGAGATAGGTGTGCTCTTCATGACTCCCATTTATCATTTGATTTGTGTCAATGTCTTTGAAAATAAGATGTTTTAAGTTACTATCAGTAGGTATTAAATCCTTGACCATCTTCTGCTTTTGCATTGTGTACAGAGAGGACAGGACTCAGAATTCCAAGCTATCAAAAAGAACTGCAGTGCAGTCGCCTGATATTGATAAGAGGAAACCATTACTCGAAAAGGTGCCAGAAGTTAGGCGTGTAGAACCTGTGAAGGAGCAAGAGAGAAAGAGGTGTGTTTTCTTTCTTTATGATTTTCTTTTGACTTTAGATATAATTTTCTTTTGACTTTAGATTTAAAGGTTGATAAACGTTGGCCTATTAAACTCCTTAACAGTGATAAGTTACCAGAGAGGCGCTCCAGTAGACCCCATGGTTCGCAGATGTCCCCAGTTTCGCCTAAGGAATCACTTAGAGTAGGAAATTCTGAAGAAAAGAGTCAGGCTCATTCTAATAAAGTGAAAGACAGTGAGCAGGGTGAGAAAGAGGATAACAGTGACTTGGATGCAAATCTTTCCTCTGACTCTAGGGAAAATAGCAGACATCGAACTAAGGATATAAAGAGAAGAAAGGATAAAAGGTCTGCAAGAGAAGAAAGATCCTCAGATGATAAGGGCAGTTCTGATTCTGACCTGGAAGATAGGAAGGAGGCCAAAAGAAGGAGGAAGGAAGAGAAGAAAACGAGAAAGGAGGAGAAGAAACGCAAGCGAGAGGAGAGACGTCGTAAAAGGGAAGAACGTCGTGGTGGGAAGCTAAAACATAAGAATCAAGAGCATTCAGATACTTCAGAGGGCGATGAAGCTGAGACCTATCGTAAGAATAAAAATCGGGAGGAGTCAGATCCAAAGAGGCTTGAGATTGAGTTGCGAAACAAAGCACTTGAGTCACTGAAAGCAAAGAAGGGCATCAGCCACTAAAACCTTTATCCAGCTTTATTTCAACAGCTTTTTTAAGATGCAATGCCATGCTAGATTTATCTTTAATGTGGTGTTTTTCCTTACGTGTTCCAAACTTTCTTATGTGATCTGTTTGTTGGTGGCAGCAAAATTGGACAAGTGACAATTACTCTGCTATTCTTGAGTGCAGACTTTATGCAGACATTCATGGCTCATTTTCTGGTAACAGTTTCTTGCATTGAGTAGACATTTATGAATCTGGTATTGTAATTGTCTGGGAATCATTGTATTGAGAGTTGATAGAAGAATGCTCATGAATATGATCGGACCAACTTTTGCGGTTGCTTGTGGTACCTATGTCTGATAAATGAAATGTCATTTTATACTGAAACTTGGTTATACTCTGGGATTTGTTTATAGATGAGTATAGTGTCAACTACAAGACTTGGTTAAGAAAGTGGCTATATAACGGATCCTCTCATATGTGCCTAGACCCAGTCAGGTGAAGTGCCTTTCCTAAAATCAGATTCGTGGGACAGACTTTTGTGAACTCTATTTTGCTGTTTGTATATACTGATGGTTGCATTTGGGTTAACAATCTTCTGTGTTATGCTTGAGATATCTGTAACTTGTGCAATTGCAATTTTTCTTCTTTCTTTCCTTTTTAATCACAATAACATTTATTGGAAGCAAAATATATTACAGTATGGTACAGTTTAAAGATTAATATCATGCTTATCCAGTCTTGGTCCAATCTTTATTCACACTACGAAAATGCAAACGCTTCAGTAACAACTGGGTTTCATGACCACTTTATGAGTCGTTTTGTAAGACTCCATAGAAGAGGTAGTCATCATGAGGGAGCTGTTCTGTACCATCGAGAAACCGAAACACCTGCTTCATCATCGGCCTAACCTGAGGAGATTGGTTTGCACAGAGAAGTCCTGTTTTGAGAACCAGTAACACTTCCCGAGCCACCAAATGTTCTCGATTAATTCTTGAGTCGCATCTTTGTAACAGATCTCCCTTCTTGAACCCTTGAAGTACCCAGTTCACTAAACTGATCTCTTCAGGAGGTTTTGTGGGCTCTATGGCTTTCCTTCCACAGACAATCTCCATCATCAACACTCCAAACTCAAACACATCTGTGTCCCGTGTAGCCTTTCCCGTGTTGACTAGTTCTGGTGCCATGTGTCCCGTGGACCTGTCTCTGCTTCCTTGTCCATAGTCTCCTAGTCGAGAGTTTAGCTCTTCGTCTAAGAGTACGTTGCTGGCCTTGACGTTTCCGTGGATTAAGGGCTTTTGACCTTCGCCGTGAAGGTGTTGAAGCGCTGACGCAATCCCCTTTATGATACAAAACCGATCTGACCAGGTGAGAACTGGTCGGTCGTTGCTGAACAAGAACCGGTCTAGACTTCCATTGGAGACATACTCGTAAACAAGATACATCTCGTTTCCTTTGCTGCAGTAACCATGTAGATTTACAAGGTTTTTTTGTTTTATCTTGGAGAATGCCTCTATCTCTGCTATTAAGGTTGTCTTTTGATGCCTTGTGGTACACTTAATTCTTTTTACAGCGATTATCTCTGTGGGAGCAAGCTGCCCTTTGTAGAAACTCCCAGAGTTTCTTTCTCCCAAGAGCTTAGAACTATCGAAACCTCCCGTTGCGCTTGAAATCGTCTGGTGGGAGAATTTACGCGCACCTCCAGTAAAGAATATTTGCTTTCTACGGAATAACCAAAACCCTAGGAGAACCAGGATCATGATTGCAACTGTTGCTGATGCAACGCAGATAACGATCAGCTTCGTGTTGTTCGAATCTTTTTTGACTGAAGCTGGAGGATTTGCGGACGGAGACGATGGAGGCGGTGGGTCTGGAAGAGAAGGAAGCTTTGTGATATCAAAGTCTAATGCTTCCCCCTCGATATTGAAGCTCCAACCTAGAATCAAATGTGAGCTCGATACAGTTCCTGTGGCCGCAGAGAATCCAACGTGATGGTCTTGGGAGAAAATCCCTGAAAGATTCATTTTTCTCGAGAGAAGAGGTGAACTTGGTTTGGGACGATCTTGAGGAGCCAATGTGACATTGAGCATAATCTCAGTTGCGTTGTATTCGATCCAGACTCTTATCGGTTTCCCACTCGCCAACCTCAAGCTTATATTCTTGGCCTCTCGGTCATCAAAATATGCAGCCGGTGCAGACTCAATGGAGATCACTCCATTTAGATCGATACCAACATGATTATCATCAATATCGTTCAACTCAACGGCCTGCACGGTGTCAAATTCAATTGCGAGAATGCGATTCAAGGAGTTTCCGTTGTTAGAAGTGTTGAAGAGGCCCAGATAATTACTCGGGAAAGCCCCGCTGAAGTCCATCGAGGGTGAAATGACGAAAGCTAATCCATGGCCTGGTGCACCGGGTCCTTGAGTGATGGCAAAGACGAAACTTGTAGAGAAAGAAACCGTATTCGTAGAGTTAGAGTTTGACAAGGGTATGGGAAAGCCATGAAAAGCTTGACCTATTTGCCTCATCGAAGCGTTCGTCAACTCCAAGAGGCCGCTCGGGTAAACCTTAGAGGAGCCGAACTTGAGGAGATTAGCCTCGAGGAAGCCATGGTTAAGAAAGTTGCTTCCTCGCTGACTTGAAACACAAGAAACTATATATAATAGGAAGATTGTTGTGAGAGCTATATATTTGTGGGTAATCATCATTAATGGGGTTTTAGAGTTTGGTGTTACTTATATCAATGCTAGCTAATCCTTTTTATAGCTTCAAAAAATCTCTGACCGTTACATATTCCAACCATTTTGTTTATACTCAGAAGTTATACAAACTTGAGTTGAGTATTTGACTTTCTATAAATTGCTAAGCATATATATTTGATTAATATACTTGAAATTTTCACTGAAATTTCCTCCAATTTATTTTTCTCTTGATAAAGAATTTTCTCCAAAATTCCTCTATTAATTTAAATATTTCCAACACTAACATGATTTTTTTTACATTTACAATTTAAAAATGTTTAAAAAATCCTATAAACAATACGAAGGCGTTGGACTTGGTATAATAAAGGATGAACATTCCTTGAAGTGTTATATAATGAACTTTAGATATTCAGATTAGAAATTAACCTAATTCTATATATTATATTTCTATATATTATACAGGAATACGTTATCAAATTTGTTTTTAAAAATTCAATTTGTAAACGAAGAAAAAGAAGACTTGACTATTCAATTCTTATGGAAAAGTTGAGGAGTTTGATGCAAAAATAATTATAAATTGCAAAACTAAGAGAAGTTTTCATGCAATCTTTTGTTCCATAGATCGGTTATATAAACGAGAAAATGTCAACTTTTTGTTATTGTGTATTCAGAAAACTCATGAACATTTTGCTAATGTGTTGGGCATAAAGTTTAAATTAGTCATGATTTAGTCTCAAAACACACTAAATCTGAAGAGTTACGATTTAAGAAGAGTATGGGAAAGCCATAAAATTAAAGCTTTACTCATTTGCCTCATCGAAGTATTAGTCAGCTCCAAGAGCCCACTTAGGTAGATCGTGGATGAGCCGAACTTTAAGAGATTAGCTCCGAAGATGCCATGGTTTAGAAACTTATTAGTTTTCAGTTTTAATACAAGAAACTAGGTCTAATAGGGAAGATTATTGATAAAGCTATAGATTTGGAGGTAATCACCATTGAAGTTACTTATATGTTCATTGCTAATATGCTATCTCTTTTTATAGAGTTTCCTGATAACTCGACTGTTTCCTCTTTAAACCTCTTCAAAACTCATGTGAGTATTTGACTTTTCTAAGTTTTCTTTATACATTTGCTAAACAAACCATTTTATTAATATACATACAGCACATTGAAAATGTCATTAGGAATAAGGACTTTCCTCCAATAATATTCTCTCTAATAAATAATTGCAACAACACAACCAATTTTTTTTTTTTTTAGTTATGATTACAATTTCAAATCAAAAGAACAATTGTTTATGTTATAACTTATACGAATGTTAATATTTTAAAGTTCATTGTTAATTAACACTTTTTTCTTTGGGAGATCAAGTTATTTGTTCCAACAATATTTGTCAAAATCATAACTTATTTTTTCCAATTTTACAAGATTGATTTGTTCAATTAACATGCAATTTGGTAAATTCTTCATCAAATAAAATAAAATTAATATGCAATTATAAGTTTTATTATACACACTTGAGTTTTTGAAAAATGTAAGTGTGATTCCATTTTTCAGTTTTATATAACAGTTAGAGGCAATGCTAATACATAAAGGTCAACACTTTGAAAGCTGAAACAATACCTCTGCTCTACTACATCAATGGCGTCTCATTTGTACACGAATCCACCTCAAAACCTTCACTTTCTAGCTTCTTCTTCTTCCTTTAAACCTCACTTGTACCTCTCTATCAAACACATAAAACTACAAACCCAACAATCCTCAGCATCTTCCGTCCACGTCCGTTGCGCAACGCAGAGCTCCGAGAGATGGTCTCTACAAGGGAAGTCTGCTCTTGTCACCGGCGGGACTCGTGGAATTGGGTTTGTCTCTCTTCACGTCTTTCCAATCTCAAAAGTGCGAGCCTTTTATTAAACGCAATTCCTGAGACGAGTGTGTGTTACTGTTTAAGTACAGGCGTGCGATTGTTGAGGAACTGGCTGGTCTTGGAGCAAAGGTTCACACTTGCGCTCGGAATGAGAGTGAGCTAGAGAATTGTTTGAGAGATTGGAACAGTTCTGGTTTACGAATTGCTGGCTCGGTCTGTGATGTCTCTGATCGAGGTCAGCGAGAGGCTTTAATGGAGACTGTGTCATCTGTCTTTGACGGGAAGCTTCATATCCTCGTAAGGCTCTTGTGTTGTTACTCGGTGATTGTGCACATAAAGTGTTCGTTGTATTGTCTGTGAGAACAATTCTAAAAAGATTTTGTCTTCAAATTTTGATGCTTTTAGGTTAACAATGTTGGGACAAACATTAGAAAACCAATGGTGGAGTTTACAGCTGGAGAATTTTCGACTCTCATGTCGACGAATTTTGAGTCGGTTTTTAATTTATGTCAACTTGCTTATCCGTTGCTTAGAGCATCTGAGGCTGGAAGTGCTGTTTCCATTTCCTCTGTTTCTGGATTTGTCTCGCTCAAGAATATGTCGGTGCAATCTGCAACCAAAGGTATTTACTTTGTCTAGAACAAAGAAAGATCTCATCTTATGCATCATTTGTTAATTCAGGTTATACCAAGATGTTTTATGAGGATCAATTAACCAATAAGAGAATTTGGTTCTTTTTGTTTCCCTTTGTGTTTTAGGAGCAATTAATCAACTTACGAGAAGCTTGGCTTGTGAGTGGGCCAAGGACAATATAAGGGTCAATGCTGTTGCCCCGTGGTATATCAAAACATCTATGGTGGAGCAAGTAATTTTCTGTGGACTCATAAGCCGTAGCTATATTTTGCAACATAAACACTTAGAGATGAACTTCAAAATGATAAAGACTAAGTGAATATGTTTGCAACATATCTTAGGCTCGATTGATGATTCACACCTTTTGGTCTCAGGTCCTTAGTAACAAAGACTACCTTGAAGAAGTCTACTCAATAACTCCTCTTGGTCGGCTTGGTGAACCAAGAGAGGTGTCTTCTGCAGTTGCTTTTTTATGCCTACCTGCATCATCATATATTACAGGGCAGATTATTTGTGTTGATGGAGGAATGTCAATAAATGGTTTTTCCCCACAACATGCCTAGGCCACTCTGTCGTTTTATAGTTTCCTTGGGATCCTTACTTTGATCTTTAGTATATCTTGTTTCTCCTTAAAGAAAATTCCTCATATGAGACTTAACAGCTTTCTGCCTTCTGCTTTACTGATGGCAGGATTAAGTTTCCGGTATCTATTAGTTATTATTTTGATGTTGATGTGGTGGAAAGCTGTTTGGAACTTTTCATGTTATTACTTTTATGATAAAAGAAACGTATGTTTTGTCCAAGAGTGTTGTTCAGTTGCTTGTATTCTGTGTCATCCTTTCTTGGTGTTGACTTTCATTATGTGTAAATGTAGTTTAGATAAGTATCTTTCTAAGTTCTCTTGCAGTGCCTGATGGATTGGATCCGTCTTCTTCTTGCTATCCTCAATGGTTTGTTTCTTGAAGATTCTTAAAACTGTATGCTTGTAGTGAATGAGAGTTCAGTATCTACATTATCCACTTTGGCCAAAAAGAATGTGGCGGGGATATATAATGGTTTAAGAGAGAAGCCTCGGCTCCGGCTGTGGATACCTAAAGGTGTGTTTTAGTGTCTCAATATGTGATGCAGTGTCTGGTTTGGTTTGAAATTCTAGGACTTGAGGCAATTATTAGTTGCGTCAGCAGATGTATTGCAAGTATGCAATATTCATATGCGTTATACGAGTGGGCTTTAATTATTTAGAACTGTGGTCCAATTCCTAAACATATACTGGAAGATTTAGCTCTCATGATACTGTCATAATTGATGATGGGAGATTTTTGTCCTCAGCATTGGTGTCAAAGGATGGTATCTTCTGTTATTTACGTGTCAGTCAAACTATGCAGTTGTCACTATAATGAGTTGGCCAATGTTTATCACATTTGATATTTCCTATATATATTATCTGTAGAATCTTTGGTTAGTGATAAGTCATAGATAATGATGGATAGCAGCAGATGGAGTCTTCAAGGTATGACTGCTCTTGTGACCGGCGGAGCAGGAGGAATCGGGTTTGCTTTTCGCTTCTCTTTATCATATTCTTACCGTATTTTCCTGCAGCTATTTTGCATCCAAAATGATCAAGATTTCATGGAATTTATGTTTGTGGAATGGTTTAGGCATGCCATAGTAGAGGAGCTAGCCAGTTTTGGGGCCAAAATCCATGTCTGCGACATATCTGAAACGCTGCTCAAAGCAAATTTAAGCAAATGGGAAAAGAGAGGGTTTCAAGTGAGTGGTTCAAAATGTGATGTATCCTCTCGTCCGGAGAGGGAAACACTCATGCAAACCATCTCCTCACTATTTGATGGCAAGCTTAACATTCTTGTAAGTAAATTTTTAATTTCAAGAAGCTAAGTTATATGCAGTGAACATGATAGTTGTTTAACTCTTTTGATTCAACATAGGTGAACAACGCTGGCGCGATTGTCACAAAGCCAACAACAGAATATGTGGAAGATGATTTCTCCTTCCTTATGTCAACAAACGTGGAGTCTGCTTTTCATCTTAGCCAGCTTTCGCATCCTCTCCTAAAGGCTTCAGACTCTGGAAACATTGTTTTCATTTCCTCTATGGCAGGGGTGGTATCAATTGACTGTGGTTCCATCTATGGTTTAACCAAAGGTACATAGACTGCTCCAAGTATTATTAGCAATACTGGATCTATGTATGTGTTTCACTATTACAAATATACATATCTTTTTGTATGTGTATGTCTAGGAGCTCTGAATCAGCTAGCAAGAAACTTGGCATGTGAATGGGCGAGAGATGGAATAAGAGCCAACGCTGTTGCCCCTAATTTTATCAACACTGCTCTCGCTCAAGCTGTAAGGAAAAAAAAAAACAAAACATAATCTTTAATAAAGTTAACAACATCAATCCCTTTAATCATCTCTTAATTTTGTTTCTTGAAGTATCTTGGTGACACCAATTACAAAGAGGCATTGTTTAGTAGAACTCCACTTGGTCGAGCAGGAGAACCAAGAGAGGTTGCATCACTTGTGGCTTTTTTGTGTCTACCTGCAGCTTCATATATAACTGGTCAGACCGTTTGTATTGACGGAGGTCTCACTGTAAATGGCTTCTCCTACCAGCCACATGCTTGAGCCAAGTATTGTATGTTGTCAGTCCAATGAAACACAGTAAAACAAATAAAACGCAGTATAGTGCATAAATATACGAGTGTCTTAAAACATCATACATCTTATAATTGTACACCCAAAATATGTTACATCTTCTACCAAACTACAATGAGTGATAGATTTATTCTCTGTTCGACAAAAGATGACATTACAAAGTCAAGATCCATTATCTGTCTCGCCAATGGTATGAGAGCCACTTTTTACTTTTCTACTCCAATCGAGAAGAAAAGTCTTACCAACTTTGAAGCTTATCTTAAGTGTGGAAAATACTACGGATGAAATATAAAAAAAAAAATTAAAAGTTGTTAGAAAGTTTTACAAAAGAAACTAAGGCCATTTAAAATTGCAATCAACGAAAAAGACATTAAGGCCATGTTTTGCTCCGGACCACTAATATTTCTTAGATGTTGTTTTCAGATTCTCTCTTAATATTTCCACCACACAAAATAGCACTTTGGCCACTACAACATAAAAGAAAAATGGATAAAAGATGGAGTCTTCAAGGTATGACTGCTCTTGTGACCGGTGGCACTAAAGGAATCGGGTCAGTCCCTATTTGTATATGCTCTTTTATTGTATTGTGATATTTAGTAGATATGGAAGAAGAAACCAAGTCACTAACTATGTTTGTTTGTGTCGTGAATAGGAAAGCTGTGGTGGAGGAACTATCTATGTTTGGAGCAAGAGTCCACACATGTGCCAGAGACGAAACTCAGCTTCAAGAATGCTTACGTGAATGGCAAGAAAAAGGGTTTCAGGTCACCACTTCTGTCTGCGACGTTTCTTCTCGTGACCAACGAGAGAATCTCATGGAAAAAGTTTCCTCTCTCTTCCAAGGGAAACTCAACATCCTCGTACGTCTATATATGCTTTTCCTCATCAGGCTTGTGTTCTACAAGAACCAAACATATATCTCCAAGGAGAGCTTTAACATAGTTATTATGGAAACTCCATATTTAGGTTAATAACGTAGGGGTACTTCGTGGGAAGCCAACAACAGAATATGTCGAATATGATTGGACTTTACATATCTCAACAAATGTGGAAGCTGCTTTTCATTTTAGCCAGCTTTCACATCCTCTCTTAAAGGCTTCAGGCAATGGAAGTATCGTCTTTATTTCCTCTATTACAGGGATTGTATCACTTGATTGTGGATCCATTTATAGTCTAACGAAAGGTAATAACCACAGTTTCTAAGTACAAGAGATGGTTAATTGCAACACTGACTCATCAAGGAGTTTATATTACAGGAGCTCTGAATCAGCTAGCAAGAAATTTGGCATGTGAATGGGCAAAAGACAGAATAAGAGCCAATGCTGTTGCGCCGAATATCATCAAGACTCCTATGGCTCAATCTGTATATAACAAAGACAATTTTTATACATGTTTTTTTTTTTGTTGATATAACAACATCAAACCCTCTAATAATTTCTCAATTTGTGTATTCTTAAAGTATCTTGAAGACCTAAGTTTCATAGAGGGATTGCTCAGTAGAACTCCACTTGGTCGCGCTGGTGAGCCGAATGAAGTTGCATCACTAGTGGTCTTCTTGTGTCTACCTGCAGCTTCTTACATAACTGGTCAAACTATTTGTGTTGATGGAGGGCTCACTGTTAATGGCTTATCCTATAAGCCACATGCTTGAGAATGGTCTAGTTCAAGTCTTTACCAGTTGTGTCTTTTCTGTGTTTACCTGCAGCGTCTTATCTAACGGGTCAAACCATTTGTATTGATGGACGTTTCACTGTTATTAGTGGCTTCTCTTATCAGCAAGAGGCTTGGGGATGGCCTTTTTTACGTTATTTCTAAATATCTTAAGCTCTCTAATGGCCTTGTAAGTTGTAACCTATCTAAAACTTTGATCTATCACATTTTATAGGGAAGGTTTTAATGGTTTAATATGTGATGCATACTCTTTGTCACGAGAGAGAGAAAAAGCACTTGATGCGAATCGCCACAACGATGTTGGATGGCAAGCTCAACATTCGTTTTAGTTACTCTAACGAAACAAAGGATACTTATTTTATGAAGTCATACAATGGGTCAGTGCTTTGAGTATTGATAAAACAAGAAGATTCGATTACGAAGAGTAAGCTTTGTAAAAAGAAAAAAGTAGGAACAAGTAGAGCAAAACTTAGACTTAAATAAAAATAAAAACCTAACTAGTAAGAAAATCGTCTCATTCTAATTCGAGAATACTAATTCGAGAATATGATATTATAAAGTAAAGTTGCTCCTGACTCGGAGTTTTTTGGATCGCTCTGAACCTTCACTTGAGAAGAGGTGTTGGCCTAGTGGATATGAAAACCTAAAGATTGGAAACCCTAGATATCATCTCGCCAATTATAAAGTAAAGTTGCTCCTGGTTCGGCAACAAAATCAAAGTTGTTTGGATCTCTCTTAATCTTCACCTCAACAGAGCAGTTGGTGCAGGGGATGTGATACCTATAAAGAATCCCTAGGTACGTCTCGTCAGTAACTTCTTCTGCACGAATATTGGTGAATCTGGTGCCCGTATACATTTTATTACCACAAGCGTCGCATCGAACACCCTTCGGAAGCATGAAGGTTATTAATATGCGTTCTCCCATAGCTTTTGGATATTAATTGATTAGGAAAAAAATAACTCTGTCTTCTCTCGTTCCCTTAGACTTATTTATTTATAAGTAGTTGTTTTCTTTTCTTTTTCTTTTGGGCCAGACGAAAAGCCCAATAAATCAAACCATCACACTAATACAGTATAACCTTTATAAATTAATACTCGATAAATTAATACTCTCTATAAATTAATAAATTTCTCTGGACCAGTGTAATTTTAGACATATTTTGATAAAATAATAAGATAATAACTTTTTTGAAAATCTTTTGTAAATATATAGTCCCATCAATATTATAAATTAATAATTAGGTAAAAGTTTCAAAATATATATATATATATATATAGCCACATTAGTTTTTGTTAGAGTTTATTTTTGAATATTTTTTTGAAAAATTTTCCAAATTAAGAAAATCTCTCTATAAATTAATAATTATTAATTTATCGATAAATTAAAACCTTTATAAATTAATAGATTTTCATGGTCCCAACATTATTAATTTATAGAAGTTTTACTGTACTTGCCTTATCTCAAATTTGTATGATTTTACTAACCCTGCGAGATTTCAAAGTTTTCTTTAGTGAATTTTAAAATAATCTAAAGAAAACTTTAGGGTTGGTGGATATTGTGGCGACGTTGGTGGCGTTTTGGATTATAAGGACGGAGGATCTCCTCGGTGTTAAGGTTGTTCCGGTGGAGAAGTTCCCGGAGATTCATAGATGGGTTAAGAAATTGTCGGGGAATGATGTTATCAAGAAATGTATCCCTCCTGAAGATGAGCATCTCGCGTACATCAGAGCTCGCATGGATAAGCTCAATATCAAATCGGCTTGATAACGATTATAGAGAGTTCTAACAATCAAAGTTTGTATCTTTGTTCTTGTCTCAATTGCTAAGTCCTATGAAGTCCATATTTTAGACAAATTGTTAACTCTTATTTTATGAAGTCATACAATGGGTCAGTGCTTTGAGTATTGGTAAAACAAGAAGATTCGATTACGAAGAGTAAGCTTTGTAAAAATAAAAAAAAGTAGGAACAAGCAGAGCAAAACTTAGACTTAAATCATAAAGATAAGCTTCCACACTCATCAACTTACGAATCTTAGTCGATCAAGGCCAAGACTTAATTATATATGTGACATCACAATCCCTATGCAATGATGGAGAGAGGTCTCTATTGTAAAAGAGCCATCACAAATCAAAAGTGAAAGTTATTTCCTTTAATTTCTTCTCTTTTACAAAAGATATCTTAGAAAAGTCAAGATCCAACATCTTCCCAAAAAAAAAAAAAATCCTTACAAACTTTGAACCCTATCCATGTGCTGTAATAGAAGTTATTTTGAAAAAGCATATCCATTTTGAAAAAGACAAAGGAGTAAGTATTGGTCGGACCACTTATCTTACATATATTTAAGTCATTGTTCTCTCACACGACTACATAATATTTCCACCACACATACACATACACACTTATCTTATACAAATTCATTGTATACATAAAATCAGTGGCATGTCTGGTCAGTGCAAGTAAGATTACAAGAAAAAATGGATAAAAGATGGAGTCTTCAAGGTATGACTGCTCTTGTGACCGGTGGCACTAAAGGCATCGGGTCAGTACATTTACATGCTCTTTTATTGTGTTGTTATATTTATTCATGGAAGAACTAGTTAACAAGGTTTGTGTGTGTGTCTTGAACAGGGAAGCTGTGGTGGAGGAACTATCAATGCTGGGAGCAAGAGTCCACACATGTGCAAGAGATGAAACTCAGCTTCAAGAACGATTACGTGAATGGCAAGCAAAAGGGTTTCAGGTTTCCACTTCTACCTGCGATGTAACTTCTCGTGAGCAACGAGAGAAGCTCATGGAAACTGTTTCCTCTCTCTTCCAAGGCAAACTCAACATTTTGGTAAGTATACATATATAAGCTTCTCCTTATTGGGCTTGGGATGTACAAGAACCAAATTTAATGTTTGTGTTGTATCTATCCATATATATGATATGTAGGTAAACAATGTAGGAACCTTTATAGTCAAGCCGACTACAGAGTATACAGGAGAAGAATATTCGCTTATAATGGCTACAAATCTCGAGTCAGCTTTTCATCTCTCACAACTCTCACACCCTTTGTTGAAAGCATCAGGCTCAGGGAGCATCGTGCTCATGTCCTCAATAGCCGGACTAGTGCATGCCAATGTTGGATCCATCTATGGAATAACGAAAGGTATTGTATATATATACTCTTTTGAAACAACGTTTCCTTGCGTTATAATTCTTTATGCAAGTGTATACAAACACATTTCAGGAGCCATGAATCAGCTAGCTAGAAACTTAGCTTGCGAATGGGCGAGAGACAGCATTAGGACTAACGCTGTATGTCCATGGTATATCGCAACTCCTTTGGTTAACGATGTAAGGCCAACTTGCTCCTTAATTAGTACTATTGATTTTAATATTAACTTTGTCCATTGTTACATTTGATTTTAAGTTTCAAGTATTGTGAAAATATGTTAGCTTCTTAAAGAAGGAGAGATTATAAAAGAAGTGGTGAGTAGGACTCCTCTTGGTCGTGTTGGAGAGCCCAATGAAGTTGCATCACTTGTGGCTTTCTTGTGTCTACCTGCCGCTTCATATATTACTGGTCAGAGCATTTGTATTGATGGAGGTCTCACTGTTAATGGCTTCTCCTATCAGCCAAAAGACATTTGAATCTCTTTATTTAAGGGTACTTTTCTCATTTCCTAATATGCCAAAAGACATCAAAGTGGCATTTCTAGAAAGGAATAATCAAAAGTGGCAGTTTGGTTGAGTTTAATTTCAAAAGTGGCACTTCCAATAAAATTTGTCTAAAGAAACTAAGCATTACCTTATAAAGTCATACAATGGGTGGTTAGCTTTGAGGGTATTGGTAAAACAAGAAACCTTGCAAGAAGATGTTTCCTATAACACAGAGTAAGCCTTGCAAAAAACAAAGTATGAAAAAGCATGTCACAGCTTAGACTCAAACAAAAAAGATGGGGCTTCGACACTCATCAACTTATGAATCTTAGTCGATCAAGTCCAAAAGACTTTTGGAAAACACAAAAAATGTGTTTATAAAATTTGTGAACCATATTGACTACTTATCTTACACATACTTAAGTCATTGTTCTCTCACACGACTACATAATATTTCCACCACACATACAAATTCACACTTATCTTATAGAAATTCATTGTATACATAAGATCAGTGGCATTTCTAGTCACTGCAAGTAAAAATTAAAAGAAAAAATGGATAAAAGATGGAGTCTTCAAGGTATGACTGCTCTTGTGACCGGTGGCACTAAAGGAATCGGGTCAGTCCCTATTTGTATATGCTCTTTTATTGTATTGTGATATGTCTAGTAGGTATGGAAGAAGAAACCAAGTCACTTACTATGTTTGTTTGTGTCGTGAATAGGAAAGCTGTGGTGGAGGAACTATCAATGCTGGGAGCAAGAGTCCACACATGTGCAAGAGATGAAACTCAGCTTCAAGAACGATTACGTGAATGGCAAGCAAAAGGGTTTCAGGTTTCCACTTCTATCTGCGATGTTTCTTCCCGTGAGCAACGAGAGAAACTCATGGAAACCGTTTCCTCTCTCTTCCAAGGAAAACTCAACATTTTGGTAAGTATACATATATAAGCTTCTCCTTATTAGGCTTGGGATGTACAAGAACCAAATTTAATGTTTTGTTTTGTTTTGTATCTATCTATCTATCTATACATATATAGGTAAACAATGTAGGAAACTTTATAGTCAAGCCGACTACAGAGTTTACAGGAGAAGAGTATTCGTTCATAATGGCTACAAATCTCGAGTCAGCTTTTCATCTCTCACAACTCTCACACCCTTTGTTGAAAGCATCAACCTCAGGGAGCATCGTGCTCATGTCCTCCATTACTGGATTAGTGCATGCCAATGTTGGATCCATCCAAGGAGTAACCAAAGGTACTGTATATACTCTTTTGAAACAATGTTTCCTTGCGTTATGATTCTTATGCAAGTATATACAAACACATTTCAGGAGCCATGAATCAGCTGGCTAGAAACTTAGCTTGCGAATGGGCGGAAGATAGCATTAGGACTAATGCTGTTTGCCCATGGTATATAGCAACTCCTTTAGCTAAAGATGTAAGGCCTATTTTCTTCTTAATTAGTAGTTTAGTACTACTGACTTTAATATTACTTTTGTCCATTTGTTACTTTTGATTTTAAGTTTCAAGTATTGTGAAAATATGATAGCTTCTTGAAGAAGGAGAGATTAAAAAAGAAGTGATAAGTAGAACTCCACTTGGTCGTGTTGGAGAGCCGAATGAAGTTGCATCACTTGTGGCTTTCTTGTGTCTACCTGCAGCTTCATATATTACTGGTCAGAGCATTTGCGTTGATGGTGGTCTCACTGTTAATGGCTTCTCCTATCAGCCAAAAGACTTTTGATTCTCTTTATTTAAGGGTACTTTTCTCATTTCCTGATATGCCAAAAGACGTAAAAGTGGCAGTTTTGTTGAGTTTTATTTCAAAAGTGGCACTTCCAACAAAATTCTCTCTAAAGAAACTAAGCATTACCTTATAAAGTCATACAATGAATGTATGTAAAACAAGAAACCTTGCAAGAAGATGTTTCCTATAACACAGAGTAAGCCTTGTAAAATAAAGTAGCAAAAAAGCAGAACATAACTTAGACTCAAATAAGATAGATGGAACACACAAGAATGGTTTTATAAAATTTGTGAACCATATATTGACTACTAGTTGCAGCTTCTTGGTGAGAGCACTTAATAAGTTTAGTTTGGGACCACTATCTTGGATATGTTTTTTCATGTTCTCTCTTATATGGCTACAAAATATTTCGACCACACATACAAACATAATCATTGAATTCACACTTATCTGATCCAGATTCATTGTATACATAAATATAAATTCTATGGGATTTCTGGTCACTTCAAGTAGGAGATACAAGAAAAATGGATAAAAGATGGAGTCTTCAAGGTATGACTGCTCTTGTCACCGGTGGCTCTAAAGGCATCGGGTAAGTACCTTTATATGCTCTTTTATTGTGTTGTGAATGAATATTCAATTATCGAAGAACTAACCATTTTTGTGTGTGTCTTGAATAGGGAAGCTGTGGTGGAGGAACTATCCATGTTAGGAGCAAGAGTCCACACATGTGCCAGAGACGAAACTCAACTTCAAGAACGCTTACGTGAATGGCAAGCAAAAGGGTTTCATGTCACCACTTCTGTCTGCGACGTTTCGTCTCGTGACCAACGAGAGAAGCTCATGGAAACTGTTTCCTCTGTCTTCCAAGGAAAACTCAACATCCTCGTAAGTATAATATCTAATCAAGCTTCTCCTTCTTGGGCTATGGATGTACAAGAACCAAAATTTAGTGTTTTTTTTGTTGTTGTATCTATACATACACATACGTAGGTAAACAATGCGGGAACGTTAATGGTCAAGCCAAATACAGAGGTTACAGCAGAAGACTATTCGTTTATGATGGCTACAAATCTCGAGTCGGGTTTTCATATCTCACAGCTGGCTCATCCTTTGTTAAAAGCTTCAAGTTTAGGGAGCATCGTGTTCATGTCCTCTGTTGCTGGAGTTGTGCATATCGGTTCATCCATCTATGGAGCAACTAAAGGTATATATATGTATATATTTATCATAGAAATATATACATATTTCTATATACTATGATAATATTCAAACAGTGAATGATGCAACACATTATGGTTTAGGAGCTATGAATCAGTTAGGAAGAAACTTAGCATGCGAGTGGGCAAGTGACAACATAAGGGTTAACTCTGTGTGTCCATGGGTCATAGCAACTCCATTGGTTAAGGAAGTGAGGCAATTAATCTATTATTATTTTTTAAGTATATTTTTGATTAAGTGATATTACGTGATACTTTTAATATAAGTGAAACATAATTATCAGATTCTCGGTGATAAAGTGATTATGAAACAAGTGGAGAGTAGGCCACCGATGGGGCGTGTTGGAGAGCCAAATGAAGTATCATCACTTGTGGCATTTCTTTGTCTTCCTGCAGCTTCTTATATCACAGGTCAAACCATTTGTGTTGATGGAGGTTTCACTATTAACGGTTTCTCTTACAAACCAAAGGCTTGAACTAGGTCGTGTCTTGTGTGTGTTGTGATTTATATTCTTTGAATTTAATGAGCATCTTTATTAGTTGCCTTAACCCCATGCATGTACAACTTTCTCTATGTGTTGCGCTTCCGTTTCTTGGTGAACTTAACTCGGATTGGTTTAGGATTGTGGAGCTACGCAATCTTTTAGTCTTTACCTACCAAACTTAGGAATAATATACAATATACCAAAATTAACTAAAACCTTGATGATGATCAGTTAGCAAATCTTCAAGTTGAAAGTCAATAAAATGGATGACTTTGATTCGTTTGGTTTAGCCTTAATACTACATACAGTAAAATCAAAGCATGCCTTAAATAAGAAAGATGGGCTTCGAGAGTACTCATCAACTTGGGAGCTTATTCGATCAAGCCCAAAGACATAATCAAGTGATATCACACTATGCTTTACAATCCCTATGCAAAATGATGACTCAATGGACAGATGGTGTCGCTATCGAAGATTTTGACTATAGAAACCCATTTTTGCTTGGTACACTGCTTAATTTAAATTATCTTTATATAACAACTACATAACTTATCAACCACACGTACAAACATACATAGTAGTTTAGACTTATCTGATCCACAGTCATTGTATTTTTGGTCGTTGCTAGTAACATACAAGAAAGATGGATAGAAGATGGAGTCTTCAAGGCATGACTGCTCTTGTAACCGGTGCAGCCACTGGAATCGGGTTCGTTTTCTTCTTCTACTCAACATCCTAAATGGTCAAGATTCCTAGGAGTTTAAGTTTATGGAATGTTTAGGTATGCCGTAGTAGAGGAGTTAGCTGGTTTTGGAGCTAGAATCCATGTATGTGACATATCTGAAGCTAAGCTTAATCAAAGTTTAAGAGAATGGGAAAAGAAAGGGTTTCAAGTGAGTGGTTCCTTATGTGATGTATCATCTCGTCCAGAGAGAGAAAAGCTGATTCAAACTGTCTCCTCACTTTTCCAAGGCAAACTCAACATTTTTGTTAGTAAATGAGCTTATTTACTAACACAACTAAGCATATTTTTCTTTTTCTTAAAGAAATGTTGTAAAAGGAAATGTTATTTTTGTTCAACATAGGTTAATAACGTTGGTGTACTTCGTGGAAAGCAAACAACAGAGTATACGGGAGACGATTTCGATTTCCATATCTCAACAAACTTGGAAGCTGCTTACCATTTTTGTCAACTTTCACATCCTCTCTTAAAGAGTTCAGGCTATGGAAGTATCATCTTTGTTTCCTCAGTTGCAGGGGTTTTATCTTTTGCCGTTGGATCCATTTATGGTCTAACAAAAGGTAAGAACAACATTAGTAACTACTAGATGCAAGATTAAGTAATCAACAAGGATTTTTGTTTTTCTTTTGAGCTGATTCCTCATACAAGTATTTTACAGGAGCTCTGAATCAGTTAGCAAGAAACTTGGCATGTGAATGGGCAAAAGATGGCATAAGAGCTAATGCTGTTGCGCCTAATATCATCAAGACTCCTTCAGCTGAACCTGTAATAAAAAGAGGACTTTTACATTCTTATTCTTGAAATGTAACAGCCTCAGTTCTTCTAAATCATATTCCAATTTTGTTTTCTTGAAGTATCTTGAAGACATCGGTTTCAAGGAGGGATTGTTCAGTAGAACTCCACTCGGTCGGGCTGGAGAACCAAGAGAGGTTGCATCATTAGTGGTCTTCTTGTGTCTACCAGCTGCTTCTTATATTACCGGCCAAACAATTTGTGTTGATGGTGGTCTCACTGTTAATGGTTTCTCCTATCAGCCACAAGTTTGATAATGATCTTTTCAAGTTTTGTCTGTTTAAGAGTTCTCTCTAATAAAAACTCTCACATTATAAGAGCCTATGTTGAGTTTATCTCCCTTGTAGAGAGTTTACTTAAGTTATTGTTATAAGAGACTAAATCTATATCAAAGAGTAATCAAACCATGACAACTAAACAATCCATCATTTGTCACATCAATAATATGAAGGTAACAGTTGCATTTTTGTTATTTTATATAAAGACATGGAAACTTTTAATGTACTTTATTCACGAGTCTATCTTGTAGTATCAGTTGTCTTTTTGGACCACTAACTTGTATATTATAATTTAGCCTCCACACACTGATTGATCAACATTCATTATATAACATATAAACTCTCTAGCATTCCTGGTCACTTTAATTCAAGTAAGAAACAAGAAAGATGGATAAAAGATGGAGTCTTCAAAGTATGACTGCTCTTGTCACCGGTGGAGCCAGCGGAATCGGGTTCGTCTTTCTTCTCTGTTCTACCCTTTGCTCTGTACTTCTGTTTGCTGTTTAGCTTCCTGATGGGTCAAGAGTGTTTAGGTATACCATAGTGGAGGAGTTAGCTAGTTTTGGAGCTAGAATCCATGTATGTGACATATCTGAAACTCTTCTTAACCAAAGTTTAAGCGAATGGGAAAAGAAAGGGTTTCAAGTGAGTGGCTCAGTCTGTGATGTAAGCTCTCGTCCCGAGAGAGAAAATCTGATGCAAACCGTCTCCTCGCTTTTCGATGGCAAGCTCAACATTCTAGTAAGTAAAAATGATCTTTAGTATAGTACTACTCCTTAATATAAATCTAATGAAAATGCCTACGCATGTATGTTATAGGTTAATAATGTTGGTGTACTTCGTGGGAAGCCAACAACAGAATGTGTGGAAGAAGACTTCTCTTTTCACATGTCAATAAATGTGGAAGCTGCTTTTCATTTTAGCCAGCTTTCACATCCTCTCTTGAAGGCTTCAGGCAATGGAAGTATTGTCTTTATTTCCTCTGTTGCAGGGATTGTATCACTTGATGGTGCATCCATTTATAGTTTAACTAAAGGTAAACATGGTTTGTACTAGAGACAGTTCATTGCAAGACTGACTAACCAAGAAGGGCTGTTTTTATTGTTTTATAGGAGCTTTGATTCAGCTAGCTAAGAATTTGGCATGTGAATGGGCAAAAGACGGCATAAGAGCTAATGCGGTCGCGCCAAATGCTATCACGACTCCTATGTGTCAATCTGTAATAAATCAAAGACAACTTTGTAAATGTTTTTTTTGTGTGAATATAACAGCCTCAGTTTTTCTAATAGTTTCTTAATTGTGTATTCTTGAAGTATCTTGAGGATGTTAGTGTCAAGGAGGCATTGTTGAGTAGAATTCCACTTGGCCGTTGTGGAGAGCCGAATGAAGTTGCATCACTAGTGGTCTTCTTGTGCCTACCTGCAGCTTCTTATATCACTGGTCAAACCATTTGTGTTGATGGAGGTTTCACTGTTAATGGCTTCTCTTATCAGCAGCAGGCTTGAGAATGATCATGTTACCATTTTGTTGTAATATCTTAAACTCCTTATTGGCTTTGTAATACTTATGTGGATTCTTTCCACAAGTGAGAAACACCTATGCAAATCGCTTGAATAATGGTAGATCATTTGGGAAGCTCAACATTCTTATTTAAAAGAAACTAAGCGTACTCTTTTCTAGAGTTATACAATGATTAAGATATGAATATTTATAAAACGGGATGAACAAGATAAGAAGAAAAAAAAGATGAAGCATAGCAGAAACAGAGTAGTCGAAAGCAGAGTAAAACTTGGACTCAAATGAAAAGATGGTCTTGGACACTAATCAACTTACAAACTTTAGTCGATCAAGCCGAAATATCTAATCATGTGACATCTCTGTGGCACAAAAAATTATTGTAATTATCCAAAACTGAATGCAAAAGCTTGAAAGTTATTTCACTTATTATATGTTATACAAAATATATAATTGTGAAGTCAAAAAATCATATGGAGAACTGATTCAAGATCAAGATCAAGATGGAAACCCTATATCTATGCACCTGCCGATGAACAACTAGAAGCTATCAATGTATTAAGAATTTTGTAACACACTAGAATGTTGTTATCTAAACCAAATTATGTTCTCTAATCTGATCTATTTTCTTTTGTGAGAAAACTTAAGTGAAACTGAGTAAAATTTTGGACGAAGATTTTGAATAATATTTTCCATCTTTGATTAGTAGTTAGGACCACTAATCAACTTAGATATTTAGCCATTTTCTCTCTAACTACCATATGCAAGCTTAAGTGATTAAGTAATCAACCAGGAGTCTTTTTTTTTCTGTTTTGTTGATTCCTCATACAAACAAGAAACCTAACCAGGAGATAAGCATGGTGCATGGAATATGTTTCCCATAGTAAACCATGACAACTAAACATCCATCATTACTTAGATCATTTATCACATTCAAAACTCAAAAAGTCAAAAGTATGAAAGTAACGTTCACCTCTTTGTTGCTTATAGTTTCAGTTGTATTTTATGAGTGAAGCTATTGAAAAGAAAAAATGGAGTGAGTATTGGTCGAAGATTTGCGAGGGACCACTAACTTAGATATTGTAGTCATGTTCTCTCTTGTCTTAAGGCTACATAATATTTCCACCACACACTTATCTGATCCACATTCATTTTATACACATATTTTGTGGCATTTCTGATACAAGAAAGATGGATAAAAGATGGAGTCTTCAAAGTATGACTGCTCTTGTCACTGGTGGAGCCAGTGGAATCGGGTTCGTCTTTCTTCTCTGTTGTATCTATATTACTTCTTCTACCCATTCTTCTGTTTGCTATTTAGCTTCATGATGGGTCAAGAGTGTTTAGGTATGCCATAGTGGAGGAGTTAGCTGGTTTTGGAGCAAGAATCCATGTATGCGACATATCTGAAGCTAAGCTCAATCAAAGTTTAAGCGAATGGGAAAAGAAAGGGTTTCAAGTGAGTGGCTCAGTCTGTGATGTAAGCTCTCGTCCTGAGAGAGAGAAACTGATACAAACCGTCTCCTCGCTGTTCGATGGCAAACTCAACATTCTAGTAAGTAAAATGATTTTCATATAGAAATGCATAAGCATATTTGTTTAATGAGAACTCCTTGACAGAATTATAATGCAAAGGCCTAAGCATATATGTTCAAAATATATATAGGTAAACAATGTTGGGGTAGTTCGTGGGAAGCCAGCAACAGAATATGTGGAAGAAGACTTCTCTTTTCACATGTCAATAAATGTGGAAGCTGGTTTCCATTTTAGCCAGCTTTCACATCCTCTCTTGAAGGCTTCAGGCAATGGAAGCATCGTCTTTGTTTCCTCTGCTTTAGGGATTGTATCACTTAATTCTCAATCCATTTATAGTCTGACTAAAGGTAACCATGGTTTGTACTAGAGGCAGTTCATTGCAAAGACTGACTAACCAAGAAAGAGTGTTTTTTGTTGTTGTTGTTGTTGATTTGTTTTACAGGAGCTTTGATTCAGCTAGCTAAAAATTTGGCATGTGAATGGGCAAAAGACGGCATAAGAGCCAATGCTGTTGCGCCGAATATCATCAAGACTCCTATGGCTCAACCTGTAATATAACAAAGACCATTTTTATACATGTTTTTTTTTTTTTTTGATATAACAACATCAATCCCTCTAATAATTTCTCAATTTGTGTGTTCTTAAAGTATCTTGAGGACTTAAGTTTCAAGGAAGGATTGCTCAAAAGAACTCCACTTGGTCGCGCTGGAGAGCCGAATGAAGTTGCATCACTAGTGGTCTTCTTGTGTCTACCTGCAGCATCATACATAACTGGTCAAACCATTTGTGTTGATGGAGGTCTCACTGTTAATGGCTTCTCTTATCAGCAAGAGGCTTGAGAATGGTCATGTTTCGTTTTTGTCTTGATTTCATAAACTCCCTATTGGCCTTGTAACCTGTGAAACGATGTTTGATGCATGGCAAGCTCAACATTCTTATAAGTTAATCTTTATTTAAAGAACCTACACGTGCCCTTTCATAATGTCATACAACGAGATGAACAAGAAACCTAGCAAGAAGATGTTTCCGATTAAAGGAGTAAGCCTTTTGCAGAAACAGAGCAAAAGCAAGCAGAGTAAAACTTGGACTCAAGTGAGAAGATGGTCTTCAACACTCATCCAAATACAGAATCATGTGACTTATATACTATGCTTTAAAATCTCTATTCAAATATGCAATGATGAATCAGTGGAGAGATGACTGAATACTAAATCTTGAAAAGTTATATCCCCTATTCTCTGTTTTACAAAAGATATAATTGTGAAGTCAAATATCATATAGAAGCTATCAATGTATTATGAATTTATGAGTTTAGGGACACACTAGAATGTTGCTTTCTAAACACTTAAAACTAAGTTATGTTCTCCAATGTGACCTCTTGGACGAAGATTTTGACTAAAACTGTTTCATTTTTGTTTAGGACCACTTACTTAGATATTTTAGCAATGTTCTCTCTGACTACTACATAATTTCTCAACCACACATACAAACATACTCAATAATTGAGACTTTATCTGATCCACATTTCATTTGTATTTATATTATGTGACATTTTTGTTCATTGCTAGTAACAAGCAAGAAACATGGATAAAAGATGGAGTCTTCAAGGTATGACTGCTCTTGTAACCGGTGGAGCCAGCGGAATCGGGTTAGTCGTCTTTCTTCTCTGTTCTCTCTCTATATAACCTCTTTTACCCATTGTTCTACTTCTAAATGGTCAACATTTGAAGGAAACTAAGTTTGTGGAATGCTTAGGTATGCCATAGTAGAAGAGTTAGCTGGTTTTGGAGCTAGAGTCTATGTATGTGATATATCCGAAACTCTACTCAATCAAAGTTTAGTCGAATGGGAAAAGAAAGGGTTTCAAGTGAGTGGTTCAATCTGTGATGTATCCTCTCGTCCTGAGAGAGAACAACTGATGCAAACCGTCTCATCGTTGTTTGATGGCAAACTTAACATTCTTGTAAGTAATAAGCATACTCTATATAGACAAGTAAGCATAATCTATAAAAAAAAATACTAAGCTTACTCTATATAGAAACAACTTAGCATACTCTTTAAAATAACAAAACTGATCTTTTATATAAAACAAAGTAAGCATACTCTATATACAAGAAACTATATGAGAGTGACTTGTTATTTACAACATAGGTTAATAACGTGGGAGTACTTCGTGGGAAGCCAACAACAGAATATGTGAAAGAAGATTTCTCTTTTCACATGTCAATAAATGTGGAAGCTGGTTTCCATTTTAGCCAGCTTTCACATCCTCTCTTAAAGGCCTCAGGCTATGGAAGCATCATCTTCCTTTCCTCTGTTGCAGGGGTTGTATCATTTGATTGTGGATCTATTTATAGTCTTACAAAAGGTAACTTAAGTCTATCTGAACTTCATTGCAAATCAATATTTTACATTTGTTTTTTTTATAAATGTTTTGTTAATATCTTTGGCAGGAGCTCTAACTCAGCTAGCTAGAAATTTAGCATGTGAATGGGCAAAAGATGGCATAAGAGCTAATGCTGTTGCACCTAATGCTGTCAAGACTGCTCAGTCTCAATCTGTAAGAGATAAATAAAAACTCATAACATTTTTTAGTTTAGTTGTGAATTTTAAAAACCTCAATTTCTCTAATCATCTCTGAAATTTTTGTTTCTTATAGTTTCTTGAGGACGTGAGTTACAAGGAAGCACTATTTAGTAGAACTCCACTTGGCCGTTGTGGAGAGCCTAATGAAGTTGCATCACTAGTGGTCTTCTTGTGTTTACCTGCAGCTTCCTACATCACTGGTCAAACCATTTGTGTTGATGGAGGCCTCACAGTTAACGGTTTCTCCTATCAACCATAGGCTTGATGAGAATAGCCTTGTCACGTTTGGTTTATAATTTGCTTAAACTCACAAAGTTCTTTATATATATCTAATACAAATTATCACACTATGAGTTCATACATGAAAACATAAATGAATTCATAATTTCATGATTATCTTCTACTTAATTTTTGTTGTCGTTGTTCCATCTATATCAATGATTTTTAAAAGATCGTAGCACAACATTGATTACGCTTATTTTATTTTGTCGTTGTTACGTTACGTCTATGTCACTGATTTTTACATGTTAATTGTGATACAACATGATTATACTTTAATTTTTTTTTCTTGTTGTTATGTCTTTGTCGCATTTTTCGTTTGTCTTAAACTCTCACGACGAGAACGGGATTTGTCATGTTTTATCTCGTGATTTCTTGATTCTTTCACCAGCTGCAAATACAATAATTTAAGAGTAAGGCACGATTACCCTAACAAATAATTAGTAATAGAAACACATTTGACGACCGAAGAAAATTGTAAAATACTACCGAGGAACATCTTACTTTGTCATGTTTAATTTGTTTTTAAGGAATATTTGCACTCGCTAGCAAAACAAATTGAGAAGTATTTAAGAAAAATTATTGGAAGCAAGCAAATTATCTATTAACCATACCAAACTTAGACGATTTTAATTATTAAAAAAAAAATATTTACATATCTATTCAAAATAGATTATGATATTTTGGAACGGAAGGGATTCATTCTACAACAATAGTAAACCGATGTTTTGTTTTGATATCCATCCAAACATAATGATATGTACGGATACCGTTAAAAATAAAAAATAATAAAGTACTAGAAATCTAAAGATATTATAAACTAAGTTTGCAAATTGTCTTTTTAGAAAATAAAATATATTATCAAGAAACTTTTTTTTGTTTCATTATATGAAAATCGTATAATAATATATGTAAACTACAGATTTTCGTTATATTATTTTATATTTATTGAGTCTATATATACTATGTAGCATCTCTGGTCATTGCTAGTCACATGCAAACATAAAATGGATAAAAGATGGAGTCTTCAAGGTATGACTGCCCTTGTAACTGGTGGAGCCAGTGGAATCGGGTTCGTCCTTCTTCTAGCTCTCTGTGTCATATTCTTGACCTATTTTTTGCTTTTATTTAAGATGTTGCTAAATTTTGTTTCGTATGGAATGTTTTAGCCATGCAATAGTAGAGGAATTAGCCAGTTTTGGGGCCAAAATCCATGTATGTGACATATCCAAAACTCTTCTCAATCAAAGTTTATCCGAATGGGAGAGTAAAGGGTTTCAAGTGAGTGGTTCGGTCTGTGATGCATCCATTGGTACCGAGAGAGAAACACTTATGCAAACGGTTGCTACGATATTCGACGGCAAGCTTAACATTCTTGTAAGTTACTCTTAATATACAGAAACAAAGATCATATTATAACTCTTTTAGACCATTAAACATATTTTCATTTCTGTTCAACATATATAGGTAAACAACGTTGGCACAGTTCGCACAAAGCCAACAATAGAATATGTGGCAGAAGATTTCTCGTTCCATATTTCAACAAATTTGGAATCTGCTTATCATCTAAGCCAACTCTCACATCCTCTTCTAAAGGCTTCAGGCTGTGGAAGTATCGTCTTTATATCTTCTATTGCAGGGATAGTATCATTTGATGCTGCATCCCTTTATGGTCTCACGAAAGGTAACTAGGGTTTCATTACAAAACTTACTAATCAATGGAGAGATTTATAAAGGTACTGAACAATTATCAAAAAAAATTAACCGATATGGGATGTACGTATGCTAAAAATTTTGTAATATACGTACGTTAAAAAAAAAATCAAATTGCAATATATGCGGAAAATAATTTTTGTTTTTATCATACATATGATTTAGGTGGAATTTCAAAAATACCCCTTTTCATATACATCTTTTTAAAAATACCCCATTTTCAAACTTTATCAAAAAACCCACTAAAAATATTTAAATTTATCCAAATATGTGTGTAAGCTTATAAATATATACACAAATTACCTTTATATGTGTATAAAACTTTATATACCTTTCATAAATAGTGTAAAAATAAATTATAAAAACCTTATAAAAACCTTATAAAACCGTATAAACCCTTTTAAAAACCTTTTAAAAACCTTATAAAACTTATAAAACGATTTAAAACTATTTAAAACATTTTAAAATATTTGTATCGAATCTCTCAGTAGTAGTTATTATATAGAAGTACCTTATAAACTATATAAAACTTTATAATTTTTTATATTTAAAAAGGGGTATTTTTGAAAATGGATAGATAAAAGGGGTATTTTTAAAAAGGGGTACACCAAAAGAGGTATTTCTCAAAAGTTCTCTATGTTTTATGTAATAAAATAAATTAAACACAAATAAGATCGATTTTGAAGGTTTAAGAAAAGGTGAAAAATAAGTAATGTTAAAAATGATTATTATTAGTTTTTAATATTTTAACTAAATAATTAATGTCAATGGCATAACTTTGTAAATAACTTCCAACTTCAAGGTCTTTTTTCAAAAAAATGTTAATATAGATTATGTATACACGACCTTTATATATTTGACTAAAATTAAATTAAATACTTTTCAAATGATGTAGTTCTCTTTGATGGATCACAAATCTTTATCCATTAATGTATATGGTTCATGATCTTTCTCCAAAGCTATTCCAACGGCTATATTAGGTCTAATTTTCTTTGTAGTTTATGTGTTTTTTTTCCTTGTGTGTGTATATTTTCTTGTTTACAGGGGCTTTGAATCAACTAGCAAGAAATTTGGCTTGTGAATGGGCAAAAGATGGCATAACGGCAAACGCTGTTGCTCCTAACTTTATCCGCACTTCATTGACTCAATCTGTAATACACGCATGCACACCCTCACACCTTTTTTCATTTTTTGGTCTTTTACAAATAACATCATCCACATCTTATACTTGTTTCTTACAACAATCAGTTTCTCGAAGATGCCGGTTTCAACGAGAGTTTGTCCAGTAAAACTCCACTTGGTCGTGCGGGAGAACCAAGAGAGGTTGCATCACTTGTGGCTTTTCTGTGTCTACCTGCAGCTTCATATATTACTGGTCAGACCATTTGTGTTGATGGAGGTCTTACAGTTAGTGGCTTCTCCTATCAGCCACCACAGGCTTGAGAGCAGTTGAGCCGAGTCTTGTCCTTTGGTTTGGTCTCATCAAGAACGTCCAACGATATATTCTCATGTATCATATTTTATCGAAGTAAGAACTTGTCTTTTTGACTCGAGAGGAAAAAGTATTTTGCTCTAGAAATAATTACATGAGATCAAAAATATGAACACAAAGATAGTTACTATTATATTCTTAACCTGTTAGTATCCTTAAATTTCAACTATATTGTAAAGATGACTCATCATCATCACTTACATCACCAACTCTCCCATACTAATTTAAAGGAAACGGTGCCTATCAAAAATATACGTCATTATCTTTAGCCCCATTAAATATTTTAAACTAAATTCAGTCATTCTTATGACTACTTTGATCTTTAATTTGTCACGTACTGTTGGTTGGTGAGAACCTAAATTGATGAAATTGAGATACATTGAATATCTAGGTTGCCTAGCTAGCTTACATAGTACCACTAGTCTCTCAGATTTTTTGATAATAGTATTGAATTGTTTTCCAATCATATGAATTTTTTTGAGAATACTTGAACACCTGATCAGATATTGTTTTTATATGAAAACATATAGAAATAGTAATGTAATTGAGTGGAATTAATTGTCAATAAAAATGTGAAAAAACCATCAGAATGAATTATTATGAAAGGAACAATAGATTTAGATAAACTTGGCAAAATAATATGACTCAATGATTTTATTATATATATGATTTTACAATTCTGAGGATTGAGATCATTGAGCTGAGTCTTCTTCCTTTGCAATAACCAAACAATTTCAATTATATATATCCTTGAAATTTATTCAACCATATATGAAATATTTTACGTAAGCTCTACTTCTTCGATCGATAGATATCAAAAGAGCATAATTACACTTTCCCAAATGTAGCAAATGATCAACAAAAACTCCCTCAGTTAAAGAGAGAAATGGACAAATGAGATTTTTATCATACTATGGGTTAAACTTCTGAATATATTGGTAAATTGTGGCATGATCATGAAACCAAACAAAGAAGATAAGCACCAAAAGTATGAAAGAATCATTTATCGTTTTGTTTTTGACTATTAATAGCCCCTTCATTTTGACTTATAGACTTTTGGCATGTTCTTTATTTTGGAATGATTTTGACTATTAATAGTTCATTTTTCCTCTGTTACAAAAAAAAATAGTTCATTTTTCTCTAGACCATTAACTTTTTTTACTTTGGCATGTTCTTTAGTGGTTATCACAGATTTTGCCATTTTTGCCTCCCCATTTTTCATTTTCGCCATTTTCCATTTGTCTTTCAAATATGCCCTTTTTTTACAACTTAAAAAAAAAACTAAATATTTGAGAAATTCTTTTCATAAAACATATACTTAGTAAAATATACTATACCCTACAAAAAAAGATATAACCAAATCAACCCAAAAATCATATATCAAATTGTGTTTTGTATAAAACAAAATAGCAAATTTAAAAGTTTTTACTGGCAAAATTTGTAAACACTCTCCACAAAGGATGATGCTTGTAATTGATCCATGTTCTTTATTATGGCTAATTTCTTCACCTAACATATAAAACAAAATCATTAATTGACAATTATGTCATTAACTGTATATATGTAATATGTAGCATTTCTGGTCATTGCAAGTAACATACATAGGAAAATGGATAAAAGATGGAGTCTTCAAGGTATGACTGCTCTTGTAACCGGTGCAGCCAGCGGAATCGGGTTAGTCTTTCTTCTCTCTTTATCATTCTTATTACACATTGTTATGCTTCTCTTTTAACATCTTAAATGGTCAAGATTTCAAGGAAATTAAGTTTGTGTAATGCTCAGGTATGCCATAGTAGAGGAGTTGGCTGGTTTTGGAGCTAGAATCCATGTATGCGACATTTCTGAAGCTAAGCTCAATCAAAGTTTAAGGGAATGGGAAAAGAAAGGGTTTCAAGTGAGTGGCTCAGTCTGTGATGTAACCTCTCGCCCTGAGAGAGAGAAACTAACGCAAATCGTCTCCTCGCTGTTCGATGGCAAACTCAATATTCTAGTAAGTAAAATGATCTTAATGATGATACTAATGAACTTAAGCATATTCATGAGGGGACAACTCTTAAAAGACTCATTGTTTTCAACATGTATAGGTAAACAATGTAGGCAGAGTCCGCACAAAGCCTACGACAGAGTATACAGAAGAAGATTTCGCTTTCCATATCTCATCAAATGTGGAAGCTGCTTACCATTTTGGCCAACTCGCACATCCACTTCTAAAGGCTTCAGGCTATGGAAGCATCATCTTTGTTTCCTCTGTTGCAGGGGTTATATCTTTTGATGCTGGATCCATTTATGGTCTAACGAAAGGTAAGTAGAGAATGAGTTACTACTAGAAGCATATATAGATCCATGCAGTTCATATTGCAAGACTGACTAAACAACACCAAGTTTTGTCTTTTTATTTTTCTGTGTTTTGTTGATTTGTTTTACAGGAGCTTTGATTCAGCTAGCTAGAAATTTGGCATGTGAATGGGCAAAAGACGGCATACGAGCCAATGCTGTTGCACCTAGTGTCATCAATACTCCTCTGTCTCAATCTGTAATCAAAACAGTTTTTACATTTTCTTGTGATTGTAAAAACCATATACAGGTCTCTAGTCCTAACCACTCTTAATTGTTTTTTTTTTTTTTTCAAAAGTATCTTGAGGACGTCAGTTTCAAGAATGGATTGTTGAGTAGGACTCCACTTGGTCGTGTCGGAGAGCCAAATGAGGTTGCATCACTAGTGGTCTTCTTGTGTCTACCTGCAGCTTCATATATCACTGGTCAAACCATTTGTGTTGATGGAGGTCTCGCTGTTAATGGTTTCTCCTATCAACCACAGGCTTGAGCATGGCATTGTGGTGTTTTGTTTGTTTGTCTTAAGATTCTCAATATTTTCTCTCTAATAAAAACTCACAAACCATGAGTTCATTAATGATATCACAATACCATTGTGGAGATTACACTTGCAATGCCAACAACTTCACACTTTGCTTCACAACCTTATGTCTTGATGACTCAATGGAGATAATGGGGCGTCTCTGTGGCACACACCATCGTTGTGATTATCCAAAAGTGCGTGCAAAATCTTGAAAGTTATTACCTTTATTCTCTGTTTTACAAAAGATATCATTAAAATATCAAGATCCATCATTACTTACATAATCATTTTGTCACACCAAAAGGTATAAGAAATATTCTCCTTTTTTGCTCCAATCGAAAAAAAATATATAACCAACTTTGAAGATTTGATTAATTATAAAAAGGGCTCAAAAATACTAATAAAAATCAAAAATATTTCCAAAGTAAAAGTTGTAAGAACCCAAAGTTAATTTTACGGTAAACACTTTTTACCTAAGAAACAAAGGAGGAAGTTTGTCCACGTCAAATATAATAATTTTCTGTCACGTCAAAAAAAGGAGGAACTCTATCCACTTCAAGTTGTTGTTGTCACAGTCTAAACAAAAATCTCGACTTCTAGTTTCAGTTGTCTTTTGTGAGTGAAGTTATTGAATTAGACAAATGAACAAGTTTTGGACAATGATTTGACAACAGGTCAATTATTAGGCAGGGCTATGTTGGACGTTCTTGAGAAAAACGTTGCAATATATCCCAAAGAGAGAAAGAAAGAAGCCTATTGATGTGTGTTGTTATCAGTGATGTTATTAAAAAGACACAAATAAGTAAGTTTGGTTGAAGATTTTGACTATAAATAGTCATGTTTGCTTGGAACCACTAGTTTAAGTACTTTTGTCATGTAACATTTCCATCACACATGCCAATATACTCATCAAGTTTGCACTTGATAGTCCACATTCATTTAGGGGGTGTTATTGGATGGAGAATTTTAAGGGATTTTAATTACGGGTAGATTTTAAAGTTCAATAGCCTTTAAATACAATTAAGATGGATTTGGTATGAAAGAGATGAAATCCTTTGAAAAGTGTTAGGATTGTGTTTGTACGTGTTTTAGATGTAAAATACATTAAAATCTTAAATGAAACAAAATCCATTGAAAATTGAATAACGCTTGTTTTAAAATACTTTAAAATACATCCAACAAATGTTAAATTCAATAACAGCAGATTTTATTGTGGTTTTTAAAATATATCGTTAAATAACGCTAGATTTTGAAATACATCCAAATCAATTAAAATACAAGGTTGAATAACACCCCCTTATTGTCATTGCCAATCAAACTTGGTAGATATCACTATTAGGACTTGGCCAATGTTTATCACGTTTTATGTTTCCTATGTATGCTTAACTAATATATCCACCTCATATTCAAAGGCTTAGTGATCTATCTTCATACTATTTATAATATGTGGAACGTCTAGTTAGTGACAGACAAGTCATAGAAAGTATCAATGGATAACAACAGATGGAGTCTTCAAAGTATGACTGCTCTTGTGACCGGTGGAGCCAGCGGAATTGGGTTTGTATTTCTTCTAAATTCTCTCTGTATCTATTGTTCTGTTTCTATATAAAATCATAAAAGATCGTTTCTCGAATATTTAGCTATGCCATAGTAGAGGAGTTAGCTGGTTTTGGAGCTAGAGTCCATGTATGTGATATATCTGAAACTAAGCTTAACCAAAGTTTAAGCGAATGGGAAAAGAAAGGGTTTCAAGTGAGTGGCTCAGTCTGTGATGTAACCTCTCGTCCCAAAAGAGAAAAATTGATGCAAACTGTATCCTCATTGTTTGGTGGCAAACTCAACATTTTAGTAAGTAACTTGTTGTTGAAGAAACTGGTTGAGTTTAGCATTTTCTTGGGGGAAAAGTTTTAGAGACTCATTTGTGCAACACAGGTAAACAATGTAGGTGGAATTCGCAACAAACCAACGATAGAGACCGTGGCAGAAGATTTCTCGTTCCATATCTCAACAAACTTGGAATCTGCTTATCATCTAAGCCAGATTTCACATCCTTTGATGAAGGCTTCAGGATTTGGAAGTATCGTCTTCATTTCCTCTATCGGAGGCGTTGTTTCGATGGCCTGCGGATCTCTTTTTTCTCTAGCAAAAGGTAAATAGAGTTGCTACTAGAGGCAAGACACAAGTCCCAAAAAGGAATTTTAAAATGTGTTTTTACATCTTTTACAGGAGCTCTGCATCAGCTAGCTAAAAATTTGGCATGTGAATGGGCAAAAGATGGCATAAGAGCCAATGTTGTTGCACCAAATGCTATCACGACTCCTATGTCTCAACCTGTAACTAAAAAAACAAAATTGTACATTTGTTATTTTGTGTGAATGTATCAAACTCAGTTCCTCTAATAATTTCTTAATTGTTTTTTCTTGAAGTTTCTTGACGACATCAGTTTCAAGGAGGCATTGTTGAGTAGAACTCCACTTGGCCGTGTTGGAGAGCCTAATGAAGTTGCATCTCTAGTGGTCTTCTTGTGTCTACCTGCAGCTTCTTATATCACTGGCCAAACCATTTGTATTGATGGTGGTCTCACTGTTAATGGCTTCTCGTATCAGCCCCATTCTTGAAAGTCGCCTTGTAGCGTTCTGTTTGGTTATCCTAAACCTCAATGTTCGTTGTATAATAAAAACTCAGCCACGCTGTGAGATTAGTATTTGCATGAAAACAGAAACGAGAGTTCACTTTTCTACTGTGGAGAGGTTAATCTCGCTAAGATATACAATATTTTGATGTATGTGCTTAAAGAATCTATATTATTTAAAATTCATATGGTTTTCAAAATTAATAAAATTTTCCAAATATTATATGAATTTACAAATAAATGATCGAATAAACTCCCCTAAAATTAAGAGAAATATATAAAAGCGGATATTTCACTGGAATATTCTCGTGAATTCATATTTCGAAGAGGAAATTTAACTGTTCGACTGGAAAATTTAGGGGAAAGTGATTATGCCTGTTAAGATGTTTAATTCGTCAATCAAACATCATTATCTCTAAATGTTTGTGTAAAGCTTCCAACATTAGAATAAAAAACCATATCTAACCAAGGCCTTAAGCTTTGTTTCGTTCATCATCCAAACTTTAAATTCATCTTTTACAAAGATATTTAAACAAGGGAAGAAATAATAATACAATAAACCAGGTCATTTGTGAGTAACTGATTATACTATATAAGCTTTGTTCGTTACAGTGTCACCGACAACACCTTTCAGCGACTTAAATATAACTAAGTACAAGAAAATATTTGATACTTCAGTTTCATTTTATATATGTGTTGATTAATACGCATGCATATACAAATGCACGGGAAGATACGTATATGGGATAACAACTATAGTAGAGAAGCTCAAGCTTTACAAGTGTACGTTGACAACATAATAGAGCTAGTACACCTTACACTTGAATATATATGGATGTTATGTAATTATGTTAGAGATATGATTCAATACACATTTACTTCTCAATATTTGATTTCTCTAAATTATGTATTTGCATAACCCTAGAGGCTCATATATATCCTCCTTCTATGTACATCATCTATATATATAAAGTTAGCTTTTTCTCTCTTCTCATGATGCCACCTAAGCATCCACCTAAGCCACATTATTTTTTACACTAAAATAAATTTAAAACATTCATTTAGTGCATATTTATGCTACTTATTTAATTAATAAAAAATTTATATAAATAAAATAAATTATGTAAATAAATGAAATGTTAAATAAGAAATACTTTCATTTTTTATTAGTTAGTAGTAATAATATAATTCAACTTTCATTTTAAATTGATCATAGTTTAAAATTTTAAATGTGTTACTGAGTTTAAGAATGTAAGTAAATTTTAAATTTATGGTAGAATAAAAACAAAATTTATGTAATTGTATATATAAAATTTTAAAGGGGAAAAGTAAAATTGAAAGTGAAATATTAGTTTAGAACATGATCAAAAAAAAATGCTTTTAATCCAAATTTAAATATTGAAAGATAATAATTCAAGAGAAAATAACTATAATATGTTTTGAAAATCAATTAAAATAACTAAAAGATCACAATATAAATAAAAAAATTAACAAAAAAATTATAAACCTTCCGCGCGCAGCGCGGATCCACTGCTAGTTTTGAATATATAGAAAATACAGCTTCTATATATATGTTACTCTCATGATTGATGTTGATGTAACTAACCCGTCTCCATCGGCATTGTGGCAATGGATGGTCCCTCATCCACGGGTTTGTTGATGTAACTCTTCATCGTTGGCATCGATGTCAATAGATATTGGTCCCTCATTCACATGGTTGGAAATTTTAGCACGTTTAGTTGTTTGGTTTGTTTTTTTCCTTATGGAATCTTAATCTCTCAACCATATATGTTTGGTAGTACATTATAAATATGTGATCTACTTTTATTCAATGTATAAGCTATATATATGATCATTGATTAGTAGTTGATACATAGTTTACTGTTTACGGCCGGGCTTGATTAGTAGTTGATACAGCGTTCATGGATGTGATTTGTGAATGAGTTTGAATAGAAAAAATTATGAAATATTTTTGGGGTTATATTTGATTTTTAGTTAATATTAATTAACTAAATAATAAACTTTTAGAATACTGGTTTTGAGAAAACTCATCTTTTAAAACATGTTTATTGGGACAATGCACATCCTTTAGCCCGACATACATATGTATTTGGAAAGCTACCACTTGAAAGAACATAACTTTAGCATATTATACTAAAGAATAATAATGGGTGCAAAATTGATATAAAAATTAATTATTACGTTTTATGTCTGTTTATTTTTTATTTTTTTTTAAAATTTCTTACCATAGCTTAGTTTTATATTTCAATAAATAATTGTAACAGATTAATAAAGTTTAACTCCTTAGCTATGTGTTATATCACTAGCTCTTCGTTGAATATTATAGCCTATTCTTCGGAGTTACCAAAGCTTTACTCCACACGATGAAAAATTGTAGCTAGTCTGTTGCGAAGTTTAACCCTTTGTCAATTGTTGTTTAACCCAAAGAAATTTCCATAGCCACTTTAAGGTTTGTGACGGAAAAATCGAAGGACTAAATTGATACATGTTAATCTAAACTTTTAAGCTAATATAAATTAGCGTTACGTAAATAAATTTAAACTAAATGGTGTATATATATGTGGTGTTCTAATACTATAGGGGTCTCCATTATGAATTGATAAAAACTTTCTTTACCACACAAGGATTGTCAAAATGAAAAACATTATGTGGACGTCTGAATCAATTCTTTATAAGATCCATTGAAGAAAAGAATCGTCGCAGGATGATAACGAAGATCCCAATGGCAAAGATAGGGGAAAGGTTGGGAGAGAACTCTAGATGGAGTCTTGGAGGCATGACCGCTCTTGTCACTGGTGGCACTCAAGGCATCGGGTTAGTCGTCAAACTTAGTTTCCCATTTTCGTAGATTTGTATGCTCTTTCATTGCATTGTTATTATAATAAATATAGGTGTGTGTCATGAATATATAGGAAAGCTATAGTGGAGGAACTAGCTATGTTGGGAGCAAGGGTTCACACATGTGCAAGGGACGAAACTCAGCTTCAAGAACGTTTAGGTGAATGGCAAGTAAAAGGGTTTCAGGTCACCACTTCTGTTTGCGACGTTTCTTCTCGTGATCACCAACGAGAGAAACTCATGGAAACCGTTTCCTCTCTCTTCCAAGGAAAACTTAACATCCTCGTAAGTATACATTTATAAGCCCGGGGTGGGATCTAGAAGAAACAATTCATGTTGTGTTTTATGCTTTATATATATAGGTCAACAATGTAGGAACGTTTATAGTTAAGCCGACCACAGAGTATACAGCTGAAGAATTCTCTTTTCTAATGGCTACAAATCTGGAGTCAGCTTTTCATCTCTCACAACTCGCGCATCCTTTGTTAAAAGCTTCTGGCTCAGGGAGCATCGTGCTCATGTCTTCTGTTTCTGGAGTTGTGCATGTCAGTCTTGGATCCATATATGGAGCAACCAAAGGTATGGGATATAGATGTACATCCTTAACACACAATATTTTTCCCTTGGGTTATGATGCTTACGCATATATTGAGTAATTTCAGGAGCAATGAATCAGCTGGCTAGAAACTTAGCTTGCGAATGGGCGAGTGATAACATAAGGACTAACTCTGTTTGTCCTTGGTATATCACAACTCCTTTAACTAAAAACGTAAGGCCAAAACTAAACGCTCTCCTTAGCAATATGTAAATAAAAAATATTATCTATATATATGTTTTTAACTAATACGAAAAATCTCTTAGCATCTCAATGACAAAGAGGTTATAAAAGAATGTGAGCGTAGGACAGCCCTAGGACGTACCGGAGAGGCAAATGAAGTCTCACCACTTGTGGCATTTCTTTGTCTTCCTTCAGCTTCTTATATCACTGGCCAGACCATTTGCGTTGATGGAGGTGCCACTGTCAACGGTTTCTCCTTCAAGCCTCTGCCTTAAACACACACATATTTGCATGTGTTCGCATCATATTTTCCAATAATAAAACCTACGGGTTATATAAAATATCCCAATTTGTAATATGTAATAACTAATAAATGTAATTTTTTTTTTTTTAATAAATGTAATTTAGATATGTCATATGTCGATTCTTTTCAGCTAATCTGTTCGTAGTGTCATATTAGTTTTTCTCTATAAAGCCACTTTATATATATACTAAAAGGTAAAAATACGTCGTAACCGTATTAAATTATTTGTAAGCATTTTCTTAACTAAAAATAATATGATTGTGGTAAAATATATAGTTTTCTTATAAATATAGGCAATATGTGATCGTCCATGTATCATTACTTATTTATTAGCATTTGATTAACAAAGTAAGACTCATCATCACTTAGATCATCAATTCTCTCCCCATCATAGCTAAAACCCTTTTTGTTTTTAAATTGGAAAACACTTTATTAGTTACGTAATCACAATGCCCAACTTAATATATAATACTAAACTTAATTTAGTCGTATGGATTTTACTTTGATCTCTAATTTGTCTCCCAACCGCACCAGTCACAACGTCACTAGATACGATGGCTCTCCTCAATTACTTTGAACATTCTCATAACCTCGTAACATTATTTATTGTATATTGCCATTAATCTCATTATCCTTTCTCATCAAACGATAACATAAATCATCACACAATAAGTCAACAATGGCTAGAGCAGCACAGAGCAACAAATGGAGTCTTCAAGGCATGACCGCTCTTGTCACCGGTGGAACCAAAGGCATAGGGTTTGTCTTCCACCATCCTTTTTTCCAAGTCACATTTCTTGCGTTACAAGAGACAACAAAAAAAAAACCTTATTTTGCTTATAGATTTATTGTTGTTGATGAATCGTCTCTAGGCATGCTATATTAAAGGAACTCGCAGGACTTGGAGCTACAATACATACTTGTGCAAGAGACGAAACTCAGCTTAACCAATGTTTAAAAGAATGGGAAACGAAAGGCTTCAACGTCACAGGATCGGTTTGTGACATATCTTCCCATACCGATAGAGAGAAACTGATGCAAACTGTCTCCTCTCTGTTTGAAGGCAAACTCAACATCCTCGTCTGTCTTCTCTTCTCTATTTCACCACAAAGTTGGTGAAAAATCTCATGAGATACTAATTATAGGAATTATATAGATAAACAATGTAGGAACATGTGTGACAAAGCCAACAACAGAATCCACAACAGAGGATTTCTTGTATCAAATCTCAACAAATTTGGAGTCTGCATACCATTTGTGCCAGCTTGATCATCCTCTACTCAAATCCTCTGGTTACGGAAGCATCGTCTTCATTTCCTCTGCTGCTGGAGTTGTCTCATGTAGCGTTGGATCCATCTATGGTGCAACTAAAGGAGCTATTTGCCAACTGGCGAGGAGCTTAGCTTGCGAATGAGCTAGCGACAACATGAGGGCTAACTCTGTTGCTCCTGGAGTCATTTCAACTCCTCCAGCTAAAACTGTAAACTCTTCAAAAACACTCTTTTAACAAAATGTTACACGATCATGTAAATTAATTGGTTTCTCTTGTTTAAGTTTATACAAGGAGAGGAGTTTGCAAAGAATATTGCGCCAAATATACCAATGCGCGCTGGATAGCCAGAAGAAGTGGCTGCAATGACTGTGTCTCTGTGTCTTCCTGCTGCTTCTTACGTTACAGGCCAAACCATGTGTTGATGGAGCTCTCTCTGTTCATGCCTTCTAAAGTCTTCCATATGCTTTTGTAGCGGAAGCAAAACTAGAACAAATGGATCTAACATTCTCGTGACTAGAAGCAGTGACGCCACATACCCACGATGCTGATCGTCTGATGCTCTGATACCATGAAGGAAATCTCAAAACAAGAAAGATTCAATCTTTATTAAGATAACTAAGAAATAAGATAGCTCATTTATGAGCTTTATTGTGTAGAGAAACTAAGATAAAAGAGACTTTAGATTGTCACCAAGATCCAAATGATTTTTGATTGATCTCTTACAAAGATTAAGAAGAGAGTTACCACATGAGGCAACTCCCAAAGATACTTATCTTCTTCACACTACACAAATTTATATATGAATCTTTCTTGATGAAAACCCTAAAGCCATGCATGGCTTCATGGGCTGTTTCTTAATTATGATACTAATTAGGCCTTTAATGTGTGCTCTAATAATTTGTTCTTTCCAATTTTATGTAATCCAGTTTGATACATTCTATGTTTTGTTTCCAACCATCTGAGTGAGTTTAATGAATAAAAGCAAGTTATCAATAACCTTACGAGTTACGTAACGTCTGTATTAAACAATGTTCTTATTAAAACGACGTACGTAAAGAAAAGAATCAACACAATCCCATGTAGTTGGGCCTAAACCCTCAACAAAGGCCCGTGACATCGTTCCCATGGGTATGGCCTAGTGTAATTATGAAAGGTCGTTATCTTCAGTCATTATGAATTTTTCTCAACCATTCAGATCTGCAGGGAAAGATCTTTGGTTCTGTGATTCAATACTCAGAATGGCAAAAACAGGGGAAAGCTTGAGAGAGAATCCTAGATGGAGTCTTCGAGGCATGACCGCTCTTGTAACCGGTGGCTCCAAAGGCATCGGGTCAGTCCCAAATCTCTACCTTACCTATTTTTCTAACTAGTCCAATATCAAATCTGAAATCTCATTTCTATTTTAGATTTATATATGGATCTTTTGATTGTACATCCAATAAAAAAAAGAATAGCTTCATGAAATGATTATGTTAAACCCCAAATGTATATGTGTGCCATTAATAGAGAAGCTATAGTAGAGGAACTAGCTATGTTGGGAGCAAGAGTCCACACATGTGCCAGAGACGAAACTGAACTTCAAGAAAGCTTACGTAAATGGCAAGAAAAGGGGTTTCAGGTTACTACTTCTGTTTGTGATGTTTCTTCTCGTGACCAACGAGAGAAACTCATGGAAACCGTTTCTTCTGTCTTCCAAGGAAAACTCAACATATTAGTGAGTAATCTATATGTATATATATAAGCTTTTATGCATATAAGAAAGTGACTTTTTGTTGTGTGGCTTCTTATGTTTTTGGTTTTAATCAATATATAAAGGTAAACAATGTGGGAGCTATTATAGTCAAGCCGACAGTAATGCATACATCAGAAGATTTCTCATTTACGATAGCTACAAATCTCGAGTCAGCTTTTCATCTCTCACAGCTCGCACACCCTTTGTTAAAAGCCTCTGGTTCAGGGAACATCGTGCTCATCTCCTCCGTATCTGGAGTTGTGCATGTCACTGGTGCGTCCATGTACGGAGCTAGTAAAGGTATATATCTATAATCTATATGAAAGCATAAATATTCAAACAATTAATGATGCATCACGTTCCAAGAGTTATGAAAATGTAAGTGTTTTCTTTTCTAGGAGCATTGAATCAGCTAGGAAGAAACTTAGCATGCGAGTGGGCAAGTGACAACATTAGGGTTAACTCTGTGTGTCCATGGTTCATAGCAACTCCTTTCGTTAACGAAGTAAGACAATATATATGAAAGTTAAGAATTAATTTATATAAATCGAATTCTTCTCAATTGTAATATAAGTGACAAATCTATTTAGGTTCTTAGTGATAAAGAGTTCAGAAATGAAGTGGAGAGTAGGCCACCGATGGGACGTGTTGGAGAGCCAAATGAAGTATCATCACTTGTGGCATTTCTTTGTCTTCCTGCAGCTTCTTATATAACAGGTCAAACCATTTGCGTTGATGGAGGTTTTACTATTAATGGTTTCTCTTACAAACCTCTGCCTTAAGGCCAAATTAGATTGTTTCCGTTTATATTTACGTTTATTATCATTTCTATAACCATTTTAGTGTCTTTTTATATCTTAACTCAGAGTTGTAAAATATTTGTGAATTACCCAAAAAAAAAAAATGGGAGTTCGAAATAAGACAGCTCTAAAATATATTCCATGCTTGTGTTTTATGCGATTCTAGTGGTTTAATTGCAAAACTGTAACAAATGTTTTGATAATATTTTCAGTTTATATATTATATAAAGACTTTTTTCTACTAAGTTCAAAAAAAAAAGGAATTTTCTAGTTGTGAATACTATAGGGAAGGAGACAGGTTAGGAATATCTGTGTAGATGTAGATGGAGCTCTCTCCTACAGTCCTACTGATCCGTTCATCATGCCTTCTAAGCCCTCCAGCAAGGCAAATCTTTTATCAGCCAAAACAAATTGTTTTTTTTCGAAAACTATATATCATTTCTAAAATTTTATTGTATTTAAACTTTTTATTTAATTTAATATTTATAGTTAGAATGGTAGCACAGAAACGCCTAGATAACAATATGTATGAAAATAAATATACTAAAATTACATATATTTCCACAATTTTATTGTATCTAAAGTTTGATGTGTATTAATTGGTTAAATGTAGAGATATTAGTTTATATGGTACTGTAAATGGTATTAAAGAAAATATATCTTATTAAATATCATAGTAATAAATTTTTTTAGAAGCTACACGTTAAAGTATAGATACTGTATATGTGTCACATGTCATAACATGAAAGTACAAATGTGAATTATAATAGAGATATATTCCTTCCAAAAAAAACCTTGTCATATTATATAAGATTTTCCAAAATTTTATTGTAATTAAAGTTTTTATGTATATTAATTGGTTAAATATAGGATTAGTGTGTATTTATTTAATTTAGTTAAATAAATATGTAAAGTGAAGATAATATAATATGTCTAAAAGTAGATATACTATCATTTCCATAATTGTATTGTATCTAATTATTTATGTGTCTTAATTGGTGAATCTAGTGGTATCAAAGAAAACTTATCTTATTATAATAAAATATAAAGAAAAGTTAAACTTTGAAGTATTATATATATATATATATATGCCAAATGTGAAGTGTCATAATTATAGGGCGTTTTACAAAACTACTCATCTTTGGACGGATCCACCCAATAATTTAGCCGATCTTTGGCCCCCTTTTCAAATTATCGTGAAAAATAGTTTTTTCCTACAAGCCTTGCATCGTTACGTGTGGTCTACAAAAGACGAACGGTTATTGTCATTAGCTTCTCGACAGAGAGATACTAATCTTCACGAAAAGACATCTTCCTTTGTGATTGAATTACTCAAAATCATTTTAGAAATGGCTAAGACAGAAGAAAATATGAGTAACAAATCTAGATGGAGTCTTGGAGGCATGACCGCTCTTGTCACTGGTGGTACTAAAGGCATCGGGTCAGTCCCAATAACTTCTACCTTACCTACTTTACTACTAGTTCAGTATTGAATCTGTGCTCTCATTCTAGTATTCGATTTATGTGAATGTTTTGATCTATTCCGATGTTTATAATCAAGACAACCCTAATTAAAAAAGAGCAACGCTGAATGATTTCTAAACTAAAAATTTCATGTGTGCTATAAACAGAAAAGCTGTGGTGGAAGAACTAGCTATGTTAGGAGCAAGAGTTCACACATGTGCCAGGGATGAAACTCTCCTTCAAGAACGCTTACGTGAATGGCAAGCAAAAGGGTTTCAGGTCACCACTTCTGTTTGCGACGTTTCTTCTCGTGACCAGCGAGTGAAACTCATGGAGACTGTTTCATCTCTCTTCCAAGGAAAACTCAATATCCTCGTAAGTAGTTATATATATATTAAAAATCTCCTCCTCAGCCTCAAGGTTGAAACCACAGTGACCAAATCATGTTCTGTTTGGGTGTATATAGGTACCCAACGTTGGTACAGGTGTAGTAAAGCCGACCACAGAGTGTACAGCAGAAGAATTTTCATTTATAATGGCTACAAATCTGGAGTCAACTTTTCATCTCTCACAGCTCGCACACCCTTTGTTGAAAGCCTCTGGTGCAGGGAGTATTGTGTTCATGTCTTCCGTTTCTGGGGTTGTGAACTTGGGTGGTACATCCATTTATGGAGCAACCAAAGGTATAAACAACTAATGATCTTTTGCTTTTATTGATACTTATACTTACATACATGTACGCATTTTATAGGAGCAATGAATCAGCTGGCGAGAAATTTGGCATGTGAGTGGGCGTGCGATAACATAAGGACCAACTCTGTTTGTCCATGGTTCATCACAACTCCGGCAGCTAAAGATGTAATAAAGACAAAGAACAAACATAAATCTTGTCAATACTAAAGAAAATATGATATAACTAGCTAGTAATTCTGATGGATCTTATTCTGTATGAAAATGTTTTAGTTTCTCAGTGGTGAAGGTGTAAAAGAAAAGGTGGAGAGCGTGACACCATTGAAGCGTGTTGGAGAGGCTAATGAAGTATCATCGCTTGTTGCATTTCTTTGTCTTCCTGCAGCTTCTTACATAACAGGTCAAACCATTTGCGTTGATGGAGGTTTCACTATTAACGGCTTCTCTATGCCTTAATTAAGACGTATATATGCATGTTGCATGCCTAAATATGTGTGATTTGTGGTCTAGTTAAGTGCCACTATTTATGGATAATATTCTTAATAATTTTAATCTATGCAAGCTATATACATTTAAGTTATGTTGATGGAGCTCACTCCTTCGTTCATGCCTTGTAATGCTTGGAAGGAATCCAAACTCTAATCTTATCGAATAAGAATTTGGTCGTGTTCGTATTCGATGTTTGTTTCTTTCCAATCCATCCAATATAGTGTGTGGTGTGCTATACTTATATGTATAAAATATTATGATCCTATAAATTGTAGTATAGACATATGTAATGACAACCATACGATATTCAACTATAATGTCCCTTTCCTCGCTTGCTTTACGGGTTATGGCTAAAAACTAAAGTAAGTTTTAAATTGTAAAATGAAGACGTTGTAGCCGTCTTTGTAGTTTTTGCTCGGTAAACTGTAAACCATTCGGGTCTAGCATATAGTTTCCCCGGCCAGAGACGTCTTCACGAATATTTTATACGCTAAATGATGCAAGGTGTTACGAGATTTCACAAATTGCACGAAGCTTAAATTTGTATCTCGTGAATAAATTAAATTTGACGAGATGTGGACACACACTGATATCTTTGTTTTATAAATTGTTCATACCACCATCGCACCATATGTGATTACTCTCCTACATATTATATATTCGATACGATGCTCTGGTCTCAAAAGATTATAGCAATAGGAAAAAGTGAGATACAAGTTAATCTATCACATGCATATATTAAGTTTTTTTCTTTGTTAACGTGTCTACTGTCTAGCTAACAAAACATATAAAGTATCGCACTAAAGCTTGTTAGGTTTATATAAAGCAAACATAATTTAGGTTATTTATGTAACAAATATGAAAAACTAACGTAATGAAACTCCTCAAGTATTTTAAAATAGAGAAAAACAAAACCTACATTGAGGGGAAAAGCTACGTACGACTAAAACGTACACTCGTGGCGCATTAGAACTTCCTATGTTCCTTGCTGTGTCAATTTGATTGGACCACGAATCTCGCACACTCGTTACTGACACTTACGTGAAATATTATTTTTTTAGTAGAAAGAGTTTTATAATTGTTTTCTGAAGAGGCAGGTTTGTGTATAAAATAGAGTGCGAGTTGTAACGTGTAAATGACATTATTTCTCTATTTGAATGGTTCATGAGTTTCTTTTTATTAACTAGTGAAGTAACAACACCTAAAACAGGATTCAACGTTACTTGAAATAGAGCAAAAACTAATTGACGTGATCGGAGTTTTTAGTTTTTGTTTGTTCTTTTCGATATGGCGGATATATGTTACGAAGTGGTGACTGACGCATCTCTGCCGTCGGTTTATGAATCGACGCCGCCACATTCACGGCGGAGGCAGCGGTTTAAGACGGTGATGCAAGAAGATTGGGAGAGGAATTGTAAACGTAATAAACAAGAGGAGGCTCTAGCTATTACTAACCATAAAGTTGACGTATCCGGCGAGACTTCCACGACGGAGCTCAGTCCGAGATACGGTGTTTCATCGGTGTGTGGTAGGAGAAGAGAGATGGAAGACGCGGTGGCGATTCATCCTTCGTTTTCTTGTACCAAGAATTCGGAAAATTCTCAACACTATTTTGGTGTGTACGACGGCCATGGTTGTTCCCACGTACGTATACGAAGTTGTTTTCATGCATATTCTCTTATATTTCCGTATTCGATATTTTCAGTTTTAGCTGATATATACGACATCGTTTTGTTTTCTATAGGTTGCAGCTAGGTGTAGAGAGAGGCTTCACAAGCTAGTGCAAGAGGAACTGACCTCAGATGGAGATAACGAAGAAGAATGGAAAAAGACAATGGAGCGCAGCTTCAAGCGCATGGATAGAGAAGTTTTGTCGTGGAGTGATTCCGTCGTGAGTGCGAGGTGCAAGTGTGATCTTCAGTCCCCTGCTTGTGATTCCGTTGGATCGACCGCGGTTGTTTCAGTCATTACGCCGGATAAGATCATCGTCGCAAATTGTGGTGATTCTAGAGCAGTTCTTTGCCGAAATGGGAAACCAGTCCCTTTATCAACCGATCATAAGGTCAGTGTCTCTCAAAACATGTTATGTTTCAAGGCTTCTAACTTAAAATCAATTGGTCTCAAAACATGTTATGTTTCAAGGTTTCAAACTTAAAATCAATTGGTCACGTCTTATAATATTATCTTAGGTAACATATAGTCTTGAATTCTTCATTCAACCAACACATATCACCTAGTTATTTTTACCTGAATATCTGTTAAGATTGAAATTGTGGGTTTAGTACTAAAGAGATTGTGTTCTTTGTACACAGCCTGATCGTCCAGACGAATTGGACCGAATCGAAGGAGCCGGTGGGCGAGTCATATATTGGGACTGCCCGAGAGTTCTAGGGGTCTTAGCAATGTCACGAGCAATAGGAGACAACTATTTGAAACCTTACGTGAGTTGCGAGCCGGAGGTCACCATAACGGACAGGACTGACGACGATTGCCTCATACTAGCAAGCGACGGTTTATGGGATGTGGTTTCAAACGAGACTGCGTGTTCAGTGGCTCGTATGTGTCTCCGTGGTGGTCAGAAACAGAGAGGTAGTTATGAGGATCCGGAGGTCCCGGACAAGGCTTGTACGGAAGCGTCTGTATTACTAACGAAGCTGGCGTTGGCAAGGCACAGTAGTGACAACGTGAGTGTCGTTGTGATAGATCTCAGGAGAGAAGGACACGTAAGTGGACACTAATCCAAGGCGAAGACACAGCTTTAACTTTTTGGTTTTTTTCAGTTTTGCTGTTCTTGGAATGCGTAATTGTTTTTTTTGAGCAGCTTAATGCTGCTTTCTCAGATACTAGAGAGAGGGTATACGAATCAACCCGACTAAAGGGTTAATACTTTTACAGGAATGATGATTAGTTCTTCTCAAACTTTAATCATCTTTCATGTAATAACTCTTAATGAAAATCAAATCAAAATTAAGCCTAGCAGTTACTAGTGACTTACTACTCTAATTGATTGACTACTATAGCTGAGGAAAATTTTGTTCTCAAAATAAGTTCCGACATGTAAAATATGTTCACAGAAGATCGACCATCTATGACATGTATATCATTTTGCTTTAAGAGAGATTTTTTCAGACTTTCTAAAAGATAAAATTAAAAACAACAAAGGTTAATACGCAAGGGATGAAATTACACTTTTTAGGCTTTTAAGATACTTGAATGTGCTTTGTCTGTGCCGCAAGGTTAATAAATGAGTTAAGATTCCTAGGGGCTAAAATGCAAGCACTAGCGCAGTCTAATAGCAGTATCTAAAGATTGAGATAAGACAGAAGGTTCAACTTATGTTCAGAACAACAGCTTTGATTGTACAGTACAGCCCAAGGTGTTGCAAATAATGTTTGTTCTTGTGACTAAACGTTTTAATTCAAGAAAATCTGAGAAGCAAAACAGAAGAAAGGAGGGTTTTTGAGAACAAGACCTCACTCTTGAGAAATCCAACTTCCACTTTTGCTTGTTTTCAGGTTTCTTTGAGGGCCTTCAGTTTCCTGTAACCCTTGTCGGTACCAAAGATCCTGAAGTAACGCAGAGAAACAAATTTTACATGATTACAAATGTTAGAATCGATCAATTACTACTTTTGTTCAAAGAAATAAACAGAGTTCAGATATATACCAGTCCATGTAGACAAACGTTGATGAGTAGTTGCCAGACTTTGTGTAGAGTAATCGATGATGGTAGTCATGGAAGTCAGCACTGTAAGCAAATAATAGTACACTCATTCATGTTAAAGATCTGATTGTATTTTAAGATGTTGCACCAATATGAAGGCTAAAGATTAGATGTTTGATCTTACCCGCCATACAGAGGAAGAAAATTTGAAGGGCTCCATGGGAAATGATAACCACAATGTGCCTCAACTGTCTCAATAACTCTCAACATCATCCATAACCAGAGTGTGATCAGGTGAGGCCCAGTGAGAGCCGGACCAATGATGGTAGCAAAACCCAGGAACAGAATTTCAGCAGGATGAGCATATTCTGATGTCAAACCGAACGGTGTGGCGTATCTGAGTAAAAGCATAATATCAGTTACGGCCAAGTAAATGAACTAACATTGTCAACAACAAAAAAGATTGAGTACTGAAGCTTACTCATGATGCACACTGTGCACGTTCTTGTACAGCCATTTAGTATGCAAGATCCTGTGACCCCAATAAAATACAAAATCCTCAATGATGAAGTAGAATAAGATCTGGGCAGACACTACTTTCCTGCAAGAGCAACACCAAAAATGGTTTTATAAACCAGATCAAACATAATTCAGGTTCTTCTCATGCAGCTCAACACTGACATATTATATATAATGCCAATTGGAAGAGTTTAACATTAGAACCCAAAAAAACAAAAGCTCCAGCACTAAAGAACCTGATAATACCAGGACGGCAGAGGAAAACTGCTCTGCATGCCCATGAATCTGAAGACAGGATAAGATGCCATCATAAGGGGCAAGTTTACGCAGAAATGGTAAAGCAAGAGTCGTGCAATGCATTTCCCTTGGGCTTCAGGAGTATTATTTTTAGTCTACAGAAGACCAACCAATAGTAACTGTTTAATACAAAGATAAGCTAAAACAGCTATTACATTGACATTCACAAATAGTAGGCCAAATGAGAACATATACTTTTTATCACTCAAGATTTGAAAGATTAAAACAAAAATCAGGTGCTGATTACTTGGTGAGATCTCTTATCACTCAATTCCTTTCCGAACGGTTACACAAAGCTATAACTATACATAGAAGATCCTTGAAACATGAAAGAACACAAACCTGAATTTTGTAACTGCTCAACAAACCGGTCCTTTCTAAGAAAATGTAAGGCAGTCCAGACAAGAAAAACACACTTTCATGAAGGATAAAACTCCCAATACACGCCAGTTGAAAATCGCTGTAATGTGTAACGAGATACTGCATCCAATCAACATAAAGAGAAAACAAAAAATGGTCAGCAACACAATCTTAAAATGCGATTGATGCTTAAAATCAATCTGAAAGCAATTGTATATCCACACTCAAAGCGAGTAAAAGAAGATGTTCAAGAAACAATTACTACTTATCAACACCCATCACATTTACAAAGCGTGCACAAAAACAATTCACAGTCTAATATCAGCAATGTTCTAGCTTACTTTTACCCTTAGTAATCATCTAATTAACGAATTGAGTCCGTTCCTTTGGTCCAGATGCAAGATAGCCTAGAATGATTATTATGCATTATGGTCCAATAGCAGCAATAACACCAAAATCCACTTCATATTCCCAAACAAAAACAAAAAGAATCAAGCAAAACAAACTGAGATCACATTGGCTAATCATGTGGAACAAGCAGAGTCAAATCCAGATCTGAAACCACAAAGAACCAATCTAATCAAAACACAAAGGGACCACAAACAATCCAATGCGATGAGTGGACCACCAAAAAAAATCATAAAATCAAACTAACACAGCCAGATACTACTCACCGTACGAACTCTACACCTATATCATAAATGCAGTACACTGAACTCGGTGACGAAGAAAAACAAAACAACGAAATCGCTAGAAAACACCAAACCAAACAAAATCCATGTACGAGAGATCACGGAAACAAGGAGAAGGTTAAAGAGTACCTTCCAACCGGATTCAACGAGAGAATCCATGGTTACAACAACGAGAGAGAGAGAAAAAAAACACAACGGATCTATGCGGCGGAGATGAATAAAAACAATAGAGGCGTGAGTGGGAGAGAAAGAGAAAGAGAGAGAGATAGGGAGAGAGGCCAAAACTGTGTGACAAGAAGGAATCTGAATTTGGTTGTTTGTTTCTGCAAACACTCTTTTCTCTTCTCTCAATCACACGTGCACTCATACACATTTTTCAATTTAGTCCTTCGTCACTAAGATATTTTTTACTTAGTACCATATAGTTTTAGATGTGACAATTGGCACCCCCTGATTGAATTACTTTCGCACCATATTTTTTAACAGTACTCTACAAAAGCTGGTGATTATGGCTTTATGGTTATGAAGAGACTTAAAAGATTTGAAATTTGGGGTTTTCATAATAAATAGAGAGTACAAATGAGAATCTAGTATGATTATTCAAAGAGAAGACAAAGAAAACACACATTTTAGACAAAGATAGTTGTGAGAGAATACTAAAAATCAGCAGAGACTTCTGAGTTGTTTCCTTCTCTTTGAGATTGTCCCTGTGTTTGAGAAACTCAACAGCTACTTGTCTAATTGTTCTATTATCAGAAACCACTAAGGTCACAGTTGAGCAGTTTCCCTTTTGTGGATCCTCTTGCCAGTATACAGCTGCAGCATATTGTCAAAATACCAAAAGAAGATCACAAGAATATTCAGCATACAGTGACCAAGTCTTGATGTAATTCACATAAATCATTGTCCTTGATGATGAATTATATAGGTAGCAGGAGCTAGTTCCACACATAGAAATCTTAAAGATGAAGAGAAGAAAACTCAAATAATGTGAGCTAAGATATTTGCTAGACTTCAAATCTACAGTGTGATTTTAATTTTTTTTTTTTTTAAATAAGCTGGTACTCAGTTCTGTGATTAGATCACATGCAAAGTGGAAGGATAGCTTACAGATAATTCATATTTTCCATATCACTTTCCTGAAGCTAATATGTACAACACAGACTAAGGGCTAAATACGGTGACCAAGCTAAACATAAAACAGAAAATGTAGAGTCAGGGTTACTTTCATTGGTTCTACCATAACATAGTAAGAGTTTTTACCTTTTGGATAATTGTTAATTTGAAGCATGGTGGTCATTGGTCATAGAAAAGGTGATTTCTTTTCTGATGGCTTAAGAATTTGGAATGAGCACATCAAGCTCTCATCAATGCTCATCATTGCACCCGCATTGTCAAATTCCCCACAATAGTTGGGAGCTGAAAATACTGTAACAAGCTGTCTTTCTGCAAAGAACTCGTACCCATCTTCAACAACCTTAAGAAAAGAGTCAATACACATCCATTATTAAGATTGCAAGTTTTCAATAAACTTAATGACAAATATAACTCAAGAGTAAAAACCTGGTGGGCACGACAGATCAGGTCCATGTCATTTTTCTCCAAAAACTCTGCAACTTTGTCAGCTCCAAAAGTGTATGAAACACCACGATCGTTCATTCCCCAGCCTTTGGTATCTCCACTAGGATCTGACCATAGCAAATCACATACCAAACCAGAGTCTGGAATATCCATTGGCCGTGCAATATTTCTAATCTGGTCCAAACTTGTCAACTCTGGGGAAATTCCACCATGCATACATAGTATTCTGTCATCAATTAAGGCGGCCACAGGAAGACAGTTAAAGCAATCGGTGAATACTTTCCAGAGTCTGACATTAAACCTGCGTTTGCACTCGTCATAGAATCCATAAATACGATTAATGGATGCACATTCATGATTCCCTCTCAACAGGAAGAAGTTCTCAGGGTACTTGATTTTGTAAGCTAGGAGAAGGCATATTGTTTCCAAGCTTTGCTTCCCACGGTCAACATAATCACCCAAGAACAAATAATTAGCTTCTGGAGGGAAGCCTCCATACTCAAACAGCCTCAGTAGATCTGAATACTGCCCATGAATATCACCTGTAAAAGTAAGAGACGAGAAACAATTACATCAAAGAAAACAGCTTGTAGAAAACATGGCATATAAAAGTCAACTAAAATCAGTGCAGCTCAGGATATACACATGATGGAAGAGACCAACTATGCAGGCCAAATAAATTCTACAACTTAAAACATTGAAAAGCCAAAGAATGGTGAATGAACACTTGCGAGCTTAGTCAAGCTTTTGCAAGAAATGCTTTATCAGACCGAGTCATTACACATAACTTGACTAGTTAACAACATTAAGATAAAAGAAACAAACCTCATAGAACGGGTCAAAACTCTGAATCCTATCTAAGACTTATAGTGATAAAAGATTCCCACTTTATAACCACACATTCACTTGATTTTATCGTTCTGAACTCAAAAGACCATCAATTGTCACCATCACACATTTCATAAGTCACTTAATGGTCCAAAAAGCAACAATTTTGCTCTAACTTACAACCTATAACCCACCAAATTTGACCTACTTAACATTTGCAAAAAGCTCAAAGATTCTCTCTTTCCACGATGAACATAGTTCTAATAACTCAATTCATAGCTACTGAACAAATCAAAACGTGATTACATGCACTAAATTCATAACCAAATTCAACCAAAACCCCACTCCCAAAAAATTAAAAAACACTTTTTTAAGCAGAGAGAACAAAAATCTGACCGCAGATCTTGATGGGAGCTTCGAGTTCAAGCAGATTGGGTTGTTGAAGAAAGATTTCTTTCGACACAGCACAAAGCTGACGGATTTCGCCTTCACTGAGATGAACTTGCTTCCCCGATCCAGGCCTCGTGTTCCGAAACTCAACCAAACGGCGAATGATATCGTCGAGAACACCCGGTTCCATCGCTCGCTTCTGCTCCTGCTCTTGTGCCGGCTTCTCCGCCATCTCCAATCGAGAAAATAGATAAGAGAACGAACGGAGAATTCAAGCGTGTGAAGCTCTTTTTCGAGCCGCGAGGAGGAGGCAGACGAGACCCGACGAGACCACTGTGGAGCTCTATCAGAATGAGTCAGATGAGATGGGATGAGTCAGTTTTTTATTGATTGGTTCCTTTTTAATCTCTTTATCATTACGACAAAGGAAAGTGTTTTAAAAATCGACCTAATGGGCCTTTTGTTGTTTTATTGGGCCTAATATAATAATAGGAAACGATCAAATCTTATTACATCACCTAATCTAAAACTTTAAATTAAAACCAAAGAGACAAATGAAAAAAAACACATAACACGCTTAAAAGATCCAAGAAGATTAGTTGAATCCTTAATTTTGAACAAGAAGAGTTGGTCATGGTCCATTTTGTTCGACTGAACTGTAACGCCACCTTTGGATGGTAGTAATGCACAATCATACAAAAATCTCATACACATGTTAAATGTATTTATTGCTTTTTTCGTCATTCCCTTTATTAGAGAAAAAAAAAGGTATGATTCTTCTTCACCTGTCGCAAGCCACAACGACTTATTTTAGATTCCAATACAAATAAGAAAATTCCACATTTCGTCTATAAACAATCTCCTCCCATATTTGCTGGATCCAATTCCATCCATCATCCTTTGTTTTAATTGCCTGTAAATTCTCTGTTTTTGTGTTAAGATTATGTCTTAATATCTCTAACCATAGAGATAAATTTATGAAATTCTCTGAAGAAGACAACACAGGGATTCATATACGTTTTGCCTCTCCATCTGAATCCCAGGTTTGTTTTCTTTCTTACAAGAATGTGTTTATTTGAATCTTTAATCATGAAAGATCCATAAGAAAGATCACAATGTTGTTTTGCTGTCTGATGAAAACCGTTGAAAACGTTCGAACAGCTTATGGAATTGGAGCAAATCCACATTTTGAAACCTGATGACGACCGAGGAATCGAATCACCTTCAGAAACAGAGGAAACTATAGGTGTGGTTCCTCTGTCTTGCGCGTTTACAAGGCAAGAACAATGTGTTTCCGAGATGAAAGAACGCGAAGAATCAATCAGCAGACTAAGCAGCCTTATCTTTCTGTACCTCATCGTTATGTCTGTCCAGATTGTGGGAGGTTTTGAGGCGAATAGCCTCGCGGTAATGACTGATGCTGCACATTTGTTGTCAGATGTGGCGGGTTTGTGCGTCTCTTTGTTGGCGATCAAGGTCTCTAGCTGGGAAGCGAATCAGAGAAACACGTTTGGTTTTAAACGGCTCGAAGTTTTAGCGGCTTTCTTGTCTGTTCAGCTCATTTGGCTTGTCTCTGGTGTTATAATCTATGAAGCCATTCAAAGACTTGTTAGTAGAAGCAGAGAGGTGAATGGTGAAATCATGTTTGGTATTTCGGCTTTCGGCTTTTTCATGAACTTGGTTATGGTTATTTGGCTAGGACATCACCATCACCATCACCATCATCATCATCATCACCACCATCAACATCATCATCATCATCATCACAAGGAGGTGGTTGTGGTGGAGGAAGAGGAGGATGATGAGGAAATGAATCCTTTAAAAGGTGAGAAATCGTCGTCAAAGGAGATGAACATTAACATACAAGGAGCTTATCTACATGCAATGGCTGATATGATTCAATCACTTGGTGTTATGATCGGTGGGGGAATCATTTGGGTGAAACCGGGATGGGTTTTGGTCGATTTGATATGTACTCTTGTTTTCTCTGGCTTTGCTCTTGCTGCTACTCTTCCAATGCTCAAGAATATATTTGGAATACTGATGGAACGAACACCGCGTGATATGGACATAGAGAAGCTCGAGAGAGGACTTAGGCGTATCGACGGAGTTAAAATTGTTTATGATCTTCATGTATGGGAGATAACAGTTGGGAGAATTGTATTGTCATGTCATATCTTACCTGAGCCTGGAGCTAGTCCTAAAGAGATCATTACAGGTGTTAGAAATTTCTGTAGGAAATCTTGTGGGATTTATCATGTAACTGTTCAGGTTGAATCAGAATAGTAAAAATGAGAGTTTTTTTGTCTTCTGTTTGACTGACTATAGCAGCATGAAGTCACAGACTAAACTCAGGCAACATTCAAAACATTTTCATTGCTAAATTTTCAGATTTTAGACAGATTTCTAAGAACTCTCACACAACATTTAAGAACTGACAATGACATATCTACTACAGACAAAGAAGCTAGCAGTTCCCAACTATTTGTCTAAAATTTGGGAACTGTGAACTTCATCGCACCATAGGCCTTAGCAAATGAAACAAGAACAAAGGAAAAAGTCTCCAGTCTTCCTCATGCACATCTCAGCACATTCAGACGAAATTTCCAAGAAAAGTCTCGCATAACACAAGAACTGACATTGGCATCTCTGATTCACATCTCTAACAAAAGTAGAAACAACAAAATCAGATCCCCAAATTCTACAGCATGATCCATAGGACTTGGCAATCGAGACAAAACCAAAGGCACATACTTTGATTATTAGAGCTTCTATAATCGTTATCAAGCCTATTTGATATTGAAGCTCTCCATACGAAGCCTCTGATGTAATAGAGTTGTTCATCATTCACATCTCAAAACTGCTGAACTTTCCAATTTCAATCAACTTGACAAAAAACAAGAACTGATAATGACATCTCCACAGCAAGAAGCTCAGAGTTTCTGAAATTTGGGAACTTTTTAATGATCTTATAGGACATGAAACAAGAACAAAGGGACATGAAGCCACGAACTTGCCTTATTTATTCACATCTCAAGTCTCAACACATTCTAATAATATACATCAACAACCTCACACTTCAAAATTTCCAAGAAAAGTCTCACACAACACAAGAACTGACAATGACATCCCTGATTCACATATATTCGCACAATAATACAACAACAACCTCACCCTTCCCAACTACTTAATCTGAAATTTAAGAACTTTCAGCTTAATAATCTTAAAAAACTTAGCAATTGAGACAAGAACAAAGATACATACTTTGATTATTATGAGAAGTCTCTATAATCCTTATCAAGCTGATTTGATATTAAGCTTGTCCATGCGAGCTCTGATGTACTCAAGATGCTCATCTTCAGGAGGGATACATTTCTTGATAACATCATTCCCCGACAAGTTCTTAACCCATCTATGAATCTCCGGGAACTTCTCCACCGGAACAACCTTAACCCCGAGGAGATCCTCCGTCCTTATAAGCCAAAACGCCACCAAAGTCGCCACAATATCCACCAACCCTAAACTTTGCCCACCGAAAAAATCTTTCCCAACAAGCTCTTTCTCCAAAAACATCAACAAATTTCTCGTCTCTTCAACCGCCGCGTCTCTCTCTTCTCCGATCGTCCCCGCCACTTTCATAGCCGCCACACAAATCTAAAAAAACTCCCCAATAACCGGTTTCAAAAGCCCAAAACCGGTACTTGAAAATCGAATAATCAAAATTTCATACCTGTTGATCGATCAATTTAGCCCAGAAGCGAGCCATAGCTCTCTCAGACGGATCTTGAGGAAGAATCGGATTGTTCCGCCACGTATCATCAATATACTCAAGAATCACAAGCGACTCAGAGATCGGTTTACCATTATGAACAAGAACCGGAATCATTTTATAAACCGGGTTCAACCGAAGAAGCAGATCGCTCTTGTTGGTGATATCTTGCTCAGAGAACTCGTACGGTACACCTTTAAGCGTAAGAGCTATCTCAATCCTACGACTAAAAGGACTCGCCCACATACCCAAAAGCTTCACTTCCTCTGAATCTTCTGATCTCTCAGCCATTGTCTCTCACTCACTCTTGTGAGTTTTTGACTCATGTGTAGTTTATATAGAGTGTGTTTTGTGATGATGTCATGAGTGACGGAAACAAAACAGTTATTAGAAGACAAGAGTTTGTCCCACATCGGACAGTGGAGACAGAAGCTGAGCTGTTTAAATAGAGAAAGGTTTGGTCAAAATCGGCAACGGGGTGGGAACCTAGGAGATGGGTCTGCTTATTTACTACTAAACCCTGAACCCTCCCATGATTACTCGATGGGAATGATATAATGTTGGGGGTCTTTGGCCGGCGTTTCCCCCGAAAAATAATTAAAAAACGTCGATGGCTACATAAGAGGCTCGTCTCCTTAAACAGTGAATAAGGTTGGGTTTGGTTCGTAGGTGGTTCTGCTGAAGCTAGTTTAGTGTCTGCGGTTAACCGTTTCCTCGCCTTACCCTCCCACCCCCAAATTTTGTTTTTCCTAACCATTATTTGAAATATGATTAACTAATTATTTATCGTATTTTTCTTTTCTTACTAATGTGTTTTTTTTTTTTTATCGACATGTGTTTATCTACATTATATTAATTTTTTAAGTAATTTATGTTTATAGAAAAACTCGTTTTAACCAAATCGGAAGATTATAATATTCATTTTTCTTTTTGGAAAAAAATTATACTAAATCAGTAGCATAATAATATCTTCTCAAAAAAATCTATTCTCCAACATTCCATGAAAAATAAAATATGAGAAGTTACTTTTTATATGAGAAGAATTATATATATATATTAAATATCATATAAATATTTTAAAAACCTTGTAAGAACCTTGTGAGTCTGTTAAAAAAAAATTTAAAACATAGTGTAATATATTTGTTATTTTGCTTCCAATAAATCGTTTTGTTATTAAAAAGGATTAACATCATTTATTGTTTGTACGCGACTACAAAAATAATTAACATCATTTACCAAAAAAAAACTTTTGAAAGCCTCAAAATAATGTGCTTTGGCTAATAAAACTACACAACAATGCATTTTACACAATATTGTTACATATCATTTGCAAATTAGTGGAATCCATACCAACTAAACTCAAATTATTACTTCCATAACCTTATACTTTCATGATTACTTTGTATATTTGAACGACATATTATTTATCATTGTGTTCTTTTCATTTTCATTGTTTAAGACATGTGAGTCGTTGATAATATTTTAATCCATCTTTAATTTATAATATTTATTTTTAGTATATAAAAATTTAACAATAATAATTTAGAATTATAAATTTCCAAAATACTGCATTTATACTAATAAACAACACGATAGTGCATTTTAACAAAAATTTAACTTATAGATCCACTTCATATGTAAATAAACAAATATGAATCATACAAATCCAAATTCTTACATAAACAACCTTAATTTTTTCATGTTACTTTGTACATGACAACCACAATTTATGAGAATTAAGAAATAATGGTGGTTTGAAAGCATTCCAAATCGGGAGCTATTCAAGATAATTCCCTTTTTCTAATTCTTGCGATTTTGCCTCCAAGAATTATTGAATTGCCCTGTAAATGAGTTTGGATGATGTCTAATTTTATTAATTTTGTTCGCCATTTGTCTTACTTGTTCAGTTCCATGAACGTTGATCCAGAGGAAAGGTATATCACAGACCATATAGTTTCTTCATCTCAAATACATGTATTAATCTAAGTTACAAAAGGCTGATCTCTCTAGAATTATATATGTTTTGGTTTTGTCACATCGTTTGGTTTAACTTTGGTGTTCAACTATTCATTAACAATTTTCTATATCTGGTTTTAAAACATGTTTTGGTTAAGATATGAGAAATCTGCTCCCACAAGATATTATTAGAAATATGTTTTTGTTGGTGCCATATAAATCCCTTGTTCGTTTCAGAGTCATCTCTCAGGAATGGAAATCTATGATACAAGATAGTCTGAATCATGGAAGATCCAGGATTGCTAGGTCTATGATGATATACTTGAATAAAGAGAAGCATGATGGTTTAGATCTAGAGGTTAATGATAAATTTGAATGGGAAAAAAACGAAACTCAAAAACAAACTTGCTCTAATACCATGTAAAGATTGATGTGAGTTTAGATCGGAAAAATTGTATATTGACATTTGTAAGAATGTACCAAAATTTGGATGCTTATCAGTTAGAGAGTTAATGTCGGTAAATATTCATAAGAATCTCTCATTGTGATGGTTTGATAATAACCAATACATTATCATACAACCATCTACTGCTTTGTTTGATTGAATTCATATTATAAGACTTTTGTTTAGCTACCTAAAATACAATTTTTGTGCAAATATGAACGTTATATACATTCTTATTTCAAATAATATGGGGCAATAATTGTCATATAGCCTTGAAGTTTACCTACTCTTGTGGAATACACGCGTATGGTCGTGTGGATGTTAGGTATCAACTCCAAACCAATCTTGATTTTGTTGTTTACTTTTTTTCTTCTTATTCATTTTGTTTGAATTTTTGTTATACATATAAAAAATTACTGTTAATTTTTTTTTAGTAATTATAAGTATCCAATCAACAAATAATTCACTATATTAAATGAGCTCAGCTTTAAAATCTCAAGTAAATCATGTCATGTTTTAATTAATTTTACAATAGTAGTTTACTTTAAGAAAAATATAACTCACTAATTAATCGTACCTCGAATAATTAATTTTAATTTGTTAACTTATCTTTATACAAAAATTATTCATGTATTTAAAGTATATAAAATATAGTATAGTAGAAATTTTTCATTAGTGTATATGCGCCTCACGCTCCTGTAATTGAGTTGTCGCAATTTGTCATATTTTGGGACATGCATGGGACCAAACTTATCAAATTAGAAAGTATATGGTTAAATCAATCTTCACCCTCTCAAGTCTCAACCGCACAACAATAAAAATGATATCTTATTACAAACATTAACCAATAATAAAACATGTTATACATATCAAAAACTAAATTTCAACATTAGGATGGTCAATGACTTCATAAGAAGATGATTTGTCTTCTTGATTGATTTAAGATCTTACTCTCTCTGCCCTATAGATTTATTTATGTATTATGATTAGAGTTCAGATTAGAGATTTATTTATGTATTATGATTAGAGTTCATATAAGAGATATATATATTCTTAAAGTTATGCAAACACGTAAACGATATGGGAAACCTAACAATGGGAGATGTGACCAAAGTCTCTTTCGTATGTTTATTGAACTTCTATTTTCTTTATAACTTAAAGAGAGTATGATAAAACCTTCACCTCCCAATTAGACAACCACAAGACCAAAATAATTAATATGAGGCGATAATTCTGAAAAGTAGTTATATAGCCTTGAGGTTTACCTACTCTTGTGGAGTACTTATTTGATTAGGTACCAACTCCTAACCAATTTTAATTATGTTATTGCTTGCTTCTTTTTTCCTTCTTATTCATTCTTTTAAAATTCTTATTATTTTTTTAAAAAAGTATTAGTATCAAATATACAAATAATTTATTATATTAAATGTTATAAGCTTTAAAATAATAAGTATAACATGTCATATTTTGATTAATTTTACAAGTAGTTATGTACTTTAAAAATAAACTATAATTCACTAAAAGTACCATAAGTAATTTAATAATTAATTTAAAATCTAGAAAAAAGAAGGTATACATGTACTTCAAGTATTAAATATACTATAATAGAAAATTTTACTAGTGTATATATGATTCACGCTTCTAATTTGATAGGATCGACCGACTCTTAATTGAATTGTCGCAATCTGTCATATTTTGGGACATGCATGGGACCAAACGTTTCAAATTAGAAAGGATATGGTTAAATCAGTCTTCACCTTCTCAACCACACACCAATAAAACCATATCTTCTTACAAACATTTCATTAAACCATTACAACATGTAACATACCAAAGTACAACACTCGGATGATCAAGGACATAGAAAGATTATTTGTTTCCTTAAGAAGATCTTACTCTCTGTGTCACATTGTTCATGTGTTCAACATGTTCCTTTCTCGGTGGAATACAATCTCTCACAATCTCAACCTTCTCAAGATTCTTGACCCATCTCTTGTATTCTGGAAACTTCTCTTCTGTGGTCACTTCCAGTCCTATTCCTTCCCAACCTCTCTCCAAACAAAACGGTATCAGACTTCCGGCGACCAAATCCAAGAATCCGACACTCTTGCCTCCGAAGTAATCTTTTCCGACAAGTTCTTTCTCAAGATACATAATCAGTTCTCTTGCCTGCTCAGCCAAAACATCTCTTCCTTTCTCATCCGCTTTCGCCATTGATACAAAACCAACACTCATAATCTACAAAATGTCAAACAACAAAAGTTTTATAGTCTCTAACAATATATTAAAAAATAAAATTAACTAAACTGATTAAAGTATTGCCAATAGTTTATTATTTGACCTCCACTTTAAAAAACCCCTAATATTAATGAGTTTAGCAAAGAACCGAGCTTTGGATCTTTCGTAAGGATCTTGAGGGAGAATTGGATTATGTGGCCAAGTCTCATCGATGTATTCAAGAATCACATGAGACTCAAGAATAGTTTTACCATTATGAACAAGAACAGGCACCTTCTTGTGAATAGGGTTTAGAGCAAGAAGCAAAGAGCTTTTGTTCGCCAAGTTCTCTTCCACGTAATCGTACTTTATACCTTTGAGTTTGAGAGCCATCTCGATCCGACGGCTAAAAGGGCTCGCCCATAGCCCCAAAAGCTTCACTTCTTCATTCTCGGGCATTAGTTATCTCTCGCTCTGCTTCCTTAGCTTTCTTAGAAATTATGGTTTTTTCTTTGGATTTGTAGACTTATGGGTGCTTTGAGCTTTAGATTTATAGGCGTACGTAGGGCATTTAATGGTCTTGTGGTAAAAACGACGACAATTTTGCCGTTTGCTGATCGGCTCTTAAGGTGTAAATGCGAAGAATCTATCTACAACTACAAGGCGTGATTGATGTTGACTGTAGAACTTTATATTCGCAACGTTCACTTAGGAACTAGGACCAATGCCAAAGTTTTAATTCAGTCTATCGGGGAAAGAAATGTTTTGGTCTTGGTCTAACCAAATTCATAATCAAAATACACGAACATAAATTGCGTTTAGTGCAATTTGTTTTACTACTATTGAACTATTTTATCATTTTTTATCTCTTAAGATTTAATTGGTGTGAGTCATAATATTTTTGTTTTATCATTTCGTGTATTTCTTTGTTACGGTGTCGACACTATGCACAATTTAGCATAAATATATATCTATCTACAATTTCTCTACTACAAAAATAAAAAATGTTTGATGTAAAAAACATATTTTGTCTTAATTAGTTAAAGGACTGTAGATCGACTAGTTTTTTTTGTCTTAATATAAAAAACATTCCCCATATCATACTACCACTATTATTACTATTGGAAAATATCTATATTTTCTGCCTCTCAATTTTTTTTTCCTTTCTATTACTCTCAATACGTTTCTTCTCCACTTAATCATATGATCATATCACTCGTGTAAACTTTGGTAGTTGAGAATAAACGTAACTTTTACCTTGTTATAAAATATATCCAAAACATATAAAATTTATATTGTATTGTATTATATATGTGTATATAATATATTCTTCTTATTCTCTTACGTTGTATTGCTTTAAACATTCACGAACATCACATATATATACTAGGACGTTCCCCCTACTGATAAACGACATGAAGTCTACTTATCTAATTTTAAACAGCGTGTAGTTCTTTTAAATTTCCATAAAAAAAATTAAATGATTGCAAAATGAGGGACGTAAATAATACTCTTTTTCAAAGATTTTTTTTTAAATACCATATTTACAAATTTTATAAAAAAAACACTAAAAAATGTTGAAATCTATCCAAATATGTGTGCAACTTTATAAATATAAACACAAATTACCTCTGTATGTGTATAAAATTTTATATATCTTTCATAAATAGTGTAAAAATAACTTTTAAAAGTCTTATAAACATTTTTAAAAATCTTATAAGACTTGTAAATACGATTTAAAACCTTTCTAAACCTATTATTTTTATTGTGGTCTCGTAAATTATTTTACTTTTTTTTTCACTTGCATTAAGATTGAATTACAGATGAAAATTAAAATTCTCAAAATAATAAAAGACATTTATAGTTTCAAATTATTTTATATCTAAACATTTATTTTTCTTGTAAATTTAAATTAGTTTTAATTAATTATTTTATTCTTAATATAATTCAGTTTAAATTAAATGGTTTTATATACATTAACACATGTTAATTTCTTATTTGTTTTCAAATGATGAGAGGTGTCATCCCCTCAAAAGTTTCATTCATCTATTTCTATTGACTATATACTACTATAATAGGGTTTCTAAATTCAACCATGATGAGAGGTGTCATCCCCCAAAGTTTTAGTTAGTGTCAAATTTTTTTAAAACTCATCATAGAGTAGTAGTTAATTAGTGCGCAAGTGAGTAATTTACATGATCAAACAAGAAATTAGTAAATAAGCAATTCAAACGTTTAGTAAATAAGCAAATATATAAAGGAGAAAACAATGAAGTAAGTGAAGAAAAAAATGAGGAAACAAGTTAAGCATGTAAACAAACAAATAAAAGAAGCAATTAAACAAGTAAAGCAGTTTAAGCATGTAAGCAAACAATAATAAAATAAAAAACAGAAATAACATACAAACAAGTTAAGCAAGGAATGAAGCAATTGATCAGTATACAAAGATCAAACGAGGAACACATGTAAACCAGTTAGGCATCTAAGCAACTAACGAAAGGAAGAAGTAAGGAAACAAAGAATCAAAGACAAAAAAAGGGAGCAAAGCAAACAAGTTAAGAAATGAATCGAGCAATTGAGTAAGGCAAGAAACAAGCAAGCAAGTTAAGCAAGAAATTAAGCAAAAGAGACAAAGAAGAAAGCAAATGAACAAGTAAAAAGAATCAAGCGATGAATCAAATGTAATAGATCAAATAAGTTCACTATTTCCGTCTAATAGCATAGCGTATTCTCTGGTTTTTCTTTATTCTTGGTATGTACCTACCTGTCCACTCATTTTAGAATTTTGAAAAAAAAAAATCTGTTAGCTATGAAATATGTTACTACATAGAACAAAAGAGACGATGGCAAGTTATAAAAGAACAATAATCAAAATACTAAACCGAAGAGAACGATTGAAGACATACCTAAGAGAATAATTGAACTCTAGAGATTGAAATGAAGTCCCCATCTTTTCTTTTGAATCGCTTCCATTTCATGGCTTCTCTCTGCAGCTATACATATGTTCTGTTTTCAGGGCCTAGAAATGATGATTTCAGTGGATATAAAGTAGTTTGACAAGACAATACCGAACATTACGAAAATTCAATAAACGAATAACTAATATTTAATAGAGATTTTTTTTTAGGATAAAGAAGAATGACAACTTACAAGTAGTATGCAGAGGCTTATTGATCGCATTATTTAGAGATGTTATTTTATTTTCAAACGACTCTTGCTTTGACTCTGCTTAGAGGTTCCAGAAAATGAATGTATAAACCTCAGGATATAAACTTCTTGTCTCCTTTAATCGGTTCAAGAAGAGTTTAAATAATAGTACCTTAATTGATGAAAACTCTCTTCTCTTGTTCTAATTTTGTAAGCTAATCCCCTGTGGAAAATACATATTTATTAACTAAATTTGAGACGCGAATATATGGAGATCGGATTAGATTAGGGACAAGACGATTATACTTCACCTAAAAAGCAAATTTGATTGCCCCTCACTGTTTAACACGTTTTACCAAGTTTGTCGTCACCATGACTGTCTGTAGTGGGAAAAAACACCTGAAACTGCATACCTGATCATGAACTTGATGACACTCTCTTTTATAGTTCCCCTGTTGCAAATGCACATTTATCAACTAAATTCAGAGACACAAAAAAAGTACTCATCCAGTTAGATTAGAAACAAGAGCATTAAATTTACAATTACAATACCTTTCATTCATATTTTCTTTTTACTAAATCATGTCATTCTCTGCTGCATAATGTTGCATTGGTTCCCAAACCATGAACACTTGCCAGCGAAATTCAACGGAAACAACATAAGTTCATCTTGCATTGGTTCCCAAACCATGAACACTTGCCAACGAAATTCAACAGAAACAACATAAGTTCACCATCATATATTAGCACATAGAATTTGACATAGTTCAGGAGAGATAGAGACGAAATTTCTAAAAATAGTTTTCATAATCCTTCTACTGCATAAGAAGAAAAGGGACGCATAAGTAGAAAAACAAAAGATTGAAGACACATACTTGGGAGTAGGATTCAACTTAAGAAACAAGAAGATGACGAACATCCATTTAAGAGCTCCATTGCAATAGACCTGAAACAAGCATAACGGTGTCTAAGAGGTACGCGATATTATAAGATAAACCATATAATGGTGTCTAAGACCATAATAAACCATCCCCACTTATAGGCCCGAATATGTATTTATTTGATTTACCATGCAAAACTTGGATGTTGTTCCAAAACTTTGTTTCTTGCTCCTCTTTTTTGGCTTTTCTTTAGAAATTCATCCTTCATATTTCTTAGCTACGGATTGCTGTACTTTAAGCTGCAAAACAGTATGCAAATGAAATAGTATACCATCAGTTAATAATATACCATCAGTTATTATCCTATGCGTTAGAAATAATCAAGATAGCAGTTAAATGACAACTTACAAGTGGAGCTCGTGGCTACTTGTTCGTCATGTTTTACTCCAAGATGAAACTTCTGCCACTGCTTACAGATTCTAGAAAAATGAATGATAAGGTTTAACTACAAACAACATTGTAAATGGCAGAAAGATGTTAGCTAACTTGTGGTTGATCACGCGAGAATGTAACTAGTCATTCATTTTAAACTATAACATAGAAAAAAGGAAAAGGGTCATGTTCATAATATTCAAAGTCTTGAAACACTTACTTTTCTGTTGAGTAAGTCTTACCATCTTACTTACAATGGTCTCATAACGGTTTGTTGGCTTACTTAGTTTTTCCTTTGGTCCTGTCGTATATAGAGCCTCTCCTTGTCCTCCTCAAACTTGGAAGATAGTGTCTGCAAGTAGTAACTCATGTTCAACAGTTATATTAATATCCAACTTAACTGATCTTAAGGGTGAGAGACGACAGAAAAAGGGCAGTCGAAAGAATACCTTCTGAACCTTTTAGATGATCATGTCAGCTCCTTTTAAACTTTGTAATTCATGAATTTGTAATGAAGCTCCTCAAACTTGACAGCTTTATCCTTCAAGATATTATCATACTGCAAATATGGATCATGTCAGTGTCAGAGAATGTTGACATAGTTCAGGAGAGATATAGACGAAATTGATAAGAATGATCAGTTTTCATAATCCTTTACTGCATAAGTAGAAAAACAAAAGATTGAAGAAGCATACTTGGGAGAAGGAATCAACTTAAGAAACAAGAAGATGACGAACATCCATTTTAGAGTTTTATAGCAATAGACCTGAAACAAGCATAACGGTGTAATTAAATATAATTCATCATTCATTCTAAAGTATAACACAGAAGAAAATAAAAGGGTCATGGTCATAATATGAAAAGTCTTGAAACACAATGCTGTGTAAGTTGAGTAAGTGTTGCCATCTTACTAACAGTGGTCTCATAACGGGTAGTTGGCTTACTTAGTTGCTCATATAGAGCCTCTCCTTGTCCTCCTCAAACTTGGAAGATAGTGTCTGCAAGTAGTAACTCAAGTTCAACAGTTTTGGTAATATCCAACTTAACTGATCTTAAGGATGAGAGATGTTAAAAAAAAGGGCAGTCGAAAGAATACCTTTTGAACACTGTAGATGATCATGTCAGTTCCTTTTAAACTTTGTAATTCATGAATTTGTGATGAAGCTCCTCAATCTTGACAGCTTCATCCTTCAAGATATTCTCAGACTGCAAATATGGATCATGTCAGCTCTTTGTACCTTTCTAAAGACTAAAAGTTTAAAGTATAATATTGGGAGTTTTTGTACAGACCTCTTTGCAACTCTTTAAAAGTGCTTTGCCAAATTTTTGTTTGCAGGCAAGGGCAGAATTAACTTGCACGCTTCAATATATATGTTATCTGACTTCACCACAGTGGACAAACTGCCGGAAAAGAATTCAAGTATTAAAAGAAGATTCAGGCATTCAGCTATCAAACTAACGGTACTTAGAGACATTATAGAATTTGTATCATCTTCTTGGGAAGAAGACTAAAAATATGAAGATCAAGAGTAGAAATATTCTCTCTGTGGAACAATTAATGATACCATTAGATACCAAAAGTTAAGATATAAATCAACCGAGTAGAGTTGAGAAACAAAATACTACATAACAAAATGTTCTGTATCTATGAAATCAAACGAGATTCATATAAAGAATACCTTAATTTTTCGATTCAAGCAAGCAAGTTAGAAAGTAAGTAAGTCAAACAAAAATTAGAGGAGAAAAAAAGAAATTAAGCAAAGAAACAAGGAAGCAAGAAGGTCATTAAGGAATTAAGAAAGAATATACCTAAGCAAGTAAGCGAGGAGAGTTAATCAAGTAAGTAATAATGAAGGCAGAACAAAAGTAAGCAAAGAATCAATGAAGCAAATAAGTGAAAAGAAACAGAGAAGCAATTATGTACGTGTATAAGGAAGTATGAAAGTATAGACATTTGTGTCTGCATAGATAAAAGTATCTATGAAGCAAGCAAATAAGTAAGTCATTAAGGCAGAAAACAAGTAAGCAAAGAATCAAGTAAGCAATTACTTATGAAAGTATACACATTTGTGTCTGCATTAATAAAAGTATGTATGAATGTATGCATGTATGTATGAATGTGTGCATGAATGTATGCATGAATGTATGAATGCATCCATGAATGTATGAATGCATGTAACAAGTACATAGGCATGAAATCAAAGAAGAAAATAAGGAAACAAGTAAGAACACACACAAGGAAGCAAGGAATAAAGATAAGGACGTAGGTGACAAACCAAGGAAACTGGTCAGTAAGCAAGTAATGAAGGCATGTAAAAGAAATGTAAGCAAAGAAACAAGGAAGCAAGAAGGTCATTAAGAAAGGATATACAGAAGCAAACAAGTAACGAAGGCATAAAACAAGCAAGCCAAAGAATCAAACAATGAAACAAAGAATCAAGGAAGCAAATAAGTATACACATTTGTGTCTCCATACATAAATGTATGAATGCATAAGCAAAGGAATCAAAGAAGAAAATAAGGAAACAAGTAAGCGCACACACACAAGGGAAATGACAATCCAAGGAAGCTGGTAAATTAAGCAAGTAATGTAGGCACAAAATGTAGAAGAATCAAGTAAGCTTGCATATGTAATCAGATCAAGCACAAAGATAAATATTGAAGAGAACGTACTTGAAAAAAGCTAAACCAGAGGCACAGAGATACTAAATCTTGACCATAATCGATTAACCTAGCCGAACGGAGAGAAAACCCTTTCCTAGATCATGATCGCCGTGATATTTTTCGAAAATGAAGAAATTGGGGTTTTTTAATATTAGAATCAGATACTTGTAGTAGACGCTTTTCTTCCAAATGGCTTTTTAATTTCTTTTATTTGTTCTACAACGTACGATTCCAAATTTTATTTAGAAAAATTCAAATTTCAAAAAGAAGGTAAATGCCGCTCATTTCGAAATTAATGATTTCAAATCCCACATTTGTAAATGGTTACGTTACGCAATTGTGATGTTCTTATTATATTAAATTAGATTCGCTTTAATCATGTCATGTTTTAATTAATTCTACAATATTAGTTTACTTTTCAATAATACTATAAATCACTAATAAACCGTACCAAAAATAATTTAATAATTAAATTTTAATTTATTAACTTATTTTAAAGTTATGTATTTATAGAATAAAAATATAATATAGCAGAAAACTTCACGCTTCGTTTAGTTGATAGGACCGTCTCAGGTTTCGAATTTTGTCATATTTTTGGACATGCATGGGACAAAACTTATCTAACTAGAAAAGGATATGGTTAAATCAAACTCCAACCACAGAACAATAAAAACAATATCTTCTTACAAACATTACAACAATCGGATGAATTGATCAAGGACTTAATAAAACAGATGATTTGTTTTCTTGAATGATTAAGAAGAACTTACTCTCTCAACCTTATAGTTCATCATGTGTTCAATATGTTTCTCTCTTGGAGGAATACAATCTCTCAATATCTCAACCTTCTCAAGATTCTTAACCCATCTCTTGTATTCTGGAAACTTCTCTTCTGTGATCACTTCCAATCCTATTCCTTCCCAACCTCTCTCCAAACAAAACGGTATCAGACTTCCCGCAACCAAATCCAAGAATCCGACACTCTTGCCTCCGAAGTAATCTTTTCCGACAAGTTCTTTCTCAAGATACATAATCAGTTCTCTTGCCTGCTCCGCCAAAACTTGTCTTTCTTTCTCATCCACTTTTCCAATTATCGATACAAAACCCACAGTTTTAATCTACAATGTCAAGGGAAAACAAGCAATGGTTTTTTAAGTCCCTAATTCTAATAAATTTTTACACTTTTGTTTTTTGGATTTCAACTCATTAAAGTATTACCAAATACCAAGTGTTTATTATTTGACCTCCACATTTATAATAAATTAAATCAATTGCATAAACTTATACTATATACCTGTTCATCAATGAGTTTAGCAAAGAACCGAGCCTTGGATCTTTCGTAAGGATCTTGAGGGAGAATTGGATTGTGTGGCCAAATCTCATCAATGTATTCAAGAATCACATGAGACTCAAGAATAGCTTTACCATTATGAACAAGAACAGGTACCTTCTTGTGGATAGGGTTTAGAGCAAGAAGCAAAGAGCTTTTGTTATCCAACTTTTCTTCCACGTAATCATACTTTATGCCTTTGAGTTTAAGAGCCATCTCGATCCGACGGCTAAAAGGGCTCGGCCATATCCCCAAAAGCTTCACTTCTTCATTCTCCGCCATTAGGTATCTCTCGTCTTAGAATTAGAAATGGTGGTTTGTTTAATTTTATTTTGTAGACTTGTCGGTGCTTTGTGCTTTAGATTTATAGGCGTAGGGTTTGTAATGGTCTTGTTGTGGTAAAACGACGAAATCTTTTTTCCGTTTGCCTGATCAGCTAATCTGCAATGAGATGTATATATAAGAAGAATTAATTAATCTAGAAGGTGATTGATACTGACTTTATATATATAACGTTCACGTTAGATATTGTTTAACATGAGGTGGTGGAGTCTTCTTACGTCTTAACTCCTTCCATCGCTAAAGCCGGCCGGATTATATTTATACCTATAAACTTTATTGTTATTTACGTTATAGTGTTAATTAGGACAAATTAATGCCAAAGTTTTAGTTCAGCCTATCGGGACAAGAAATGTTTTGGTCTTCGTCGTCTAGCTAACCAAATTCAAAAATCGAAATACACGAAACCATAGATAAAGTTGGTCGCTAAAACGTGCTTAATTGCGTTTAGTGCAAAAAAACAAAATTATAAAAGTATTTTATCGTTTTTATCTTTTAAAAATTATTTTGGGTGAGTCAATATTTTTGTTTTAAAATTCTCTGCTAAAAAATCAAAAATGATTAGTGGAGAATATATCTATATATATATATATATATTTTTTTTTTTTTAATATAAAGAAAATTTCCTAATTTATATTATTATTACATATTGGAAAAATAATCACATTTTCTGCCTCTCAATTTTTTTACCAATTCCCCCCCCCCCTTTCTACTACTCTCAATTCTTTTTCTGCTCCACTTAATCATATCACTAATGTAAACTTTGGTAGTTAATTAAGAATAAATGTAACTTTAAACTCTCTCTTTTACTTTTTGTTTTGTTTTTTGTTTTTACAGCATCCAGCGTAACTATACAATATAGACTCTCGATGGAGATGGTTTCATGCGGATCGGGATAGGTATACGGACAGACAAAACAAATATCAAAATCAGTATATTGACTTTTCGTTGAAGTAACTTTCATAGTCGGTTCAATTTAATTTTAGAAAATAATCCTAATGATTTTGTTTGTCGAAAATGATGTACGTACGTAAAAGAACTGTGCATGGAAACATTATTAACAGCGTCAAAAACATTTGTCCTTCTCGTTTTGTTATTGTCAAGGAACAACTTATTGAAGACAAGAAACAACTTTTTAAGGCTTATATAAAAGAAAAAATAGTACACTAGTATAACATGTTCTTTTTCACATCTATCAAATTGTTGTTACAATCATAATAAGAGTCGTTGGCGTGGCTTGGTGCCAAGAAAAAGAAAAATTAGTACTTTGTCTGTACGTAATTTGATGTTCTTTAAATATCACATTCACATCTATTAAAAAATGTTGTTATTCTAAGTTGGTTTTGCCGTTTCCTCCATCTATGAACTTCTTTGCCGATTTTGCTCGCCAGTCGCCACATAACATTTCTAGGCTCTCTAACGTATCCTTGCTTTAGTAACTATCTATATAAATAAATAAATAAATAAATCAATAAAAAAAACTATCTATATAAAGTGTCGGTGATTATTTCTGTGGTCACAAGTAGGCTGCGTGTTCGAATAACCGGAACTGAACCGACTTGGTTAATTTTGTTTCGAGTTTCTTTCGGTTAATAGAAATTATGCCAAAATTAATCGAATAAATAACCGGTTTTATTTGGTTCGGACCTTGAATTATTATGGTTGGTAAAATTTTACCGAAACGGCACTTTTTCTCAGTTAAATTCATGTAAAATTTGGTTTATTTGGTTAAATTGAATCGGATTTATAATGTATTTCGATTTGATTAATGTTTAATTTTGGTTTAATTTATGTATAGTTGAGGTTAGTAAAAAACCAGTAACCGATTGGTCCGACTAACTGAACAGAACATGATTCAAAAATCCTGCCAAACTGAATTGATCGATTTTAATTTTTAAACCGCTTACAAAAAAAAAAAAAAAAAAAAAAAAAAAAAAAAAAAAAATCTTGTTCGATATAGTTCAGGTCAGACCTCAATACGTCATAAGCTACTCACCTCACAATATTATGTCGCAAGTCGCAACAAATAGACCCACATGTCCGTGATGGTAAATCATAATCTGACCATATTATAGCTTATAGTACCATTTTTTCGTTCAAATGAAAAAACTCGCTTTTCATGAACCAAATCCCAAACCAACTTTTAAGATTTGTAAGAACCAGAATAATACTACATTCAAAAATTTATAATAGTTAATATGATATTAAAAATATTTAATAAAAGCACTAGTTGTTCATATAACTTTATGTAAAACGAGATTATTAATTATACAAACATATGTTGTCTCTTAATTAAGCTGATTTGATTCGTTCTGCGACTTTCTTCATATGCTCAATTTGCTTTTCCTTAGGAGGAATACATTCCCTCACGATCTCAACTTCTTTTAAATTCTTGATCCATCTGTTTAGTTCTGGAAACTTGTCTTCTGGAATCATATCAATTCCCATACCTTCCCAACTTCGAGCTATACAAAACGGGATCATACTTCCTGCGACCATGTCCAGGAATCCAAGTGTCTTGCCCCCGAAGAAATCTTTTCCGGTGACTTCCTTCTCAAGAAAAGTAAAGAGTTCTCGAGCCTCCTCGATTGCAACCTCTATTCCCTTCTCTGCTTTTACCACAGCCTTGAACCCTACTGGTCCGACCTACAAGAATATAGTAACATTTTCATCATTGGAATTAATATGTATCCAGAATGGTTCTAAGGTACTAATCATTTCAAGAAATCACCTATATATGCATAAAGAAACTGATATATAAAGTTATACCTGTTCATCAACGAACTTGGCCCAGAACAAAGCCATGGCTTTCTCGTAAGGATCTTGAGGAAGGATTGGATTTTGCTTCCATGTTTGGTCGATGTATTCGAGGATCAGATGTGACTCAGGTATGTGTTTACCTTTGTGGACAAGAACCGGAACCTTCTTGTAAACCGGATTTAGCTGGAGAAGCAAAGGGCTCTTGTTCACTATATCTTGCTCCAAGTAATCATAAGGCACACCTTTGAGTTTGAGAGCCATCTCGACTCTACGAGTAAAAGGGCTTGCCCAAAAACCTAGAAGCTTCACATCCTCACCTTTCTCTGCCATTGCACTTCTCTCTATAACTCTCTCTCTCTCACTCGCTAACGTTTCTTTTATAATGTAACTCCTCTCTATTCATCTTTGACTAGTACGTACTTTATGTGGTTTTGTTCTTTTAGGCATCTAAAGCTTCCTTTTTAATTTTGACTTGTAGTTTTGTTTTTGTGGTTACGTTCTCGTGGTTGACTAGTACATGAAAACGACTTCGTGGCAAGAAGAAAAGGATCATTTTGCTTTCTCTTTGTATCCAATGAACCGTGAACACATTATCATCGATCTCTCTATCAAATGCATTCTTTCTCTTTTTTTCCTCAAACATACCACCAACTTTATAAATAATAATCAACATTAATTCTAAGAAGTTTCTCCTTTTGTTTGATTTTATTCTATCTTAGATATATGTTTTTGTAAGTTACAATTTTTGAATCTGAAATTACTATTATACTTAAACCCGAAAAAAAAAAGAAAAATATATTTACTAATTATACTCTTCTGCAAATTTTACTTGGCTTCAGATTTATGTTTGAGTAATTCGAATTGTTTTCTTTTTGTCAGCAGTAATTAAAATTGGTTATCAACTAAATTATAAACAAAACATGTTATGATAAAATATAGTCATATATCAGTAAAGATATTCTAGCTAGATACTATATAAAAATCCGCGCTATGCCCGGGAAGTATTTTATAACTTTTGTTAATTTATATTAATCTAATGTATCATTTACTAATTTGTTATTATTTTCTCTAATTACAACTCGTTCTCAAAAAAAAAATATTAAAACTTATCATTATAAAAAGATAATCGTTTATATGAAAGTTTGAAGATAACTAAGATGATGTGACTCCATCATTCTTGAAAACTAATACTGTATTAAACATTGCAACACAATCTTATGCAATATGAAATAAAATAAAATAAAATAATATTTTTAATCCCATTCAATACCTTGATCACATATGTTATAGTAATTAGAAGAAAATATGTACATTTAAGATTTTAGAAACAGACCATAAGATTAAAAGATAATAATATTGAACAAGAAAAAACCAAAGAAAATGTTATTCCGTTTAAGTTTATGTTACCTTGTATCATCTTGTAAATAGGTCTTAAAATGATGTATGGGATTTAGAGTTTGATTGGTTTTAATGCTCTAAACTTCTCAAAATCGTTAAATTTCAAATGCTTGTTCCCGTAAGCGTTTGAAGATTATAATGGGTAGTCCATAAAACAAATTTTCATAACAACAAATAGAAAATATATTATCAAACCTTATACATGTATGTTAATTCTCAAACACTATAATTCTTAAACTTTAATCTACCTTTTAGTATGAATATTGGTGTTCAACTTTATAATTTATTTGTTCAATTTTTGAATAACTATTTATTTTTATTTTCATTATAATCATATTAGGTTTTATTATATTTTCATAAACATAGTTTTTTATGTTTTTATATTTTTATATTACATTTACTTTGATTATTTTTGTTGTTAATAAGACTTAAATTTTTCCCAAACGCTGTTCCTCTGCTTCTCTCTTGCTCTCTCTACAATTTGCCTTTCTCTGTTTTTGGTTAGTTCGGTTATCCAAAAATAGTGTTGGTTTAGATAGGATTCGGACTTTGGTATTTCAGATCGGTTAAGTTGGGTCGTTTCGGTATTCTCAATTGTGGTATTTTGTTTGTTTTTCCCAAAAAGAAAAATATAAAATTGAAGGAGAAAAAAAAAAGATGTCTTGTTGGATAATCCAAAGTTCTTTCTTCTTCTATTTTAGTAGTAGGGTTTATTTGTTAATGATCTCGTCGACTCTGTGATCTAATCTCTTTGAATCTGAAAAGCATACTAGAGAGAAGATCTCTTCCATAATTTTGCTGCAATCACCGAAGAAAATGGCGACCATAGGATTGGACCCGATGCGCCCTGAGATTGGGATGGAGGAAACCTGCAACGTCAAGGGTGCGGCGGCGAAACAAGGGGAAGGGCTTAAGCAATACTATTTTCAGCACATCCATGAGCACCAGCGTCAGCTCCGTCAAAAGACGAACAACCTTAATCGTCTTGAAGCTCAGAGGAATGAACTCAATTCTAGAGGTCTCTTCTTAATTTCTTCCCTTTGCTTTGTTTAATTGTTTGGTTGCGTTTCAGATTTAAGTACCAGTGCTTTCGATTTTTCAATCCTTGGAGTTGGGTTTTTTAGAATTTTGTTAATTGTTGTGGTGATTCCTGGTATTGAGGGTTTCCGATCTGGAAGTGATTGGGTGGCAATTGGATCTCTTTCAAGAACTTGCCTTGATTTGTTTAGCAGCAATAACTTAACCCAATTCAGATTGCTTGATTCAGTTTGTGTTAATCATTAAACTTTAATCTTCGTTGTCATTTTAAACTGAACAGTAAGAATGCTCAGAGAAGAGTTGCAGCTGCTTCAAGAACCTGGATCCTATGTGGGTGAAGTTGTAAAAGTGATGGGAAAAAACAAGGTCTTGGTTAAGGTATGAATCTTTTTTTCGTATTACTTAGTCTTAAATTGGTCTGAATTGTTTGCAATGATATGAACATAGCTATAATAATACTTAAAAATCCCGTCTTTCAGGTTCATCCAGAGGGGAAGTACGTTGTCGATGTTGACAAAAGTATAGACATAACGAAACTTACTCCATCAACTAGAGTTGCTCTCCGTAATGATAGCTATGTTCTTCACCTGGTTTTGCCAAGTAAAGTAGATCCGCTGGTGAATCTTATGAAAGTTGAGAAGGTTCCAGACTCCACATATGACATGATTGGTGGCCTTGACCAGCAAATTAAGGAAATAAAGGAGGTATGCCTAGTGAAAGAAAAAAAACAAAACTGAGTTATTGGCTTATCATGCTTTTATTTTTTTATGTAATATCTATATCTTTACTGGTTTATCAGGTCATTGAGCTGCCAATCAAGCATCCTGAACTGTTCGAGTCTCTTGGAATTGCGCAGCCAAAGGTAAACATGAATTTCAAAGCTTCTTCTCTACTTTGTAATGATGCAAAGTGGATTAGAATGACAGCATCTTCCTCTATTTCTAGGGTGTCTTGTTATATGGTCCACCTGGAACTGGGAAGACACTATTGGCTCGGGCTGTGGCGCATCACACTGACTGTACTTTTATCAGAGTTTCTGGTTCCGAGCTGGTCCAGAAATACATAGGAGAAGGTTCTAGAATGGTCAGAGAACTTTTTGTGATGGCAAGGTTTGTATATGCTAGTCCCTATTTGATATTTCAAGCATGAAAATAGTGGTTGGTTAGAAAAGATGGAACGGTTGACAAGATAAATCTTTTACATGCTTGTGCACAGTAGCTAAATTGGACATGCGGTGCTAAATAAACTGAGTAGAGTGTTCTCTGTTCCTACTATGAATTCGTTTTCAACATGCAGACGATCTTAAGGATGATTATCTTTATAAGTATTCTTTCAGCATGCCTAGCATTTAGGCCACTGTACAAATCTTTTGTAATGAGAAAAGTACACATAGATGAGATGATTGTGTTGGAAAATACTATTTCCAGCTTGCTTACCTTCCTGGTACCTCTGGCTTATGTTTTTCAGGGAGCATGCACCATCAATCATCTTCATGGATGAAATCGATAGTATCGGATCTGCTCGTATGGAATCTGGTAGTGGAAATGGTGACAGTGAGGTGCAAAGGACTATGCTTGAGCTTCTCAACCAACTGGATGGATTTGAAGCGTCAAACAAAATCAAGGTACGCATTAAGTTGTGAAGGAAAATTTTATCATGAAGCTGAAAAGGATGAGTGTATGATATACTAGTATGAATTTTCCAGACAAACTTGTTTATTCTCTTAATTGACTGTTGCAGGTTTTGATGGCGACAAATCGTATTGATATTCTGGATCAAGCTCTTCTCAGGCCTGGAAGGATTGATAGGAAAATTGAATTCCCTAATCCTAATGAAGAGGTAATGCATGTGTTTCATAGATAATGACATTAGAAGTAACTTTACCCTTTAGGTAGCTACTATGCTCTGTTGTTTTTTTGTGAAAAGAATGTGAAATTCTTCCAAAGATGCACACCTTATTTCTTTCAACTATCATTTACTGCATAAAATACTTTTCCTTATCTCCATATTCACTGTACCCAAGGTGAGGCTGGACGGTTTTGGCTGATGTATATTTTTAACATTGGTTGCAGTCACGTTTTGATATCTTGAAGATACACTCGAGGAAAATGAATTTGATGCGTGGAATCGATCTGAAAAAGATTGCAGAGAAGATGAATGGTGCCTCAGGGGCTGAGCTGAAGGTAAAGTGTTTCTATTCCGCTGTTACTCTTTTGTTCTCTCCACATTTTGTGCCTCTTATATAATGTTATTGTTGGTTATTGCGGTCAGGCTGTATGCACGGAGGCGGGTATGTTTGCGCTGCGGGAGAGGAGAGTACACGTGACACAGGAAGACTTTGAGATGGCAGTGGCGAAGGTAATGAAGAAAGACACAGAGAAGAACATGTCTCTGCGTAAGCTGTGGAAGTAGAAATCTCGTTGTTGTATGTACACTCAACTCAAAAGAGAGAGATTCATATCAGACTTGTGAGATATTATTAGAGTTACCTTTTACTGTCTGTGTGGTTCTTTCTGAAACCTTCCTTGTCGGTTGGCTCTTCAAGCTTTCGAAAACAAAGCTTTAACACTAGTTTGTAGTAAGTTAAATTGTCTTTCAACAAAGCTGTTTGCATTCAAACAAGCATTACATTGAAGTTTAAAGAATTTGTTATATCACTCATCTTTATTTAGTAGATTATTCATTAAAAGGTTTAAATAACAATGCAAATACAAATATGTTGTCTCCTAGGTTGCTTTCATTAGCTTTACAATTTTCATCATGTGCACAATATGTTTCTCTCTATCAGGAATACATTCCCTTACGATCTCAATTTCTTTCATATTCTGGATCCATCTGTTTAGTTCTGGAAACTTTTCCTCTGGAATCATATCAATTCCCATACCTTCCCAACCTCGAGCTAGACAAAATGGGATCATACTTCCCACGACCATGTCTAAGAATCCTATTGTCTCTCCGCCGAAGAATTTTTTCTCCGTGATTTGATTCTCAAGGAACATAATTTGTTGTCGAACTTCCTCGGTTGCAACATCAATACTCTTCTCCGATTTCACCAGCGACCTGAATGATGGTACTGCCTAAAAGGTAGTTATATTAGCAAACGTTTCATAACAAAGTGATAAAATTTGAAGTGATGTCACTAACCGTTGGTCTAAATGACCAATATAATTCTTATCGTTATAATTTAACTAAAAAATCGCTCAAAAAATTGATAATCAATCTTGTGGCTTAATTACTAATGGGAACAAGAATCTTGATTTCACTATTGAAAAGGTATTGAACTTGTAGTAAACATGTTTTTCTAAGTATTTATCATTTCTAGAAATTACCTATGCAATTAGTTAATAAAGGAGTTAGTTTCAAGAATTTACTTGTTCATCGACGAATTTGGCCCAGAATCGAGCCATGGCTTTGTCGTACGGATTTTCAGGTAGAATTGGATTGTGTGTCCATGTCTGGTCTATGTATTCAAGGATCAGCTGTGACTCGAGTAGTACATTACCATTGTGGACCAAAACAGGCACTTTTTTGTAAATCGGGTTGAGTTGAAGTAACAAAGGACTCTTGACAACCAAATAATCTTCATCCAAGTAATCGTATGGCACACCTTTGAGTTTGAGAGCCATCTCGACTCTACGGCTGAATGGGCTTGCCCAAGACCCTATAAGCTTCACACCCTCTTCTTTCTCAGCCATTATATCAATTAATTTCTTTCCCACTTTTTTGTTTTTTGTTTTTGTTTTTGTTTCTCTATATGATTCCTCAACTCTTTATATACTTCTGTAAATTATGCTTTGATTATAAAGGTGATACGAAAAAAGCAAAAGGAAAAGAAAAGTCAATTTAAGGCCTTTGTCTCCAAATAGTACTTAAGCATACTTTTCCTAGAGTTGTGATGAACACTTAAACAACAAGTACAATGTATGGACCTCATTTATGTGTATCATCCAAGGACATCTAGAGTGTATTTACATCATCCCTGACGTCAATTTCAATGATAATTGCATTATATTCAACGATTAATCAAGAAACGTTTTAAACATTGATGCTGCATGAATATTACGGCACGAGACAAATGAATGGTCAAGAAAAGCTAACAAGGTGAAAAATGTAGCAAAATTAATTAGAGGGTTAACAGAAAAAAAATTACAGTACTCTAATACAACATTAAACTCACATAAGTAACAAAAGAAATGTGTTAACTCATCAGAACAGAGTTATGATGTTGTCATTACTTTAGGAAGACTTAACTCTCTCAATAATTTTGTTCATGCGTTCAATATGTTTTTCTTTTGGAGGTATACATTGCCTCACAATCTCAACTTCATTCAACTTCTTGATCCATCTGTTTAACTCTGGAAATGTCTCCTTTGGAATCATATCAATTCCCATACATTCCCAAGCCCGAGCCAGACAAAACGGGATCATACTTCCTACAACCATGTCCAAGAATCCGATTGTCTTGCCGCCGAAGAAATCTTTTCCAGTAACTTCCTTCTCAAGAAACGTAATCAGTCCTCGGATCTCTTCAATAGCAACATCAATCCTCTTCTCTGCTTTTACTAGGGGCATGAACCCAACTGGTAGGATCTGCAAGTTAGATCAAGCTATAAGAAAAACAAGATGACTTTATTCTACAAATGTCAAATAGTCTTGATATGCTTGCAAGGTATTGAACTTCTAATTAATCTCAAGTCATTTTATATGTAATCAATATTATAAATTACTTTAATTAGTAAAAAGTTACCTGTTCATCGATGAACTTGGCCCAAAATCGAGCCATGGCTTTCTCGTAAGGATCTTGAGGTAGAATTGGATTAGTAGTCCATGTTTGGTCGATGTATTCGAGGATGACATGTGACTCGGACAAGATTTTATCATTGTGGACAAGAACCGGAACCTTCTTGTGAACTGGATTAAGCTCAAGAAGCAAAGTGCTCTTTTTGGGTAAGTCTTCCTCCAAGTACTCGTATGGTACGCCTTTAAGTTTGAGAGCCATCTCGACCCTACGACTAAAAGGGCTTATCCAAAACCCTAAAAGCTTCACACTCTCTTCTTTCTTCTCCATTAGATCTCTCTCTCTCTCACTTGTTCACTTTTTGGTTTCTATTATCTCACTCCTTTGTTCTTCTCTCTTTACCTTTTCTGGTTCCTTCTCTTGTTTGATTACTATTTTAATGTCTCTATAAATCAAGTTGTTGCATACACCACTCTAGTTATTTTATTGTTGTTTCGTACTAGCAATTGGCTTTTACAGACACTAACCACGTTGTCCCTTTGCGAATTACGAGTTTTATAGAGTATTTTATTGTATTGCTAAAACTTTTGAGGTTTTGCCTTTGTTTGTTTCCTATAGTTTATGTGTTAATTGAAAAGATAATCATGGAAGACAGAAAAATTAATATAACTGTAATAATATGACTTGTTGAATGTTGATAGTATGAACTTTCCACACTTGTCTATTGTATCCTATAAAAATATGGATTTGAAGTAGATTACTCTATTATAGTAAATGAAACATGTTATAATAAAACTTTTAATGGATTTGGATGTGATAGATACCAAAACTTAAATTCATGGATAAACCATGTTATTTCAAAATTAATCTACATTTTTTATTTTTTAAACCAATGAGAATTATGGATTTCAAAATCCTTGAACCAATACAAATATTACCGGACGACCAAGAAGTACGCAGTTGTGTTTAATTTAATTTAGGCAGACATAATTTTCTCTGCAATTTTGGTCATTCGCTCCACTTGTTTATCTCTTGGAGGAATACATTCCCTCACGGCCTCAACGTCTTCCAAGTTACTGATCCATCTGTTTAGTTCTGGAAACAACTCCTTTGGAATCATATCGATCCCTAAACCTTCCCAAAGCCGAGCTAGACAAAATGGGATCATACTTCCTGCGACCATGTCCAAGAATCCGACTGTCTTGCCGCCAAAGAAATCCTTCCCGGTGACTTGCTTCTCAAGAAACATAAGCATTTCTTGAGTCTCTTCAATAGCAACTTCTCTTCCCTTCTCTGCTTTCACCAAGGACCTGAACCCTAACGTTAAGATCTGCAAGTAAAGAACAATACATAAGCAAAAGAAATAAAGGATCCTGATTTTAAATGTTTTATCAGTATACCTGCTCATCGATGAACTTGGCCCAAAATCGAGCCATGGCTTTGTCGTAAGGATCTTGAGGAAGAATCGGATTGTTATTCTTCCATGTCTGATCGATGTATTCGATGATCAGATGTGACTCGGGTAATACTTTATCATTGTGGACAAGAACAGGAACTTTCTTGTGAACCGGGTTTAGCTCAAGAAGCAAAGAGGTCTTGTTTGGCAAGTCTTCCTCTAAGTACTCGTATGGTACGCCTTTGAGTTTGAGAGCCATCTCGACTCTACGACTGAAAGGGCTTCCCCAAAACCCTAAAAGCTTCACACTCTCTTCTTTCTCCGCCATAACTGGATCAACTCCTCTGTTTGTTTGTTTTCCTTTCAATAGGTTTTTGTTTCGTTCCCTTGATTGATTACTACTAATTAATATATAAATAGGGATAATGGGTAGTGAAAACGATGATTCTGGCTAATAAATAAATAACGAAGAAGACTATTTTGGTTTCTCTTGATAGTATCTTGAAGATCAAACCAGACAAAGATTAATTTTAAAACTTTAAGGTATGTCATTGCTAACGTCACTTAGCGTGACTAATCCTCCAGACAGTTAATTACTACACGATTTAAGAACAATAATTTAGTTAAATTAATCATACAACTTTTTAATACTGTAATAATAAAATAAGAACAGACATAAAATCTATATTAACATTTTTAAAGTACATTTTGTACTAAAATCTATTTTGGGATATAACATTTTATTTTTTAATATTTGCATAATCAAACCTTTTCCATTTGAATAAATAACAACACTTAAAAATAAATTTTGTAATTAAATCACAAGGAAATCGCGAAATAGGAAACAAATACTTATAAATTTTAAGAAATTTTTTTTTAAAGTCTCAAAATATTATAAATTTAATTTTTTAAAAAATTTAAAAATATTAAAAATATCAAAACTATTAAAAGCTGCAAAATATAATAATTAATTTTAGTTTTATAGAATATTTAAAATATTTAAAATATTTAAACTTTTTAAAATCTAAAAATATAATAATATAATAATATTTTACATAAATATATTTCTTACGAGTTGTCTATATTTAAAATCTTTTACAGGTTTAGTTAAAATATTATTTTATACAAAATCTTACCGCGGGTTGACCACATATATCTATGAATCTTATAATACAAATTAATAAAATTATATAAAATTTAAATGATATAAATACGTATAAAACTAAACTATATAAACTAACTACAAAAATTATCAACCAAACAAAGTTGTTAAATTATGGACTCGTGGTGTACCACGGGATAAATCCTAATACATATATTACTCAGCGAGTAATAATGTTTATCTCTTATAAGCTTACTCGAGTCTTATTTTCATTTTTTCCAAGAGTTCATCAATATGTTTCTTTATTTTGAGAATTTTATCAACAAAACGATACAAGCAAGCATATAGTGGATATTTACAGGACCAAGAAGTATGAATGTATGATGTTGTTTTTAATTTAGTTTCTAAATCCTCTGTTTCTTTCAATAGTTGTGTTTAGTTCTCTTGATTTATCCCTATTTCACTATATATAAGTGAGGCTAACAGGTTTGAATATGAGGACGTCGTTAGTCAATATATAAAGAAAAAAGTCCATTCTTTATCTTGGTATCCAAGATATCTTAAAATACATATCAAAACAAGATAAATAGAAATTAAAAAAAGGTATGCACGTCTCTCGTCTTAGGTCTATTATATATGCTGGTTCGATTTATGATCGAGTGTGAATATTGAGGCATGAACTACTTGTGTGTTCTTGACCCGACAGGTCAAAGGGCTTGCCCAAAACCCTAGAAGCTTTCACTATTTCGTCTTCTTTCTTTACAACTTCAATTCGTTCGGCTAGATATGATAGAGATTGAAACAATAATCAGAAATTTTTGATTAAACGATTTTTCTCTTTGTTCGTGATGACATACATAACAAGAAATTTTCAAAAAATAAACAAAGATTTGTTTTTACAAGGAAATATATTTCAAAATAATACATAACAAGAAATTTTCAAAAATAAATTAAACAAAGATTTGTTTTTACAAGGAAATATATTTCAAAATAATACATAGTGCTTCTTCATATTCTTCCTCTTTGGTTTCCTCATCACCATGATTTTCCTTAGCCGATCTTTCCCTGCCTTAGTATCTCGTTTCCGAACTATTTTGCGTTTACATATGTGTCGAACAAGATCAGGTTCACCTCTCACGAAGTCATGGTCAGCAAATTCGATTTCCTCAGAGTCAACTCTCCTAAAGCCGTATCGGTTAAGCAACTTGGCAAAGAGTGAGAAATTGCGAGGATACTCAGTTTCGTCCCGGCGAAAGCCAAAGAATCTTGGTATAACATCTCTCGAAAGTTCTTTAGGGTTCCAAACAATGAAACTCTTGCCACTCTCGCTCCACGAGATCGTTGAATCAGTCGAAGGATCATCAACCATGTCATATGTTTTTCCCAATATAGTACTTCGTAGAACGCTATCCATCTTTTGAAGAAGAAAAAAAGAGATCGTGACTTTGATGTTGTTTGTTGGTGGAAGCTTATGTTTTCCTTATTTATATAGAGAAGTGCTTTTGTCGGTGTAAGGTGTAATCATACTAGGCTTCGTGTAATATGGGCCTCAATGTTTTGAATTTATAAAAGCAAGTTTATAAGATTAAAAATCTTGATAATCGATGTGGGACAATCTTTTCGGGGGTTAGAAAACACACTTACATATAATAATCGATGTGGGACAACTAATTAAAGTAATTATGCACATATCTACTGTAATTATTCGTTCTTAAATCCTAGTATTGATGTAATAAGATACACTTTGCATAACATCAACCTTCATAAGCTTACTAAACACTAACTAACCACTTCTGCCTATTGAGATTAGAACATGCATCTCTTTGTGCTTTGTTAATTAAAGAGGAGATTTGTCTAGTTAAACCATTTTAATAAACTTATACGAAACGTTACAATACTTTATTAATTAGATACATCACAGCTCAAGCTGATTAGTGGTTTATTCTAATTTTGGATAGACTTAATCACACACTCAAAGCTCTTTGATCAGCCAGTAATCTGAATAGACCGCGTCACATCAGCCTTGTTCGTCTCAGCTTTAGGCACAGTAACAGTCAAAACACCATTCTCCATAGCAGCGTTGATCTGATCCATCTTCACATTCTCAGGCAACCTAAACCTCCTAGTAAACTGTCCGCTCGACCTCTCGACACGGTGCCACGTGTCGTTCTTGTCTTCCTTCTCCACGTGTCTCTCTCCGCTGATCTTTAAAACACTCTTGTCTTCCTCGATCTCGACTTTCACTTCTTCTTTCTTCAGTCCAGGCAAGTCGGCTTTGAACACGTGAGCCTCCGGCGTCTCTCTCCAGTCGACACGTGCGTTCACGATGGCTGAGTTATCTCGGGAAAGAAGTGAAGAAGATGGTGTTGTTAGTGTTAGCTCTCTGAAAGGATCCCATGCCTCTAGTGAGAATGGATCGTAGAAGTTGTTGCTTCGTCTGTTGTTGTTGTTGTTGAAGAAGCTTGGAATCATCGACATTTTTTTTCGGATTATAGAGAATCTGATTCGGTTTCGTTTCTTGCTTTTGAGTTTTTTTTTTTTATATAACTTCTGATGAGGAAAAACAGAGGATTTGTGAATATATTTAAAGGCACGAACAGAGATATTTCTCGAATTTTTACGGGAATATTTAGAAACGTCTAGAGGAAGGTGATGTGACTTGTGTCAGTGTATTTTATGGGCTTTGGTGGGCTGTAAATGTATGTCCATAACGGGCTGGCCCTATCTTAATAACTATAGCTGAAGATATTAAAGAAAAAAATACCTGTGACAAAATAACTATAGCTGAAGATATTAAAGAAAAAAAAAAAAGAAAGGATACAAAAGACAAAAATGAAACCAGAATTATACGGATCACCTAAATTAAAATCGAAATTTTCATTTAAAAAGCATTTAATAAAATACAAATATTTATAACATGCTGAATTTGTTATAAATACAAAGCAATTAAGGCTGTCTGAGTTACATGGACCATGGGCTTTAAAAGACAAGTGTATAATAAAAAATACTGAATTTATTATTTTTATTCTATCCATAGAGGCCCATTTTAATTTGTTGTATAATTATTATATAAATCTTTTGAGGGGAAAAAACAAATAAATGTTTTTAATCCAACGGTGTATAAAAGAGAGTGATTAGTAATCCACTCAAAGTAGGGTAAAAAACGATGACGTAATTCCCGCGTTCATTACGGAATCTTAACCGTACGATTCTATTATACACCTTTGCTTCTTCTACTGTTTCTTTTACTTATTTTATTTGTTTTTTTTACTAAATCCGTCGGCCACAAAGATAAAGTTATGTCTTTCTCTTTCTTCGTTTACCAAAAAAAAAAAAAGAACAACTTTGGACGAAAGACTCGGGCCGAGCTATGCAAAAAAAAACACACACACTCTTCTCTCCAACAACTCTTCTCTCTCTCTCACTACTTGTCACTCTCTCTATCTACACACAAAAATTAAACAAAGCTCTAAAATCTTCTCTCTCTCTATAGCTCTAGTGGTCTCTCTCTCTGCTTCTGTAGCTGATAGGGTCAGCTTCGTCGGCGCTATTTTTGCCTGATTTCACGGAGATTATTTGAGATCTGACCACTTCTTCTTCTTCTTCTTCCTTGTGCTGATCTGGTTTCTTCTTCTTACTCTCCTATTCCATGGATGCTTCGTCCTCGTCCTCCTCGGCGCACTGATTCCGTCGTCGACTTTAATTTTTTTGGTAAAGCTTCTTTTTTTTTTAATTGGGTATCCGTACAATGCTAATAATGTTTATTCCCATTTGCCCTCAAATGTGAATGAAGATTTTTTTGTGTGTTTCGTGGTTAGTGTTGTACTTGGGGTGGTCTCTGTACACTCTCTCACTCACTAGGCTCTAGTTTCTAATTTTATCTCTTGAAGGTTGTTCTTTGGTAAAAGAGTGTTTGTATTTTGGTCTTAGGTTTTTCTTTCTTTTCTCTCAACTTTATCTTGTAGAGATTCTTGTCAGATCTCTCATGGATTCTATAGAATCTTTAAGTCATGGAGCTGTTCCTATCTGATAATTTTTTTTTTTTTTTTGGTTGATTCCATCTTTAAATGTTGAAGATTCTGGATTTTATTACCTTGTGTGTGTGTATCTGTGTCTGATTGTGGATAAGAAGTACTTTTTTGTATTTGTTTATGACCGACCTCTATTTAACATTTTTTCTTGTCTTTCTTCAGAAACCACTCAAGATTGTTTTGAGCATTTGCTGTAGAATGGGAGGCTAAAGGAGTATCTGAGTGAAACCGTTAGTGCTTTGGCCAAGAAACGATGGAGTGCCGTATGGAAACGAAGAAGGGTTCGAGTGATCGGCCACCTTTTGTGGCTGCTGAGAAGAAAGTATTGAATAAAGAAAGCTCAAAGTCGTTTACACCGGATAAGTTCAGAGATGATAAACGCGGGTTATCTTATTCCGATTTCCACCGCGAGATCACGAAAAAAGTTGAAGATGTCTGTCCTAAACGCTTGGAGAACCGTCTCAAGTCGCGGATAGGTAGAACTGCGTCAGGAGAAAGGGACCTTGTGAAATACAAGTCCTATGTTCCGAGTTATATAAAGAAATATGAAAAACATGAAGAGAAGGTTGTTAAAGCTGGTGGCATTGGTTTGCTGGACCTAAGAAATAGGCAATCAGGTGATAAACAAGTGGATAAGCATACCAGGTCTTCCTTGTCTAACACTAGCACATCGTCGTCACTCTGGACTGATGAATCATCAACTGACTCCAGCAGAGGTCTGTGTGCTTCTCCTTTTCGTAAAAGAGTCAATCACCCTCCATTGCAGTATTATCTGATGTCATCTAAGCCTGGAGATAATTTTCAAGATTTGGATCCACCTCGAGATGATGGTGATATGTCCGAAAGTCATAGCTTTTTGCCAGGAAACATCACAGACAGACAAAGAGATACCTCAATAAGAGATGGACAGTTTCATCAAAGCCCTCGTGCAACTGCATTGCCACCAAATGACATGAAAGATTCTGATTTTAAGATTGCTCCAAAAACCAGAACTTTCTTGAGTCCATCAAAGCCAGATAGTCCTTCTTGCACAAGGATAATATCAAGGAATCTAGCCGAGGACTTTAAGAAAAAAGGAGAGAAGATGGAAGAGAGAATCCGAAATCCTCGTGTTCATGATTTGTTTGGAAAAGAAAAGCCTGCTGCTGTATTTGTACCAGGAATTGTTTCTCAGAAACAGATTATTGGTTTGTCCAAGTTCTATGATTCTAAAGTGTTGCTGGCTGAGAGGGTGGCAGAAACAAAGGGGTTCTCAGAAAAGTTGGCGTATGGGAAGGTTGCAGTCCTGGACTCTGGACGTGAAGCTGATGGAAGTAAACCGTTCTTAAAGCGTATCAGCTTCTTGAGTTCAGAAAGATCATGTTCAGCTCCACGATCAAGAAAAGCTGAATCGAGTCCCTCTAGGAGCAGGACTCTAGATCGAAGGTCAGCAGAAACATTGCCCAAACAGTCAGATCAGAAACCAGCTAAAATTGTTTCTGAAAGAGCAAGAAGCATTTCACCGTTTCGTCGACTCAGCTTCAGCATTGGAAAGTCCAGCAAAAACTCCAACACTGAAGATGCCCAGACTCCTCCCCACTTAAGCGCATCACTTATTTCATCACGAGCTGGTTTAGACAATCTATCTGCCTCTTCTTTAAGTGACAGCTCTTCTATTGATAAAACCAGTGCAGTAAACAGAGGCAGGTCCAGTCCATTGAGAAGGTTACTCGATCCTTTAATAAAACCAAAATCAAGCCATTCATGTCGATCTCCTGAGCCATCACAAAAGGATGCCCCTTTGAGTCACCAAAAGCATATGCTTTCTGACAGTCAACCATCTTCATCCCTTCTGTCGAGTAATGGAAAAACTTCAACTGTTCAGGCTCTATTTCGTGTGACATCTAAGAATGATCAACCACTTTTCACTTTTGCGGTTGAAAAGGAACAAAGTATTACAGCAGCCACAATAAGAAAACAGACGCCGCCAGAAAAGGAAGACTATGGACATAAGTATACGTTTTTTACTGTACAGGAAGTACAGAAGAAAAATGGAAAATGGATGAACCACGGCAGGAAGATGCAAAACCAAGAGTATACATCAAACATTGTTGCTCAGATGAGAGTTTCCGGTTCTAAGCCTCTGATTTTCGCTGGAGAAAGTGCTGTTGATAATCTCACAACCAGAGAATTTGTACTCTTTGCATCTGAATCGCAGCGGACTAACGAGCTAGCTGCCATGGTGATCAAGATCCCAAAAATTTCTGACACAAGCTCAACAAAAGACACCACACTTGGAGATTACTTTGCAGATGTTGACGCAACAGTGGTACTTCCAAGTGGAATTCACAGTCTCCCACACAAAGGAGGGCCTTCGTCGCTGATCCAACGATGGAAATCAGGTGGATCATGTGACTGTGGAGGCTGGGACATTGGCTGCAACCTTAGAATCCTTACAAATCAGCATAATAAACCCCGAAACCCTTCTCCCTCCACTTCAGATGCATTTAAGCTCTTCTTTCAGGTTTCCATAACATGTCAAATCTGTCAATACTACATCAACCTCTGACTTGATTTTGAAACTAATCCAAATTTGTTGCAGGGAGGATCACATGATAATAACAACCAGCCATTCTTGAGTTTCACTCCATACAGAGAAGGTGTTTACGCGGTTGAGTACAATACATCACTTTCACTCTTGCAAGCATTCTCCATTTGTATAGCGATTAACGAGGGACGGAATCCGTCAAAGACAACAGAACCGAATAATACTTCATGTGTAGACAACAACAAAGCTTATGGAGGAGAGATGTCATCGATTCAAAACGAGAGGTTGAAGTCATTTTCAGGTCCTATTGAAGCTGAGGCTCCTGCTAGGTATCTCTCACACCACCCACCTTTGTCTCCTGTGGGAAGGGTTTAGCCGTTTAGTTGCTTCGTCAAATAAATCTGGCTATATATGTTTCTTTATATATATTTCTCTTTTTTAGTCTCTGATGGGGGAAGCGTAAGTTCAATGTAATTACGGCGTGGAAGTAGATTACGTTATATAGAAATTTGTGAAACTTGTTTTTTAATCACATTAATATTTAAGCAAATAAAAAACTCCTATTGTTTTGCCTCTACATTGTGTTCTTTCTTCTAACAGTTCCAGTATCGGTGATGATGACTTCCTTAACTCGTCGTGTTAGTTTAGTTTAGTGTTTGTTGTTGAACTGTGTTCATAAAAAAAAAGTAAAACACTATTGGTGCTGCCCAGGATCGAACTGGAGACCTTTTGCGTGTAAGGCAAACGTGATAACCACTACACCACAGCACCTTTTGTTATATATTTACATTTAAGTATATATATACAGATAAAATGTTAGGAAAAGTAATTGAGCGGTTACAAAAATTGGCACAACAAATGTTTTGCCTTTGTTCCTCCTTTGCGTAGATTGCACAAAAAGCTGAATCCTTTCTCCGACAAGACAAACAGAGACCCATTTGAATCGATTCCTTATTAAAAATTATTGAATTGGGAATGTTCTCTTATCGATTCTTTCAGGTGAATCAAACTGGTCGGTGCGTTTCGTTTATGTGACACATCTGCGGATCGAGTTCTGTTTCTATTAAAGCATTTGCATTTGATCGATTGCTATAGAGATTAATGTTCGTTCTCAATCTAAAGCATGCCCCTTTACGTTGATCGCGAGGCTCCTAAGGTATTTTGTTTTCTCTCTCTCTCTTTTCAAAAGATAAAAAAATTGTTGAAATTAATTTAAAGTTTATTAGTCATGTGTCAATGGTTTTTTGTGTGTGTGTGTGAAGCTATGGAGACGAATTTACACAGAAGCAACATTAGAAGGTTCTCTCCTTGCCGAAAAATGGAAGCTTGTTCTTGCTGGACTTGTATTTCAGGTTCTCTAGCTTCCTTCTTCATCCACCTAATTTATGGCTTAAAATGTTGGTTTTAGCTCTATCCATGTTTTGTGTTAAGATTATAGTTTTGCAATGTTGTTTTAGCTTATAATTTGTTGGTGATTTGATTAAATTGAAGTTTTGATAGAGCAACGAGTTATGGTGAATTATTGTTTCAGCAAATGTGGGAGCTTTAGAAATAGTTCAGTTTGTAAATCTTGTTTACATATGTTTTTGGTCCTTCTCAAATCAGTACATTCATGGACTTGCTGCTCATGGAGTTCACTACTTACACCGACCTGGTCCAACTCTTCAAGATGCCGGTTTCTTTATTCTTCCAGTTAGTATGCTTGCTTTGAATTTTCTTGGTAATTTTTGTTCTGTATCGTAGCTCTGGTTTGTTTGGTAACTGATATGTGTTCCTCAGGAACTTGGGCAAGATAAAGCCTTTGTCAGTGAAACTGTGTTTGTCACTATCTTTGGATCATTTATCTTGGTAAGTTTCCATTCTGAGGTAACTTATTTTATTCCCTCAACTCGCTGTAATGGATTAATGGCTCTAATATGCGGTTTACTTTGATTGCAGTGGACATTTCATCCTTTTGTTTCCCACAGTAAAAAGATTTGTACAGTTTTGATATGGTGCAGAGTTTTTGTTTATTTAGCAGTAAGTTGCACTTACACTACATTGATTCTTCTATTTATACATACACAGCAGATAATATCTGCTTTTAGTTTAGTTTTGGGGAGGTTTTTAAGCTTTCATATGTTTTCAGGCTTCTCAAAGTCTGAGGATTATCACATTCTTTGCAACACAGCTTCCTGGGCCTAATTATCATTGTCGAGAGGTATGATTCTCAATGTGTTTAGGCTTTGGTTTCTTAGTTGTGACTTTTTTTGGCTATGTATTGATTTCTCCCTGGTATATCAAATTTATCTGTTAGGGCTCCAAGCTCGCCAAGATTCCGCCTCCGAAGAATGTTCTTGAAGTACTTTTGATTAACTGTTAGTTCGAATTGCATCTTTTTTTTTGCAATTTTTTAGTTGGTACAGAATAACTCATAAAGTGGCATTTGATTATGGTTTGTTTCTGTTCAAAATGCAGTTCCTGATGGAGTGATATATGGTTGTGGAGATCTAATATTTTCATCACATACAATATTCACCTTAGTGTTTGTACGCACATATCAACGATATGGCACACGAAGGTACTGTTTCATATATCATTCTACAAAAGTTCATCCTTTCTCACTAGATTTTTCCATCTCATGTATGTAAAATTCCCAGGTGGATCAAGCATCTGGCTTGGCTTATGGCAGTTGTACAGAGCCTATTGATCATAGCTTCAAGGAAACATTACACAGTTGACATTGTTGTTGCATGGTCAGAAAAAATAGGAAAAATCAAATATCACTTTTTTTGCAAAACTGAATCTCTTAAATTATCTCAACATTTTGACATTTTCTTCTGCAGGTATACTGTGAACCTTGTGATGTTCTACGTTGACAGCAAACTTCCAGGTATTCTTTAAGAACTCAATCATTCTCCCAAAAGATTAAGAACACCAGATTGTTTCCCCGCACATAGTCACATAAATATTTGCAGAAACTTGAGACTGCAATTTGTTTGATAATTTCTGTGCATAGTTACCCCGGTACTTACTGAAAACAGTTCATTACAATACTGAATAAACGTCGTAGCTATTCCAGATTCCCATACCATTTCTTAGTTTAGTCTCTGCTATTTGCCAGTAATAGCCCTATAAACCCGACACATGTTCTGGTCAGTTTGCTCTTATTTGAAGAAACTGTGAACGATTATCTTATTGCAGAAATGGCTGAGCGTTCTAGTGGACCTTCTCAGACGCCTTTACTCCCACTGAGTACTAAGGACAGCAAGAACAGGAGCAAAGAGGATCACCAGAGACTTCTAAACGAAAACAATGTAGCAGATGGTCATTGATGTTATCTCTTCCAATATCAAAATCTCAAATCCGAGCAGAATCTTAGTTAGAGACTAATGGTTGTGTACTTATTGAGTGCATGTTAGTCATAAACTGAACAGAAATTCCCAAGTTTGGTGCTATATTGTCCTAGGATAGAAAGTTCTCTTTGTTCAAAGTGAAAATACAAATTATACAACTCATTAATAGATGGGTTTCGTGGATTTTGATTTTGTTATTTCATTTCATCCCTTCAGAAATAATGGGTTCACAGAGAATTTGCATTATTTGTCCAAATCAGAGCCAAAAATGTGATGCGACTCGCTTGACAATAAAAAACAATATTATAGCTTTAGAACAACAAAAAAAACAGAGTATTGTTCCCTCCATGATCTTTTGGTCTATAATAATTGACTTAAACTGGATTACATCGGAGGCTTGCCAGCACTTAGAAGCTGTCCAACCATTCCATTTACCTGAAAACGATTACATGAAGACAACATCAGTATTAATTTTGAGAAATTGTGGTCAGCTTTGAGAAGTTTTGAAGTATGGAACCGTTCATTGTTAAGACAAGAACCTAACCTGCCAGTACTTGGAAACGCAACGGTCAATGCAACTATTCTCACCCATGTTTAACTCAGCTTCCTTGTACCTGGGAATCAGATCGATTTTAAACAATCTCAGCTTAAAATTGTCCCAACAATGCAGACCAGAACCAAGAGATCATTAGAAAACATTAAAAAGAGAATAGGCTTACTTTTTATCCACACATTTGTGGAAGCATGTTTGAGCAAGCCTGCATTAAAAAAACAGGGCCTATCAGAAGAAACACAATACAGGGCGTGGCAAATTCACTGAACACCACCAAGTCAAGGCTATCAAAGTTTAACCTCTACATAACATGTCTACCTAAATCAAGAATTTCTAAAGGAAAGATTTCAATATCACCCACAAGAAAACCAATTTAGACATTGTAACGGTATACACTATACAGAATGAAAGAAGTCACAAACTTATATTACTTATATTCCTCTAGCTTTTATCACTATTTGAAATAAACGAGATCCCACACAATGTGATCAGCACAAATTCAACCCAGTATCAGGATACCAATTAAAGGAGAGTGCATCTCAATCTCTAATCTTATACCAGACAAGCTTATTTCAGAATGAAAAAATAAACCAAATGGGTCTTAATTCAGTACTTGTTAAAGAGTTCCACCCGATACTCCATCTCCATTTGTGCCATACTAATCGCCTGATTCAATTCAAGAGAAAAAAAAAAAGCAAAATGAGAAACTTAAGAACACCAATCCAAATCTACTTGTACAATTAATGGCAGTGTCCTACGCTTAAAGATCTGAATCAAGAAGATACAATTCAACCCTAAGCAAAGCCAAAAACATAGAAACCTAAATGTCAATCATAAAGACAGCTAAAAACTAAAGCTCCATTGTATAATTAGATCAAAGATCGTAGCTTTACGATGTATTAACAACAAAGGACGAGTAAAAAAAAAAACAGAACCTGTTCCTTAGTAACGCCGGGGGGATAAGGACTAGGAGAAGCCATTTCTTATTTAGCAGAACCTGAAAAAAAACAGATTAAAGATTCGTAAAAATCGAAACTTTATAATTCAAAACTTGAATTTGAAAGATCAAAAATCCCTACTTTCTCAAATGGGATTTTGTTAAGTGAGATGTAAAAGAACACAAAGGCTTCTCTTTTTTTTTCCTAGACAGCCGAATTAGGGTTTAAGAGACATAAAATGACACGTCATCAAACGCAGGGGCATAGATGTAATTACGCTAAAAAAATTGAGCTTCTCTACGACTAAAAGACGCCGGGTGTTTCACTAATGGAGCTTCTAGGGTTTTAGCAAATTTTCTAACGTAGGTATCTTCTTTCTCTACTCGCACAACTTCAATTTCGAATTTTTCTTTGTGGGTTTGTTTAATTATTCAGAGATTTTAATTGAATTCGTTCTCTTTCTTTGTTTTTCTAGCTGGTGGTGGGTTTTGATTTTTTGAGTTTCCAGAGAAGTTTTAGTAGCAAGAAGCTGAGATATGGAGCACGGTTCAATCACCAATAACAGCCACGCTACGTTTACTCTTACAGAAGAAGACCACACACTTGCTAACGCTGTTCGATTCGTGCTAAACCAAGAGTTAGTATTTTCTTTAACTCCTTCTGAATCTGTTTTGTATCAATAGATTGAAGAAGCTTATACAAGTTTCACATATAAAGGCTTTCGCTTTATAATCTCATAGTTAGTTCTTGACTGTCTAATGCTTACTAGACACTTAGTTCTTGACACTCTAATGCTTGCTATTGAGTTCATAGTTTCTCTCATTAAGAATGAGTATGTGACCTCTCTGTACCATATGCCTATTGAGTTATGAGTTAATTTGAAGATAATCTAGTGAATTATCAGTTTTGAGATTGGAGTTATAGTAACTGAACCAATTTGCGGGCACTTTGTATGTTTTGTGTTGTGATGTTTTGTGTTGTGATGTTTTGATTGTGAACTAGATTTTGATTAAATGTTGGTTACAATTTATGTTAAATGTGATTAGAGCTTCTCTTTGTTTGAAATTATCTCGAAGGTAGGATTTAGAAAAATGTCTTTCACTTGCTATTCAACATCCATTATCTTATTAATAAGATTATTGGAATTGAAAATGTGGTTTCGTTTTCAAATTCAGGTTATGATTGAACGATCTGTGTGCACATTGTATGTTTGTGCCATTATACTTTTGATTGTCAACTTGATTTTGATTAAATGTTCGTTAGAGATTCTCATTGTTTGCCAAATCATCTTCAAGTATTTAGAAAAAGGTCTTTGATTGGCATTCAACCTCCATCATCTTGTTAATGAGGTTGTTGGAATTGATAATGTTGTTTCATCTTGGAGAATTTGCTTTTGTGTAATGAATGATTATGCCACTAACCATTACTGTTGTTAATTCTGTAGTCCGAGAGTGACCGTGGGTGCATACACCATCCCGCATCCTTCCCATGAGAAGGTCAATATCCGAGTCCAGACAACAGGTAACCATTTTCATAGCCCTGTTCTCATCAGATTTTAGCTATGTTACTCTCTGTGTGTCTTAACAACGAAGTACTCGTTGGCTCTGTGATTTTTAGGCGATCCAGCGAGTGAAGTATTCAAAGATGCATGTCAAGAGCTAATGCAAATAAACAGACATGTGAGAAGCGTTTTTGATAAAGCTGTTACTGCGTATAAGGCTGAAGAAGAGCGTAAGGCAAAGGAGGCTGAAGAAGAGCTTAAGAGGCAGAGAGAACTATTTGGATCCATGGACATTGAAAGCAACTGATTTTATAAACTACACAATTGTAATCTCAATTAAGTACTGTTTTGACTTTTGATCTTAAATCCAGATTTATCCTTTAAATATATAAAATTGACTCCTCGACTTATAAAAGTAACCCAAAAGCATGATGTTAAACTTAAACTTGCAAATCTTGTCGTAGTTAACACACTTGTTGTGTATCCACTAATCCAGCAAAATTAACCAAGAGTGTAATAATCCTTGTTCTGTTTTAGCCAAATAGATGTTTAAATATTAGTCTTCTCCACTTGTAATTGACGAATTCACAAAACCACAGACGCAACTTTAACAAAGAATATAATATGGAAGCCTCTTCTTGATTTAACGAAATAGATTGTTTGAATATTGATAAATCCTCTTAGCCTAGGCAGAGTACATAATAAAACTAATAACGCATGCGATAGTTACAGAAACTATAAAAACTTAGTAGAGAGAGTTGAAAAAGTAAACAGCAACAGGAAGTTGAGGTGTTGTTTCTTATGTTCTGTTTCTTCAATAGGCTTCTTCTTGCTCGTACTCACCTTCTTCGTCTTCATATTCTCCTTCTTCATCAGCCGTGGCATCTTGATACTGCTGATACTCAGAGACAAGATCGTTCATGTTGCTTTCAGCTTCGGTGAACTCCATTTCATCCATACCTTCACCTGTATACCAATGCAAGAAAGCCTTTCTCCTGAACATAGCAGTGAACTGTTCGCTGACACGCCTGAACATCTCTTGAATCGAGGTTGAGTTACCGATGAACGTTGAAGCCATCTTCAAACCAGTTGGGGGAATGTCACAGACGGTTGATTTGACGTTGTTTGGGATCCATTCCACAAAGTAGGAAGAGTTCTTGTTCTGTACGTTCAGCATCTGTTCATCGACCTCCTTGGTGCTCATCTTTCCACGGAACATAGCTGAAGCAGTGAGGTAGCGACCGTGTCTTGGGTCAGCAGCACACATCATGTTCTTGGAATCCCACATTTGCTGGGTCAGTTCTGGGACAGTGAGGTTGCGGTACTGCTGAGATCCACGAGAGGTGAGAGGAGCAAACCCAACCATGAAGAAGTGAAGACGAGGGAATGGGATCAAGTTCACAGCTAGCTTTCGAAGATCAGAGTTCAATTGACCAGGGAACCTAAGACAACAGGTTACACCAGACATGGTTGCAGAGATCAAGTGGTTCAGATCACCAACTGCACAGTTCAGAAGACAAACACAAAATAAGTGAGTGACGCTTCAAAGTAGGTATAATGAATGCACAAAAGGACTTTTGCTGATTAGGATATATCAAGGACTTTACAAAAAAAACATCTGAAGAACCTTATGAATAACTATGCAAGTAAGCATCAATCAATTAAACCATAAAACCACAACGACAGAGAAACAATATTGATATTGATTGAAGATCGATATCATATAAGACATTGAGAAGACTAGTCATGAATGCACAATATTGATAATGATTAAGCTGAGGCATGTGCCTCGCAATGATTGAAGAATGATATGATCTGAAACGTTGAGAAGACTAATCCCACTATAATCACATCAGCAGGCACCAGCTTGTTGAAATTATAACATTACACATCGTTCTCATGAATAACTATGCATCAAACAGTAGAACCACAGAGACAGAGTAAGAGTATTGATCGATATTAGAAAGTTAAGAAGGCCCTGCGATACTTACAACTTGGAGTGCTAAGCTTGAGTGTACGGAAGCAAATGTCATACAAGGCTTCGTTGTCAAGAACCATACACTCATCAGCGTTCTCAACAAGCTGGTGCACAGATAGCGTTGCGTTGTATGGCTCCACAACAGTGTCAGACACCTTAGGAGATGGGAACACAGAGAATGTCAGCATCATACGGTCAGGGTACTCCTCCCTGATCTTCGATATCAACAAAGTTCCCATTCCAGAACCAGTTCCTCCTCCTAAGGAATGGCACACCTGAAACCCTGTAATCCGAACAACAAAACAACATAAGGAAACGAAACAAAACCCTAATCCGCAATTACTATTTCAAAACCCTAATCCGCAATTACCATTTCAAAATCATAATCCGCATGAAACAACAAGTCTAAAACAATCAAACGCCAGCCAAATGTACAGATCTAAAACCCTAAGGAGACGAAACATCTAAACAAGGAAGAGGAATAAGAATACCTTGAAGGCAGTCACAATTCTCGGCCTCTTTGCGAACAACATCAAGGACCGAGTCAATAAGCTCAGCGCCTTCGGTGTAGTGACCTTTCGCCCAGTTATTCCCCGCACCGGACTGACCAAAGACGAAGTTATCCGGTCGAAAGATCTGTCCGTACGGTCCAGATCTAACACTGTCCATGGTTCCAGGCTCCAAATCCATGAGAACAGCGCGAGGAACGTACCTTCCACAACTCGCCTCGTTGTAGTAGACGTTAACCCTCTCAAGTTGCAACTCGGAATCTCCCTGGTACCGTCCCGTCTGATCGATCCCATGCTCGGCGCAAACCACTTCCCAGAACTTGGAACCGATTTGGTTTCCGCACTGACCTCCCTGAATATGAAGAATCTCACGCATCTTCGCTTACAGAGAAAACCCTAAAAAAACTGGATCTACAAAGCAAGAGAGAGAGAGAGAGATTTTGAAAAAGGGAAGAAGAAGCAGAGAGGATCTTTTTAGGAGAGAGAGGAAGCGAAGGGTCCATTTATAAAGAAAAGGAGGTTTTAACGGCTAATATTTAGTTATTCAAAATAAGATCGACGGCGGAGAAAGTGCCACGTAAATCGAGGTGGCAACGGGTGGCAAAATTCAAAAATTAATGGCTCGTTTTAAAAAAATTTGAATTTCGTAAATCTGTTTGTGTGAATGACAGCTGGATTCTATTAAGGGAGCAGTTACTAAAACGGCGCCGCACGTGCTTTGAGATAGGTAAAAGCCGTTCCAACCTGGCAAACGCACGTGAGATTTCTTAAGGGCCCATTTTGTTAATGGGCTTTATTCCTCCCAGCAAACTCATACCGTATTGTCCGTATTTACTAGGTGTTAAGAAAACGGAGTGATGTGGTCTAGCAAAAGCGTAAGACGGCACGCATTCTTATTAATTTTAAAACGTCATCGTCTTGATTTTGAATATGCTTCTCGGATCCTGAACCGGAGCCGAACCAAAAATACAGTCAATCGGAAAATGAATGTCAGATTCAAACTTGCTTGACGCTGAGAGTTTTCATCGAAATTTTTCCAGAAGATTCGAATTGAAGAAGAAGAAGAAGATATCGTATCAGACGAAGTGAGAAGACGAAGATGTCTGTGCAAGAGTACTTAGACAAGCATATGCTTTCTCGGAAAATCGAAGACGCTGTTAATGCCGCCGTTAGGGCTAAAACCTCAGATCCCGTTCTCTTCATCGTATGTTTCCTTCGAATTTTCCCTGTAATTATTTTGCCTTGCATCATCGATGGTGCAATTGTGTAGCCTCACTTGTGTTTTTTTGAATTCACCAATTTTTTTACTTATGGCGAATCATCTTAAATTGGGAAAAGTGCAGGCTAATCATATGAAGAAAGCTGTATCATCTGTGATAACGAAGGTGAAAGCAAGGCAGATCCTTGATAGCAGAGGAATCCCAACAGTTGAAGTGGATCTGCACACTAACAAAGGCGTGTTTCGTGCTTCTGTTCCCAGTGGTGATTCTTCTGGAACGTGAGAATTCAATTAGATTGTTCTACGACATTTCAATTGTTACTTCTTCCTGTATTGGTGGTGATGGTGTTTTTGAATTTTGGTGATGCATAATCCTGATTTGACTGACTTTCACATTTCGTAATCCTGGTTTCTATTGATATTCTAAACTGATAAGCCTGCTAAGATGAATCTGGTTTATTTGATTCCAGATATGAAGCTATTGAACTACGTGATGGGGACAAAGGAATGTATCTCGGAAACAGTGTGGCTAAAGCTGTTAAGAACATTAATGAAAAAATTTCAGAGGCGTTGATTGGTATGGACCCGAAACTTCAAGGTCAAATCGACCAGGCAATGATAGATTTGGACAAAACTGAAAAGAAGGTAGGTGGGAACTCTGGTGCCTTTTGTAGTTGGAAATATTAGGATTGTTACAAGTTCATGGAATCTATCAATTTTGTATATTTTCTGTGATTTTCTTCAGTGATTTATTTATTTGACATATCTCACAGAATGAACTTGGGGCTAATGCCATACTAGCTGTGTCAATTGCTGCATGCAAGGCTGGAGCTGCTGAGAAGGAAGTATGAACTCTTCACAACATTTTCTCGTATCTTATGTATTTTATGCCTAGTCTAGTTAGGAGATCTTGATTAAAGTTAGATATCAGGTCCCTCTGTGCAAGCACCTTTCTGATCTTAGTGGCAGAGCAAACATGGTGTTACCTGTACCTGCCTTCACTGTTTTGAGTGGTGGGAAGCATGCATCAAATACTTTTGCCATTCAGGTAATCAACATTAAGTTCATTATTAACATTTATGTCCGACATCCTCATATCTTTTGTCATCTTTGAGTCTTGTTCCTCAAAGATCTTCAACAATGCTTTTGGTTTTCAATTAGTTTCATTTACATATATTATTGTTGTCTGTTCATATATTGTTAGGAAATTATGATTCTTCCAATTGGAGCAAGTAGATTTGAGGAGGCCCTGCAATGGGGATCTGAGACGTATCATCATTTAAAGGTCAACTTTCAATGATATACGGTTTCTGGTACTTTTCTATTTGCAACTGAGAATTTGTATTTAAATGTGAGAGTGATCTATTGCTGTTTATGGTAGGCTGTCATTACAGAAAAGAATGGTGGTTTGGGATGTAACGTTGGTGAAGATGGTGGCCTTGCTCCAGATATCTCGAGGTACAGACATACTTTTTCCTCTGTGATGTCTAATTTGCTTGCATCAATAGATTTTTGTGACGTCATTTTTCCATGTTATAATTTCATGGCTTAGTGCCTTATATACTTTGCAACTGTATGCAGCCTCAAGGAAGGTTTGGAGCTTGTAAAAGAAGCTATCAATCGGACTGGGTACAGTGATAAGATAAAGATAGCAATCGATGTTGCTGCCACTAATTTTTGTATAGGTAATACTCAGCTTCTTAGCAAACTGGTTCTGTGCGGTTACTTTTTAGTCATGGATAGTCTTTGTTTGGTTCTAGGCACTGTCATCCTCAATTGGCTGGTGACATTAAAAAGATGATGATACATGTGTTACCTATAGATATCATGCTTTTTGCAACATTTGACCATGTTTTACTCTTCCTGGATTTTTCTTACCTTGAAAACGGTCATATCCTGAACAGGTACCAAGTATGATCTGGATATCAACTGTCCAGATAAATCTGGGCAGAATTTCAAGTCAGCAGACGATATGATAGAAATGTACAAAGAACTTTGTGATGGTATGTCCGTTCTTGTCTGCAAGATATTTTGTATGTCTATTTTGGTATTCTTGCAGTATTCTAAAGACCTTGTCCTCTGTTTTTTCTCCATGTTGGGTTAGAGTATCCAATTGTGTCTATAGAAGACCCTTTTGACAAGGAGGACTGGGAACACACCAAGTTTTTTTCCAGTCTTGGAATATGTCAGGTCCAATTCGGTTCACCTACTAACAATGGTTTAACATAATTTTTGTTTTGTTGTAAATCAAACCGTCTTCTGATTCTTTCACAGAAATAATAATCTAAAGAGTGAAACCCTTAATTATGCTTGTACGATTATTTTCCTTGTCTAACGCTTGTACGATCGTTTATCTTGTCTAATTTCTCAGTGCTAAACTCTTGCAGGTGGTAGGTGATGATTTATTGATGTCAAATTCAAAACGTGTGGAGCGGGCAATACAGGAGTCTTCTTGTAATGCCCTTCTTCTCAAGGTTTATTGTCTGCTCTAACTTTATTTTATTTATGTACTTACATGAATTATCTGTGGTAGTATTGTATGATAGATATGCTGTTGCCTAAAATTGACAAAGATATTATGTGCATATGGTGCTACAGGTGAATCAGATTGGTACAGTAACAGAAGCCATTGAAGTAGTGAAAATGGCAAGGGATGCCCAGTGGGGTGTGGTGACATCTCATAGATGTGGAGAAACAGAGGACTCTTTCATCTCTGACTTATCCGTGGGTCTCGCAACAGGTGTGATAAAAGCTGGTGCTCCTTGCAGAGGAGAACGTACTATGAAGTATAACCAGGTCTGGATCTTTTTCCAAACTAATATCCTCAGTACCCCTTATGTGATTACTCTAGAACATGATAAATTACGTCAAGTAAACTGCATTGGACTATCTCTTTCATCAGCTGAGTTATGTTGTGGTATGTGAAACTTACGCTAAGTTTCAGTTTCTTCGACTTTTTGATAATGCAGCCGTAGCTTAGGGAGAAAATAATTTCCCTCAGTGGGTAATGAATAATAATGATCCCAGTATATATTTAGTTGGTAGATAGTGTTCTTCATTTCCTGTTTAGTGTATACTGTAGAAAGTACTTTTTGTATAAAAACTGAAAATCACTGTTGGAATCTTCATGTAGTTGCTTCGGATCGAGGAAGAGCTTGGAGATCAAGCACTGTATGCTGGAGAAGATTGGAAGCTATCCCTCTAAACAAAATGCGCATGTGATATAATTGTTACAATTCTCGTCTTACTTCATTGTTCTCGAGTCTTATTTTTCCCGCAGACAAATTTCTGTGTCGTGAAAAGTTCTGATTTTTTGTTTTTTTTGGGGGCCAAATTAAAGAGCAAACAGAAAGAGTGTTAAACGTAAGGTTTCTGACGCCACAAACAAACGTGTTTTTAGGGCTTTGCGTCTTCTTTATCTTCAGTCTTATGTGCCAAATAATACCGAATGTGACACATCTCAGCCACCTTGTACTCCACCATCACTCCTAGCTCCGAGGACAATCTGATTGTCACAGTTTCTGACAATGGAGTTGCCTTTGTGAAGAGATTCATGTACCTCAGTGGCAATGAAAGAGAAACAGGCTTGTTCATCTCTATCAAATTAGCATCTTCAGGCTGCAAACACACAAAAAAACATCAAGTCATTTAAACATTGTATCTGACAGATTATAGAAAAAGAACTTTAGATGACTTATAACTATTCATACTTTGTCCACATGTGTATTATGCTCCAGTACAATGTTCTCTGTCCCGGAATCACCTTCTGTTGAAAACCTCACCACTTCTTTTGTCATCACAGAGATCACAACTGCAATCAAAGCCAGAATTTATGTTTATAGAAAATTTAGAAACAACATTACAGTTGCATAGAATAGTCCACTTATCAACCTGTGTCACCGATGCTACTGAGATCTTTGCATATCCTGGAGAATTCACCTGATGGCATTCTCACAATTGAGTGGTACTCAGGAACTGTTTTACTGGGATCTTTGCATATCCTGGAGAATTCACCTGAGGGCTTTCTCACCATTGAGTGGTACTCAGGAACTCGTATTTGCTTACCGACGATATCCATCAGCTTCAGCTTTGTCTCAAAGACTGCAATCTTGGCTTGTGCTGCATCATCAAATCGTAAGATTATGCATGTTTTTTAACATAGTCTGCATAAAAGTCTTCTCTCTTTTCTTTCACTAATCAAGAAACTTTATTCATTTGTACACTATATGGATTTCAAGATATGGACAGAATCATTTTCTACAATCTAACTGTAGTGTATGGCAAATGAAACTTATATGTTACAGAACCAAGTGATCAATATCATCATAATCGTCAACAACAAATACATAATTCTAGCAAACATAAATCTAGAACTTACTGGGACTCTCGAACATGAAGGTGACAGTGTCACTGCCGCCATCAGCTTTGATAGTAACGATGTCATAAGTTTGAGCACAATTCAGCAACTTGGACATTCTACCAAGATTCAGCATCATGAAGATCCTCCTATCGCACCTGGAAGCAATCTCTCTAAACAAATGCATAGAACTGTTACACTTCTCGTCTCACTTCATTGTTGAGTCTTATTTTTTTACGCAGACAAGTTTCTTCAAATATTTTTGTAATTTTGGCCATATTGAAGAACACACAGATGTAAAGTATAAACAAGCTTTTCCAAATTGCAAAAACACAAACTTTGTCATCAGATTAACTAATTGAGCGTTGCCTTAACATAGTAAATCCAGAAAACAGCTGAATCAAGACAGACTTTTCAACAAAGGACTCAAATACAAACTAAGAAACATTCATCATTCTTAGGGTTTAGTGTCTTCTTCTTCTTCAATCTTAGGTGCCAGATAGTATCGAATGTAACCCATCTCAGCCACCTTGTACTCCACCACAACCGGTAACTCAGAGGACAAACTGATCGTCACAATTTCCGACAATGGAGTAGCCTTTGTGAAGGAATTCATGTACCTCAATGCAAATGAAAGTGAAACAGGCTCGTTCATCTCTATCACAATAGCATCTTCAGGCTGCAAAAAACACATACAATAATAAGGTCACCCCAACATCGTATTGGACAGATAGTCAAAAAATAAGCTTTCAGAATGACTTGTGATTGTTCATACTTTGTCGACAGTAGTATTCTGCCTGAGCACAATGTTTGCTGTCCCGATATCACCTGCTGTTGAAAACTTCACCCCTTCTTTTGTCACAGAGATCACAACTACAAAATCATAATACCAAACCCAGAATCATGATTAGGTAAAACTCAAAAGACCATTTCAGGATCCCCACTGTGGCTACCAACAGAAACAAATGCATTTACCTGTATCACCAATGCTACTGAGATCTTTGCATATCCTGGAAAATTCACCAGACGGCATTCTCACAATTGAGTGGTACTCAGCGTCAGGAATTCCCAAATGCTCACTGTCGATATCCATCAGCTTCATCTCAAAGTCAGCAATCTTGTCTTGCGCTGCATCATAGATAACATTCGAATCATGAGATAATAAACAACTTCTTCTGTTATCTTAAACCAAATCAATAAACCCCATTCACTTTCAAGCTTGAGACTATACACGTTCTGAAAACAAATTGGAATGAACTCATTCTCATCAATCTAGTTTCTAGCAAGCTACAGAATCAGGTCACTATTAGCATCATCAACTACACAAAAACAAATCCCTAACGAAGATAAATCTAACCCAAGAAACCCAATTCACTTGCAAGTTATACATTCCAAGAAACGGACTGAATCATTCTCTTCACTCTACTAATCCTAGTTTTTTACCCAAATGAAACCTAAAAACCACAAGCAGCTTCATCAACGACATTAAAACAAAACCCTAACAACACAAATCGATTTGGGTAAAATGAAGAACTTACTGGGGCTTTCAAACATGAAAGTGACAGTGTCGCTACCATCATCGGCCTTGATGGTGATGATATCATCATTCCCAGCACATTTCAGCATCTTGGACATGTTACCAAGATTCATACCCATAGAGATGTTCCTATCGCACCTGTAGTGCTCGAAACCTTCAGATCTAAGCAGAAGAGACACCAACGCGACGTGGCTCGAGTCCATGGCCTGGAGCGAGAACCCTGTGCTGGAACAGTCGAAGTTCGCATCGTTCACCAGATCCTTAACCGCTTCAAGAACCTTCTTCAGTAGAGAACCTTGAACCAAACGAAGCTCCAACATCTTCTTCTTCTCCTCTGTGAAATTATCCGAAAGCTTAAGAGTTTCTGACGAAACGTTCGATTAGGGTTTTTAGGGTTCTTGAAAACGAAAAGTTCTGAGAGACTATTGCAATTTGTAGCGGGAATCGGATATTATAAGCCGTGGTTTTGTGGCGCCATTTAGCCAATTTAGGGTATTTTGTTCCCGCCTATGGATTTAGTGGATGAAGATGAATTATCACCTGTGTGATCCCGTATCGTTATTTCGGTGCACCACCACCTAAAAAGGCTTTCTAAAATGGGCCTCACATATTCATCATGCCTCGTTAAAACAGCCCAACCATGTAACCGAAATAATATTAAAAGAGCCAATATATCTGGTCTCACGACAAAAAAAAATCTGGTCTATGGGTCGGTTTATACCGGTTTAGTATGTTTTTACTTTGGTCTTTGGTCTAGATTTGCATTAAGATCTCATAAGGACGTTATTTTGAAAAGTGTAGTTCAATTTCCGTTTCGAATTTTTCTTAAACCTATATATACACTACTGATATTATTTAACGATATCAATTTATATCAATGGAGGATGCAGAGAGACATGAGTGGTCGTTTAAACGTTTTTCTCTACCTTTTCCTCTCGAGGATCCAATTTCGAAAACCTCATTATGTCTTAAGGGTGTGACATCAGCTGGTGAGTTCGTTTATGCCCCATCTTCTTGGTTTGGTCCGTTTCATGCTCTTTATTTCAATCCAGACAGGAACACCGTTAGAAGAGTCATTGATCAAGGGCTTGCAGACGACGAATTTAGGCGTCGTCATGGTCTTGGAAACAAAGAACTATATGCCCTGTCTACGTTTCCCGATCACGTTGAGAGTCTCTTGTCTGTGTAACACTATTTATTTATCTTTCTTTTCCTTGGCACAATTAAATTTTACTATTTCTTGTAATAACAATCCTTGGCGGATGGCTTTTTTCTTTTCATAATGTTATCTATCAGTCCTTTATTTGAATCCTTCCCAACATTTTGGATTAGCCTGTGCTAGTCATGTTATTGATGTTAACAGCATCCTCTGTGTCAGGATCTGCCTCAGGTTTGGTTCTCTTATATACAGCCTTGTCGAGGATTCTGAGATGTCTGATTCCACCGGCTTTCTTGGCACCTGTCGTTTCTGTGTATGCTTTTCCTCAGATGCTGCCAGTTATGGGTTGTTCAGTCTGTTTGGATGATGTCATAAATTTCATTTCCTTGCTTCAAATCAGAAGCCTCCCCTGTCCCACCACAAGCCTGGCTTTAGTCTCTTTCCCATGTAGTGTGGAAGATTCATGCTGCATGTACACGATCTCCTAATTCTCAAGGTCCGGCAAAGGTGGTTCGTTCTCTACCACTTTCCCAGGTAGTGTGGAAGGTGATGTACACCATCTCCTAATGCTTACGTTAAAGTCAAGCTGAAACCATAGATAACGGATTTCCTAAATCACAGCATTTGATTTTGGATAGATGAGACAGATTACCATTTTCATCACCATAACAATCAAATTACAGTTTACTGAACAGTGATTTGGTATTATCGTCATAAGCTACCTACAAGGGTTTAAGATTACACAACCAGAAAGATGAAAACAACCTAACAGAACCAAGCCAAATTTTACCTTAACCATAACCCTATCATTGAAAACAGACATAACTGTGAAACACTTCTGCCAAAAGATAGCTAAAGCCCTATCATCTTAAAGATTGTTATAATGCCAAAAGAAAAATTCGACCTCAGACTCTCAGAGCTTACTAGCTTGTCTGCCAAACAAAGAATGTCGACCTTCTGCTATAATCTCTCCGGTCCTCTTGTTTCTCACTACAACAAGTGTTCCTTTATAAGGTCCTCTCTCGCCTAACAATCTCGACGTTATCTCCAACTCCTCCTGAAAATATATTTCCATTTCAAATCATCTCTCTATGACCTTTCAGCAACAGTAAAATAAAACAATAACATAAAGTTGAGCAGACTTACACCGAGCTTAGCTTTAGAAAGAAATGCAATAGACATGTCCACTGATACAGACAGTGGTAAGCTTACAACTTGTACAAGCGCTCCACCAACTTCATCCACAAGATTTGCAATCGCACCATTAGCTAGATTCCTGTCTCTATCCTGCAATTACCAACCTTAAAGTGATCAATACCGTCTTATAGGAAAAACAACGAATCCAAGCTATTCTATATTAACCATATTATCATGATTCTGATCAAGTGTCAAAGAACCACCATAAAAAACATAAACACAGGTCTCAAATACAAAACAACAAAAGCAAGTCCAGGCTAGTATATATACTAAAGGAACTCTTCTTCTCCTTGATTCTGCTCACAAGTCCCCAAGAAACCAATTCGGATCATCAAACACTACTATTCCTATTAACCAAATTCTAATCTTAAAACCTCAAATTATCCATTTCCTTAAACCGTATGACGCTACTTCTGTGTTCCTCATTGACTTAATAACCATTTTGAATCTTAACAAAGTCAACGATTGAGACTTGAGAGAGAGAGAGAGAGACGAACCGTCAAACGAAGAGGGACCTTGAAAGAGCAGGAAATGAAACCCGGGTCGACCCGGTTCACTCGGATTCCTCTGAGGCTGAAATCCTCGTAGAAGCTTTTACCTTTCCATGAAAACTCTTCCACTCTCGGTGCCTCACCGTCGTCAACCTCATCGCTCAGTTGCAAATACTCCCGAATTTTCTCCATCGTCGTCATCCTCAATTCTAATTTCCTCCACTCCCAATTCCACTTTATTTTTTTTTGGATAAATAAACACATTTATTCAGTTTCAGAAACTTTATTTGGGCTTTTAGGCCCATTATACAATCGTTAATACGACGTCGTTCGGCTCTTCTGTATTAAATACACAAACCACAACTATTTTTAAAAGTCTAGTTTTTATAGTCACACTTTCAGTTAATTCGTTGCAGCTGAAGCCTTCACACACTGCGACGGCGATGGCTATAATCTCTGAAACTTCCGACAACGTCTCTTACAGTGGCGGTCCAAGCAAGAATCAGAAAGTAGTAAAAGAAGAAGAGTATCAAGACGAGAAAGCGAAAGAAGACGATCAAGAAGAAGAAGAAGTAGAGAATCTTGATCACGTTACTCCATACATCCCTGAAGAACTCTGTGAAATCACCGTCGCACGCGTCCAAAGATGCCATTACCCGAGGCTATCTCTACTCTCTAAAGCCTTCCGTGACGTAATCTCATCGGAGCAACTCTTCGTAACACGCTCGGACCTAGGCGTGACTGAACCGGTTCTTTATACCTTGATCTCGTCGCCACCTTTTGACCCTCCAAGCTGGTATATACTCCATCGGAGCAACATCTCATTACGTTTAAGCAGAGTCACTTCACTTCCTCCGATGTTTCCTGGATGCACTGCCGTCACAATAGGACACAAGATTTACGTTATGGGTGGTTGCACCGGAGTAAACCAACCGATAAAGACAGTGATTGTCATCGACTGTAGATTTCATAAGTGGGAATGTGTCAAGAGTATGAAAAGGGAACGTTGCTACGCTGCCTCCGGAGTGATTGATGGAAAGATTTACGTAGTGGGAGGTCGCAAGAAACGATATAATGATTGGGTGGAAGTGTTTGACGTAGAGAATGGGGTTTGGGAAACTGTGCCTGGTCCATACATTCCCTTTGCTAGTTCTAGTGGAATGTTTCTTATACATGTGGTTTTGGATGATAAGATCTACGTTTTGGATGATGAGTATTGTTTTGCTTACGATCCAAGACGACGTAGATGGGGAAGTTGGGGCATTGGAAGTACACAGAGGGATTTTTGGCATGCGTCGTCTTGTGTGGTTGATGATTTTTTATATGCCATTGATACTCTGTGGAGTCTTGGGTCTCTCATTGTCGTGTATGATCCAAGGGATATGGTTTGGAGACCTGTCAAGGGTGTAGATCATTTGCCTAGTCTCGTTTATATTGAGTCTAAAATGGCAAGTTTTGGTGGGAAGTTGGTGATTTTGGGTCCTTGTCAGAGACCGTATTATCACTTGGGAATAGATGTTTGGTGCGTAGAGGTGGCCTTGGAGAAACGTGAAGATGGTGATATTTTGGGGAAGGTCGAATCAGTATCGCCTGTGTATTCATCATTCAAGTGGCCTTTCATTGAGATTTCTCGAACTGTTACGGTTTGATGATTCGTTTGCAGCTGCAACAAGGTATGTTAATTAGTCTTTGATGATGAGTTATGATGTTTCAAACGTTTTCTTTAGCCTCAAGTCTTATCTAGGCTTTTCATGCATGAACTTGCAGGGGTGCTATTACATCTACTGTTTGAGCAGCTTGTTGGTATCAGAGAAAAGTAGCTCAGAAGCTGTTACATCGTACGCATGTTATCCTAAAGTAGTAACTCGTCCTTCTTAACCTTTGTGCTCAACACTCTTACAGATCAGCGTTGTGTAGAGATAGGCCACTCTTTTAGCTGTCTTTATATACAAAAACTTGTAGGAAACTTGTTGAAATGCATCTTCTGGGGGTTTTAGGAATGCAGTTGCACTTGTCTCAAGTTCATTTTGTATGCTTTTAGATATACATAATTCTTCTGCGCTGTTCTGCAAGTAATCACAATCAGATTTAAGGAAAGCCTATGCTTCTACCATATGAGCAGAGTATGAAATTTGGGTTTAGAGATGAAAGCAAAACAATGTGACTTAAGCTTACAATATGAAAGTGAAAAAATACAAAAGTTCATGAAGCTATCTGTATATGCACAGAGAATCATGTAATTTGTATCAAGTGTATACATGATCGCAATATGAAGTCTAATTAATCTTAAGATTTAATCTCTCTGTTACCACATAATTAAGTTCTAATCCTAACTTAGAAATAAGCTGTAATCAATTCAGGCAATAAGCACTGCCTTGCACATCAAAAAACCTTAATTAATTGAACAATGAATATAAACGAAGCAACAAAGCAAGAGGAGCTCAAATATTATACTCAACAATTTCTCCCAAACCAATCGTTTTAAAATTAGTTCATCTAAGAGCAAATAAGGAGATCAAAAATATGGCTTTTATGACATTTTGATCTTGTTAAAATGTTGACGAATAAAAATCTCTTTCACCATACAAAAATAAAGAAATCACACAACCTAGTGCCACGTCAACATCTCCATCGTGTTTTTCTATAAAGTCTTCGTTTCAATTTCTCTCAAATTAGTAGAAAAAGTATTTTCTAATATTGTTGCACATACACACATATGACTCCTCCTTTACACTAGAATCGATACTACCAACACCAAAGCTAGCTAAAGACCAAAGTATAGTTTGGATTTGACTTCCTAAACTTGTGTTCTCTACTAGAAACCACTTCTTGTATATTCTTAGTATAGTAAAATTAATAATTCTTGATCGTTTTCCACCATACACATGACTCGACCATCACTCAATCTTTTCAACACCCAAAAAAGCTATAGAGCAAATGTAGAATAATAATGTTGAAAATATTGAAACGATGCATCTTCCCTTTTACTTACAATAGCTCATTCGTGCTATTAGAAACCACTTTGTTTTGTTTTACATCTGTAAATATAAAATGCACCACACACACAAAGACACGGCTCATGGGTTAGTCAATGAGGGAGGGAGAGAGTATGATAGTGAGAGACAACAGCAAAAGGCTATATCCAAATTTGGATAAAGAAGCTCTTAAGCGCGTAGAGTTAGTGGTTACGTTGGGAAGAAGAACAAGTAAAGGAAAAAAAGCAGAGGAGAGATCATCATCTCTCTGCTATAAAAACAGAGATGGGGTTCACAACTCAAAACATCACAACAAAAGAAACAACACAGAGCAAAAGATTCAAATTGTAAAGCAAACTTATATCTTCTTTTCAAGAAAATGGGGATCGTAGGATTCAACTGGGCAGAGGAAGGCAACAACCAACTGGTGTTGCTGATGAACAGAGACAACTGGGGAAACAGGCAAGTTTAATATTTTGATTCGACGTTTAACTTTCTTGGCTCTTCTTGATGACTCTTCTAATTTATTTGGTCTGATGGGATTAACAGGGTCATAAATGGGGGTTCGTGGAATGGCCAGATTTTGAGTGGTCGGAGCGCAGATAACAAAGGAACGTGGTTGGCTATTTCTCGAGGAGGCCGTGTTGCTTTTCTCATGAGTAAAACGTTGTTGCTAGACCAAGTTGTTCCAGACCGCGGCTGCGAGCTGTATCCCATTGAATTCGTGGAGGTTTGTTTCATTTCTTTTTGTTGTTTGCATATTTTTATACAAAACATATTGGATATCCACAGAACTCTCTGTTTTGGTTGCAGGGCAATATGAGTCCACAGGACTTTGCCATGCATGTGACAGAGCGTGACGTGGATTCACAAAAAGGGTGGTCCTATAGCCTTATAGTCGCGGACATGGCTTCCAATTCAATGGTTCATATGAGGAAACCTGTTCTAGATGATCCGTATGTCATGATACAACCCGTTTCGTTTGGTCTGCACACACTTTCTCCTGACGGCGGTCTCGACTCCACAATCTCTGTCAGGGTAATCAAGTTACTAGTGTCTTGTTTCTTTTTCGTATATTTTTGTAGCTCTTTCAAAAACTCTCATTTCTCTTTTTTACTTTGCAGGATTTACAAATGAGAGACTTTTTTAATCACGATGACCTACCAGCGCTTGATGAGATGGCTAGGAGAGCAACTGAAGCCGGGCTGTTTCTTGAATCTATAGCTGAGCATCCGAACCATAAAGTAAGAGATTTGATATATATATATATATATATATATATAACGTTTCTATGATTCATATTCTCCTATACCATCATTAATTAGTTAGTTAATCTCTTTATTTTTCCATTTCGATTCAGCTTGGAACGCAACGCTTTGGAACAACTAGTACGACAGCATTAGCGGTTACACGCACTGGGAAAGTGATGTTCGTTGAGAGATTCGTGGACCTTGGTGGATGGACTTGGATCAAGCACGACTTCGATCTCAACATCCAGTAGAAAGAGTTACAGAGAAACACTAAGCATGCAGCATCCAAATATAAAAAAGTATATCTATATTAATAATTAATAAGTAATCTTGTTGATGCTGTAAATACATCTCTCTACTCTAACTAACCTTTGACGATTCAGGGAAACATGTTTCCTTGGTCTGTCTAAGAGCATTATGATGCTTTATATAAATAAATAGTTTATGATCTTCTAAACCTTTCCTATGGTAACTTAAAACTTTCCTATGGTAACTTAACTTTCCTATAGTTTATGAGCATTATGATGCTTAGTATAAATAAGGTCGAATCAGTATCGCCTGTGTATTCATCATTCAAAGTGGCCGTTCATTGAGATTTCTCGAACTGTTTAAGGTTTGATGATTCGTTTGCAGCTGCAACAAGGTATCTTAATCTTTGATGATGAGTTACTAAGTTTCAAACGTTTTCTTGAGCCTCAAGTCTTATTTAGGCTTTGGTAGACTTGCAGGTGAGTAAGTATGAAACAAAGTCACTCAGAAACTTGTTAGAGCTGGCAACTGTTTTTAGCTGCATGTACACGGGTTTTATACACATGGGTTTTATACACTCTGCCAAACACACACTCAAGAAACCTATACACTCTCTCTCACTATACTGTTACATATTAATTCATAAACTATATGATCTCTAAAAATGCTATCCTTTAGTGCCTATAAAAACAACATTTGAAACACAAACTAGAGTTTCTAAATAGAGAGAACAGAGTGGCTTGTGAGTCACGTTGAGAGACGTTTGACACATTATAAAACACTGAAGGAAGAAAAAGAAAATAAAATAAACCATTACAAAAATATTAAAATTAGATGATAATGTATTAAATTTTTAAAAGGAAAAATAAATGAATACAAAATAAATGAATACAAAAGGATCGAAGTGTTCGATGTAGAGAAGAGGACTTGGAGTAGTGTGCCTGATCCATCCGATTGCAATTCTAGTATGCCAGGAGGAGGGTTTGTGACGTCTGTGGTGATGCAAGATAGGATATACATTTTGGATGCTATGCGTGGTTTGGTTTACGAACCAAGACAAGGTACATGGCAATCATGGGAACTTGGATCTAAGTTGATGTACTTTTGGCGCAAGCCGTGTTGTGTGATTGAGGATCTCCTGTATTGCTTTGATCCACGGTGTGTTCTTAGACATCCTATACTGGTATATGATCCAGATGAAATGGTTTGGTCTCCTCTCAAGGGTGTAAATCGTCTGCCTTACCTCAAATACTTTGAGTGTAAAATGGCCAATTTGGGTGGGAAGTTGATGGTTTTTGGCACTACTCACAGACCGTATAATGATACTTGGTGCATAGAGATAGTGTTAGAAAGACGTGAAAGAGGTGAGATTTGGGGGAAGGTCGTTTCAGTGACGCCTGTGCTTAGATCCGAGAACTCGCCTTATATTGATCTTTGCAGCTCTGTTACGTTTTGATGATCTGTGCTCTGTGGAATGGTTTCTTGCCGTTGAAGGTATGTTAATCTTTGTTGTGCATGGACTATTTTCTTGAGAATCAAGTCTTAATTTGGCTTTCATGAACTTGCAGGTGAAGGGCCTTTTATTACATCTACTGTTTGAGAAGCTTTGTGAGAGCAAAAGTGATGCTAGAAGCTGTTATATCTCTGATACCTTGGAAAGTAACTAGTCTTCCTTCTTAACAGAATAGGCCTTGTGTAGAGTTGGCCACTCTTTGTACTTAAGATTCTTGTTGAAATAATGCATCTTTGGTTTATAGCTAGTTTCTGGCTCTTTCTGTTTTGTGAGATACTATATAATTCTGCTTCTACTATATGAGCAATATGAATACTTTGGTTTGGATTGGAGATGAAGCAAAGTTAAAACATTTTGTATGTTATTTGTCTGTAACCGAGATCTTATGAAACACTGCTCTCTTTTTAACACTTTAAAAGACTCACACTGTGCTTTCAGTCAAGTACATGAGCAATATGAAATCTTGGCTCAGAGATGTGAAAATGGAGCAAAACAAACCGGTTTACTTTACCGGTAGAGAGGAGGTCCAAGTCACTAAACTAAGATATACTAAAATTAATTAATTAATAATGAGGTTGTAAAAAATAATAATAATCGTTCAAGAATAAATTTTAATATTTAGAAAATAACTGAATAAAGTCAAGTTAATAAAAAATTTCAATAATATTTCGTTGTTGTAATGACTTTTATCTTTGGACTTTGACATTTTAATGACTTTATCTTTGGGTTAAGCTTTAAAGTCATTATAAATATTTCAGTTAATATTATCGAATTCGTTTAAAGAAGAAAATAAAAATGAAATGAGAGAGTAACGAACAAACGTAAACATATAACATTATGATTTATATATATTCATTATGGTTTCATTATAATACAGCTTCTTTCAAAAATCTACGTTTAGTCTTCTCCCTTTCAGTTAATTCATTGCTAGCTTCTGAAAGACTTCACACGGACGGCGATGGCTATAATCTCTGAAACTTCCGACGACGGCTCTAACGGCGGCGATCCAAACAAGAAACCGCAAGAAGAAGAGAATCTTGCTCCGAGTCTTCTACCCATCCCGGAAGAACTCGCCGAAAGCATCCTCTTACTCGTCAAGAGATGTCACTACCCGAAGCTATCTCTCTTCTCCAGAACCTTTCGTTACGTCATCTCTTCGCCGGAACTCTACCAAAGGCGCTTGCAACTCGGCCTCACCGAACCGGTTCTTTACGCTTTGATCCGACTCCCTTATGTTAGTTATGAGTTTGACCCGACCTGGTACATTCTCAATCGTAACGTCTCAAGAAAGATCTCTTTACGACTGAGTTCACTTCCTCCTATGAGTCTCATGCAGCCTGGATCTGCTGTAGTCACAGTCGGGTACGATATGTATGTGATCGGCGGATGCGATCATCCCACATCGAACGTGTACATCATCGACTGCAGATTTCATCAGTGTCGCTCGCTCCCTGGAATGCAGAGGGCTCGCAGCTCCCCAGCCGCAGGAGTAATCGATAGAAAGATTTATGTGATAGGAGGTTGCGAGCAGAGAGATGATAACTGGATCGAGGTGTTCGATATAGATACTGGGGTTTGGAGTAGTGTTGCTGGTCCATACGAATACAACTCTAGTATGGAAGAAGGAGGGTTTCTGACATATGTGGTGATGCAAGAGAAGATTTACATTTCGGATCCTGAGTGTTGTTTGGCTTACGAACCAAGACAAGGTACATGGGAGTCATGGGGAGATTCAAGTGCGTTGGTTAGATATTGGCACCCGTCGTCTTGTGTCATTGAGGATTTGTTGTATAGTATTAATCCTTTTTGTGAACTATTGGTGTATGATCCGAATGAGTCGTTTTGGAAACGTGTGGAAGGTGTATTTCATTTGCCTAGGCTCAATTATCATAAGTGTAAATTGGCGAATGTTGGTGGGAAGTTGGTGGTTTTGGCTAATACTTGCAACAGGCATGGTTCTAAACATGTTTGGTGCATAGAGATTACAGTAGAAAGACGTGAAGGAGGTGAGGTTTGGGGGGAGGTTGCATCAAGATCGGTAGTGCTTAAATCCATGGACTCGCTTTCCATTGATCTTTGTCGCTCTGTTGCGTTTTGATGGTTCGTGGGATGGTTTCTTGCAGTTGAAGGTATGTTAATCTTTCATGAGCATCGACTATTGATGATGATATGACATTTTCTGTAGCCTCAAGTCTTATTTAGGCTTTTCATTAACTTGCAGGTGAAGGATCTTCTTATATACATCTACTGTGTTTTAGCAGCTTGTTGATGTGAGAGCAAATTATGAAGCAAAAAGCGGTGCAGAAGCTGTGACATTTTAGAGTAACTCGTCTTTATATAGCTTTGTTCACAATATGTCATTTCTTGTTTTAGCCTTTATACAAAAACTCTTACGGGACTTGTAGAAATGCATCTTTAGTTTGGCTATATTTTGGGTTTTTGTGCAGTTGCAGTAATATGTTTTAAGACCCCCATTTGAGTTACCTAATAAAAAAGCATTTAATTCGACATCTGAAAGACAAGTCAGGATTTATAAGTAGAGAGAACACAGAGACTTGTGAGCCAAGTAATCATGTTAAGAGACAGAGACAGAGACAGAGACATCTGACTCTATGTTAAAAACAATGAGAAAAATAACTTTGCTGACATAGAAAATCTCATTACAAAAAAAAAAAATGATACTGTATTAACGAGGATACTGTATTAACGAGACTTAAAATCCCTTTGATATAAGAAGGATTTTAATATAAGAAGAAGAAAATAATTTTAATATAAGTTATCCTTTTGGAAATTTGTATTAAATGTTAAAATCCTTTTTAAACCGAGTTTTCTGAATACGTAGATACCAAATGAAATGAAAATTTGGTTTCCCTATAAATAATATACACAACAACATTATTTTAGAAAGAAAAAAATTTGAACTAGTCTCATCACTTTCAGTTAAATTCGTTGCTGCGCTAACGTCACACCGCGATGGCTGTAATCTCTGCACTTCCCGGCGGCTCTAACGGCGGCGATGATCCAAACAAGAATCCTCAAGAAGTAGAAGAGATTCAAGACAAAGAGAATCAAAACGAGAATCTTCAAGAAGTAGTAGAAGAGAATCTTCCTCCTCCGGTTCCTCGAGTACAACTTCCTGGAGATATCATGGAGATCATCATCGCACGTGTGCCGAGATGTTATCAGCCGAACCTATCTCTCGTCTGCAAAGCCTTTCTTCAACTAATCACTTCGCCGCAGCACTTCTCAACGCGCTTGCTCTACGGCGTCACCGAACCGGTTCTTTATGCCTTGATCGGAGAACCATTTAATATTACTCCCCTAAGCTTGTTCATTCTCTATCGTAGCAACCGCCCTTTACGGTTCAGCAGAGTCCCTACACCTCGTCCCATGTATCGTGGATGTTCTGCCGTCACAATCGGACACAAGATTTACCTTATTGGTGGTTTCGTCGGCCTTTATGAACCCCAAAGGACTGCGGTTGTCATCGATTGTAGATTCCATACGTTTGAGAATCTCCCAAATATGGAAAGGGCTCGTTGCTATGCAGCCGCTGGAGTGGTCGACGGGAAGATTTATGTAATCGGTGGTCGCCTGAAACGAGATGATGATTGGGTCGAAGTGTACGATGTAGAGCGTCGGGTTTGGGAAACTGTGCCTAGTCAATCCCCTGACGAGGCTACTCTTGATGGAACGTTTGGTATATCTGTGGTGATGCAGGGGAGAATCTTGTTTCGGAATCTTGATTGTTGTTTGGCTTACGATCCAAGACAAGGTTTATGGCAGTCATGGGGACATGAAAGTCAACTGATGAGATTTTGGAACTCCACGTCTTGTGTGGTTGGAGATTTGTTGTATACCGTTGATCGTACGTTTTCTTTTGAGAATCCAGTAATGGTATATTATCCGAATGACTTGGTTTGGAGACCTCTGATGGGTGTATCCGCTTATGAGTTGCGTATGCTCAATTATGAATGGTCTAAGATGGCCAATTTTGGTGGCAAGTTGGTGATTTTGGGCCGCTATTATGTGCGCCCACGTGATATTTGCTGTGTAGTGATAGCGTTGGAAACTCGTCAAGGAGGTCAGATTCAGGGGAAGGTGGAATCAGTCTCGCATGTGTATAGAGACATGAGGAATAGCCCCTCTATTCATCTTTGTCAAACTGTTACGGTTTGATGATTCAAATCATGGTGGATGGTTTCTTGCAGGTATTTTTCTGATCATGATGAAATATGATGTTTCTGACATTTTCAATAATTAGCTTCTCAAGTCTACTGTTTTTATTACATCTACTGTTTTTACCAGCTTGTTGATCTGTTTGGACTACTGATCATGATGAATTATGAGACTCGAGTCTTAATTCGGCTTTCATGAACTTGCAGGTTGTTTTTGCCAGCTTGTTGATATCAGAGCAACTATGAAGCAAAGAGTGGTGCAGAAGCCAGAAGCTGTTATATCCGTGACACTTTAGAGTAACTCGTCTTTATATAGCTCTGTCCACAATATGACATTCCTTGTTTTAGCCTTTATATAAAACCTCTGAAGGGACTTGTAGAAATGCATTTTTAGTTTTGCTTATCTTTTTTGGGGTCTTATGCAGTTGCACTAATATTCTTTGTAAGTAATCACAATCAGATTTCATATGAAACCTATTCTACTTGTACCATATGAGCAAATATGAATTTATGGTTTAGAGATGAAGCAGAACAAAGTGACTTAGTTGAAACTTTTGTCTTTATGGGTAAATTACAACTACAATACCCAAGTGAGAAAATACAAAGACCCGAGCTTAGAACAGATTTTTACCCTCTTATCTTTTCACTTATAGTAAACACAAAATCACATTTTATACAAGGGCCAAGACACATGAAAATATATAGCCGAAGAAAACAAAAATGTTCAAGAGGATCTCCTCAGTTGCCGTGAGTTCTAAGGAAGCAAAGCATACACAAGAAACCTATACATTCTCTCCCTATACTTATTAATTTCATGATACAACACAAACATAAAGTTCCTATCTACACAAACATCTTATCATTAATTTCGCCGCTTTTTTTGTACGCATATTATGATATTAACACTATAAAATTGGTCGCTGCAGCTATATTTGGTGTTTGATTATACACCAAAATGACTTGGTTCTTCGTTGAATTTCAGTAAAAGTAATAACTTCTCTGCATTGGAACTGGAGAACAAAGAAAAGTGAATCAGATTGTGTTCCTTGTAAAGGTTAGAACCAAAAGCTTATAAGAGTCCCACTTATATATCAAAAGAAAGCAACGGTTTGATCTTACCATTTCATCGATTGATTCCAACGGTTTGATTGTTTTCAAGTTCTACAGCCAGTGGATCAATGGACTGTCTGTGGTCTTCTGCATATATAGGCTCATCACTGTTTGTTACTTCAGATCCCTGATATATTCATATTCAATGTTAAGCACAAGAAGAATTATACACTTTTGGCTAAGTATATACAGAGCATTGTAACTTTGGAAAAGGATAACGCCTCACCTCTTGCTTCTCTTGAATTGTTCCCATGTCATCAGAACCAACGGTTTCTACTGTATTTTTCTCAGTCTGTTCAGAATGTTCCTGCAATCGGGAAAACAAAATTCAAGCGTCAAACAACGTACATGTAATGTATGCAGAACTTGTATTTTCCTTTTCAAAATTTCTAATTTACATCTAATTGATTATGAGATGATTCAGCTGGTGGATCCAAATTTTGCAGCTGACCAACTGATGTATGATCCAGATCCTCAGAATGAGCCTGGTCTAGATGTAACATGTCTGGTAACACTGATCTTGGAGAAGTAGCAGGTTCTTCAGAGTTTACAGGATGGATTACATCAGAAGAAGCTTCAGCTTCCGCAGCTTGTTGCATTTCTTCTCCATCATTTCTCTCACGGGGTTCTTCAGATTCTTGATCAGTTCTATGAGATGGTTGAGGTTCGTCAGAGTCATAACTTATCTTTATCTCTTCAGCTGAGCTCTCAGGAAGTTCCTTTAACTCCTGAAAAAAAAGTTACAAAGATTATGTTTCAATCTCTTAACATTTTTGAGAAAGAAACTCAAACCATTTCCATGAACTCAGATTTAGAAGAAGAAAAACCAACATTAACTGACCTCTGCTCTTTTGGAGAAAACTTCATTATGTTGAGGAACCATGGACTCCAATTTTTCTGCTTCTTCATTCTCTGGAGAAGCTAAAAAACTTGTTTCATTTAGATGTTCATTTTCTCTCCTCACAGGTAAGAATTCAGAATTCCCACTATTGAAACCCACTTCCTTTCCGATGTCAGATTCATAAACAAACAGTGATCTCTCATAATCAGAGTCATTACCATCAACTGAAGTTGGAGGTGATCCGAGTTCAGAAACCTCAACTTGAAGATCAGAGTCAACGGAATGTGTCACCATATGACATTTTCTTGTGCTGTAACCAAAATGCTCCATGTATCTTTGCCTTGCTGTTGCTAGTGAACTTGAACCGCTGCTTCTAGGCACTAAGCCCGCAAGAGAGTTTCCAACACGATCATTTTGTTTGCAGAAAGTTCCAGAAGCATCTGATTGGTCCGAGGCATTGGCATCTTTCTCTCTTTCACGTGGAGAAAGCGATGCGTTCGAGTCACTATCATCGTTTCTGATGGAATCTGTCTCTATCCGAACCTCCCCTGCCTCCATATCATTTCCTTTTCTAACTGTAATATCTCTTTCTTTCAGTAGAGGTGGTTGATCATTGCTACCTATGCCAACAAGAAAAATCACCAAGAAATACAGAATTCCTAATCATAATCTTAATCAATGCCATAACAAAACTAGTTAAAGGTAAGGAAGTTCTGCAAAAGCAAAGCTAATCCTTCTGTTTCAATTCAAATCTAACCATTACTATACCTCGCAGTGGACTAGGCCTACCATCAACTGCATTTCTCCATAAAGACGTCAATTTAGAATCTTTATGAGATTCTGATGGAAGAACTCTATGATGAAAGCTCTCATGGCGGCAGAAGAAGATATCTTTCGGGTTAGCCTCAGCAAACTCTTGATGGAAACTATCTCCTGTCAAGTTCGGCTTCTCTTCGAGTGGATCATAAGGAAGGTCAAATGGGTTTCTTCTTGGTAATAAAACGGAAGGTGCTGAGCCTGGCATGAGAAGTCCATCGATTTCATAGTTTTCTTTATTGAAACCGTAAAAGTTCCGACCAATACAAATCCGAGGAACTTCCATATCCATCAAGGTTCCTTCAGCTGCAAGTAGGAAAAACCTCTTTGATCTTCTCCTGGAAATCAAATTCTCAAGCCTCTTGTTTCGTTCCATCTCAGATGTCCCAAGATCCATCAAATTCTTCTGATCATCCTCTGTCCACGCTACTACATCGACCTTGTTTATATCTTCACGCCTTTCTTCTTCCTCTTCCTCTTCTTCTGATGATGAACATTCTACTTCACTTTCATCACCACCATCACAAACACTCGTCACTCTCTCCAATGGATCAACAACAACAACATCTCCATTGTTGTCACCGTCAGAGTCAAAGGAGCTTTCTTCTGTAACAAGCAACGTCCTGTCTCTCTTAAAACTCTCCAGATCAGAAGTGACTGTCTCAGGCAAAACTTCCCCATATAGAGTTTTCAGAATAACCTTTCCTCTCTCATCCTCACTAGCCTGAGATGAATCCCAATCTTTCCCAACCTCTTCAACTTTCCTTCGAGCATTTCGTCGAACACTTCGTTGGTGCTTTAACTCAGCCTTCTCTGTTCTTCCGTCTTGAGACAACCCACGATCCGTTATCTCTCCCTCCTCCGGTAAATCACATATCTTTGAACTCAGATCATGATTCCGTGGATGAAACCAAACATAAGCTATCAACGGAGAAGAACAGAGCACGAGATAGAAAACCAAAGGAAGAAAAGTATACAAGACGATCATAAACGCAGAAACACCAGAAACAAATGGGTATCTCATCACGTATCTGAAAGTTGTACTCGTTGAGAGTTTTAGAATCTTCCATATGATAAAGCAGACATCTTTACCATCAATTCCCATTTTTTCTTCTTCTTCTTCTTCTTCTAGTGATCAAAACAACAACCCTGAAACTTTAAAAATAAAAATCAATTAGACATCGGAAACACACAAAAATATCAAAAGTTCAAAACTTTTGTAGGAAAAATTCAAAATTGATGAAGAAGAGAGGTCAAGCTTACCTTTGAAACGATAACCAGTCAAAATGCTTTTGAAGGGGTTTATATTAATTGCAGATTTAGAAAAAATTTCTCTGCTTTCTTCAAATACATGTCGGTGTGGTAGAGAGGGAATGAATATTTTATGTATGGATTGGATCGTGCGGGGAAGACAACTTATTAAAAAACGTAGTTGCTTACATGTTTAATGTTTTTCAAAGATTGACATTTTTTTCTTTCTTACAAGGAAGAAACTTTGAATTTTGATCAAATGGTGTTATTTTCTTTAAATTGCAGGTTGATCCCTTTATTTATTTACTCTTTGCATTTATCACTCAGATTTCATAGTTTTGGGCTTATTAAATGTAAGCCCATCGGAAAAGACCCATGACAATTCCTACACGAAACATTAATGCGAACATAAATATAAATAAATGCGTCAATGGTTGTTGTGTTTACTTGTAAGATTATCTTTTCTAGTCATGAAGAATAATTCTCTTCGTAGATAACTTTTAAAAATCATTTTCTTTCGAGTTTTCTATATATAATTTATAGTTTCTAGATATGATTTGGTTGAATAATTAATACGTGGGTCTTTGAATTAAGTAAGTTGAATATATCATCTGTATTTGATTTCAGTAAAATGATAATAATTATGTCATTTACGTCCTTAAAGAAAATAAAATTTGAAATATCATATTTCAATATTGATATGGACTTACATATTCTTAAGCACTACCATTTATCAATATATGGACAAAACAAAATATCAATGTCGCTTTCCGAATGAGTGAACCAACAACAAAGGATTGAGAAACCAATTTGTATGGTTTATCAATTGTCATATATTTGCCAACATATTTGTATGATAAATATTTATTTGTTAGTCTTTAGACTTTACTGAGTTTTTTTAGTGCCTTAGTGGGGGCAATGTGCATTACATAATTTACATTGATTGTTTCTATAAGGAGTTTAATTTATTTTTTTAGAAAATTTTGTTTTTTTACATTTATTTATAAAAAATATACCTTATTATTATTTTTTTAAACTAATCATAACTATTATTTAACCGTTTGTTTGAACTCAACTACTCAACCAATTTTGTTTTTTCATCATGTTTTTTACTAATTTTAAGTTAACAACTCTTTCACAATCGCTAAAAAAAAAATTTAACTGCGTTAGTTAAACGATTTTAACCATTTATTAAACTGAGGTTTACCCATCGAACCCAACTTAACTAGTAGTTACCAATTAAAATCTGTAATTGTTTTACAGTTTTACCATTGGCATTTTTTGTTTCCTTAAGTTGAATGAGTTTTTTATTTATAATTATTATTGGGATTAAAACATAATTTTTACTATTTACCCTTTAAAAATGGTTAACTCAATCTCCTCCTCACGTATCTTATCTTAAAATCTGATATTTTTATACAAATGCAATCAATCGACTAAATATCTGACAAGTGGACGTAGGACACGTCAGCAACGCATTCACTTTTGTATGCATCGTCCGTGACAAATGAGATCAAACGATTCAGGAGGTTCGTTCCTTTTATTTAAACCACACACCATTTCCTATTTCTTCTATCTCACACACACTCTCTCGTCACTGACGATTCACTTCCTCAACGATTCTGCCTCAGATCCAGAAGCTTCCTCTTCCAGGTTCTCCAATCCTTCCCTTCTCCATTATTCATCTCTTGATTTCACGAATGTGCATGCATGTTTCATTTCATGATCGGAGTTTTGTTTTGCTTTCCGGCGAAAAATTCCGATCGATTTAGTGTCGTTGTGTAATATATCGCTTAGTAACTTTCTTTGTGTTTCGTTCAGCTATGGCTTCAGTACACAGTACTTTGATGTCGGTCGTATGTAACAACAACAACAAAACTCACTCCGCTTGGCCTAAACTCCCAAACTCGTCTTTGCTACCTGGATTCGATGTGGCTGTTCAAGTTCCTGCTACAGCTCGGTTCAAGAAGGAATCAACGACAACCACACGAGCCACTTTAACATTTGATCCACCGACGACTAATTCTGAGAGAGCTAAGCAGAGGAAACACACCATTGATCCTTCTTCTCCTGATTTTCAACCAATCCCATCTTTTCAAGAGTGTTTTCCTAAGAGCACTAAAGAACACAAGTAATTGCTTCATTCGATTCACATTTTTTTTTTCTTCATATTTGGACGAGTTGAGAAATCACACTGGTTTGGTTTTTGATTGTTTTCAGGGAAGTTGTTCATGAAGAATCTGGTAATGTGCTTAAAGTTCCTTTTAGACGTGTTCATTTGTCTGGTGGTGAACCAGCTTTTGATAATTATGACACTAGTGGTCCTCAGGATGTTAACCCACGCAATGGTATGTGATTAGAGCTTGTGTTTGCCCATTTACCTCTCTTTTGATCTCTATGTGAGTGTCAATAACTAATGAAACTTTCAACAGGGCTTCCTAAGCTAAGGAAGGAGTGGATTGATCGCCGAGAGAAGCTAGGAACACCAAGATACACTCAAATGTACTATGCTAAGCAAGGGATCATTACTGAGGAAATGCTCTACTGTGCTACCAGGGAGAAGCTAGACCCTGAGTTTGTTAGATCAGAAGTTGCGCGAGGGAGGGCGATCATCCCTTCCAACAAGAAGCATTTGGAGCTGGAACCGATGATTGTTGGTAGGAAGTTCTTGGTTAAGGTCAATGCGAATATCGGAAACTCTGCTGTTGCAAGCTCTATTGAAGAGGAAGTCTACAAGGTTCAGTGGGCAACAATGTGGGGAGCTGATACTATCATGGATCTCTCAACTGGCCGTCACATCCACGAGACACGTGAGTGGATCCTAAGGAATTCAGCTGTTCCTGTTGGTACTGTGCCCATTTATCAAGCGCTTGAGAAAGTGGATGGAATTGCTGAGAATCTTAGCTGGGAAGTCTTCAGAGAGACTTTGATTGAACAAGCTGAGCAAGGTGTAGACTATTTCACAATCCATGCTGGGGTTCTGCTGCGTTACATTCCCTTAACAGCCAAGCGTATGACTGGGATCGTTTCGCGTGGTGGATCCATTCATGCTAAATGGTGCTTATCTTACCACAAGGAGAACTTTGCTTACGAGCACTGGGATGATATCCTAGACATCTGTAACCAGTATGATGTGGCTCTTTCAATTGGGGATGGTCTGAGACCTGGCTCGATCTATGATGCTAACGACACTGCTCAGTTTGCTGAGCTCCTTACTCAAGGTGAGCTAACTCGCCGAGCATGGGAGAAAGATGTGCAGGTATACGACAACTGTTTATGTAATCACTTACAGTCATCCACTTTGCATTTGCATATATACATATTCTCAATACTGGTTGTTTTTTGTTTCAGGTGATGAATGAAGGGCCAGGGCATGTCCCAATGCACAAGATTCCAGAGAATATGCAGAAGCAGTTGGAGTGGTGTAACGAGGCACCATTCTACACTCTTGGACCTTTGACTACTGATATTGCCCCTGGATATGATCACATTACCTCTGCCATTGGCGCTGCCAATATTGGAGCCTTGGGCACAGCTCTTCTTTGCTATGTAACACCAAAAGAACATCTTGGGCTACCAAACAGGGATGATGTGAAAGCTGGGGTTATAGCATACAAGATCGCCGCTCATGCAGCTGATCTAGCCAAACAGCATCCACATGCCCAGGCATGGGATGATGCACTGAGCAAGGCGCGGTTTGAGTTCAGATGGATGGACCAATTTGCTCTATCCTTGGATCCCATGACTGCTATGTCTTTCCATGATGAAACTCTTCCAGCTGATGGAGCCAAGGTTGCTCACTTTTGCTCCATGTGTGGACCAAAATTCTGCTCTATGAAGATTACAGAAGACATCCGAAAGTATGCAGAGGAGAATGGTTATGGTAGTGCTGAAGAAGCCATCAGACAAGGAATGGATGCTATGAGTGAAGAGTTCAACATTGCCAAGAAAACCATTAGTGGAGAACAGCACGGTGAAGTAGGTGGAGAAATCTATTTGCCAGAGAGCTATGTCAAGGCTGCTCAGAAATAAAAGGTCAGTATGCGTAGACCTTGCTTACTTAACAAACATGTTAGTTACTGCTCGCTAGTTTACAAGCATTCAGGTGTATTATCTTTTCTGTTAAATTCTGAACAATAAGCTTATTACATATGGTCAAATGTCTCCTCACATTTATTTTGGTCGTTTTTTTTTTTTTACTTCCTCAGGTTTGAAACAAGGCCTCGCTTACTCAAGTCTTGGTGCCTGTTGGACTATACCGGGTAAAGGGACAGACTGTTGGTAAGCTATGTAGTCTCCATGTCTCTTTAGAACTATCTATGCTACTGTATGCTCTTCGAGTCAGAAACAGTAATAAAACAAGCTAAGTTGATGTTTTCAATACTTTGTGAGTGATTTGACATGAAAAAGCACCAGGGGTGCTTGAACCAGACTAGCCCGCGAAAGAGCGGGCTATCTGGGACCAGGCTGAGAAAGTCCCTTTGAACCTGAACAGGGTAATGCCTGCGCAGGGAGTGTGCATGTTTTTTTCTTTTCTGTAGCTTTCTAAAGATGAAGAAGCTTCTACTGTTGCCGCTCTCCTGCTTCTAAGTCCACGGTTTCCAACAGTATGATTCTCACGAGCTATGAGATTTAGCTAAATTGGTAAATTGGCATACAACCACTTAAAAACTGATGCACTATAAACTGAAGAATGATTCAAACAAAAGTTCATTCAGATTAGTAAGAAATGCTTTTGCACCTTTGGGGCATAAGCTAAAATCCAAATCTGCTCTTTAATTTGTTTTACAGCTCCACAACACAAATCTGGTTTTTAAAACTTATATTCGTTTGTTTACTTAAATGGGCATGACAATGAAATTGGGATGATCACTTTGAGGAAAACATTTTGGGCAAAGAAATGCACCTTTGTCATTTTATTGCATACCGCAGAGTAGTGGAATGGAATTGAGCAGAACAAGCAGATGTAAAGAAAGTGAAGCTCAATCAGCTACACATGAAGATGATCCACTGTGGTTGTCATTGTTCAGCTTCTATAAACACAAATCTGAAAACGTGTACACATCAATATGTGAAAGATTATGTTATATTGCAGTAGAAGATAAGTAATACTAACTTACCAAATGCAAAAGAAAGTTTTGGAGCCACGAGGATAAAAAGTTTACACATTCTGTATTGTTTTCCTGCTGTATGAGATCACACAACTGTCAAGAACCTAAAACTCTAAAATACCAATATATAGACACGTTACGTTGTGTCTTTTAAATGGTTTGAAGACTTTATCATCTACTAGCTTCTGTATTTGACAGCCTATTTGTTTTATATGGTTGATGTTTCTGCTAAAATGTACACGGGATCATGAGAGACATGATGTTTATATCCATATCATGTATCTGTATTGTTGGGGGCTTGTGAGCCTCTTCTTGCACCATTATAGTTTGATTTGTCACTGACCGGATCAGATCAAACAGTTGATAACCTCATGTATGATCATACATCATCCATGGATTGGAGTTTAGGGTCTGATATTGGTTCTTTTACTCAGTAGTTTGTATTTTGATACAACTGGAAAGGCACAGAGAGATAGAGACGGCACACTGTTTCTTTTTGGAAATCCAGGACATTGTGATGTTTCTCGTAGACTCGTAGTATATTGACTAGTAGATAGAAAACAGCATGTATGTTATAATTATATTTCCAAAACGGCTCACAGTTTGGCATTCATTCAACTCACAACACTGTCGTCTTCATCTGAGGCTCTGAAGCCTTGCCGTGTCGGTTGCTCGAAATAATCCAACCCCTTGCTTAGTTTCCCTCAGTGATCGAAACCCTAAATTTTCTCCACTGGACGGTTACCGAACATGGCGGAATCCGAATCTCAGATCTATCACGAACGACAACGATTGCAATTTTGCCTTTTGCACTCCCTCAACAATCTATTTCAGGTGATCGATCAATTCTCTTCTCTATTTCTACTTTCAAAAATTTCATCCTGCGAATCACCGATGACTGAGACTGTTTCTTATTGCCCTCGTTTGATTTAGGAAAAAGACGCATTCACGCGAGAAAACTTGAACTCAATAGCAGAGAAGCTCGTGGACGATGATCCAAACAAAGAAACATGGACACCTCTCTCTTTACTCCTCAAGCCTCATCACAATACACTCACTGGTAACTACGACGTAAACGTGATGATTACAGCTCTTGAAGGCAAAGGCAAGAGTGTTGTTTGGCATGATAAGCGTAGTGGAGCTTCTTCCATTGATCTTAATGATGCAGATGCTTTAATGGGTATTGTGTTGAATGTTCCGGTTAAGCGATATGGTGGTCTGTGGAAAAGTAGACATTGGGTTGTGGTTAGAAGAATCAATGGGGTTTGGTATAATTTGGATAGTGATCTCGTCGTGCCACAGATGTTCAAAGATGAAGATGAAGTAAGAGGGTTCTTGGATCAAAATCTGAGTTTAGGTGGAGAGGTTTTGCTAGTGAACAACAATGCTTAAAGATCAACAACGTGAGTTTCAGTTTTCTGACTTCTCTGTGTATGTTATTGAATACCCATCAAGTGTGAAAATGTATCTAGTACACGTCTTGTAGTTTAAATTTCAACAGTGTTGATCACGTTAGAGAAAAGTTCAGTGAATTTGCTCCACTTATTGAGTTTTGAACTAATGATTTATAACTCAGAATACAAAATCTTTTCTTGTGTATATGATGGGTAGACTGATATGCTAAATCCTTACACTGTACTCTTATTACACTTGATGAAGAAGCTTTTGTATTCTTTATCGCGCTTTTGCAATTTTGAAACCTGCCATTTATGTTAATCATCTTCCATTAGCATCTAATAACTAGCTAATCAATCTATCATTGATTATTGTTCTGATCTCGCTGGATTGTTCTGACATGTAAGAAATCTTTCTCCAGAGGTTGATGTTATATATATGTCATGAAATTGTGTGGTTACTATCTGTTTGCTGATTTGCTTTGCTTATGCCCACCATTGACTTTGTTCTTATTTCTTCTCTTAATTTTTGGTAGCCTCAAGTCTCAAGTAAGGTATCTGCAATTTATAAAGGTACGTTTATCTCGGCCTCTCCAGGAGTCAAAAGAATGTTTTCATCAAAATAGGAACAATACCGAAAGGTTTATTCAAAGAAAGAACCTTTATTGCTTAAACAAATGGTTTATTCCCTTGTGGACCGTCTTCTACTTGCTTTCGCTAATGGAAATGTAGAAAAACTAAACAAAGTCTTTTTCTTTTGCTCTTTGGCTAGCTTTGTTTTCCAAATTTCGGCGTTAGAGTTCAGATATCTTTAAATCTGTTAGTTATTACAGTCCTTTTGACATAAAGTATCTAAAGTAAGTATGAAACTGAACTTTTTTTTTTATTTGTATATGTTTCGAATGTCTACAGTAATCATGGCTTTAAGTGTTATTATGTCATTATTGATGCATTATTAATAATCATGGCTTCTCTGGTCTCTACCTGAACTCTTATAGGCAACTGTCAGCATCAAATCCCTATATATAATCCTTACTCTCCTCAAGTTATTCTCACTCTCTCTTGGTATGTCAGCTACAGGAACAAAACGGTTCAATGCAAACACTAGACCAGTAACTCCTGGTAAGCAATCCTCAGTAAAGGGACCATATGGTAAGAATCCGAGATGCACAACAAGCTGTGGTTTGAGGCTACCGAGGAAAACAGAATGCACAGCAGCAAGACTGATCAAACATTTCAGCTGTAACTTTGTTAAGGGCTTACGACTGGTGGTGATGAGGACGAAGAAGAAGAAGAGATCTCCACCATTGAAGAAGGCTTCTTCTTCTGGTATATCTCAGTCTTCGGTCATCTCTATCGTAAATGATACTCACAGATCAGAGGCGATAGAAGACTGCATACAGTTTATAAACTCATCGACCTCGTTTACGAGATCAAGTTCTACCAGTGACGGTAAATCATAAGTTTTTGTAATGCCCATAAGTTTCGAAACTCTTTCTTGGTCACTCGTTGGCTACGCAATAGCATATTAGAGAATTGCGTTGTAATATCTTTTATGAAATAACATATATATATATATAGCAGAAGAGAGATTTAAGTACTCTTGAGAGTGTGGAATGTTTGAGTTTCCTTTATGTACAAAAAAAATCTGTATGTCTTTCATCTACATAGCATCGTTATATGCGTTTGGCCTAAATCTACGAGCAGGTATATCCTGACGGATTTTCTGGCAAAAAGGAATATTCCGGCAAGCTCTCTGACTGCAATGATGATGTATATTCAGAGGCTGGCGTGAATGAGGTCTTGGAGCTAAACTATTCACTGATATATCACTTTTCTTGGATTGTATCAATCGATTATCTTCTCCCCGGTCGAAAATAGGTTCCAAACGACGGTCCCGACAAGGTAAAGACCAACCGAAATCGTGAAAACGTCATCCCAAGAACCTGATGCATTACATGTCATTGAGAACAGAAAAAGTTACATTTAGAAGAGTTTTTAAACGATTAAGCAAAGCATTCTCAGAATCAAGAAGTGTTGAGGAGTCCTGACCGTGTTGTAGGATGTGACCAGTCGCAGCTGTGCCAAGAACTCCAGCGAGTACCCCAGCAGTATTAGACAAACCAAGTAACACTCCCTGACCACACCAACAACATCATATCAACGTGCTTATCCATTTGCTTTTAAGTAGCATGGTTAGTTAAGACTTTGGAATAATAAATTACACTTACAGAGTATCTTGGAGCAATGTCTTGATGGTTAGAGTATAGACCAGACTGTGAAAACGCATCAGTCCCCTGGCTACAAGCCATGCACAAAACGGCCATTGTAGGAGAATCTATGTGTTTCAGTTGTGTTAGGAAGAACGCTGGTCCAAGAAACCCAATTGTTTGCATGATCTGGATTCATCATAGAAAAAGATAAAGTGATTATCGAATGAATTACTTTAACTAGATGCGTTGAAATGGACTGAAGGGTGATATATGCAGGTACCTTGCGGACATTAGTGACAGAGAACCCTCGGCTGACGAGTGTATCGGCGATCCATCCTCCAGCATTTGCAGAAATCGCCATTGTCATCCATGGAAATACTGAGAGAAGTCCTGATTCCATTAGGTTGAACTTCAACACCTGCCTCACAACGTTCATGAGATTAATAACCAGAGAAAAATAGAACATCAAAGCTCCTTGAATAAAGGCAGTAATAGAACTGACTTGATGGTAGTAGGTTGGCATCCAGGTTAAGAGAATGAATGTTCCCCAGTTATGACAAAAGTGGCAACCAATGAGAGCCCAAACCGGTGGTTTCGACAGTATCAGCCTCCACGGGATCGACTTCACTGGCTCTTTGCTGGCACAGTTGTCTGCAATTAGCTTTCTTTCTTCAGGGAGCAGCGTTGGATCTTCTAGTGGTGAACTCTCTGCCTATACTTAGTAACAGGTAACATCACATTAATAGTATGAGATTTTCATCAAGAAAAAGTTAGAGCAATAGAGCAGTCTGACCTTAGTTAGCCACAGAATCAGCCATACAGTTCCAAGAGACCCAAAGGAGTAAAACACAGAGGGCCATCCAAAGTGATGAATCAAGAAAGGCGAAAAGGCTAAACCAGTAACGGATCCAAGGTACATTCCACTGTAAACAAGCGCGAGCGATCTGCTTCTCTCTTGCACAGGCACCCACTTCGACAATATATTGTTCATAGCAGGCATTGCAACACCCTGAAGATACCAGATGAGATTTATTTGTCCTTATCGACGACATACACATATCCGAGACCAATATCTAAAACATCATAATAAGTTATCACAAACCTCTCCAACTCCCATGAAAGCACGAACAACAAGCAAGTACGGAAGACCGAGTTTAGCAGCTACAGGAGTGAGAATTGTTGCGATTGACCACCAAATTACACCAAATCCAAGAACCCGTTTGCCCCCTACAGTGTCTGCCCATATCCCACCAGCTATCTATCATATCAACAAACAACTGATTCAGATACACACTTATTGATTCAAACGTGATAGCAAGTGGGATATAAAAGAGATTCCTTTATGCAAACATCGCAAAGAATCTATGCAATGAAGACAAAGAAACAAATGTTGCCGGATCAGACCAATTAAGGAAACAATCCAAAAGCTAACCTGTGTAAGAAGGTAACCCCAGAAGAAAGAAGACTGTATCAAACCAACTGTTGCCGGATTCCAACCATACTCAGCAGACATCGGAAGTATAGCTATGCTCATATTCACCTGTTAAAACATCATCTGTCCCAAATTGATAACTCCAATTTCCTAACTAAGCAAATCCCAATTCCAAAAACTCTTCAATTTCCATAAAAATTCAATCTTTCCCCCCCCCCCCTACTTACTCTGTCCATATTGCAGAGAAGAAAAGCTGAGAAACAGAGTAACACTATAACCCACCGCTTCGGAAACTCCTCCCACCATGGTAAGACGATCGAGCTAGTCGAAGAATCAGAAACAACGTCGTTTTGACTAACTCTCTCACCATCCACATAATACGAATTACTGCTTTCTCTCTTGTCGGAGCTCCGAACTAATACCCGGAAAACACCGGACCGATTCCGTTGGTAGACCCATACCCGTAACGAATTGGGAGCTGGTTTGAGGTTCCGGAAGCTACGAGAAGAACTGGGTTTTTCAGGTGGACGGTTCGAAGTGTATAGAGAGTGAAGATTCGGAGAGCAAAGAAGAGCTCTCGCGTTCATGGCGGAGGATAGATATTATTTTTTTCCTTCTTCTCTGTTTTTTTTTTCTTCTTTCTTTTATGAGAGAGGAACTGATTTTATTTTTGAAGGTCGTGGCTGACGTGACGACATGTGGCTGTTTATTATTGGTCGGGTGAGGATGTCACAATCTAACGGGAAGTAACAGTTAACAGAAATTATTGGAGGTCCATTAAACAAACTAATCTAAGATTTTGAGGTTAACAGAAAGCCCATAAAAGGCCCAATTAAGCTTGCACATCCAAAACGCCCAAACAATATTACGAGACTTGTTAAAAAAAATTCCAAAAAGAGAAACAAGTCTCTTAAAATTTACGTAGGCCTATCAAAAGTCAAAACAATAATATTTATATTCATCCATAATTTAATATTTAGAATATGACAAATGATCTACTTTATATATGGAATAAATAAAGGCAGGATCCAAAGGTGGAACCCAAACCACCCACTAATTGCGTTCATAAAGGATGCCAAAACAATATGTTAATCCGAGAACTGATAAGAGTAATAACACTAACGAGCTTATTTTAGTTAGTATACAAAAGGATAGAATGAAGTAAACAGTTAAGTTTCAGTTTTGAAGAAATACAAAGTTAAGTGTTACATGAATCATATGAAGAAGAAAAAAGTCATTACTTGGATCATATGAAGATAAAAAGTAAAAACTAAACTTACAAAATTAGAGTTACATGAATCACATTTATGTAGTTTTTAACTTTATACGGAGGTCCAAGAATAGAGGATGAGAATGATGTAAGATTGTGGTGCGGCAGATTTACTCATCGAAGGTGTCCCTTCTTGTCTACCACAAATCTTCTCTAGCTTAGGCTTTATCAATTATAATCATCAGTACCACTTTTATTTATTTTACTCTTCTTTAATTCGTCATTATTGATTCTATAACGTTAAATTAATTATTTCTCTTTTTGCATGCGTTATCCCTTCACCAACATCTAAACATTGCGATAAGGTCTTCATCAAAACCTAAGTTATGGTATACGATTCAATGAAGACGACGTCTAATTCAGAAAGGAGGTACTAACGATAGTGTCGTGCTACCACTATTAGGGCTCGTACGTACCACTCACTCACTAAACAAGAAGAAGGCAAGATTTTTCACTTGTCATATCTGCAAGAGCTTAGCTAGAGATGGTAACGCAAAACTTAGGCCGGAAGAGAGAAACAAAGAATGGCCAACTCATGTGGATGGAGACATGAAGAGCTTCGAAATGACCAACTTTTCCAAAAGTACATACTTCTCTCACGTGGCCCGCCACTTCTTCAATTATCATTCACCATTTCAATCATTCATCACTAAGAGTTACCTCTCTTTTTTTCCTCTCTCATTTTTGTATGTCTCTCCTACATTTATTAGCTAAACGACGACATACAAGTTATATATAAACCAAATTACACTTTCTTAATTTGGGTTCTATAGGAGTAGAAGAAGAAATAAAAGATGCCAAGTTCTTTTGTATACAATGTGGTATTCTCTGCCGACAATATGATGAAAAATAATTGATTCAACCAAGTGGGTATAGTCAAATTAATCTTATATATATATATATCTTCAGTCGTTATCCTATAAATTAGTTGAACCTACATTTTATAGTCGAATCCAAACATTGTTATTTTTTTCAGATTAATTTCAATGCATTTATACATAATTGAAAAGAAACAAAAATTAATGGTGCGGCGAAACCACGATTGATTGATTGTGGTGAAACAAAGAAGGTGGTGACATTTATATTAAGCTAAACGAATCAAAACAAACCATTTGAGATATAATTAAACTACTTTAACACCTCTAACTGCTACTTGATTTATCTTTCCTGAAAGCGAAACCATAACCCATATTTTTGTCATGTTCTGTCTAAATCACAAAAAGCCTAATTAACCTGAATGAAACATTATTTATTTATCTTTTACTAGCTAACTATAGTTATGTGATCATGCATATGCATGGATATGTGGCGTGCATGGATCTAAGTAAAACATATGCACTGTGAGTCGCAGAGATTAAATTAGACACGAGACATGTGCACGTGTTCCTCTGTCTACGTCCGCATCCTAAGCAACAAAATTTGCCAAAACCAAATATTAAATATCGATAATATAATTCTGTGACTGTGTTGCCTTGGATTCCTCACAATGTTTCGAGTTTGGCTTCTGTATCTTATACATTGTATAGAATACTTTTGTAACTTCGCATTACATCGTACGAATAATTAAGAACAACAAAAAAATGGATCGTAGATTCTGAATAGAAAGAAGAATATATAAAATTATATCTGCATCGATCGAGTTAAAACATTTGATATGTCAGTTTGGTATTACATACGACTAAACACATGTACGTAGTAGCCGAAGTCGATTTGTGTCTTGCGTCGAACCATATGTGAAACTTGCTAGTGATGAGAACCTCTAGTCTCTACGGGTTCAAAGCTTCAGTGAAGTAAAAAAAAACAATGTACACTCACTCATATGCACACACGAACCAATGCATCGGTAAAGATTCGCATAAACATACAAAAAAAAAAAAAAAAAACTAAAGTGAGGAGACAAATATTCTAACCAAAAAAAAAACTTAGAAACAAAAATAAAAATAGCGTCACACCTACTCTTTCGTTCTACACCTTTAAGCTGTCTTCATACTCCTTTACACTTCTCTCTATCATTTCTTCTTCTTTACACCTCTCACCTCCAATGGTGTAATCTTCTTCTTCTTCTTCTTCTCTCTCTCTCTCTCTAGTCTCATCCTCTATACCTCAAAGTCTTGTCAATGGCGGCGCGAAAACTAGGTTCGTTGTTACGTCAATACTTTTTATCACTATGTTTCCTCTTCCTCGGTTGCTTCTTCTTCCCTAAAGGAGGAGACTGTAAACAAAAGAGGAGGAAGAAGAAGCTCAGAATAGTTTCTTCTTCTGGTTCTTCAGCTCTTTCATCTTCTTGGACTTACTTAAAACGGGTTTTCTTATCCACGACAAGGATATCTAAATCCCGTAACCAAACACACCCTAACGGTACGTTAACGTCCGCAAGATCATCACAGAACTCTCTCGTCACTCTCGTCCAACCCGATTCATTTCCAACGAACCAACCCGACCCGGATACCCGTATCCAACAACAACAACAACAAACCGAGTTCGAGATCTCGTATTCCGGCGATAACATCAACAACAATCCTCTGTTTCTCCTCCCTCTGCGTAACGAGATTTTCCCTTGTAACTCGTGTGGCGAGATTTTCCAGAGGATCAACCTCCTCGAGAGCCATATCGCGATCAAACACGCCGTCTCGGAGCTAATCGCCGGCGAATCGAGCACGAACATCGTCGAGATTATATTCAAATCAGGCTGGCCGGAACAAGTTAATCGCAAATCTCCGGAGATCATCCGGATTTTAAAAATCCACAACAGCCAGAAGATTCTCACCAGATTCGAGGAGTATCGCGAGTTCGTCAAATCGAAAGCGGCTCGATCACGGTGGGAAGACGAACGCTGCGTCGCCGACGGGAACGAGCTTTTGCGATTCTACTGCTCGACGTTCATGTGCGATCTAGGTCAAAACGGTAAATCGAATCTATGCGGTCATCAGTACTGTAGCATATGCGGGATCATCGGATCTGGATTCTCGCCGAAGCTAGACGGGATCGCGACGTTAGCGACGGGGTGGAGAGGACACGTGGCGGTGCCGGAGGAGGTTGAAGAAGAGTTTGGGTTTATGAACGTGAAACGGGCCATGTTGGTTTGTCGGGTGGTAGCGGGTCGGGTCGGGTGTGATTTGATGGATGACGTGGACAAGAGTGAAGGTGGAGGGTATGATTCTCTGGTTGGGCAGAGTGGGAACAAGAGTGGTGCGCTTCTCAGAATCGACGATGATGAGCTGTTGGTTTTTAATCCAAGGGCTGTGCTTCCTTGTTTCGTTATAGTGTATAATACTGTGTAACCGGTTTTGTGATCGTCTGTGTTGTGTTTATATTTTTGTTTACTCGTGTTTTGGATTAAGGTAATGTGGTTTAGAAGTATTATAATTGTGAAGTGTGAAGAACGAACACTTTTAGGTTTTTTTTTGTGAGGTAAAATGGTAAAATCTTTGTGGTATATTTTAAGAAGTTTTGTGAGCAAAGAGATTCAACAGTTGAAACATTAAGTCCTACTACGTAGTTTATGTTTAGTCGAATACAATGTATGTTGGTTGAAAAGTTTTATTTTGTGTAATACGATTTATATGTTGATTAAAGTCATTAGCAGAAGACCAAATCATAGAGAGGTTAACCACTATGATCCTTTTTTTTTTTTTTGTGTTCCTTTGTTGAATACTTGATTAAAGGAAGAAAATGGTAGACACCTATGTGAATATAATTAAAAGAAAGTTTAACTAAAGTAAACACTTTTTGTTTTGGGGTGTCAAAACTAAAGTAAACACTTTAAGATTGTTTATTTTTAGTGTTTCTGATTAGGAAGTTGGTGTTGAAAGAAATGAAAGAGAAGTTTTATTTTCATTTGATTCTTTTTCAAATTACTTACATGGTTTTGTTGTTTTCACAATAATATTTGTTGGCTAACATAGATCCATAAATATCGGAAATGGCAACAAATTCAACTAGTGAAATTTTTTATCTTGTCATTGGGGTTTTGTGTTAATTGATCACAAACCTGTTTTGCAGACAAAACCTCGTAACCTTTTTTTTTTAAGTATGGACATGCGAATTATTTTTTTGTTGATATTTCGAGTAGACAAGTAATGCAACTTTTAATGGTTTCCTAGCTATTTTGATATAATGGTATATAAACTCAAATTACGCTGGTATTCTAGAGCGTATTAACTTGTGAGACATAAGAATTCGTCTGATACATGCATTTTTAAAAGCACTTAGCAGATAAAACCTGAATTATGGTTTGCCGAGTTATGTGAATGACTATCTTGTTCTTGAACACTTCAGCAGCAATTCGAACGGTCGTCTTAACAAATATACAACAAATTGATTCATCAACTTAAACAAGTGGTGGTATCTCAGTTTTAGGTGATGAGTTTTCGAGCTTTAATCGGCATTTGGACAAGAAGAGTCTTTGGAAACTGGTGATATCGCCGTGAGATTCAGCTGATCGAAAAAGAGGAAGCGAGTGAAAAAGCTCAACGTATAGATGAGAGAACAAGACACATGCATTGTCCACCATTTGCCACATGGAAAATGCAACACACTAGAGACTACAACATATATAAGGGGTGATCAAAACCATTAGAAATAGGACATTAGGGAAATTTTTATGATGTCTACCTTGAGAACATAAGAGGAGGGAGAAGCTCTTATTGTCTGAACAATTTCATCTTTGATCTTGTCAAAGTTGCGTTGAGTCAACCAGTAAACTACACGAATTAAAAAGTTTAGACCAAACCAAACGTTTATGCATATGATAAATCACTTCTTGAGATCACCATAGTTTAGTTTATAAAAAAATAATATAAATCGCTTAGTCTTGTTTCAAACTTATGTCATTTTGGGAGAAATTGGTGAGATATGCTTTAATTTGTATTTCTATATTTTTTATTACAAAAATCCTTTAAAGATTGTTTTTGAACTATAGAAGCCTTATTTCAACTTTCTCTGTTATTTAGTTTACTACATTACTTCATAATTTGATCTATGAGGGCAACAGCCAACAAGAATAAAACCGTGTGAAATTATATATTCCAATTACGCCAACCACATGAATTTAACGAGTCTGTGTGTCGTTGTTATCATGTCTGATACAAGATACACATCGCAAATAAACCTCGAAATAAATAACGTGGGGACGATTTAGTTATATAACTAATTCACATGGCAATACTACACCAAAAAGTATAACCATCTGAATTAGTTATATGGCTAATTAAAAACATGCCAAAATTGCATATAACTATTTTAGTATTTTTTGACTAGGTAGCAGTGGCAGTACTCTCACTACTATGTGCAAACCAATACAAAAAAAGAAACGTATTAGAATATCAAGAAGAAACAAAAAAGGAAAGACACTTGGTTCCACAACATAGGCCCAACCAAGGCGGTGTGTGATCATCTCCGATCTCTCGTGCTCTATCTCACTCAGTTACGCGTTTCAACTACCACCAAACCAAACCCTTGAAGATATTACCTCTTTTACTCCATTGATCTTCGGTGACAAACTTGCATATACATAATACATACATGGTATGCACACATGTTGTATATTCATTAGTTGCACTTGTATATATCATTTTATTTTCTATAGAGAGAAGACTACTTATTGCTGCACCATCTTATCTAGATGGTGTCTTCTTCCTGAGCCTCGTCGTCAAGAGGGAAACACGTTTCGTCACCGCCAGTGTTCCACAAGAAATTGGCGTAATTAGCGGCGTAGTAAGAGTTGGTAGGATCAGCATCGATTGCTTCCAGGAAAGTCTCCTCAGCCGCCCAAAGATCGTCCCGTACTCTCCATAAGAACGTCGCGTATTTGCTAAGCGCCTCCGCGTCTTTCGGTTCCACTCCCACCGCTCGCTTAAAGTACTCTTCCGCTCTGTTACACAATTATCATATGGAAATCACGTGAGATAACTAAGACATGTGGAACGAATTAAAGATGAGGGATGAATAACTCCAAAAGTGTTGCGTGTGAACATTAATTTTTCCATATAATGATATGTATCAGTAACGGTTGTAGAATGTGATAGAATTGTCTAGATAGCCAATATTAGTCATATTGACAAAAAGGATTGGTTAGAATATCAAACCATACACCGTGTCAATGTAATCTATAATGCTTGTTAACTAAACTATGTTAGCGTTAAACTAAAGCCAATGACAAAAACATGGGTAAATGCAATTGGGTGGGGGAAAAAATCTAGAAGACAAACTGCGAAACAGAGACTTTTGGTGTCTGGTTCTGGTGGGGAGACTTTAAACCACGACCGTAAACTCCACAATCACTAAAACCCACAAAGACTCGAAGCTCATTGGCTAGAACTAATCTCCCTAAACACTGACTGAGAGTTACAATTATTGAAAATTTCCTTTTTTTATTCTTTGTTAGATATTTATGTAATGTCGTTTTTCCCCAAAGAGGAAAAGAATTGGTTCCACAAAAAACAATTATGATTTCCACAAGAATACCCCACTAGTGAATAGAAAAATCATCGAGGTCTGCGCCTACTTCTGACTCCTAGCATCAACTTGTAGCCTCACATTTCACAAAGAATCTAAAAGGAAGATTCGATCCTAACTCTGAAACCTAAATCTCCTTAAGCTTACACTAATAAGGTTTAACATTACTTAGCACGAAAACATGGTTAAACTGTAAAGAGTAAAATGTTTAGTTACCTGTCATGGTCATTAGAGACGAGGTAGAGGAATTGAGCATAGTTTGCGAGTAACAGAGGATTATTAGGCTCTTGAGACAGTCCCGTTTGGTACATAAGCTCTGTTTTGAAGTAATCCGTGTCTTCCTCTGTTTCTACCCGAGCCTCTACATTAGACACGAATCGTTTCCTTGTCTCTTGGTCCAACGAATCGTCGATCTTTAAATACTGCATTCGTTCTGCTTCCTCCACCATCGAATTCCACAGCCTGTTTTCATCTTGTCCTGATACAGACGGCTCTGACTCTGTAGTAGTTGACCCGAATGTGGATGATGACAACTGAGAAACTCCTTCGGGCATGATTGTTCTGAACTGTTCTGATCCATCGAATCCATCACCATCTGTTCCGCTCAACACCGGCTTGATGTTTCCACCGCCGCCATTGTTGTTACCACTAACTGAAGTTGTATTCCCGTTGGGAGACGATACAAAGAACGTTTTCACCACCGAGGAATCAAACTTCACGTCCGTTTCATCTGTTTCATTGGCGGCTGTTAGCTCTGTAACAGTAGGAGGAAGAGGAGCAGCTAAAGCAGAGTTGCTCCCAATGGAATAAACAGTGAAGTTGGCTAAGAGTATCATAACGTAAACCATCAACGTCGGCGTTGCGGAGAAGACTTGTTGAAACAACCAAACGAACGATTGGTGCATCTCTTCTCTAACTCTAAGCAAGATCCCTTGCAGATCTTCGTAAAACAGAACCTCTCTCATATGCAGAGTAAAGCTTTGTATCTCTCTAATCATAAACACCATTGACGAAAACGCTTTGTTCATCGAGCAACAAGCTGATTCGCCTACTTGTTTAACTCCTTCTTCCCATTGCCGTTTCTTCTTTATGATCCGAAGCGAAAGAGGAAGGTCAACACTGTTTGCTTTCATTTCGATATTGGACAAGTGCACCATCTCGTTCCATGGCGGCTCGATTGAATTAGGTTTCTCCATTAGGCTGTAATCGTGAATTATCAAAGGCTCTGAATCGTTTTGGTCTGGGACATTGAATCTGAGAGTTAGCTCTTGGATCTTTTTCGAGAATTCCTCATCGGAGAATGGAGGATCTAAGCTCGCGCTACAAACTCTTCGAATCGACTGAGTTTTAGTCGGTCTAGATGATGATGATGATGATGACCATAGCTCGCATGACTTGGATCGATGAAGCTTCGTCGACGGAGTTCCTAAAAGAGCCGAACGGTTCATAAGTCTCTGCGGCGCAAAACGACAAGATAAAAACCGTGCGTCGTGTCCGATACTCCGTCGTCGTTTTGAAGGAGATGTTATAGTCCCGGAGGCTAGGGTTTGAGAAGGAGACGAACACTGATGAACAATAGGCTGAGTCGTCCATTGAAGGAACGGAGATGAAGATGCTACTTTCATCCCCATGCGAAAATCGAAATCTGAATAACAGAGACTACTCGTTTCTTCAACAATGGATTCTCCTGTAAATCAAAAGAAGAAAATGAAACAATCAATAGAGAGAGAGGTAGCTCTTTGAATCATTACAGATGGCAGATCGGATCGTAGAAAGCTAAATGTCACGAGAATCGATGAATATTCAAAATGAATTAATGTGAAAGTCTTGGATTCAACGAATTAGATATAGAGAGAGAGAGAAGAATAGTAAGGAAGAAGGAAACCTCACCAGCAAAGAATCGAAGCTACGTCTGAAATTTTCTCGGGAGGAAAGAAATAAAACTTTCTCGAGAAAATCCTGTGAGAGAGAGAGAGAGAGAGTGAGACGAAGCGGTTTTTATATACGGATGCGAATAAAAAAAGGGTTTAGTTACGCACGAGTTTATCAAAGATATCGAAATAAAATTAAAAATTTTAATTTGAAAAAATATCATCACCCGGTGAAACAGCGACGTTTAAGAACCTGACAAACAAGTAAGCCGGTGACAAGAACCGACTCACATGTTTAAACCGGGAGGGAAGAGAGAGACATCGGATTTTTTAAAAGAGATCTTACGGTTTAAATATACGCCACGTGTTTCCCAGACTATTGGGTTTTTGTTTCTCGTCATTTTCTCATTACTTGTAATTTTTATAATTTTTAAATAAACCAATCAACGGGTTTGGAAAAGCCACGTAGGTATTTTAAATGATAGTGTTAATTAAAATAAAACAATTTTGAAGTAACAGTTTTTGCAAAATGTCCATATTTTTATGTAATCTGGCGTTAACTCTGAAGTTTGAAGTGTAGGGAACTGTAATTGCGTCCATATTCATTTTGATTTTACCCTCTTTTGGTATATAAAAAATTTACCTTTATCGTTTTTTTTTTTTGGTTTTTATATAGAAAATGAAATAATTTTGATTGAAAATTGATGAATCCGAAAATGAATATTCCCGGATGTATATAGAATGTGGAATCAAATATTTTTGTAAAAGTGATGCAATAATGGATCATATAAATAAAACGCTTATAGAAAATTAGGTTACAAAGTATAATGAAAGAGAAAGAATCATAATCTCCGTTTAAGGGAGATTATGATTAACACAGTTTCTCTATACATCATGATTCAAGTGCAATGATGCATGATTGTAACAAATAACTAAGTTGGTACTACAATCTCCCTATCCCATGCATGTATTTGTCGAGATGTATTATATGTTTCGAGTTTCGTAAAATATGAAATGCAAGTATTCAAGTAGTCCCCAATTTAACAACTACAAAACTATTTACAAAAATTCAAGAATTGGGATATTGTAAAATTACTAACGTGATCAATTTTTTGATATGTTTGTATAAACTATGAAGCTATTAATGAATTATTCAGTCGACAAAAAAAATATCAATTCGAATCAAACTGCATTTATCTTAAACCAAAATAAACGAAATTAGCTAAACTCTTTGAAATTGAATTTTACGAACCGAACAAGATTGCATATTGGTCTTATTTCACGTTTCAAATGGTTAGAACAAATTAAACCGCGTTTTATCTACCAATCATAAACTATAGTTCGTCGTTGTGCTGACAAAAAAAACATTATAAGACATGAGACATACAACCTACAAGAAAGATGATTAATAATTCCTCTTAGGGATCAATGTATTCACAAGACAATATAAAGCATAAATCATTACACAAGATCCCAAATTACATAATATTCATATATTCTGTCATTACATGTAAACATAATTCGTTTAAATCGATTCTTGTCCGCCCTAAAAAATAAAATAGTGTAGCCCACTAATTGGTTAGTCCGCTTTACCCGCAACATTCATTAAAATCCCCAATAACCCTTTATTAAATGCAGACTAAACCAGAAAATTTAACAATCTAAACCGGATTATCTAGGTTTTACATTGGACACACTAAAACACAACCCGAAAAGAGTTGAACCAAACCGAACTGAAAAAAACGAATGTGGTAATTGGCTCATGTGGTAATATATCTTGTCAAGAAGAAAACACAAGTGGTTATACATCATGTTGGAACATGGCATAGGGGAGAGGGGGTTAAAAAATTCGACGGTGGAGAAGGATGGAAAGGTATGCATGCACCAACTTGCCATAAGTTTACGTCTTCGAGACAGTGACGTTAGATTAAGAAGGTGAAACAATTGACGGCTCTCGTTGGTATTTTGGCTCTCATGTCCTTCTTAACGGTTGATATTTATTGTTCGATTCTTTCTTTCATTGGACTCTTCTCACCTCAATTGATATGTATTTATATTCTTTATTTCATTAGTTCCCCCAAGTTTTTATTTATTCAATGTCATTGAAAAACACCTACGTTGGAATCTTGCCCCATCCTGGATTTCTTTCTTTATTATGGACGATGGAGAAAATTTCGTTTGGAAAAAAAACTTTTGGAGACATGGATAATATGATGTAGTTACCTTGTCTCTCGTGAGTCGTGACTGGTTCTAATAATATTGGATGTGAGAGATATGTGTTGTCGAAATTACTAAGAATCGTACGTCGAAATTTGATCATGACGTATATATAGGAACTGGATTGAAAAGTTTATAGCTAGTGTAATGCCATGTTATCACGATACTATGTGTAGATTTAAATATTTGAGAATTCAGAGAGTTCGTTTTTGATTTCTAATACACAATACTGGTAATGATAATAGCATTTTCTAAGTGACTTACACTAATCAATTGGTGGGTGTGGACCATTGTCGGAGGGTAGGCTAAGGATGTGGGATCTGCTTTGTTCTATTAATATATTCTCGCCATGGCCAGTCAAAATAAGTAATATTGTACATGTATGCTTATATTATTTATATATATTTATTTGGGAAATATACAATCCTAAAAGGTGAAAATTAGTTGGTTAATATTATAGCGATAAAGATCGAAGACAAGAGTGTAGAGTATTACGACAAATCAGAAAATCAAAACGCTTAATGTCAGAAAACGTATGGGAGGGTAAATAAAAACAAAGAGAAAATGATAGAATACAGTGTTTACAGTACCATGTGAGCGATATTAATTAAGGGGTTTGGTTTACGATCGCGAAACTGATATGATGGGCGATGAAACAGAAGAAGATATGATTGGGAATTTCACATTATGAAATTATTAATTGATAAGATGTTACAAGAGAGCTATGCACATAAATTTTGTTAGATAAGATAACAGAAACAAAAAAAAATATTTACAAGAGAGATATGCACATAAAATTTGTTTTTGCTTTTTAATGCTTGCTCATTGTGATATAACAGTTATTCAGTATACCATAAACATCTAGCAGCAAAGACACCAAAAAAGACTACTTCAGGACATCAGTGTAGAACATCAGACTCCAGCCAAAATGTGTTCGGAGAGGGTTAGGTTTTAAGAAGAAGCAACCACATGATCAGGTCATACGATTTGGTCTCATCAGTTTGGAAGTGTTTATGTTATTTAACGATCAAATAAGAATATGTTGCTTGTCTACCAAGGTTCTAAGGAAGCAAATCGTTAAGAGTGATCCCATTTTTTATATTTTCTTGGATGGTAATATCATATCAATGAAACGCATCGCAAATCATCGGTCATCAGAGAATTATAGTTGCATTTCATGTAAAGCCTCCTTAAGAGTAATCTTGATTGGATGTGTCGTGATTTGGTTGGTGATTGAAATACCAGCTAACCCTCAAATTCGGGTATTATGAAAAAAACTAGAATGGTAAAAAAGTAGAATTTGAATTTTGACAATGAGAAGATAACACAACAATATATAAAATGAAACATATAGGTATACAAAGCAGTGGCTCTTGATAGGAGGATATAGCCAATTTGAGAATCAAACTGAGAGAGACATTACAAAGACCACCACCACTCTTATCATCTTTTATCTTCTTCTTTCTACCTAGTATTTCTCAAAAATATTTCCTTCATTAAATAATTTCATATTCGCATATCATCTACGCAGTGATTTTTCTTGTTTTGGCTACATGCATATGATCATATGATATATCATCATTTTTTGTGTGGATATCCTTGTTATATATCCATGCAAATGATACTTTCGGCTACGTATCATATGATATGATCGATTTTATGAGGATATCATCCTTCTTGTATATCAATCAATGCATTGATATTTATTTATTTTGGTTACATATCATATGATATATCATCGATTTATGTGGATATCATTCTTTCATAAAACCCTTTTAATATATGAACCAGATATATATGAAAAATATCTCCACGTCGTTTTTATGTTGATATCTCATACTTCAATGATCGATCATATAGTTGTCCAAAAAAAAATCATATATGAGGAAATATATAAATATAAGTGCATTGGCACATCCATCAGACCATCACATGTATAGCTTTTATATATATCTTCTTTTTTTATTCTTTTTGTCATTATTTAATATCTGATTTATCAAGTAAGGTCGAATGAATCTTATTATATGAAGTTTGCTTAACTTTATATTGTATTTTATGATAAACGTAAAATGTGAAAAAACTAGCCTAGGTTGTTATAGTAAAAGTTTGCAAGAGATTAGCATACAAAGAAGTGAACGAACCAAAATTATTTATAGGACAGCACACACACACAGTGTGATAGTTTTAGTAGTTCTAAGATGGGCCGTTAAAGGTCTTATATGAGGCCCATAATGGTTTTAACAATAACACGGCCCAATAAAATTGCCGCGAACTCGCTGGTTTGAAACGGTAGCAGAACAAAACCGGGCGGCGAAAAAAATCTGTTCTTTTGCGTTTTCCCGCTACTCTTCCATTTTTCCCTCTTTTGTTTATTTTTTTTTCTTAATTCTTTTTCCTTTATTTTTTTTTTGTTATCCCATTTCATCATAAAACCCAGCAGATGAGATTGATTCTTCACTTCGGCTCCATTGGATCTCAATCTCGAATTCTCGATCTCGATCTTCGGCTCCTTCTGATATAACCTACAATGCCTGCCATCGCCGGACCTAGTTCGTCCCCTCAGAAGCATGTCGTCGGCTCCAGATTGGAGATTATCGGAGGTCTTAGATCCGCCGAAGTCAACACTTCTCGGAAACGGAAGTTGAGATCCGATTCTGCTGCGGAGGTGTTGCCTGTGAATTTGATGTCTACACCGATGAAGTGGAAATCGCCTCGACGATGTGCTGTTTCAACCCCTAAGACGTCTGATGAGGTAAATTTGTGAAGCTCCTTGTTCTTGTTCTAATTGTTAGGACTAGTGAGAATCGAGTGAGAATCAATTCGATTTTGGTAGTCTTGATTGATTTTGGGATTACTTAAATCTGAAGCTGTAATGATTTCAACTGTTGGATCGAGTTTTTTCTTTTGTTTTCATGAACTTATAATGATTTTTTTCACTTGTTATTGGTTGTAGGAGATTAAGGAAGATTCTAATGGGGATTTGGCAAGTCCAGTGATATCAGCAGTGAAGAACTTATCTGTTTGTGTAGATGTTAAATCAGAGTGGAATCCTAGAGGTATAATTGAGCCTTAGGATTCTTCAGGGTTGTATTAATTTTAAGGCTCTTGGTTGGTTTTATTGTACAATTGATGTTGTGTTTTAATGTTCAGATGATGAACAAATGAAAGCGGTGAAGGAGGCATTGCATGTGTCTAAGGCACCATCAACTGTTGTTTGCCGTGAGGATGAGCAGAGACGGGTTTTTGAGTTTGTGAAAGGTTGTATGAAACAGAAGAAGGCTGGGAGTTTGTATATATGTGGTTGCCCTGGAACTGGGAAGTCACTATCGATGGAGAAAGTAAGACAACAAGCTGAAGAATGGGCAAAACAGGTAATCAATCTTGTGTGTCTTTTCCAGGCAACCAATCTTGTGTAATTGGTGTGGATATCAATAGAAGGACTTATCTTTTATGAATTCTTACAGGCGGGTTTGCCTTGCCCGGAGACAGTGTCTGTTAATTGCACATCGCTGACAAAAACTACAGATATTTTCTCCAAGGTAAGACCTTCTGCAATAGAAACACCTCGAAGTTCTTGGTCTCAATTCAATATAATTGTTAATTTGGGTTTATTTTATTTTTAGATACTTGGTAAAAGTGAGTCCGGGAGGAAAGCTAATGCCTCATCTTCACCTCTACAACAACTTCAAAGCTTGTATTCTCAAAAGCAACAACAATCCAGCTCAAAGATGATGTAGGTTTTTGTTTTGTTCTTGGTCTGTGATATGTTGACTTGCTAGATATAATTTGTTGCGCTGTTGCTCATTTAAGTTTTTTCTGCAGGCTAATAATTGCAGATGAGATGGATTACTTGATCACAAGAGATCGAGGTGTCCTTCATGAGCTTTTTATGCTCACAACTTTGCCTTTTTCAAGATGTATACTTATAGGTACTGTCTTTTGTGTTATCAATGTTAATTTTTTAATCTGTTTCTTCTGGTCATACAAATTAAGTTTTAATTTTGTATTTGCCCTCCAGGTGTAGCAAATGCAATAGACCTTGCAGATCGTTTCCTTCCAAAATTAAAGTCTCTTAATTGTAAGAATTTCTCTATCATTGTGTGCCATTTGAACATTCTTCACACTTCACCATATGTCCCTATGCTTTGCTGAAGAATACAAAGTTGAGTATACTCCTTTTAACATATTGTTCCAATTAATGCAGGCAAACCTGTGGTTGTCACTTTCCGTGCTTACTCCAAGGAGCAGATCCTTAGGATACTGCAGGAAAGGCTTGTGGTAAGTCTACCTTAGTTTTGTGATTTACGATACCTTTGATGAGAGAACAATGTCTGATTAAGTATATTATGATTAAACTAGTATATCAGGATAAGTCTATAGCCAATGCCATTTTTTTCTGTTTCAAAGCAGTTGGTATTCAAGGCATTATGGAGATTTGAACTGTATATATCTAATCCAAACTCACATATTACTTTCACTGTTGTAACAGGCACTTCCATTTGTTGCATTTCAGTCAAATGCCTTGGAAATTTGTGCAAGAGTAAGAAGATATACGTCATTTTTTTTTTCTCTCAACCGTGTTTTCATTTTTAGATTCTTAACTGATATTCATAATGTTTGCATTGTCCCAGAAAGTATCAGCTGCATCAGGAGACATGAGAAAGGCTCTATGTGTTTGCAGGTTAGTTCTTTTAAGAATTGTGTTTCTACATAAGATAAATGAATCATAAGACTAAAGATGGCAGTCTCTGATTACTCACATTGATTTGATTTCCAGGAGCGCCCTAGAAATCTTAGAGATAGAAGCTAGAGGATCAATAGATCAAGAACCACAAAGTCCAGTTCCGGAGTGTCAAGTGGTTAGTATTTTACTCTCTACTTTACTCAGCTCACTTACTGACAATGAAAATACCCAGGATCCATAGAAACCGTTGTCTTATTCCATAATTGTTATCATCGAATCTATAGGTGAAGATGAATCATATGTTAGCTGCGTTATCCAAGACTTTTAAATCTCCAGTAGTTGACACCATTCAGTCTCTTCCTCAACACCAGCAAGTAAGTCACACATCAAACCGCATATTTATTGATATCTGGTACTTTGCGTTCATAAGTAAAAAAAACTGTTACATGATATACACTAACAATATGATTTGCATAGGAATATACAAATCTGTAGTTTTGTTTTCCAGTGTGTTCTAGAGTATTGTAATATAGTTTGAAAATGTGTAACAACCTTAAAAGAACAAACTATCACAAAGCACAACGTTGGTGTGTATCTGGTTCTATGACTTAGTGGCTAAATTGACCGAATTTGAATGCTTATATTGAAAACTTGCAGATCATAGTCTGTTCTGCTGCAAAGGCCTTTAGAGGAAGCAAAAAGGATAGAACCATTGCAGAGGTAAAAATCTTGATTGAAAGAACAATACACAGTCATAAACACGTTGTACATGATATTCATATATGTTTTCACACTTTGTTGCAGTTAAATAAGCTATACGTGGAAATCTGTAAATCTTCGATGATAACTCCAGCTGGAATTACAGAGTTCACAAACATGTGTACAGTGCTAAATGACCAGGTACCAACTCCTACTTGAGTAATATTCATGGTAATATATAGATAGAATCTTGAAAGAGATCTTTGATTGAAAAGTCATTTTTGGATTGTCATAGGGGATACTAAAACTCAGTCAAGCTCGGGATGATAAGTTAAGGAGAGTGAGCCTTAGAGTAGATGAAGCAGACATCACATTTGCTCTTAAGGTATACATTACACCCTTTGTTAATTATTCCCAGAATGCAGTTTCTTAACTTTTTTTAACCCTTACCTTTTCATTGCACAACAGGAAATTCGATTCTTCCGCAACTGTCTTCTATGATGAAGTTATAGATTGAGTTATAGCGTTGGGTTCCTTCATTCTTTTACAGAATACAAGAGTAAAAAAAAAAACAATAAAAAAAATCTCAGTAAACATAAATTGGTTTATTCTCTGTTATACAAGATGCAAAACAATTCATTAGTTACATACTTACAAAGGAGTTCGTAGTTACAGTTTTGAAATTCTGATGACCTGCGAAGATCAGATCAAATCATGCAATGTTTAAGAAATGCTTCACAAGCGACTAACCTCTGGTGTAACTTATCATACACGTTTCATAATATTTGTTATTTCTTTTTTTTCACCACTTAGATTTTGTTATCTGAATATAATATAACTAATTAATACAGTTGAATATATACTCAAGATATGATTTGATACGATTAATTATCTTTAAAAAAAAATAAACATAAAGTTCTCAAATTAAAATACACTAAAGTTTCACCAAAAACCTAAAAGCCGAACGAATTCCCAAAATCCGAGTTGAAGTCAAAAGTATGGATCACTTACCATGTAACTCCCACGTTGACGACGACGACGACCATGGATGGACGAAAGTTGTGTCCCGGAAGAAAAGAGTTTCCGGCACGAATGAACGACGGATCCTGTCGGCGGAGATGGTTTCTGCTGATGTAAAGAACGAAACGAACAGTACTGCCGGGACTGCGGCGGCGGCGAGGAAGAATGAGAATCTGACTAAAACCTAAAAGCCGAAACAAAACAAGGAGAAGAAACCTATAGTGTCTTTGTCCGAAGCTATGGCAAAGATCGATCATTCACGTCTTACGTCTTTCCTCGTCGTATCAGTGGTAATAATCTCCCACTTGAGAAACTGTGATCTTAAAAATCCATAATAAACCCACAAATCAAAATTCATTTTTTTCTTTTTTTAAATCTTTGGTTTGATAATAGGAATCGTATTCGGATGAGCCAGAGACTCAGCTATTGAGATTTATGGATTACATCGGAAGAGAACTTACCGAGGTGCAATTTCCATGGCTGAAGATATTTCCTTTGAAGGGTCTTTGGCCTAAGCTGATAGATGTCATCGATGTGAGTTATTTCTTTTTTTTTTTGGGAGAGGTTTTGAAGTCTATGTTAGATTTTTTGAAGCTGATTAATAAAACCCTTCTGACAGGTTCCGTTGTGTGATATTCCTGAACCTATCTACAAAACATCAGTCAATTGGATCAACCAAGTTCCAATTTGGACACTCGTTGGCTTTGTATTGTGGGCGTTTGATTGTACTATCAATCATTTGGTAGCGCAGCAAGAAGGTCCCAAAGCTGGCAAGATTGGTGAACAACCTACTTCTCCCAAACCTCATGTAATTACCTTCTGTAATAACGTTTCTCTAGTTGTTTTTGAATTAATGGTGTATAATTATCCAGTTACTTTTGTTTTGACTTTAACTCTCCGTTATGTCTTGATTAGATTCCAGTGTTTGTTACATTAGCAATGGTATTGCGTGAGAAACCTGAAGCTTTGACATATGCATTGCCGATTCTTAGGGAGAGTCGTTATGTTCAAGGACAGGACAAGCTTCCGCTTACAGTTTGGATGATCGCTCAGGTTTGTGTGGTATTTGTTTACCAAAAGTGTCGAAATTTGTGTTTTCTGTGATCTGTATTATAAAATTTTTTGAACTGTTGAAACGTGGACAGGCCTCCGAGGGTTATTTAAGTGCAGGCTTGTATTCATGGGCGCGTAACTTGTTACCAGTGGTCGGTAATACAAACTGTAAACCTCAGTCAAGGGATCTTATCTTGCAGTTGATTGAGAAGTGAGTGGGAAGTTTCCTCTTGATCTTGTTTGCTATAAACAATCATCTGATCTTTGTTTATGCAATTTTCTTATCAGAGTTTTGTCGGATCCAGAGGCTTGGTCAATGCGTAGGTATCAAATTATTGGGGTGGGAGAGCGTATGATTCCACCTCCTTCATTTGAGATCTTGCTGCGGCTTACATTCCCTACTTCATCCGCGAGGGTAAAAGTAAGCAAGTAATATTTGGAATTCATAAAACAAAACCTTGATGCATTTGTCGATTTTGATCACTAAGCATGGTCTCTGTACTCACACAGGCTACAGAGAGGTTTGAGGCAATTTATCCGTTGCTGAAAGAATTGGCCCTTGCGGGTTCACCACGAAGGAAAGCAATGAAACAAGTCATCGAACAGATATTCATTTTGACTTTGAAATTAGCTGGAGAAGGTATAGTAGTAACAAAACCTTGACTCCTTGAGATTTCTGCTTCTCTCTCTCTCTCTCTCTCCTCCGAATAGAGTTGTAATGTGTTACTGTTGTCACAGGAAACCCTGCTTTAGCCAAGGAAGCTACATCAATAGCTATCTGGTCTGTGACCGAGAATATTGATTGCTGCAAGCAGTGGAACAATCTCTATAAGGAGAATCTAGAAGCTAGTGTTGCTCTCCTTAAACAACTTGTGGACCAATGGAAGGATCATTCCCTCAAACTAACATCGTCACAGATATATACTCTCACTCTCAGTCAAACTATGAAGAGCTTCAGGCTAAAAGTTAATACCTCTTACTCCCTTTTACCTCAGTTGTAATTTCCATATCTGACTTAAGCTGTTTTGTTATTTTTCTAGAATGAAAAAGGCATCAATGAAGGAAGAGGCAATGCTTCTCTTTACAAAGAAGCTGACGAGTCCTGCAAATTAATATCGCAGAGACTCACCCGTAAAAGCTACTACAACCGTTACTGCATCAAAGCTACTGCTGTGGTTCTAGCTGCTGCAGGAGCCACTGCTGCTGTTGTTCTATCTTGGCTACAACCGAGCTTAAGCACTTTCGTGAACTCATTGGATCCGCACCTATCTACGGCAATGTAATCACCACAGCTTTAAACAACTTAATAGCACAAATAGAAAAGAAAGATTTATTATTGTTTTTTTTTTTTGAACTAAGAAAAGAAAGATTTATAATATTGGTTTTTAATCAAAAATTATTTGAATACTTGCCTATTATAATAAATTAATAAGTAGACCATAACTATTTTTTTTTTAACACTCATCTATATATTCTATGTATTCATATATCTAAGAAATTGAAATGTCTGTTTTGAGCTATCAACAATTCATTGTTTATACAAACATTCCCAAGTAGCTCAGAATCAAATATGCAAATAAAAATACAAAAAATAATATACATTATATTATATATATAAGGATTTGGATAAAAGGCAAAGAGGAATACTCTTAAATACCAATAAAATGGTATTTTTCCAAAAATACTATTATTATGAGTTTTATTTTCAAAAAATACCACTTCAAATACATTTTTTTTTCCCAAAAATACCAAAAAATTAAAAAAATTTAAGCTAAAATTTTTCACATTCAAACCTAATTTCTAAATCCTAAACACTAAACTCTACCCCTAAAAACTATATTCTAATTATAAATAGTCAACCCAAACATTAAAAAAAAGTTTACACCCTTCCAAAGTTAGATTTTGATGTTTATGGTATTTTTGGAAAAAAACAAATTGTGGTATTTTTGATTTTTTTTTTAAATGTTCTATCCAAGGGAATTTCTCAATAGAAAGTAATAAAAAATTTCACATATCATATGAATTTCTTAAATATAAAAATTCTCATCATGATTTTACCATATTATCTTGTCCATGATGGTGACCATCAATATATATTTGATTGATTTTTCTATTACCATAATATTTTAATCCATATGTTTTCTTTCATAATTATATAAAATATGTCAAATGAACATTATGTTAAAAATTATAAATATTAAGCAAATATGCAAAAAAACATATTTAAAAGGACATATTTTGTCTAACCTGATCATTTCGTGCACGGCAGATATCATTTCATTCAAAATACTAGATACCACAGAGGCACAGACTGTGATAGACTGATGCGTTTTACTGTCATGTATGTTGTGGTTGATAAAGCCCTCAAATACTCTAGGGTCTTTTTCATAAGCGATATTCTTTTCCATTATAAACAATCTACAATAAAACCTCTATAAATTAATAAATTTTGTTGGATTGTCAGTGTAAAAATTAACAAAATTTGATAAGATAATAAGATAATAATTTTTAAAATTCCCATGTAAAATATAGTTCCAATAATATTATAAATTAATTATACTATATATAGTATATTAATGTATCCTTTTAGGTTTTAATAAAATGATTTTTCCTTAAAAAAGAGAAATCAACGAGAGATTATTTGGAGGAACTATTGGATGGAAAAGTATTGTGGGAAGTTTTTCGAAAGAGGATAGGAGAAACTCACATATAGTGCAAGAGTGATCTGCTTACGGGTTGCTTCTCGTTAGAATTTCCCAGTACCTCAGCAGCGTTGCAAGGCTGCAAAGAGACGTACATGACGATGGTAATAATATAAACAATAACACATGGCGGAGGAAGCAACATCTGGCATTGTTTGGATCATTTGGACATGAAGTGACTCTAAGTGACTCTAAGTCACTCAAATTTGTGTAGGCACTGGCAGCAGCGGTCAGTGTCTTGAAGATTAAATTTTCAGCCATTAAATAGGCTTCTTTTTTTACTCATAAGTCAGCCTAGGACATTAAGAAAACAGTCAAACTTAATAAAACGTATCATTTTTCAGCAGATTAAGCTAAGTGAACTGACAAGAATACTTCTTTAGCATGTTAAACAATATTTCAATCGCCCCTTTGCTGGAACTGATAAAGAATACTTTTTCAGCATGTAAGCCTCCTTACTGGAATAGTCAAAAGAGGAAAGCCATCCAAAGAAGATCTAATGCTATAAAAGAGCTCTTAAGCGATGAAAAACATTGCACGAAGCATATTATGCTTGTTGATTTGGGAAGGAACGATGATGTTGGCGAGGTTCATGAGTACTTGTGACCATTGCTCAACTCTTCTGTCATTTTCAGTCTCCGACCTTGTTGGTTTGGAAGACACATGCAGTTTTTAAGTGGTATTCTAACTTGTTGGATATTCTCGTGAACTCGGGTTTCAAAGCCTAGTTATGTGGAAGTTGAGAAGCTCATGAATATAGAAAGGTATTCATATGTCATGCACATTAGCTCCACGATATGCTCCTATTGCAATTTACAAACAAAACAAAACTGTTAATTCAAAGGTCACTTTGCCTCAATAAATTTTTGCATAAGTTTTGTTTTCACTCTTTAGTTTATAAGAGATCACAGTCGAACAATGAAATTATTGAATATAAGTGTGGTGCTGAAGCCTAGTTCTGTGTAGACTAGAGAACCGATAAACATGTAACTTCACATGTTATGTACATGACCTTAACAATATGCTGTCCAATTTCTATTTGTCTCGCAACACATCTCTTTCTTTGCAGGTAAAAGCCATGTAGCTGATAAATGAACTTGAAGTAATAACTAACAAGGCGTATCCTTACAGTGGAGGCTTTGTAGGCATTTCGTTTAATGGAGACATAGACATCGCCTTGACTCTCAGAACAAATACCCTTTATGACACATTGTACTCTTACAAGCATCTTCGGAGACGTCGAGAGTGGATTTGCTCATATTCAGGCCGAAGTGGATACAAACCAAAAGTTACTAGATTTATGGTTCTTTTGTTAACATTAGAGCTTGTAACAAACAGTTTACGAAATTATTTCAAATTCATACAAATATAGCTACTGATTTGACTTATAAGCTAGTAGCCTCGTAGCGACCAACCACAGCTGTTGGGAGCTAACCACTCTAGTTATTACCAACTGGTGAAAGTTCATAATTTGGTTGAAATTGGTGGTAGAATAAACATTCGGACATGATATTTTGAGCGGTTAAAACGCCATTTCAATCGGTAGCTGAGAAATTTGAGCAGTTCGGCAATAATTTTAAGTTTCTGGTGCACATGAAAAATATTAAATTTATTTAACCGCTAAATTAATACCAATACCATTTAAAACCATTCCGGTTTAACGTATTTTGGGGGTTTTGACTCTAACACTTCTTGCGTGACCCGAGAAAACACAGAGAGCCAGCATAAGTGCGACCAAAACACTGCGTTTTGACACCTTCTTGCTGCGCTTCCAAATGAGTGATAGTACAAAGCCAACGAGTGTCCAAATTGGAACTTGGTTGATCCAATAAAACGCTGCGTTTATATATATTTTAATATAAACCATGTTGTTAAATTTGTGATGGTAAGATATGAGTTGTAGAAATCATGTTCCCAAAAAAATCCAAAAATAAAATTTAACGGATAATTTAGTTTTTGGATTACAGCGTCTAAAAAATGTAAGAAAGTATTTTTTGATATCTATTTATTTTATAGAGTTATTTAGCTCCATTAAATACAACTAGGTTCGAATCCGCGATACAGCGCGAAGGAATATTTTTCGGGTTTTATTTTATTTTTAACGTGTTTTATCATTTGTGTTATTATTTCGTATGTTTTAGTATGAACAGTTACTATTTTGAAATGTATATTTGGTTTCAATTATTTGGGAAAGTGTGTATTCGGGAATGAAACAAAAATTTTAAGTAAAACAAATAAAAAACGTGTATTAAAAAAATTACATACTCACAATGCATGTTATGACGAACCAACCCGCAAAGACCCGTATATTTAAAAAAGAACTATATGAAAATATTGAAAAATGGAAATATAATTGAATCATGACATAAAAATGAGTATAATTGAAAAATGAAAAATTTTAAATCCCTATGTAATAGGAGTATAATTATAGCTTTTAAATTTAAAATAGAAGTTATTGCATAAAATAGAAGTTTTGGAAAATTGAATAAGTTAAGGGAAATCTAAACAATTCAGATTCCATGTGTTAAAGATATTTTGATTGATATGTTCCTAAAAGCTTCGATAATGCGTTCCTTATTTTGATTGATATTTTTAATACAAGAACAAATTCCTTATTTGGTGGTTTGGAAGGTCTGGTCGAAAACAACATTACTAATTATAAAGGCCCATATTTGAAGTCCAAACACAATCCTTATTTGGTGGTTTTTAAGGCCTAGTCGAAAACAACACTACTAATTATAAAAGCCCAGAATTGAACTCCAATTGTTTGTACTTTCCTTTTAATATATAGGGGATATTGAAATTGGATTCATGTAAGTTTAATTTTAGTTTTCTTTTCTTTCGTAACTTTAAATTTCAAATTTTGATTCAAAATTTCACATTGATTTTTCTTGTAGGATTCTATATTTTTTTTAAAAAAAATTTAAGTTTTATTTTGAAATAAATACCACAAAAATATGAATCTTTCTTATACATCTTGAAATGGATCATAAATCAATAATAGTAGTAAAAGATGGAAGAATTCTAAAAACAAAAATTATTTTAAGCTATCAAATTTAAGAATATAAACTAATTTTATAATTATTTCCTATTAGTGAAATTTAAAAATATATATGTCAAAGAAAAATAAACTTAATTTTTAATAAAATACATCAAAAAAGTATCTGAAGTGTTTAGTCTTTGAAGATACTTAAATAACAGGCAACAAATATTTACAATAAAAAAAAACAGATATATAAATTTGAAAATACAGAATCATATTTTAATATATTTAATCACAGTACAATAATGTATCTTTAACTAATTAATATAAGTATATAACCCATGCAAAGCTTCTATAAACTGGTATAAAGCCTCGTATGATCTAGGTATCCAACTTAATATCGATAAAGTAAATGCTTCTTACAAAATCCAAAATCTCTAAAGATCAGGTGATCAACTTACTAATATATACATATATCAAACACTAGAGGAAAAAGACCAAAACAAAAGCAGCATAATTTTGTTAAAATAGGTTCGATTGAAAGAGAGCTAAACTATTGCTTACCTGCAAATTGAAGACATTTTTGCACAACTTTTTCTCCTTTAATTTGTAAAAGAAATTAATGTTCAAGCTAGGGAGTGATAAAATTCGAAACAAGAGCGCCATTATCAAGCTAACCGTAAGCAATTTTGATGGTGCTTGAACTAGAATTAGAAGTACTTTTTGAATGATGTTTCCTCTTTGCAGTGCAGAGATATGACCTCGTATACTTTCATTAGTAAGTTTGTGAACAAGTCCTTGATTCACATAGCAAGTAGCGAAAACTTTTGAAGTTGTATTCCCGAGGAGCCTTGCCAGTGTTCTTACTATTAGGTTCTCTTTTGATGTACTCGACAAACTTGTTACCTATCTTGTTCTCCCATGAATACCTTCCCATAGCAAAATTTATTTTCTTCCATAAGTCATTCAAGATTATAAAACCACTATCATAGTGCTCAAATCGGTCACTAGCTTCACGCAAGGATGACAACCTCACAAGAGGGCTCCAAAACATCAAATGGAGCGTACTTTAGATGCACTAAGCATACAAATAACCAAGTGACACATTAGAAATCATATTTTTATCTATGTCATTAAATAAGATGAAATTGGACTCGGAAAAAAACAAGATTATCCGTAAATGAGGATCTTGTTTTAGCATACAAGAGATGAGGTCATGAGCTTCAAAAATATCCCTTACTCGTGAGATATCAAATTGGTTATTCTGGATGTTGCGATCATGATCTTGACCATAACCAAATGGATGCAAACCGTCAGTTGTGGTGTAATATATAATACATCCCACGTTAAACATGTTAACTGGACATGTAGCGTCATACATGTGAAGCGGCTCTGGTGCTCCCCAACCCTTACTACCTTCAGTTTTCATGGATGAGTATTTGAAGAGTGGCTTGAACCTCATTTCATATGCATAATCAACCAAAACACATTCCCTTGCATTTAGACATAAATGATTTTAGAAAGCATTCTCATTATCAACCTAGACCACAACATTGTTATTATTAGAAAGTACCTATATATCCATTTTTGAAGTACATTTTGTACCAAAAACTATTTTGGGCTATAACCTTTTATTTTGTAATATTTGCATAATTAAACCCTTGCCATTTGAATAATAACAAAACTTAAAATTAAATTTTGTAGTTAAATCACAAGCAAAATATAAAATTGGAAACAAATATTTATTACATCAAAAAAAAACTTAAAATCTCTCTCCAATATATTTATTTAATCTTATTTGTTTTTAATTTATATTATTACATAAAACATATGTATGGTAAATATAAAAAAAAATCCGCATATTTTGCAATTTAAAATTTTGAAAACAGATGTATATTACTCAATCAATATAGGAAAAATGTATATACAACGTCTACATAGTAATTCAAAACCATTATAAATATGATTAATATGTTTGCAACTACAAATGAGCAGGGAAGTTTGATTGCTCATGGATCAAATTAAAAAAAATTATTTGGTTTAATCACGTTTTATATTTAAGAAATTTATGGAACATCAAAGGTTGAAATCTAAACTAACCTGATCAATTCATGCACGACGGGTGACAGACAGCCCAAAACTTCGCACTATACTTTTCCATCTAATGGTTCCTCCACATAATCTCTCGTTGATTTGACAAAATTTTAACAAAATTTGATAAGATAATAAGATAATAATATTTTTGAAATTCTCATGTAAATTTATAGTCTCAATAATATCATAAATTAATAATCATTATATATAAATATATTAATGTATCCTATTACGTTTTTATAAAATTATGTTATATTTAAAACTATAATCTTGTAAACTCCATAACATGTCATAAAACTAACCAAAATTTTCTTTATATTTTTCATTTCTAAATATACATTATATTCATTTTTTAGTTTTATAGGATGTTAAAATATAACAAATGAGGCTATTAATCATATATTTGAATTTATGTATATCATCTTAGCTGTTGGGAACTAACCACTTTATTGATCACCAACTGGTGAAAGTTCATAATTTGGTCGAAATTGGTGGTAAAATAAACTTTCGGACATAATATTTTGAGCGGTTAAAACGCGATTTCAATCGGTAGCTGAGAAATTTGAGCGGTTGGACAATAACTTTTAGTTTTGGGTGCGAATGAGAAATTTTAATTTATTTTTAACCGCTAAAATGTTACCAATACCATTTCTAACCATACCAGCGACCGACTTTATTGAAAGAGCGACCAAAACGCTGCGTTTTTGCAAGTGGATACAGATATCGAATCATCAATAAGACACAGACAATAAAAAAGCAATAAGGAATCGCGCGATTGGGGCAGGTAGAGAGAGAGAGAGAACTCGAGAGACGATGAACAAGTCGTGGTAAGATTTTGAGAAAGAAGACGAAGATGGAGAGTATCTGGCGAATCGCTACGGGACAAGATCCGAGCCGTGAAGATTACGAAGGGATCGAGTTCTGGTCCAACCCCGAGCGTTCTGGTTGGCTCACGAAGCAAGGCGATTACATCAAAACCTGGCGCCGCCGCTGGTTCGTTCTCAAACGAGGGAAGCTTCTCTGGTTCAAAGATCAAGCAACTGCTGGGATTCGTGGATCTACGCCGCGTGGTGTGATCTCTGTTGGTGATTGTCTCACCGTGAAAGGAGCTGAGGATGTTGTGAACAAGCCTTTTGCGTTCGAGCTATCTAGTGGTAGCTATACCATGTTCTTCATCGCTGATAACGAGAAGGAGAAAGAAGAGTGGATTAATTCGATTGGGAGGTCGATTGTGCAGCACTCGAGGTCTGTGACGGATTCTGAGGTCCTCGATTACGATCACAGGCAGTGATTTACTTTTTTTCTATCTAAATGTGTGATTTTGTTGTCTCCCTCTCTGGAATGTAACACTCTCTTGTCTTTTAATTATGATGTTATTGTACCCTTGATCTTAATGTATCTATGCCTCAAGTTTCAAATATCGATTCTCTCTTCGTTGTGATTTCTCCCTTGATCAAATTAGTGAGTTCCTCCTTATATGTGGAGCTATCGTGATCTCTTTGCTCAACTTTGATTGATTCAACAAGTGATTGTTGTATTTTTGTGTTTGTTTGAGTCAAAAAGTAGAAGCTTTTCCGGTTTCTGAAGGAGGATTTGGTCTCTTCAATAGTTAGATCAGTACGGTAACATTCCCAGAACATGGTCAACCTTCCCGGATTCTCATTCCATATCACTGGTTTTGGAGATGTGAGATTGATTTATTGAAATGAAGAGAGAGAGAGAGAGAGAGAGAGAGAGATGCAGGACAGTAGCTTTGATTGGTTGTGGATTAAAACTCTTATCATCTCTATCTGCAGACCTTTATAAGTGAAATCTTCTCTTGAAACTGCTTTTTGGTCACCTCAACATTAGGTAGGAATTAGGAGCAATGAGTATCACATGTGGCAAAGTGACACACAAATTCAGCAGGAGAAAGGTTACTAACTTTATTCTTTTGTTATGTATAGATTGATGTTCTTATCAGCAAAAGACGAGGCTGTGGAGGAAAGAACGAAAGGCGTCTGCTGTTAGAGATGAGGAATGCAGAGCTCGTCTTCGTTCCTGCACCAACTGTTTGTCAGCTTGTTCCATTTCTTCAGTTTGCTAGGCGTCTCATTGAGCAGGATGATAGAATCCGTATCATCATCTTCTTGATGAAGCAACAAGGTCAGTCTCTTCTGGAGTCATATGTTAAGACAAATGCCTCGTCTCAGCCCTTTGTTAGACTTATTGATATCCCCGAGTTAGAAGAGAAACTAACCCGTGTTACGCAGTCTGTGGAAGCCTATGTATACGATTTTATTGAGAAAAATACTCCTCTTGTGAGAAATATAATCATAGGTATCTTATCGTCTCCTGCATTTGATGAAGTTACAGTGGAGTCATTGCTGATTTTTTCTGTCTCCCAATGATTGATGTTTGCAAAATATGCAAGTCTCCCTTTTTATGTGTTCTTGACTTCAACTTCCGGATTCCTAGCTATGATGCAGTATCTTGCATATCGACATAAGAAAAATACCTCAGTTTTTGAAAGAACTCTGAAAAAAGGTTTTCGATTCCTGCATTTGAAATCCTGTCCCAGCCAAAGCTCTGTTTACTGAAGACAGTTATGATGCTGACGTTAAATTAGCTATATTGTTTACAAAGGCCAATGGTGAATATCTCCTTTGATATCAATGCGTTTCTGATGAGGAAGGAACTCAAGTTCGCAGTGGAAATGAAATTCGATGACAGGGTGCATAATGGTGAGCTTGTAAGCGAAAACGAGATAGAGACAGCAATTTCTTTTGTAATGAACAAGGATAATAATGATGTGAGGAAAAGAGTGATGGGTATCTCTCAAAATGGTCCATCGAGCTACGAAGAAGGGTGGATCTTCGTTTGCTGCATTTCTTCTGTTAGGGATTTTGTTCAACATTGGGTAGATCTCTTAGCAAGCAGATAATCTAGCATGAACAGTTGGATGAGATAGTTTCATTGCAAATTCGTTGCTACATTGTTATTTCTCTTGCGGATATATTGATGCAGCTTCTAAAGTGTTTACTTTCATCCAGGAGAGGACGTGGTTCTCGTGTAATTCGATGATTACAATTTGCAAGGTTTGTGCAAAAGATCTCTGTAGATACGGATTTGGAGCTGTTTAGGAAGATGGAGCCGGAGCACGTTAAGGCATGCTATGTGACAATGGCTAGGTCTTGTCTGCTTGTGCAAAGGTACATGATCTAGAGTTTCTTCTTCCAATTCTATGCAAAGTTTGATTTTGTTTCACTCTCCTCAGGGTTTTAGCTTAGGTTACTTCAAATGAGTTTAATTGCCCGATTTTTTTTTATAATATATAGTTTTCTTTGATAAAATTAATTAGGCTAATACTTATAGTACTAATTTCTTTTATTGGACTATATATATTCGATAGTAATCAATAATACCTTAGAAAAAGGGTCAATTTAGTAATAATAATAACATCAATATATTTTGTGGTTTGAGTCTGAGATATGAAGTTATCTTTGGTTGTGGTTCCCACACCATTATTAAAGAGATCTTTCCTCTCGAGCTTGCCAAGGGCCACCTCAACGTTAGGTAGGAGAGGGACGCATCACTAATCATTAACCATCACATGTTCACAAAAGTCTACATTGAGCTATAAACTAATTCTCTTCTTTGATATGTAGATTGAAGTTGGAAAAATCAAAAAGCTATCTGTTGTTTTATCAAGATATGAGGAACGCAGAGCTCATCTTCATCCCAACACCTACCGTTGGCCATCTTGTCCCGTTTATTGAATTTGCTAGGCGTCTCATTGAGCAGGATGATAGGATCCGTATCACCATCCTCTTAATGAAGCTACAAGGTCAGTCTCATCTGGACAGTTTTGTCAAATCAGTTGCCTCGTCTCTTCAGTTTGTTAGATTCATTGATGTCCCTGAGTTAGAGGAGAAACCTACACTTAGTACTACACAGTGTGTGGAAGCTTATTTATATGATGTTATTGAGAGAAATATCCCTCTTGTGAGAAAGATAGTCATGGATATATTGACTTCTCTTGCGTTGGACGGAGTTACCGTCAAGGGACTAGTTGCTGATCTTTTCTGTCTCCCCATGATTGATGTTGCAAAAGATGCAAGTCTCCCATTTTATGTGTTCTTGACTACAAATTCTGGGTTCCTAGCTATGATGAAGTATCTTGCAGATCGACATTGTAAAGATACCTCGGTTTTTGTTAAGGATTGTGGAGAAATGTTGTCGATTCCTGGCTTTGTGAACCCTGTTCCAACTAAAGTTTTGCCGTCAGCTCTGTTTCTTGAAGACGGTTATGATGCTTATGTAAAGCTTGCCATATTGTTTACCAAGGCTAAGGGAGTCCTAGTGAATACCTCCTTTGATATTGAGCCTTACTCTGTGGATCACTTTCATCATGAGGAGAACTACCCTTCTGTTTATGCTGTTGGCCCCATATTTAACCCGAATACCCTTCCTCATCCTGATGAGGACCTCGCCCTTCGTGCCGAGTTGATGAAATGGCTTGATGATCAGCCTGAAGCATCGGTTGTTTTTCTTTGTTTTGGGAGTATGGGCAGGTTAAGAGGTTCTCTAGTGAAGGAAATAGCACATGGACTTGAGCTATGTCAGTACAGATTCATCTGGTCATTCCGCACAGAAGAAGGGACAAACGATGAAATTTTGCCCGAGGGATTCCTTGACCGAGTCAGTGGACGGGGGATAATATGTGGTTGGTCTCCGCAGGTGGAGATATTGGCTCATAAGGCAGTGGGAGGTTTCATGTCTCACTGTGGATGGAACTCAACAGTAGAGAGTTTATGGTTTGGTGTGCCAATAGTGACATGGCCAATGTATGCAGAGCAACAGCTCAATGCGTTTCTGATGGTGAAGGAACTGAAGCTCGCAGTGGAGATGAAGCTTGATTACAGGGTACATAGCAATGAACTAGTAAGTGCAAACGAGATAGAGACAGCGATTCGTTGTGTAATGAACAAGGATAATAATGTTTTGAGAAAGCGAGTCATGGATATCTCCAAGATGGCGCAAGAAGCTACCTTCAATGGTGGATCTTCTTATTTGGCTATTGAGAAGTTCATACAGGACGTGACAGGAACAAAGCCTTAGCCTTTTCTTATCCACAAGCTGTAACGTTATCTTACGCTAAAACTTGGTTCTTTAGTTAGCTGCAAATGAATTTTGTTCGTATGATACGAAATAAACAGCAAACGAAATCTGGAGTTTGTGGAAGTAATTGCATTTTCTATCATGTATTTCGTGGATCACCTATTTATAAATACATTGATTGTAACTAGGGTCTCTAGAAGTGAGCATGGCGCTATTTGGGAAAAAGAAGAAACATGCTTCGTTGGTTCGGCCATGACTTTGGTAATAGTCGTTCATCAAATACGACGCATGGCTTATTGTGGTATTGGGCTTAAAACATGCTCCACTTGGTAGGATTGGTCTACAGTCAATCCCATTACTGCATGCAAAATTGATGTTATCTTCTAGCTGCTCGTCCTTGGCCGTCTGCATTGATACACACCATTGTTTTAAGCTTGCCACGGGAAGATGATTGATCATGATGGATGATAGGAGGATTACAATGAGCGACAACAACGGCGACATGCTTTTTGCCATCTATTAAAAATACAAATATATCTAATAATTAAGCTTTTTGGTAATAGTGAAGTGATGATTTCTAATGAAGAGAGGTGGTTTATATTTATACTAGAGTTATGTACGAAAGGTATGAGATAAAAGACTTACATAACATATTAGAAAGATTTATAAAATAATAACGTACGTATCGGTAGAAAAGGGAAGACGAGAAAATAAGGTAACGTATAACTTATTCATAAATAAAAAAAATTGTAGGATATATATATATATATATATGTCTACTCTAATAAATTCCAACGTTATTCAAATATAGTTGCATATATTTTGGTCAAATAAATCTTCCGCTTACATACTCTAATATAATACGGTTCAAAGAGTATTTGTAAAATTATAGTCATAAACGTCATGAGTATTTGTAAGAAAATTTAATGATCCGACTTTAGGAAATTTTATTTTAAAATTATAACAAAATTTTAACAGTATTTTTAACAAATTATAAAATTTTAATGATCCAACACTATATATGAGCTAGCTGGCCCTGCATTCCTCTATATAGTGTTGTACAATTTTATTTTATACTTCTAAATACCAAATCCCACCCTAATGATTAGGGAAACCTCCAACCGCAACAAGAAAATATTGCCATGAAAAAAAGTCAGAGCTCATTTCGAATATATCTTGTGGTTTTTCATAATTATATAATTGGTTTTTCAAAAATATTAGGGTTGTGAATTATTCAGTTTTTGATAATGGAATTGTGGAGTTTGTTCCTTTTACCACGTTACATGTAGATCACATATCAAAACAAAATACATATTTCTAGGACCTAAAGACACAACCACCATAACTAGGATTTATAGTAGTGAACATGCCGGTGTTGCCGAAAATGAAATTGCATGCTTCTGTAGTGCGGCCATGGCTTTGGTAATAAGCGTTCATCACATATGATGCATGGTTTATGAGAGTATTAGGGCTAAAGCATGATCCACCTGATCGAATTTGACTACAATCAACACCTTGACTGCATCCAAAATTGATATTTGCTTGTAGTTGCACATTCGTTGACGCCGTATTTGCTACACACCATTTTGTGGAGATTGCTATGGGAAAATAGTGAATCATGATGATAGAAGATATGAAGATAAATTGGAGATTTAACATCCGTGACATTTTTGCTTAAAAAAATGAAAATTCAGTCTCAATGATTTATATTTTAGATATTTATGTGAGTCTTATATGTGTCCATATATATATGTGTCCATATTTATATACTAAATCAAATAATTCTGCTAATATATTTCAAATTTTACTTTTACTACCATTGTTTTGAACAAAATGAAGAAATTATAGAAGAAAATCTTATAGAGCATGTATATACTATTTTCAAGATTTTGTTTATAAAAGAGACATCACTAGCTATAGTCAAAAAACTCAAAATGACTATTAAATATAGAATTATGCAAATAGTAAATAGGAATAGTAAATTTGAGGGGTAAACAAAAATACTCTTCTAAATTGGGAAACCCAAATCAATATCTAATGAAACAATCCATGATCACTCAACGAATACGTCTTTATATTTCGGCTATTTTTGTAGGACATGTGTATACCATATGCTAGCTATATCTTTTTTTTTAAACTAAATTTTGATGTTTCGTCTTACGTGAGAACAATAATGTTTGTTACATGTCCTTTGCCTAATCAAGACTTCACTTGTCGTGTTAGTTTGATTGAAAGGCTTGCTGACCAACCTAAGGCTTTGGTATGTATTTATCTTCCTTGTTTAAAATTTGAAAATTGAGAAAGCTCCTCAAGTGAAGTTGTGGCTACAAGTTCTTATGATCACTCCCGACAGTCACATACAACACAATATATAGAAGGCAGAATCTTGATGATCTGACATGATGCCTAAGACATTAGCCTCAACAGTTCAATCCGTTTAAGCTCCCATCCTTCTAACGAAAGGTCCATGGAGTCCTACGAAAACCATCTCGTTATTTTCGTTTGTTGCGGTTAAATGTTTTGTTGAAGACTTGATCGGTGATGGTTGCTAAGCTTATTGAAAATGTCATCGTATCACATAATTTATGCTTGCTCTCCCGAGTCTCAACTCTCAAGTACTCGTGGTAGCCACGCTTCGACTCAGAACATGATTCGAAAAGATTTTGTATAAGGTTTTCTCTTTTCTAAATTGCCATTTTTTAGTCTATTTGTTTAGACTTTTTTTTTTTTTTTTAAATTTCCCACCAATGTGTTTAAAACCAAATTAAATCCAATCGAATGGCTGAAACAGTCACTAGATGAGTAGATGTTGTAATTAACTATATATCCCAAAACCAATAGAACATGTTTCACATGACTGTCGTAAGTGATCCATTTACCTAAGTTCACATATGCATTGATGTTGATGTTCAATAATAATACATGTTGTAGTTTTTTGTTTGTTTGCATGTACTAAAAATTTAACTATTTGCCTGTCTATATCATAATAATAATACATGTTGGATTTAAATATAGCTATTTGCCTGTCTTTAAAAGTAGCTAACAATAAGCATCAACACATACAAAACACAACTTTCTAGAAAAAAACAGCTTTGCACAATCTCAGTTTCATTTTGATTTTGTCATTTTCCTTATTGACTTTTGAGTTTCTCAGAACACAATGGGGAACCAAGAAGCAGAGCTCGTCATCATCCCTCACCCGTTCTCCGGACATATTCTCGCAACCATCGAACTGGCGAAACGTCTCATCAGTCAAGACAATCCTCGGATCCACACCATCACCATCCTCTACTGGGGACTACCCTTTATTCCTCAAGCTGACACGATCGCCTTCCTCCAGTCCCTAGTCAAAAATGAGCCACGTATCCGTCTCGTTACCTTGCCCGACGTCGAGAACCCTCCACCGATGGAGCTCTTCTTGGAAGCAGCTGAAGCTTACATTCTTGAATACGTCAAGAAGATGGTTCCCATCGTGAGGGATGGTCTCTCCACTCTCTTGTCTTCTCGTGACGAATCTGATCCAGTTCGCGTGGCGGGATTGGTTCTTGATTTCTTCTGCGTCCCCATGATTGATGTTGGAAACGAGTTCAACCTCCCTTCTTACATTTTCTTGACGTGCAGCGCAGGTTTCTTGGGTATGATGAAGTATCTCCCAGAGAGACACAGCGAAACCAACTCAGAGTTTAACCGGAGCTCTAACGAGGAGTTAAACCGGGTTCCTGGTTTTGTCAACTCTGTTCCTACCAAGGTTTTGCCGTCAGGTCTGTTCATGAAAGAGACTTACGAGCCTTGGGTCGTGCTAGCAGAGAGGTTTCCTGAAGCTAAGGGTATCTTAGTAAATTCATTCACGTCTTTAGAGCCAAACGCTTTTGAATATTTTGATGGTTGTCCGGATAATTACCCACCCGTTTACCCAATCGGGCCGATACTCTGCTCCAACGATCGTCCGAATCTGGACTCATCGGAACGAGACCGGATCATAACATGGCTCGATGATCAGACAGAGTCATCGGTTGTGTTCCTTTGCTTCGGGAGCTTGAAGAATATTTCTCAGACACAGATCAAAGAGATCGCTCAAGCCTTGGAGCTCGTTGACTGCAAATTCCTCTGGTCAATAAGAACCGACCCGAAAGAGTACTCGAGCCCGTACGAAGCTTTACCAGACGGGTTCATGGACCGGGTTATGGATCAAGGTCTTGTTTGTGGTTGGGCTCCTCAAGTTGAGATTCTGGCCCATAAAGCAATCGGAGGGTTCGTGTCTCACTGCGGTTGGAACTCTATTTTGGAGAGTTTGGGTTACGGCGTTCCCATCGCCACGTGGCCGATGTACGCGGAACAGCAGCTAAACGCGTTCACGATGGTGAAGGAGCTTGGTATCGCATTGGAGATGCGGTTGGATTACGTGTCGGAAGATGGACATATAGTGAAAGCTGATGAGATCGCAGAAACCGTACGATCTTTGATGGACGGTGAGGATCGTGCGCTGAAGAATACAGTGGAGGAGATTGCTAATGCGGGAAAAGTGGCTGTGATGGACGGTGGATCTTCGTTTGCTGCGATTAAAAGATTTATCGGTGATTTGATCATCGGCGATGGTTTGTAGAAACGTCGTAGTTTCACTTGGCGTGTGGTGACCATGATGCTCGGCTCAGATTCCTTTGTTCGTTATTAAATAATAGAAGACTGAGTCTTCTTACAAGTATTTTCACCAGTTCCATGTTTTGTAAAGGAGTCAACGATTCCATTATTTGCTTCCACGTAATGTTGTATACTTGTATCATCTCATATTTAAGGATCAAAAACGAGTTATTCGGTTGTTAGTATAAGTGTATCAAATTAAAATATGATTAGGGACGGTAGATGTGATTGAAAACACGTACATACGATGATAAAAACTCATTAAAAAAAAAAGATTCCAAAACGCCAAGAAATATATTAATCTTTTGTGATTACGTAGGCTGTTGGAATCACTCTAGTTGACTTATAAAAAATGAAAACATAAAAATGTGGTTTATGATTTAAAATATGTAAATTTCTACTTTTCTGCACATCAGCACATTGTGTATGTATAATGTATGGGAAATTATCATTATGTTTCTTCGGTTGACAAAAAAAACAAAAAATTATCATTATGTTTCTTCAAAAATCAATGAGGTTTTTGGTTCATATATTAATAAGAGTCCCTATTAATAATTGCGTTTTTCTCATAGCAAAATAGTTGGTAATTAATGTATTCGTTTTTATTCGTTTTTCGAAACATAAGTTATAGTATGTGATTTTTATGATATTTTTTATTATATTTATCGTTTGACTAATAGTTATCCGTTCTTTTTGTATCATTTTTATATAATTTATAAAAATTCCAAATAAAAACAAAAAACGAGATTGAAAACAAATGGGTATATTCATATATATGTATATAAAAATATGGTACATTTAGCTACAAATTAAAACAAAATTTGCCTCTAATCATTCTAGCAAATTATGGAGTTAGCTATCAAGTTACAACCAGATAATTTTGAATTTTCAAGACAATTTGATGGAATTTAGTGAAATATTGTCGCTCATAAGAATTTTGCTACTATATAATTTGTAGAACAAAAAAATGTAAGTACAGACACAACAAATATGGCTATCTTCTCCACAGCACAACCTCTCTCTCTGCCACGTCACCCAACCTTCTCCGGTCCAAATCAACCAACAACCAATAACGAACGCTCCCGCCATACTATATCTCTGATCGACCGATGTTCAAATCTTCGACAGCTGAAGCAAACCCATGCTCACATGATCCGTACCGGTACGTTTTCTGATCCTTACTCAGCTAGCAAGCTCTTCGCAATCGCTGCGCTCTCTTCCTTCGCCAGCCTCGAGTATGCACGCAAGGTGTTTGACGAAATTCCTCAACCAAATTCTTTTACTTGGAACACCCTCATACGTGCTTACGCTTCTGGACCTGACCCTGTTCGTAGCATCTGGATTTTCTTGGATATGGTTTCGGAGAGCCAGTGTTACCCGAATAAGTATACTTTCCCTTTCCTTGTCAAGGCTGCTGCAGAAGTTTCATCTTTGTCTTTGGGTCAATCTCTTCATGGGATGGCTATTAAGTCAGCTGTTGGATGTGATCTTTTCGTTGCTAATTCTTTGATACATTGTTATTTCTCCTGCGGGGATTTAGATTCGGCTTGTAAAGTGTTTACTACAATCAAAGAAAAAGACGTTGTTTCTTGGAATTCAATGATTAATGGGTTTGTACAAAAGGGTTCTCCAGATAAGGCTTTGGAGCTTTTTAAAAAGATGGAGTCAGAGGACGTTAAGGCAAGTCATGTGACAATGGTTGGTGTCTTGTCTGCTTGTACAAAGTTACGGAATCTAGAGTTTGGGAGGCAGGTTTGTTCTTTTATCGAAGAAAACAGGGTCAACGTGAACATGACATTGGCTAATGCGATGCTTGATATGTACACTAAGTGTGGAAGCATAGAGGAAGCAAAAAGATTGTTTGATACAATGGAGGAGAAAGATAACGTTACATTTACAACAATGCTTGATGGGTATGCTATTTCAGAAGACTACGAAGCAGCTAGAGAGGTTCTTAACTCTATGCCTAAGAAAGACATTGTTGCGTGGAATGCTCTTATATCCGCATATGAGCAGAATGGTAAACCTAATGAGGCACTGCTAGTGTTCCATGAGCTGCAACTTCAGAAGAACATAAAGCTGAACCAGATCACCTTGGTAAGTACTTTATCAGCTTGTGCCCAGGTAGGGGCACTGGAGTTAGGTAGATGGATCCATAGCTACATCAAAAAGCATGGCATTAGGATGAATTTTTATATTACAAGCGCATTGATTCATATGTATTCGAAATGCGGAGATCTTGAAAAGGCCCGTGAAGTGTTTAATTGTGTAGAGAAGAGAGATGTGTTTGTGTGGAGTGCGATGATTGGTGGCCTGGCAATGCACGGATGTGGAAATGAAGCTGTTGATATGTTTTATAAAATGCAAGAGGAGAATGTAAAGCCAAATGGTGTGACCTTCACCAATTTATTCTGTGCTTGTAGTCATACCGGTTTGGTGGATGAAGCTGAGTCTTTATTCCACAAAATGGGATCGAGTTATGGTATTGTCCCTGAGGAAAAGCATTATGCTTGCATAGTTGATGTTCTCGGCCGTTCGGGTTATCTGGAAAAAGCTGTGAAGTTCATTGAGGCGATGCCGATTCCTCCAAGTACGTCGGTTTGGGGAGCGCTTCTAGGAGCTTGTAAGATCCATGCCAATCTCAGTCTTGCTGAAATGGCTTGTACCCGTTTGCTTGAACTGGAACCTAGGAACGATGGCGCGCACGTGCTCCTTTCAAACATATATGCTAAATCTGGGAAGTGGGAAAACGTTTCTGAGCTGAGAAAGCACATGAGAGTCACTGGACTGAAGAAAGAACCAGGATGCAGCTCAATTGAAATCGATGGCATGATTCATGAGTTTCTCTCTGGAGATAACGCCCACCCGATGTCTGAGAAGGTTTACGGGAAGTTACACGAGGTTATGGAGAAATTGAAATCGAATGGTTACGAGCCAGAGATGTCACAGGTTCTGCAGATCATTGAGGATGAAGAAATGAAGGAACAATCTCTGAACCTCCACAGCGAGAAGCTGGCGATTTGTTATGGACTGATATCAACAGAGGCTCCGAAGACGATCCGAGTAATCAAGAATCTGAGGGTGTGTGGAGATTGTCATTCAGTTGCTAAACTAATATCTCAGCTCTACGATAGAGAAATAATCGTCAGAGACCGGTATCGGTTTCACCATTTCAGAAATGGGCAGTGTTCCTGTAACGATTTCTGGTGAAATTTCAAATTTTGTGTTTGTTCCTGTAACTTTTTGTGACTTGAGTGCACAGTTTTTTGTAATCACTATCAAAATAACCATAGCCACCGGTTAAACGAACTGGTTCTGTTTTGCCCCCAGGCCTTCTTCACGTCACTGTACCAGGATTTCATATTGCTCATATACTCAAAACAGAGTGCGAGTATTTTTTTCGTGTGAAACAGAGAACAAATCATTTGGGCTGATACAAATGTTACATATAGCAAAAATAATATCTTCTCTTTGTCTATTCTATACAGATAGCTTCGGGACTTTGTGATTACTGCAGTCCAAAAGTTCAAAACCACTGGTTAGCAAAATTTATGTGTTTTGCGTCATCTCTTAACCAAGATTTCATATTTGCTCACTCATATGGTAGAAGCAGAATAGGTTTCGTTAAATCTGATTGTGATTACTAGCAGAAGATAGCCAAGTAAAGATGCATTACAGCAAGTTTCGTAAGAACTTTTGTACAAAGGCTAAAACAAGAAATGGCCTACGCATCTACAAAGAAATCTACTAGCTCAAGGCTAATTCTGTAAGAGTATTCACACTCTGCACAAAGATAAGAAGAACGAGTTACTCTTTAACGTGTCAGACATAGCAGCTTCTGCACCACTTCTTGCTTCATATTTGCTCTCATATCAACAAGCTCCTAAAAACAGCAGATGTAATACAAAGTTCCTTCACCTGCAAGTTAATGAAAACCTAATTAATACCTGATGCTAAAACAAAAATGTCATAATATCATCATCAATAGTCCATGCACATACCTTCAACAGCGAGAAAGCATCAAAACGTAACAGGGCAACAAAGATCAATGGAAGGTGACTTGACGGATTTAAGCACACGCCACATTGATACGGTCTTGCCCCGAGTAGGACTCGATTGACGCCTTTCTAACGAGATCTCAACGCACCAAACATCTATACGACCATACGTAACGTTCGTAGGTCCCAAAACCATCAACTTCCCACTAACATTCGCCAATTTACACTCGCGATAATTGAGGTTTGGCAAAAATTAAACACCAATCACAGGTTCCCAAAACATGTCACTGGGATCACATTCCAATAAAAAGTTTCTAACAGAACACGGACTTATGGAATACAGCATATCCTCAACCACACAACACTCTTTGTGCCACCTCCGATGAATCCCAATTCCCAGATCCTGCAATAAACCATGCCTAGGTTCATAAGTCAAATAAGTCTGAGGATCCTTAATGTATATCTTCTCTTGGATCACCACATATGCCAAAAAGTTACAAGTATATAACGGGTCTGGACCAGCCACTGGCACACTACTCCATATCTGAGTCTCTCTATCGAACACCTCGATCCAATTATAACCACTCATAGGGCCATCGCAACCTCCGATGACATAAATCTTTCCGTCAAATACTCCGGCAGCTGGACGGTGGCGACGCTTCTGCATGCTCGGGAGCGAGCTACACGTATGGAATCTGCAATCGATGAGAAAAAAATCGGATGTGTATCGAGATCGTCCGTCGTCTCCACCGATCACATACATCTCGTATCCTATTGTGACCACAGCAGATCCAAGATTCATAGGAGGAAGTGATCTAACTTCGCTCAGTCGTAAAGAGATCTTTCTTGGAGCGTTACGGTTGAGAATGTACCAGCTGTTGCGAGGGGAACCGATCGAAGCGTACAGAACCGGTTCGCTTATTCCGAGTTGCAACCGGCTTTGGTAGAGTATCGGCGAAGCGACGACGTTACGAAAGGAACCGGAGAAGAGAGATAGCTTCGGGTAATGACATCTCTTGACGCGTAAGAGGATCCTTTCGGCGAGTCCTTCTGGGATGTGTTGAGTAACCGGAGCAAGATTCTCTTCTTCTTGCGGTTTCTTGTTTGAGACGTCGTCGGAAGTTTCAGAGATAATAGCCATCGCCGTCGCAGTGTGAAGTCTTCTGAAGCAACGAATTAACTGAAAGGGAGAAGACTAAACGTAGATTTTTTTAAAGAAGCTGTTTACGTTCGTTATGTTTTTATATATAGTGAGTACGTAAAATAATATATATTCTCTCATTTCATTTTTCCTTTCCTCTTTAAACTCGTTTTCAAAAAGATTATTAGAAAAAATATATATCAATAATATTAACGAAAATATTACAATGACTTTAAAGGTTAACCAATTGTGCCAAAGCTAAAGTCATTCAAATATCAAAGTCCAAAGTCATTACAACAACAAAATATTATTCATTTTATTTTTGTTTAATTTAACATTATTCGATTATTTTCCTAAACACTACCATTTGATCTTCACGATAATAAATTACTAAAATTAATTTTAATATATCTTAGTTTAGTGACTTGGACCTACTCTCTACTCTCTTCACATATCTCTGATTTCATATGGCTCATGTACTTGATCGAAACCACAGTGTGAGTCTTTTTAGTGTTAAAAATAAGATTTCGGGTTACATACAAATAATATTATCGTCTCTCTGTATATATAGCCTCAAGACTTTGTATGTTCTCACTTTGATTATTAACCAAAATAAATCTCTTTGTTTTAATTTGCTTCATCTCCAATCCAAACCAAGTATTCATATTGCTTCATAATATATTGTAAAAGCAGATTAGGTTTCGTTGAATCTTATTGTGATTACTTCAGTACTGAAGAGTTGTATATCTCACAAAACAGAAAGAACCAGAAACTAGCTATAAACCAAAGATGCATTATTTCAACAAGTCTCCTAATAAGAATCTTATTGCAAAGAGTGGCCAACTCCACACAAGGCCTATTCTGTTAAGAGTGATCACATTTTTACACAAAGGCTAAGAAGGAAGACTATTTACTTTCTATAGGGTGTGAGAGATTAGAGATATAACAGCTTCTCTGAACCACTTTTGCTCTCATATCAACAAGCTTCTCAAACCGTAGATGTAATAAAAGATCCGTCACCTGCAAGTTATGAAAACCCTAAATAAGACTCGAGGGTGCAGAAAATGTCATATAATCATATATATCATCATCAATAGTCGATGCTCATGAATGATTAACATACCTTCAACTGCAAGAAACCATCCCACGAACCATCAAAACGTAACAGAGCGACAAAGATCAATGGAAAGCGAGTCCATGGATTTAAGCACTAGCGATCTTGATGCAACCTCCCCCCAAACCTCACCTCCTTCACGTCTTTCTACTGTAATCTCTATGCGCCAAACATGTTTAGAACCATATTCGTTGGAAGTTGTTTGTGCAAGGGGGGAGCAGCTACAATAATGATACGAGATTTTTGGGACGATACGAAACAATTTTCTTTATTAGCTTTTGCGGAAAATCCGAAGTTACAAAGAGAGAAGTCTCGCCGCGGCAGTTATAGACTATCTGCCGAGCTGAGAACCTAATACGAAACAGAAGGGCAAAATCACGAGAAAGAGAGTCGCGGCGGGAATCTCGGGCTAGGGCGAGTTCGGGCGCGACACGATTCTCAGTCTGGTGGATAATAACCTCCGGACCGATCCTTGTTCCAAACAGTGGTTTAATGTATTTATAGTTGCACAGAAACCTAGAAGCTCTTTGTGTCTCCTTGGCGAATGACGGTTTTACCCCTGCGAAGGTGCTGGTCCTATTTTTGGGTGAAAGGCTTCATTAATTGACATATCTTGTTTTATGGACCTTCTAATTTGGAAAGGGCAAGGCCCATATCCAACAATAGTCCCCCCCTTTAGTCCGATTTGCGAGAGTCTTCTTGAGCCTGACGGGCTGGTTCCGGGCGTAGGCTAGTTGGTCGTAAAACAAGATGGGCAAGTTTGCGAAGACTTTGAATTGCCTTGCTGCATACTTAGAGCATCAAATCTTCTTGTGATGTCTTGACGCGTTTTTTTGGAGAGTGCGGGTCGTTCTCGGGATGACTTGTGACTTGGCACGCTTTCCGAGAAGAACGGATCATTATCGGGATGAATAGTGACTTGGCACGTTTTCCGAGAAGAGCGGATCATTCTCGGGATGAATAGTGACTTGGCACGTTTTCCGAGAAGAGTGGATCATTCTCGGGATGAATAGCGACTCGGCACGTTTTCCGAGAAGAGCGGATCATTCTCGGGATGAATAGTGACTTGGCACGTTTTCCGAGAAAAGCGGATCATTCTCGGGATGAATAGTGACTTGGCACGTTTTCCGAGAAGAGCGGATCATTCTCGGGATGAATAGTGACTTGGCACGTTTTCCGAGAAGAGCGGATCATTCTCGGGATGAATAGTGACTTGGCACGTTTTCCGAGAAGAGCGGATCATTCTCGGGATGAATAGTGACTTGGCACGTTTTCCGAGAAGAACGGATCATTCTCGGGATGATTCGGGACTTGGCACGCTTCACGAGGCGCGGGAGCTAGGTTCATGGTAAAAATTAGGTCATGTGTTTTTACCTCGGTAAACGCGCTGGGTCCCCCACTATATATATGTCTCCTCCATTATTTTTTTACTCTTTCACTTCTCCACTTTTGCAAAAGGTAAAGTCTTTCTCCTCTTTCTCTCTCTCTTCTTCTTTGTTTTAATTTTGATTTGGTTTGGTCGTATGCTCCTTTCTTCGAATCTTCTTTGTTTTGTTGTGATGTGGTCTACGATTTGTGTTTGGCTTGGATTTTCTCTCGGATTTTTCTTCCCACATTGAAGCTTATCAAGCAACAACAATATCTCTCCTCTTCAACTTGTCTTGACTTCGGGGTTCAAAGCGCAAAGAGCCTCGAGCTCCTCCCTCTTGCCTAGTTCGGATTGTCCTCTCCGCTCTAGATCCACGGCGAGCTCGCCGTCCTGAGACCAGCGGAAGCGTGATGATACTGTGGCGAACTTGATCTCGGCGGATCTTGGTGCTTTAACGCCGTGCCGCAGCGGGGTCGTGACGAAGGGTTGACGCGACGCTGCCGAGACGGACTTGCGATGGGGCGAGGTCGGGGCTGCGCCGTGACGAGGCGGCGCGGTTAATGCCTTGGCCGTGGTAGACCTTTAGTTTGACGACACGGCGCCGAGGTGAGTTTCTGCCGAAACGGGCTGCTTTTGATCTAGATCGGAGTTGAAATGCCGTGTGAGTCCGTCGTGTCGAAGCTATAGCGGTTTTTGGTCGCGGCGACGTGTTGCCGCGGCGAGCTCCTAGCGCCGTAGCGAGGTGTTCCCGTGGCGAGCTCCAAGTGCCGTGGCGAGTTTTCGATGGACCGAGGTTGGAGCCGTGCCGCGGCGGGGCTTCCGGAATGAGGTACCGTCGAAATGAGGCGTCGTCGAGACGGGCTGCGGTGAGTCGCTTCCGAGATGAGAGGTGATTGCATCGTGGCAAAGTGCGACAAAGGGAGACGGTGTCGTGCCGAGCCTTCATTGCCGAGGTGGAATGTTGGTGCCGTTGGAACTGGGCCGCGCCGCCGAGATGGGCCATGACGGGGGTGCGTAAACTTTGTGCCGCGACGGAGCTGCCGTGCCGGAAGATGAGGTGGCCGCGCCCGTTGCTTTGTCTTGGAGAAGTTGTGACGAGATAGAATATATGATCCGGCTGCGGCGGGACTTGGTCAATGATCTTTTAAAATGCCGGGGTCGTTGTGAAGTCTTGGCCGCGGCGATACTTGGCGTGGCGAAATGGCGTCGAAGGGACCGCGATGGGGTCGTGTTACCGAGCCGGAACTTCATCGAGTTGAGTTCGAACCGTCATGCCAATTTCGTCACGTCTCGTGAAAAGGTTGCTTCTGACCGGAATTCGAAACCATGGATTTGGCGGGATACGAAAGTTTTGAGACACTTCTCGACTTCTAGATTTTGATACGGTCCTTGGTTACTTTTGCAAGGTATCGATGTCTCAGTTCGCGGGAAATCATGTCGGTGGAGTCGATCCGTTTGATGGCGTTCCGGACGAGCTGCAAAGAGACGACTATCGCCAACTTGAACGTGGATTTGCGGATGATTATGGTGGGACTCACGCCGCCTGGCGTGGCTTCAGTGGTTCCGAAGAGACTCTCGGAGACTTAACGGAGGAGGACGTGCGCAATCTCGATGGATTGCTTCCTTCGTGCAGCAATGGGGGCACACTAGTTCCCGGGGAGCCAAGTACTCGCCGTGGAAAGGTGTTTGAAGATGTTGTCGGTTCGAGTTCGAGAAATCCTCATCGGTCTATAGTTTCGGGTTTGAGAGCTTCCAGTGCGGTCCCCGAAGATGGGAGAGTTGAGCCCACGTTGGATGATGGTATGGCCAATGTTCTCGATCGTCGAGATAAGGGAAAATCTCTCAGCACAGAAAAATCCGTGTTTGACATGTTTGAGGCGTGCGGGATAGAACCGGGGATTGAGATTCTGATCCCAAAATCGCGTCGTCGCCCATGGGATGCTCCGGAGGGGTATATTTGCCTTTACGAAGATTTCTTTTCGGATTGCGGTCTTTGGTTTCCACTCCCGCAGTTTCTTGCGAGTTACTGTGCTCGTCGGGAGATAGCATTTTCTCAACTCACCGTGGCTTCTGTTCGGAACGCGGTGGGTCTCGCAATCCTTGCCGCCGCGGTAGGTGTTGTCGTGGACTTAGATCTTTTTGAAGAGTTTACCAAGTACCTGTTTGGAAAAGAGAATCCGGGCATGTGCTGCGCTAGTTCGAGGCCGGGTTTCAGAATTGTCGATGGTGCTGCAAGCAAAGTTCGCAGGTGGCGCAAGTATTATTTTTTGTGAAAGTAACCGAGCTTTCCGTCGAAGATCTCAGCTTGCCATATGCTAGGACGTGGAACCTAGATCGCGGTAGTTCTTAGTTGGTCCGGAATCGTGTGATCTAATCGGTATTCTTATGTTGATTTTGCAGGAAAGTTTGGGTCGACGGCAGAGGATACCGAAGACTTTCGAGCGAGAGTTGCAGCGGTGAAGGCGAGAAGGACCTTGTGGTGGCCGGATATACTTAATCATTTCAACACTTGTGAGTTTCTTATCTTTGTTTCGTTTCCTTGTATTTCGATTCGTATTTCGTTTCTTACAACGTAACATGTTGCAGGTTCTCGGTCTTGTCTTAGGATGGGTGATTGTGAGATTCCTGATTATGCCGATCAATTCGACGGAGACGGCACGCAGGTCGACGAGCCGCAGATCGAGCTTGGCCCTATGATGTTACCCAACGCTTCATTTCAGTGCGGTTTTGGGAATGACGCTCCGGTTGGTGACGTGGACGTGGCGGTGGAGACCACGGATGCTGCTGCGCCTGCTGACGATCGTGACGCCTTGCGCCGGGCTAGATCTGAGGAAGTGAAGGCTGCACGCGACGGGAAGAAGGTTTCGAGATCCGCAAGTGGTAGTGCTCCGCCATCGTCCGGTCGAGGAGATACGTCTCGGAAGAGGAGCTCGCGTGGAAGTCCTGGCGGAGGTTCGAGTGTTCGCCGGGAGGCTAGGCGCGAGGAGCCCATTCGTGAGATCGCCGAAGGAGTTGACCATTCATTCTCCTTCAACTATGGTCGGAGGGATCGGATGTTTTTCACTCATGGAGCTGCATGTGCTGATCTTGCTAGCAAGGTTCGCGGAGACTTTGCTGAGTTTCCCGCTGTTGACTCTCTCTGCGGGAGGGAGCTTTACGAGGATTGGGCTTCTCGCTCTTTTCAGGTTTGTGTCTTGTTTCTGTTTCTAACCTACTTGCTTTCATTAAGTGTAGTTTATGAGATTTTCGTTTCTGCAGGCGATGAGTCAGACCAACCGTTTGGTTGGTTTCTACGAGGAGCAGTGTCGTGCCGCGGCGAGAGACTCTGACTCGGCGAAGGCTGCTGCTGAGGCTTCGGATCGTTCTGCACAGAGCCACTTGAGGAACTACAATTCGGAGAAGAGCAGGTGCGCTGATCTTACGAGGCAGCTCAAGGATAAGAAGAAGCAGTATCTTTCCGATACCGATAGGCTGAGGAGGGCCCGTGATGAGAGTGCCGCGGCCGAGCGTCATAGGGTTGCTGGAGAGATTCACGAGTACCGTACCCGTATCTATAGGATGGGGAGACACATCGTGGGACTTCGTGAGAAGAAGAAGCCTCTGTTGATGCTTAGTCAGGTTTCGGGCATGGAGAAGTGTCTTAAGAAAATGGTGATAAATGGTACGCACATTCCTCTGCGGAACTTGCCTCAGGTTGAACAGGACCACATTCAGTGGCGGGCGACGGTTGACGGGATAGTGGTCTCGGACATTCTCGAGAGCGACCTCGCTCCCTTTCCAGAGTTTATGGCTGGTCCTTCGAACGTGGCACCGGGAGATGGGGTGTATGATGCAGGGGGTGCGGAAGTTGCGGAAGACGCGGAAGGTCCCCAGGATTGAGGTTGCTGTTGTTTTGTTGTAGTTGCTATTTCGGCGTTATATTTTATATCCGGCCTTTTAGCCGTTTGTGGCTTGTCGGATCGGCGTTTGTATTTGTGATCCTCTGTTGGATCTTACAGAGGATCACAAATACAACTCGTGATGTTGTTTCCTTATTTGAACCTTGATGACGTTAGATTTGCTTCGATGAATGTTGGATTTTCGGAATTTCTATTGTCTATTCTTGTCGTAGAATTGCTTGTGACGCAGGAGGTTATGCAGGGATAATAGGGCGAGAAGACCCTTGGAAGTTTTCGCTTGGTTCCGGGACGTATTTTGCGGGGCGAGACGTCTCTCGGCTTATCCTGTTACGTGCTCCTCGGAACGCTAAGCTGAATGAGCAGACGAGGCGGGCTCGTCGTACTGTTTAGGTGTGGTGCGTGCGACCGGCTTATCCTGTGTGTGCTTTGAGTTCGACAAGAGCGTGCGAGCCGGAGCTCGGCTTATTGGCCCTGCCGCCTGCTAGCTATAGTGCGAGACTGGGCTCGGCTTTATCTTTACCGAAGTTAAAGACGTGGATTATTTCACCACTGCATCCATGTGGAACGCGTTTTGTGATCGAACTCCTGGCCAGGGACGATGTTTGAGCTTGTCGATCAGTTGAGGCGGACTCAGCCGAAAGAGCTCTTTGTTTTTTTTTTGAGTTATAGTTGTGCTTTGTTAAAAGCTGCCTACGTACCCTTGCGAAGGGATCAAGCCATTCGTAGTTCATATTGTGAGCTCAGTTGTTCGAGCGTTCTTTTTTTTTTTTTTTTTTTTTTTGCGCGGCCGTGGCGGTTAATAGTAGTAACGTTTCAGATTGCCGGAGTTCCATGAGCGGGGAACGGACGTGCCATCCATCGTTAGGAGTTCATAAACTCCAGGTCGGACGACTTTGGAGACAAGGTAAGGGCCTTCCCAGTGCGCGCCGAGTTTGCCGGCGTTGAGTTCGGCTGTGTTCTCGAACACCTTCCGGAGGACCAAGTCGCCTTCGTCAAAGTGGCGAGCCTTGACCTTCTTGTTGTAGAATTTTGCCGCGGCCTGTTGATAGTTTTGTATACGGAGGAGTGCCTTGTCCCTTTCTTCCTCGAGGCAGTCAAGACTGTCTCGTATCATTGAATTGTTTAGCGCGGGATCGTGTACAAGCATAGAGCGACGGAGCGTCGGTATCCCTACTTCGGCCGGGGCGAGTGCTTCCATGCCATAAGCAAGTGAGAATGGCGTTCTTCCCGTAGACCGTCGAGGTGAGGTTCGGTGGGACCATAGGACGCCGTCGAGCTCGTCAGCCCAAACGCCTTTCTTCTCTTCCAGGCGTTTTTTGATGCCGTCAATGATCGTCTTATTCGTGGCTTCGGCCTGGCCGTTACCTTGGGGGTACCTTGGCGTGGACTTACTCAGGCGAATTCGCCAACTCGCGCAGAATCCTTCGAATTGTAGCGAAGTGAACTGGGTTCCATTGTCCGTGATGATTTCGTATGGAAGTCCGTGGCGGCATATGATGTTTTTCCATACAAAGTTTTGCACCTCTTTTGCTTGAATTCTAGCGTAAGATTCGGCTTCAACCCATTTCGTGAAATAGTCGGTCATGATGAGGATGTATTTTTTCTGTCGTGAGGCGGGTAACGGACCGACGATGTCCATTGCCCAACGCATGAATGGGTAAGGCTGGGAGGCCGTGCGAAGGAGCTCGGTTGGAGCGTGGATGAGAGGCGCGTGCCTTTGGCATTTTTCGCACTTTGCCACAAATTTGTCGCAGTCCGCATTCATTGTTAGCCAAAAATGACCAGTTTTGCGGATTTGTAAGGCAAGAGCTCGCCTTGTCATCGACCTGGTCGGAACCTACGCATGTGAGGATAGCAGACGGAGTGATACGGAAGAGGTCTCCCTTCAACACGGTGTATTGGGCACTTCGTGTACGCAGACGCCGTGCCTCCCACTTATCCGATGGTATTATGCCGTCTACGATGTAGTTAATTATCTCGGAGCGCCAATCGTTTCGGACTTTGGGATGACCGCTTATGGAGTTGCCGATATTGGCTTTTGCGCTGGGGGACGGATCATTCGATGAAGCGAGCGGGCTGTGCGTTGTTAGATTGTCGTCGTTAAGTGGCGCGGAGACCACGAGAATTTGTCCGGGTGGTAACGATGCAGCAGTAGCTTCCACATTAATATTGTTCGGAGTTGCTTCAGCGATTGGTTGCGAGGAGCTCGAACCAGTCGACGCGGACGCGCCAGGAGAGCAATCCAAAGTCGAATCGACAACCAATGCATTAGTTTTTGCAGAGGTCGGATCTACAACCAAGGCGGCAGGCTTTTCGTTTGTGGGCGCGGTAGCGGTTGAAGTCGGCTCGGCGACTGAAGTCGTGATCGGTTGGGCTAGTGAAATCAGGTCGATGCTCGGATGGTCGATGCTCTCAACGG